CTGGCGGGCCGGCTGAGCTGCATCGTCCGCGACGGGGAGGAGTCGCGCAACGGGCGGCCCACCTGCGTGCTGGCTGCTGCGTGCGCTCCTACCATTGCTCCCGGCCAGCTGGGAATCTTGGCCACCCTGTGCCTTCCGCTCCGTGCCTATCAGGTACCGTCACCGCACACACACCAGCACAGCCCCCCCGGCCGCCCGCCGTTCCGCTCGCAATTCCCTCCCGCCGCTGCCCGCGCGCGCATTACCCACACTAACATCGACCGGAATATACGAACTCTTCATTGCAACACGAGGTTTCAACTCTACGTCCACCGCAGTCTCGGGATCCCGTATGCGCCGGCCGGCTCAAGTTTCATCCACATTGCCAGCCGCGTGCCGGCTTGGACCAAACACGAAGAGATCAAGCAGCCAACCCACGATTCGCGGGAAGACGAGCAGAGGCACCATTCGTCATAATCGCTCAATCGCTCCGTCTTCACGAAAATAATCAGGGAAATTGCATGAGCCTTGACGGCCGTCATCATCCAACCGGCCCTTTTTTTTTTTTGACTGCTGCTGGAAATATTCGCCTCTCGGAAGCCGTCGACGCCTGCAACTAGCCGCCCTCTTTTTTTTTTTTTTCTTTCTCGCCGTTGCGAAGGGACGTTCGAGGCAAGGTGACACAGGACTTGGACATTTTCCCTTTGCCTTCAGCGTCCATGCGCAATGGCGTCGGCGGCGTAGCTTGGCACAGCTCGGCTGGCGTAAGCGCATCTGCGGGCGGAGCTAGGGCATCCCTCCCACCCTCTTCACTCTTCCTTCCATGAACCCAAACCCTTCACCACTCACGTCCAATAACCAAGCAGGTACAAGACGGAGTGAACTAAACACAACCGCTTACCAACATGACAGCAAACGCTCAAAGCGAACCGGATACTTTGGTCCACGGTTGCCCGCCACGTCCTACCATGCGTCCTGCACCCAGCCACCCATTCGTCATACCTGACCGTCAGCCAACCGGCAAGACACCGCGCAGAGGACCCTGAATATCAGCCGTTCGCCGCTAGACAGATGGGCGGCGCTGGTCGCTTGCTTAGCCTTCCAGGTTTCTTCTTGCTTTGCTTTTCCCGTGAAAAACTGCCCGGCCGCTGGCTCTGCTGCCCGCCGCTTCCGTCATCAGGTTGTCGTCCCATCCCGCTGCTGCTGACGTCTTCGTTCTGTTCTGCGCGCCCAAACATGGCTTCTCCCCGTGACGCGCTTCCTTATGTCGGAGGGCTGCAGACGACCTACATGGTGCTAGTCAGCTAGCCTGGGTAGCTAAAAAGGTTGCAAGGATGAGCACATGCAAGCACCTGTTGCTGCTGCTGCAAGTGCGGGCGGCTGTTGGTGGCACGTGCGCCTTCTGGGGATTTTTTGATTCGAGGCTGCTGCTACTGTTGCTTTTTGCCTCCATCTGCTAGCGCGCCTACTCTGCCTCTAACACCCCCTGCTTCTTGCGCGGCTCAAGCATGACGGGAGGCCGACGTGTCCACTGCCTCATTTGATCAGAGTGTGTAGTGCGTGACTACTGCTCTTGCATACTGCCCGCAGGGATGGCTGCGTTAGCGTGCAACCGTGAAGGGTGTGTGACTTTGGGCTTTTGCCGGAGCCTCGGGAAGAGGCGCGAGAGATGCGGAATTCTGGTGCCGCGATGCGAAAAGCGCATGGTCTTGCTGCAGCAGAAAAGCAGGTGCAAGAGGGGTGCACACCGCCGCTGCACGCTGGCGTACGTTATGCAGCGGGAAGGAGGGGCGGGGAAGGGATACTCAGTCGGGGAGGTGAGTTTGTTGGTGCTTGGGTGAAGCTTCTGCAAACAAGGGCAGGGGGCGGGGATGGGGGGAAAGGGTCAGCAGGTCTGTTTTAGCACCGTATCGCAGGCCAGCGGCCAATCAGCGGCAGGAAATGCCGTGACTTTAGGCAAAATCAGGACCGACGAAGAATGCGCTCTCCAGGGGGTGGGCTCCGCTGCAGCTATTCCCGTCGTCGGGTCAGATGGCGGTAGGGGGGAGCGCGGCGTTGGGTTTGATGGTGGCGGACGCGCTGGTTGGGAGATGGCTCTTGGCAGCGCGCGGGGCCGGGGATTGATGATGGGCTGCTGCTGCATGAAGCAGGGTTCGTGTAACCTCCATGAGATTGATCACTTTTCCCCCGTCCACTCAGTTTTCACGCCTCTTTTCTTTTACTGTTGTTTCCGCTCCCGCGGCGCCGCACTACTGTCAAGGTCCCGCTCGTTATGTGGCTCCTCTTCGCACTTCGGCCTCTTTGTCGGCTTAACCCCTCAGCCTGGATTTTTTTCGTGCAAGCCATCCGATTGGGTTTTTATTTTTGCTTTCCTACCATCTCGCCTCTCTGAACGCCGGCGCGCGGAGCGGGCTGGCGGGATGGGTGCGGCGCCTTTCTTTTCGTAGCCCCCGGGCCGGCAATGGGGTTACATCGGGCGTTCGCTCGGAGGGTTAGAGAGAGCGTGTTGCTTCCGCTGTGCTGTTTGGGGCGGGCGGGCTGGCGGGATGGCGGGCTTGCTGGACGCTAAACTGGGCACAGTTTAGCCTTTGGCTTTTTGGCGGCCGCCAGCCCTGTCATTGTCATGGGCAGCGTCGGCTGGCGTTCTCCCTTCGACTTCCCGGTCAGCGCCGCGGCGGCGACGACGACGGCGGCGGCGCTGACTTGTGGTGGCTTGGTTGGCCAGCGGGCTGCCCGGGATTGGTGCGCACCATGCGGTACGTACACAGGACTTTTTTGGAGGAAGGTTGAGCGGTTGAGGCTAACGCTGCTAGCGTCGCTGTGCCAGAAAGAAGACAGCCTCCACATAATGCAAGTGACCTTTTCTTGGGGCCCTAGCACCAGACAGCGAAGCCGGCAGCCTTCGGGACTGTTGTCGGTGCATCTCTGGGGCTTGCCAATGGCCCCTCCCCGCCCTCCACTCGTTGTTGGTTGGCTGCCATTCAGGCGAGACATGCGCATTTTACAAATCGTGTATTAGTCGTTGCGGTGGCGATGCTTACGCGCAAGCAGCCCCAGTGCCTGAAACACGAACTCTGAAGCGCCCTGTCCGGACGAGGCATTTTGCGCGCGCTTCTGTCGCTGTCGGGAGGCGCGCTACGGGATGAAAGTAGTGAAGTCGACCACCGCACGTGCTCCACCACCACTTTCCTTTGCCACGCCTCCACTCGCCCATTGCTCGGACCGAGGACACTACGGCTCAGAGGAAGAGGGGAGACGTTACCTAGCTCAGCAAATGTCCCCCCCCCCCCATCCGTGATGAAGGCACCAGTCCGGCAGTTTCACGGTGCACCGCCGGAATGGTCGAACGGCTGCGGATAACACTGGAGAATAGGCTTTTTTTTTTTCCGCGACACTCCTCCGGCTGTCGTTGGGGCTCCCGCGAACCCGCCATTCTGGTTGGGTGTACGGACCAGGAACCAGCTATGGGCAGAAGTCATCGCTCGCGCCTCTGGTGATGCTTCCCCGTGCTTTTCCCAATCCTCCCCTGGAGTCCCCCGCTGGAATCATGAGATGGTGGTGTGCTTGCCATCGCTGTGGTGCCATGCTGTGCCGTGGGGATGGGGCCCGCGCTCGGGGCAACCAACAAGCTGTGCAATTTGCCAGTTTACTTTTGCCTCATTTGCCCACAATCGAAAAAAAAGTAGCTGGGGGCAGCAGGGATGCTGACTGGGGCACGAAAGCACCTCTTTTCACGTGGATGGCCGTCCCCTTTGGAGAAGAGGGGACGCTTTGGCCGCCGTTGGACGCCAGCGGGTCGTGCAGAATCAGGACTCCCCTGCGGCTGAGCTTCCTTCGTTTTGGATCTTTTGGCCTGGCGCTTGTCCTTCCCGAGCTGCCGCATCCCACCTCGCGCCCATTCCTTCGACAGCAAGGATTTGCAGCTTGCCTTTTAGCCATCATGCGGCCTTCACTCGGGGAGAAGGACCCCAGACAGCCGCCGCACCGGCGCGCCGTCGCGCATCCGAAAGCGCGTCGGACACGGAGGCGAGCTATTGTGTGATTGAGGCTCCCCAGATGGATCTGCGCCTTTTGTTCATGCTCGTGCTGCTTGGCGGCCCAGATGGCCAAAGTGCCCTGCCCCATTTGCCTTCAGGGCAGCGTAGACATGGATTAGGGGTGTTGAAAACGCGCAGCTCTGGTCCCAGCAGAGCCACGAGGTGATCGCCAGGTACGACCGATATGAAAGGCGGGTCACTTGCTCGATTGGTGCGGACAAGGATGGTGCAAAGGGAAATGGCCTTTGCAGCGGCCAAAAAACTTGGCTCTTGCGAAGCTGTGTGGGCTCTCGTCCGCCCATCCCGGTCCATCCGCCGTGCGGAAGGGTAGACAAAGGGTGGGTGTGTGGGCGTGTGCGTGCGTGCGGCTTCTCTCGGAGAAGACGTGCTAGATTGGAAAGGATCATCACCGCTCGTGCTGACTGCTGCTGCTGGCTGCCACCAGCCCTCAGGGTCCCAGCCACCCCGGCGAAATGAGTCGAGCCTATCTCGCGTTGTGGACAGACCAGGTACACGGGATCATGTGGTGACCCACTCGTTGCTGTGCTTCTACATCATTGTGGCTCCCCTGATGAGTGAACCATCACGGCCTCGCGCACGCTGCGCCCAGAGCAGCTTTCTCGCATCCACAACGCTGGCATCGTGGCCCCTTTCATGTTGTCATTGCATGTCTATCTGGAGTCGTGAGCCGGGTTTGACAACGCAATTACCTTTCGGCTGGCTCGGGTCGTGGACCCTCGGGACGTCACTCCATTCTTTCACATGTCATGTCGCTTCCGTTCCTCAGGACTCCAGGCAATGCGATGTATGATATCATTATGGTCCGAGTCCTCACGAATCATCTTCGATTCGCAGGCACGATCTTTTGATTCTCTGCCTCTTCCGGGGTATCGTACTCGCAGATGATGGTCTCAGTTGTCCTCCCAAACGCCGCGTTTGCCATGTCCGAAACGCCAACCCATATTGTACAGTCGTGTCGAGGGCCTAATCCCTCCCGTACGTGATCTTTCCTCTCTTGTTTGGCTTCCCATCGGTGTCCTCGTCATCCTTGGCCGATGGGCGCTTCTTGTTGGTCGCTTTGCTCGTAGTGCTACCGGGAGTCGGATGGTTGCTGGCACCGGGGAAAGACGACGCTGGCGTGGGAGCATGCGAGGGCGTTGTTTGCGCGGATGTCGGACCGGGCGAGTCCTGACAAGCAGCCGTGTTAGTCATTGCGGTCCTTCTCGCTTGCATCAGCACAACACCTCGTGCAAAAGACTAGCATCAGATAGCCGCGGGAGAATGGTGGGGCAATGGACTAAAAGACAGCGTACATTCATGAGAAAGCTCTGTGAGCTTCGACTGAATATGCGGTCTTGCTCGTTGATGGCAGCCTTCCGGCGCGCGGCACTACCAGCGCCAGCACCGCCAGACGTAGAGGCGGTCGATCCCTTGATGTAATTGTCAAAGCCTTTTACTATGTTGCCAGCACTCGTCTCCTCGAGGTAGCTCGTCTCGGCACGGTATATATTCTCTTCGATGGTGTTCTGCGCCAACCGTCAGCCAACGCGCGCTTCCATATGCCACGGAGGCGTGTTGAGTTACAAGTGTAGCATCGAGGACGCGCTTCTTCGCCAGGGCTTCGCGCAGGTCGCGTCGTAGCTTCTCATAATAAGGCATGCCGCGCGTGGCCTCAGAGTTCGCATTGGGCTGCGCATCGGCAGGCGGCGCGTTTTCCGTCATGTTGCGCGGCGGCAAATAACAATCGATAGGGGCCGGGCAGATTACGGTGGTGGTGCAGGGCGACAGCGCCGCAAACTGGAAGCTTGCAATAGCTTGACGTTGGGGTTGAAGGTGCGTCGCGAAGCTGCAGGCGACGCGGCGAAGGCGGTGAGGCACTAGCGCGCGCTTGCCCCGCGGATCAGCCAGCGCGGCGGAAGCAGCCGTGAACGTTCAACCTTACGACAAGAAAGCTCGACACGCGCCCATTGTCCGCAGCATCACCACGCCACTCGCCTGACACCACTCCGCGCGCCTGCTCGCACCAGCGCTGCCCGAGCCTCTGCCCATCATGCCCATGGACGCCAAGGAGGTCGAGTCCCACGGCCGCGCCATCACCAAGGCCCAGGCCGCGGGCGAGCCCGGCTCGTCGCTCATCAAGCTTCTCGATGATCTGCGCACCGGTGTCCAGGCCACCGAGGACCTGCTGCGCTCCACAAAGATTGGCATCATCGTCAACAAGCTCAAGACCAGCAAGGACCCCAACGTCGCCAAGAAGGCCAGCGAGCTCGTCTCCAAGTGGCGCGCCGACGTGAAGAAAGCTGGCGCCGATCGCTCCTCCACTCCAAAGCAGCAGAACGGAACGCAATCGCCCGCCTCCCAGGCTGCAGCCTCGCCTGCTCCGGTTGCGAAGCCCAAGCCGAAGCACAATGTCCCGCTCGACAAGCGCAGCGTCGACACCGATGGCGTGGATTGGAGGCTTACCGGCAACGCTACCCGCGACAACTGCCTGAAGATGATGTACAACGCGTTGGCATTGAACGTCGAGGATGGTATGTCCCACTACCATACTTGTATGGCTGTGGGATAAAATTCACTAACCGATGCATGCAGCCCCCAAGTCCGTTCTGACCGTGGCCCGGGACGTCGAACTCGCCGCGTATAACAAGTATCAACCGGAAACCTCGGCCGCCTATAAGGAACGGATGCGCTCGCTGTTCCAGAACCTCAAGAACAAGTCTAATCCCGGGCTACGCAAGCGGGTGCTATCCGGCGAGATCCCCCCGGCCAAGTTTGTCGTCATGTCAAGCGAGGAACTTATGTCTGCCGAGCGTCGCGCTGAGGCAGAGCGTCTGGAAAAGGAAAACATGAACAAGGCAATGGTCGCCCAGGCAGAGAGAAGCATCAGTACCAGTTTGACGTGCGGCAAGTGCGGCCAGAAGAAGGTCAGCTACAGCCAAGCCCAAACCCGCTCTGCTGATGAACCTATGACAACGTTCTGCGAGTGCACGGTTTGCGGTAACCGCTGGAAGTTCTCCTGAGATGGACCAAGACCTGGATGGACGCCGCCCCATCATCTTTGTTTTTCATACCGCGGCCGTCTGCGGATCAATTTATATGTACGATACTTCCGGAGATACCACATGCCGGGGTCCCTTCTTGAAGCATAGGGCAGCGAATGGTGGATGCGGAGTTCAGTAGAAGATGGAGTTTCGGGGGATTAGCGTTCGGCGAGGTTTCGCGGCAATCAATCCTGCGGGAAACGATTTGTGCTTTTGGCACTGCCATTGTTGGGGCGCTTAAACCGCCACGCCTGCCCTTTCTATTCGATCTTACGAACTACTTAGACAATAAGCAAGCAATTTCGGCAGACTTCAAACTGCAGCCACATAGGCTGCAGAGAAGTTGGTCTTGAATTGGAAAAAATTGAGAAATAAAGTAGCAGTTCCATCTTGCCTGTGGGTCTCTGTTGAGCTGCGCGTTTTTTTTAGCGCACGTACAGTCCAAATGACTGATCCAGTGGCGTAGAAAATATGGTTCAAGTCCGTAAGCACGCGAATTTTCACTGTACCATTCTTAACTAGTTGTTCGTACTTGAACGCGGCCGTACTGTCCAGCAGCCTCTAAGCAGAACATCTGAAGATTGACATGTAGCTGTTATAGAAAGCAGTTCATAGCATAAGTACATCCGAATACGTTTGTGTAAATCGTAAACTCATATCTATGTCTGAATGTTCCAAGCAACTACTGGCTTAAAAAGAGTACCGAGTGGCATAGGGGTCCAAATATTCTGCAACTCACAGTATCCTAATCCATACTCACGGCATCCTTTAACCTCGACGTGCAGTCTCTATCCCTTTCTGCAGTTGTCTTCTAAAGAAGCGGAGATGTCACTGTTAGAGCATCTTCATCACTAAGTCGTTCCCCCGTGTTGGAACACTAAAGATGACATAAGATAGCTAGACGGGTTGCTCGATGACTGACTTTTTTCTAGCCTGTGACTTATCTATCATTGTTGTAGAGTAGGTTTCGTCAGTGATGGTTTTGTCACACTGCATTCTCCTGGAGGCCTCTCGACACGAATCATACACAGTCAAAGTCAGGGTAATGATATCGCCATGACCAAGAGCACGCAGCGTAGCTTTGGTAGTTACAGCATAGTTTGGGCCATGGAGGCAGACCGAGTTGCCAAACACCAGTCGACCAGAATGCATTATATATTCGCCGACAATAATCCCTCGATATACGCCATCATTTTTTGATCCCTTCTAAATCGTCCACACCCAAATGTACCATAATAATGCGACAACAACCTCCACACTATGCCACATCAACAAAGGCTCTCTTCTTCTTCCCCTTCGCCCCCCTTTCCACCACTTCCTCTACATCCTCGACCCTAACAACCTTCCCGCTCTCCGCCCTCGCACCGACAAACTTCAACGCCGCGGCATTAAAGCCCATCATATCCTTCAGGCCACCAAGCGTATTTCTCAAATCCTCCCTCATGCCTTCCAAGGTAGTTTTCAGCTCCTTGCTGGCGACTATCTGCCGCTGATGCGTCCTCAGCATGAAAAACAACACACGGCACACAAGCGGCACGCTCCACTGGCGCTGGACCCAGATTCGGATGAACGTGAACAATCCAGGCACGGTGCTGAATGGCAAAACCAGGAGAGCGTCGTGTAACTGCGAAGCGGGGATCTTTGCGACCGTGTTCAGGACGTGACGCTCAGCCGATATGCCACCAAGCGCCATGAAGAGAGGGTCACGCTGAGGCGGGGCCATGTTGGCGGTTGGGTTCGCGGCCTTCTGGGCACGCCAGGCGGCGACGACTTCCAGGTCGGCGAGGCCGAGCTCAAGTGCCTCCATGATGCGTTCACCGGCCGTGAGGGTAGCGATGGTCTGTTTGGTGGCGGCGCCGACTTCGGCATCCTTGTCGTCATTGTCGCCATCGCCGTCGAGGTTGGCGGCAAGGGTGGACTCGTACAGTTCCTCAAGCTCGCGCTCACGCTCTTCTTCCAGGAAAATGGGCTCGTCGCTTTGGTTCCAAATGCGCATGCTTTTGTCGTGCGAGGCGGTCACGACGAAGTCGCCTGTCCGGCTTACGACCATGGCCCAAATTTCGCCGTGGTGACCTTCCAGCTTTTGGATCTGCTCGAACTTATCCCCATCCCAGGTCTTAAGTGTCCGATCCTTGCTAGCGCTGAAGAAATGGTGGTTCTCGTCCTTTGAGACCGGATGAGGAATGAATGAGACCTGCATAATGCTGTCGGTATGCGCAAAGAAGGCTTTATGGCAGTCTCCGAAGTCGAGGCCCCAAAGGCGTACGTTCTTGTCCGCACTGCAAGTGGCAATGAGCTTGCTATCAGACGAAATGGACATACTCAGCACGGGAAGCTTATGTCCGTAAAGATTGAGGAAAAGTTTGAGAGAATCGACGAAGAAAACCTTGACGGTATTGTCAAGAGTGGCCACGGCGAGCAGGCGGGAATCCGGAGAGAAGCGCAAGCTCAGAATGTCGTCGTTGACCTTCAGTGTCCGGGCGTGCGCCAGCTTAAGTTTCGGCGTCGTTCGCTTTGTTCCTGGAATCTCCTCCTGCACAATCTCAAAATTCCAGAACTTTGCTGTCTTGTCCGCACTACCGCTCACGACGGACTTGCCATCGGGATGTAGATCCAAGCTCCATATTGCGCCCTCGTGCGCCTGCACAGTATCAACGAGCTGTGATGATGCGATATCGAAAAGCTCAATCTCTCCAGTCTTGGTGCCTACCACGACAATCTTATCTCCTGGCAAGAAGGCGCAGCACAGCGCGTAGCCGCACTCCAGCGTGCGCAAGCACTGCTTTGTCCGAATGTTCCAGATCTTGAGACTGCCATTCGACGCGGAAGCCAGCATGCGGTCATCCGAGCTCAGAGCGAGAGAGCGCACATCAGCCCTGTGTCCTGGGAGTTCAACGGAGTAAGATCGAGAGTACTCCGGGGGTTCGTCCTTGGAGGCCTTCTTGGTGCGTTCCTTCGTTGGTACGCTGTAATCCTCCAGCAGATTATTTGTGGTGGACACAATCAGCTGCAGCGCTTTCGCCGTCCCCCGCGCCCAGTCGACAGCCCTGACCTTGCCTCCTGTACGGACAATAACATACGGGACGAAAATGTCTCCCACGCCCGCCGTCGCGATATCCTCGTCGTCGACATCGGCCATGTCCACGTCGGCGCCCTTGTCCTTCAGCTCCCTGAGCTTCTCCTTTCTCCTTCTCTTCTTCCTGGCCAGGCTCTTTTGCACCTCATCGTCCGAGCGGATGCGCCACAACTCCACCGCCTTCTCCGAACCGTGTATCGCGATGTAGTCCATCTTGGGATGAAAGCTGATGCCGATTGTTCTGTCCTTACCCGCACGGTACAACGTGCCCCTCTCCGAAAGGAAATCGGCGTCTGCAGTTTCTCCGACTTGTCTCGCAAGGGTGCGCAACCCTTCCCGGTCAATCGTCCACACCTTGATTTCTCCGTCATTGCCAGCCGTGATGCAGCCATTGCCATCAGGGGAGAGGCCCATAGACCAGCATTCGCCATTGGTCTGAGCGACGTGTGTCTCAATACAGTGTTGCGAATTGACGTCCCAGATTTTGATCAGGGCATCCTTGCTAGTTGACAGGAGGAATACCGGTCCGTCGTCAGCGAGATCAGGCACCTCCTCGTCCTCGTCAGCAGCACCAGTGCCGACATGCAGGAACCTCAACCCCGTGATTTGGTCCTTGTGACCGCGCAGCTTGAACAAGCCGACTTCAGCGACCAGATCCCACACGATGATATCCGTGTCCTTGGACCCACTGGCCAAGCGCACGCCGGAGTCGTCGAAGGTCAAGGTGGTGATGGCAGACTTGTGGCCGTTGAAACTGATGATTAGGGACGAGGAGCGCGAGTCCCACACGCGAATGCTGCCGTCTGCATGGCCAACGGCAAAAACGTCGGGGTCGGTCTTGCTCTGGGCAATTTGGGTGACTTCGGCGGAGCAGGAGCTGTCGCGCCAGGAGCTGAGCAGCTCGCCCTTCTTCAAGTCCCAGCAGAGCAGCTCCTCGTTCGCGGCGGTGTACGCATGGCCGGCACCGGTGTTGCGGGCTGCGGTGGACTCAGGCGCCCAGACGACGTTCGAGGTCGCCGAATTCACGACGCCGAAGGTCTGCGAGTGCTCATACTTGCTAGTCGGGTCAGCCGAGCGCCGGCGACGGGCGTGCGGGGCTCGGGAGCAACTTACACGTAGGACTTGACCATGGTGGGGATTTCGTCGTGGTCGGCACGGCGTCGCAACTTTTTTGGCGGGCGACGACTTTTTGGACGCGGCGATCAGGCCCCACGTTCTTGGCACTCGTAGGGCGGACCACGCCCGCCCGACTGCTCCACCACCGCCAACGACCTCACCCCCCGGAGCTCGCATCCCTCCACCACCGAACGCCTCCCCCGCCAGGCCACCCACCATGTTGCTCCTCGACTACCAGAATGTTCTCATCGAGTCGCTGCTCAATGACCGCTTCTCCGGGTACGCCAGCCCTCGCCGTTCCCGTCGCCCCGACCCCCCGGCGCACCCCCGCGCCGTAGCAGCTAGGTAGCTCGCATACTGACGGCCCGCAGCCAAGCCCCCGTCTCCATCGACCAGATCGTCTCCGACTTCGACGGCGTGACGTTCCACATCTCCACCCCCGAGGCCAAGACCAAGATTGTCATCTCCATCGCCGTCCGCTGCTTCCAGGAGCTGGTCAAGTACGGAGCACAGGAGGTGCTGGAGCGCGAGTACGGCCCGTACATTGTCGCCCCGGAGTCTGGCTACGACTTCTCCATCCAGGTTGACCTCGAGGACCTGCCCGCCGAGCAAGGTACAATGAACACTGCTGGACGCGTCAATTGGGAGAGTGCTTGTCGCTGATTGCTGCCTGAACAGAGGCCCGCGATGACCTGGTCCGCCGCATTTCGCTGCTGAAGCGCAATGCCATGGCCGCTCCCTTCGAGCAGGCCTTCGACGAGTTTGCCGCCCTGCAGGAGGAGGCTGCCAAGTACACCTCCGAATCCGCCCCGCAAGGCATCCGCGAGGGCGGCGAGGTCCGCGCTATCCACTATCGCGAGGAGGAGGCCATCTACATCAAGGCGAGCCACGACAGAGTTACCGTCATTTTCAGCACCGTTTTCAGAGAAGAGACGGACCGCATCTTCGGCAAGGTTTTCCTCCAGGTATGCAAAGCTGAGCCGTCTTTGATTTTTTTCGGGAACATGGGTGTGGCTGAAGCTATGTGACTAGGAATTCGTCGACGCGAGAAGGCGGGCTATCCAGAACGCTCCCCAGGTCCTGTTCAGGAACGACCCTCCGCTTGAGCTTCAGGGCCAGCCCGAGGTCGCTCAGGTTCAGAAGGGCGAGGTTGGCTACATCACCTTCGGTATGATGTCATCGTTCGATACTCCCCATGATACATGCTAAATTATTCTAGTCCTTTTCCCAAGGCACTTGACCCCTCAGCGTCGCTACGAGGTCATTTCTCACATCCAGACCTTCCGTGACTACTTCCACTACCACATCAAGGCGTCCAAGGCCTACATTCACTCGAGAATGCGGAGACGCACCGCCGACTTCCTCCAGGGTATGCTCAGGATTGGACTTTTCAATACTCTGGCATCTGCTAACTATCCACAGTTCTGCGCAGAGCCAGGCCTGAGACGGAGGAGAAGGAGAGGAAGACTGCTAGCGGCCGTACCTTCAAGGTCAACTTCTAGAAGACGCCATTACCCAAAACCGAGGGACTACGAGATATCACTCAGCGGCCCGAAGCGCTGCACCAACAACCAAGCTGGCCAAAGCGCCTGTGCGCTATGATCCAAATGACTCCACAACGCTTCCCCAAAAAGAAGTAGAGCTGGACCAAATAATAGGTGTTCATTGTGTAGTACGAGTTGAGATGCAGGAAGCGGACGACAATAGATGCAAACTCCAAATGTTCTCTCAGCCCTCCATATGTGGCACCGAAAATCAAACGTTCCCGCTCTTAATGATTGAGAGGACTGAATCCTGACTGACTCCAACTCTTCCCGGTACGCTGTTGTCGAGAAAATAAGCACGAAAGAAGTGGAGAAGAAATATATCAAGGGAAAACCGAGAAGATCGAGGAGAGGAGATATCAAGATCAACCACCCCCGCCTTAACCACTCCATCCCATGCCCCCAACACCATACTTGGTCCTATCTCCCAATCCTAGCTTCTCGTATTCCTCTCGCCTTCTTGCCTTCTTCTCCGCTCGTTCAGGATCGTCTGGCTCCCCGCCCATCTTGGCCTTCACACGGTCGAAAGTGGAGCTCAACTTCGACTTTTTAGAGCTCGTAGTGGAACTAATATGCGTTTAGTCAGTAATCAGTGGCAAAGCGCGCGTACAGTTGAGGCAATCGGGGGTGTTTTGTTACCTCTCCGCGTTGCTGCCTCCATTGTTGTCGTCGCTCTTCTCAGTGTACTCGGGCAATGTGGAGACGGTGTCGGTGGAGTGTCGTCCAGGGAGGAAGGTGTCCGAGGCCTCTTTGGCCTTGCTGGGTTGGCCTGAAGAGGCGCTGCGGGCTGACGTGTTCTGAGAAGCCATGGAGGAGTCGCGCTCGTTCTGATGGTCGTGATGGTCTAAGGGCTTGGAGGAGAGCGAGAGGCCGTAAGAGAAGTTCGAGAACGCCAGGGTGGGCGGTTGAGGTGGAGTGGGCTATGTGTGTATGTGTGGATTGGCAACAATTTGGTCTGCAGCAACGCCACGGGCTTGAGCAGATGCGGGCTTGATACTTGAGCGTGTTGGATGGGTGTGTCGTGTGGCGATCGAGGTTGAGAGTGAGAACAAATGAGGAAATGGCAAGAGTGATAGGATGAGTGATTCAAGGCCGGCAGGCGGAAACTCTTGTGATATTTTGATGTCCCGTAGGCTCGTTGTCACAACAAAGCGTAAGTCCTTATAAGCACCCTCCTTTTGCCAGGATCGCACGCCTAAAGACACTTATCATCGCAGAGTCATTAACCCAGACCAACCAAAGCCCGTAAAATGCGGCCCGCAGACACCACCTTACTCTTCAAGTCTTCCCCCGGCCTGACGTGGCGCCGGGTGTGTCAGCACACCCTTTCTTTATTGCCGCGATGCGCAACGACGTTCCCTCGTGAGCGAGGGAGGCGCAAGGCAACAACAATTTGACGTATGCACAACACGACACGAGACGTGCTTCCTAAAAATACCTTTTCCTTATCCACAAGACGAAGCTGTTATATGGACTTGACTTTTTAGAACCTGAGTGTGTGAAGTTCGCAAGTCTGAAATAGGTGACATGAGATGCCCTTCCATTCGCCTGCAAACGTGAATAAGAATCTACACATCACGCGCAAGAACAAAAGCATTTCGCGGCACCAAAAAGCCGGAATAATGCTCCGATAGACCCACTTACCCCAAACGCAATCTCCGCCATTGTTCTTCTCAAGATAAATGGTGGTGGCAGTGCTTTGCAAGGTGTATTCGCCTGTATGGTCGAGCCAATAAAAGCCCCAGGAATCGACCGGGTGGGCCGCCGTCCCGTCCCGCCCATGCACGGACTTCCTTCACTAGGCAACCTGATTTCGCAAGCTCTGGGAGGTTGGTTCTCCTCATCCACGTAAGAAGGTGGCTACCTAAACCTTGGATGTAACGTCATCCTGTGCCTCATCAAATTTCGTCTATCCCTTTCTGTCGAGTGGCTGGTAGCAGCAGTCAGGCAGCAGAATATTCGTGCATGTCGTTGGTGGCCGCAACTTATCAGACAGATCAGGAATCTCTCTAGTGACTCACTAATTGTCGCAGTGATCGTCTGGACAAAGATTAAAGAGGTGTATCGCAGCCGAAGGCTTGCATGCGTTTATCTACTAAGGGGGTATTGCGCTCGAAGGCCAGCGCGATGAATAGCAAGATCCTCGAATCTCGGGTGACTACGCCTTGCCTTTTTTTCTCAAAAAAAAAAGGGGGGGGAGAAAGAAACGTAAAACAACACATGGGTAGTTGAAGCTATCGTCCGGACGAGAATGTCGAATTAAATATTCTACATATACATCCGGACGATAGCTTCAACTACCCATGACTTGACCAAAAAATAAATTCACGTTAGCTTTCAGCCCTTGCCCATCAAACTGTGTAGCTCAGATTACCACATGACCAACCAAGCATTAGATCCATATTTTAACACAAAAATTCATTGTCCTACGTCAAGGAATCTGGAGAGATTTCAAAATCGTCTTACCGTCCTTTCCGGTCCATATCTACACTTTCCACCCTACCCATCTCAAGCCTAGAGAATTCAGACATACGCTAAGCCGTACGCCCGCATAACGCAATAATACAAATGTAACATTGAAGAAGAACCGCTGAAACTTTTCTGGTCCACTTCGTGAAACGTGTGAAGAGAAAGGAAAGACTCTTTAGCCAGCCTACAAAAGCTTGCCACCGATGAACTCGCTCCACTTCTTGACTTCGTTCGGGATACCCTCCTGGCGGGGAAGCTTCTCACTGCAGCACTGAGCAAACAGCTGGGCGGTCTGTGGAGTTGAAGTTAGCTTTAGGTTTAGATCGAAGGGCAATACTTTAGCTTGATTTCACTCACCTTGGGCTCCATGAAAAGCGGGACACCAAAGTCGACTGCATTTCTACGCATGACGTAGTCCTCGTCAACCAGGCTGCTGGCCCTGGTCTTGGCCAGATTGAAGACACCGCGGATGTCGTACTTCTCGAAGACCTCACGGAGGGCACGCTTGTCCTCCTTGGGGAACTCAATGACCTCAACCGAGACGCCATCGGCTTTGGAAGTCTGCTCGAGGTGGTTCTTGACCTCGTTGTTGGCGGCGTACAGCTTGTAGCCCAGCGGGGCAAGGTAGTCAACAATCTGGGTGAGCTCAGGCTTGGTAATGTCACCACCAAAGAGGAGGCCCTCGCCAGGCTCGGGCACGCGGAAGTTCATCATAGACTGAACGGAAGTCCAGTATGCCTCAACCAAGTCCTTGCCGAAGCAAGCCATTTCGCCGGTACTGGCCATCTCGACGCCGAGGTAGGGATCAGCGCCGGCAAGACGGGTCCACGAGAACTGAGGCACCTTGGTAGCGACGTAGTCACGCTTCTCAGCCATGAGGTCAACCGGCTCAGGAACGTCGGTGGCAAGGAGAGCCTTGCTCGCGACATCAATGAAGTTGGTACCGAGGACCTTGCTGACGAAGGGGAACGAACGAGAAGCGCGGAGGTTGCACTCAATGACCTTGAGCGAAGCCTCGCCGCCTTCGGGATCATCGGCCTTGATGATCTGCATGTTGAAGGGACCGGTGATGTTCCAGGCCTTGGCCACCTTGTCCGCGATCTCCTTGCAGCGGTCAAGAATCGACTTCTCGAGGCTGACAGGGGGAAGAACCAGAGTAGCGTCGCCAGAGTGAACACCAGCATTCTCGACGTGCTCACTGACAGCGTGGACGAGAACAGAGCCGTTGCTGGCGACCGCATCAACGTCGATCTCCTGGGCGCCCTCGATGTATTGCGTAATGACGACGGGGTGGTCAGGAGAGACGTTGCTGGCGGCAGTGAGCTTTTCTTCCAGCTCGCCTTCAGTGCGAATGACAGTCATGGCAGCACCAGACAGGACATAGCTAGGGCGGACGAGGACGGGGTAGCCGACGTTCTGGGCGAACTGCTTGGCCTCCTCGAACGAAGTAAGCTCCTTCCACTTGGGTTGGTCGACTCCAATGGAGTCCAGGATCTGCGAGAACTTGTGCCTGTCCTCCGCCTTGTCGATGTCGTTGGGGTCGGTGCCGAGAACATTGGCCTTGCCAACCTCCTGCAGCTTGAGCGCAATGTTCTGCGCGAGCTGACCTCCCGTGGAGACCACAACGCCGCTCGCGGCTTCCAGGTCGTAAATGTCCATGACGCGCTCGTAGCTGAGCTCTTCGAAGTACAGTCGGTCGGCGATATCGTAATCAGTGGACATAGTCTCCGGGTTGTACTGTTTCGTGTTAGCATGATAGTTCCTTGAAAGAAGAGTTGAAGGAAAGCTGGGTTGACTGCTGAGACAAAAGAAAGTTGGCGAGAGCGAAGTAGCAAACGGTAAGAGGCGTAGAGGACAGCGTCCATGCAAATCGAGGGACTCAATAATGGCCTAGTCAAGCTCAGGGCTTGACTGGGCTGCAACGTTGTCGATGTGACGTTGCGATTTCTCATGGCGGCGAGGTCCAAGTAAACTTGCAAGGTACGCTCGCCAGCAAAAAAAAAAAGAAAAATTACAACAATCGAGTCCGTCGACCCAGCAGAAAAGAAAACAGTTGACCCAGCAAAAAAAAAAAAAGAACAAAATATACTCACGTTGATCATGACTGTCTTCTTACCCAGCTTGCTCAGGGACTGAGTAGCCATGCAAGCGGACCAATCGAACTCGACGGAGCTGCCAATACGGTAGACACCGCTACCAAGGACGACAACACCATGGTCATCAAAGGTGACGTCGTGGGTCGAGGCGTTGTAGGTGGTGTACAGGTAGTTGGTGTCAGCAGGGAACTCGGCAGCAAGGGTATCAATCTTCTTGACGAAGGGAGTGATTCCGAAGCTCTTCCTGAGTGCGCGAACCTCGTCCTCGGTGCTGTTGACAGCAAGAGCAATCTGCTTGTCAGAGAAACCAAGCTTCTTGGACTTCTGGACAAGCTCCTTCTTCAAACCGGAGAGGTTGCCAATCTCCTTGAGCTCATTGGTGCAGTCAACAATGTTCTGCAGCTTGTACAAGAACCATTTGTCAATCTTGCTCAGCTCGTGAATCTTGTCAACGCTGTAGCCCTCGTGGAACATGGCCTGTCCGACGGCGAGCCATCTCCTATCCGTGGGGTTGGCGAGAGCATCGTCAAGGTCCTCGAACTTGTCGCCCTGGAAACCCAGAAACTTGGGGTCAACCTGACGACAAGCCTTCTGGAAGGACTCCTCGAAGGTCCTACCGATAGCCATGACCTCACCAACAGACTTCATAGAGCTTCCAATGTCACGCTTGACGTTCTGGAACTTGCTCAAATCCCAACGGGGCATCTTGGTGACAATGTAGTCCAGCGAAGGCTCGAAGTTGGCGGTAGTAGTCTTGGTAACAGCGTTGGGGAGCTCAGGCAGGGTGTGGCCAAGACCAATCTTAGCAGCGGTGTAGGCCAGAGGGTAGCCAGTGGCCTTCGAGGCGAGAGCAGAAGAACGAGAGAGACGAGCGTTAACCTCAATGACCCTGTAGTCGAGGCCATCAGGCTGCAGAGCGTACTGCACGTTACACTCGCCAACAACGCCGAGGTGACGGACGATCTTGATGGAAGCGGAGCGGAGCATGTGGTACTCCTCGTCGCTGAAAGTCTGACTGGGGGAAACGACGATGCTGTCGCCAGTGTGGACACCAAGGGGATCGAAGTTCTCCATGTTGCAGACAGTGATGCAGTTGTCGCTGGCATCACGGACGACCTCATACTCGGCCTCCTTCCAGCCCTTGAGCGACTTCTCGACCAGGATCTGGGGAGACAGGGTCAAGGACCTGGCAGCCAAGTTCCTGAGCTCCTCCTTGTTGTTGGCAAAACCAGAGCCCAGGCCACCCAGAGCGTAGGCAGCACGGACAATGATGGGGTATCCGACCTTTTCCGCAGCATCCAAAGCCTCGTCGATGGTGCCGACGGCGATTGACTCGGCAATGGGAATGTTGATCTCACCGAGAGCCTTGGCAAAAAGGTCACGGTCCTCACTGGTCTCCAGAGTCTTGATGCTGGTACCAAGCACCTTGACGTTGTAGCGCTCCAGGACGCCCATCTTGTTCAACTTGACACCCAAGTTCAGAGCAGTCTGGCCACCGAAGCTGAGGAAGATGCCGTCGGGCCTCTCCTTCTCGATGACGTACGTCACATATTCGGGAGTAACGGGGAGGTAGTAGATCTCGTCTGCGAGCACATGGGAGGTCTGGATGGTAGCAATGTTGGGGTTAATGAGGACCGACTTCACGCCGGCCTCCTTCAGGGCCTTCAGGGCCTGGGAGCCTGTGGAGGGAGCATGTTAGGCATTGGCCCGTGGCGGACAAAGGACAACTTACCAGAGTAATCGAATTCTCCGGCTTGACCAATACTGAGACCACCACTGCCAATAACCAGCACCTTCTTGACGTCCACGAGGTCCCTAGCGCCAGCAATGGCACCGCTGTTCAGGTAGGCCTGGGCGTTGGGAGCCTCGGCGGTGGAGCGGAGGGCGGCAAGCCTGGAGAAGGCGCGAAGCTGCTGGGTCTCAACCCTAGGCGTCTGACCCTTCCTCAGCGAGAGGAGGGGCTGCGCAGCGCTTGCGGTGAAGCAGCGAGCAGAGACGGGAGAAGTTCCCACGCGGCATTGGCGAAGGAGGTTGGGCGCACGACGCGCCAGCCGACCGGACAAAGCCATTGGACCAGGAATTGGGGCGAGGATGATGAGGCCAGTCAAGGCTCTTCAAGCCTCAGCTCAGAGATGGTGGTGGACGTGTGTGCGGAAAGAGCTTGGGGGATGGCCGGCACGCGGGAAGCAAAAACTAAAGCGCGGGACCTGGCGATAAGTGATAAGGGCGGCCGGGGTCAGGCACGCCTCTGCTCGGCGGTGACGTTATCGAAATTGGCGCGCACACTCGGTCGGCAGAGTCAATGGCTTGGGAAACACGGGTTGGGCAGTGTGGAAGACGCTTTAGTTGATCGAGGCCTTCCACAGGTGGTCTGCAGCGCGGTCAGTCATCACGGCAATGGCAGCGGGCGGCAGCGGGCGGTGCGCACCAGAGATGTAGTCCTGCAGCAAGAAGAGTCAGCTTGAATGCCCCAACACATTTTTGCACATGCCGGCGGCCAGTCCGCGCGCGCGTAGGGCGTCAGGCTGCGCGGACTCGGTGCTTCTGCTGCTAGCGCGTCAGGTGGCACGTACCTGAGAAGTGAAGATGGTCACAGCAGCACGCATTCGCGGAGATGTGGTCGTTGTTGGCTCTGTGTGGGTGGGAGAGAAAGAAGAAGAGGAGGAGAGTGTTTGCGAACAGATGAGTCAAGAAATAGCTAGCGATTACGCCTGCGATGGTGTCGGTGCGGGCCAAGTGGGAAATAATTTTGGCTGCCCGAACATCGGACGCGCTATCGAGCCCTGAGCCCCTCCCGCAGACTTTTGCTCGTCACGGCCCGTGGGTCCAATGATGGCATGCGGCGCAGGGCCCGTCAGGAAGACGAATAATCATCGACCCTCTCACAACCCGACTGTGGGGTGTCGCCGCTGCTGCTGTTGCTGCTGCTGCTGCTGCTGCTCCGTGCTGTGCAATTGCGCACCGGCAGATCTCTAGCATCGTTGGTGTGTGCGTAGCCGGGTGTCCACAAATTCCGATTACGCCCCTCCGTCGCGAGGCCGCCGGAGATCATTTTATCATATTCACATTGTCATCGTGAGCTGCGCTCTCGGGCACTAGGCGCACAATGCCGCTATCTACTTCCTGCCCTGACGCTTCCCTTTGGCCTCTTTCAGCTGCGCCTGCTTCGCCTCCTCCGCTTTCATCCTGTCTTTGTACTCGCGCGGGCTCTCCAGCTTCTCCTTCGGCTTGCTGAAGAAGCGTCCCAGCACCGAAGGCTGCGTCCACATCCCGACCCCCCCTTCCTTTGCCTTTGCTTCGGCATCTCTGTACTTTTGCTCGAGATCCCCGAATTCTGAACCTGTCTTGGCCTCGTATACAGTAGCCAGACCAGACTTTAACATCTCCAGCCCGACGTCTCTGCTAAAAAGCCCGTGACGAACGAAGACGGATGCCACTACGCGGTCATACTGATCGCGGCGATAGATGTATGCACGCACGCGTCGATTAAGTATATAGTTCTTGAGCCAGTCGTACGCCTCTTGAGAGTAGGGTTGAGCAGGGCGTCCAAAGTGCGCCATTTCGGGGGCGTCGATGCCAGCGATGCGGATGTGGATCTGGTTTTTCACGTCAGAGCCGTCGAAAGCGAGACTGGGCTTCATACAGTCTTCGACATCAATTCTTTGCCGCTCGCGGGTATTTTCCTGCCTGGGAGCCAACCCCAGCCAGCTAACCTTCCGCCCGGGGTATGGAAGAGATGGAAGTTGTCTGCATCGCCGACCCTTGTCACAGTGCCAAAGAGGCTGCGCTCGCGGAAGAAGGCGGGTTTTATGTGGTTCACACTCGGTATGCGGCGCAGGTAGGACTTGTAGACGCGGACGAAGAAGAGGGTTGTCGCAGTCAGTAAGAGGGTCGGAATGACTTGGCGCGGCTCAGTGTAGTGCTGCCAATCAATGGCATTGAGGTTCTCGTTCCATTTTGAGACAGGGCGCCTGGAATCGTCGGACGAGCCCGATCCAGGCCAGCGCATGGTTGCGCGGTATGGGAGAAGAGGTGGGCGTTGATAAACAGAGCGGAGCCAGGGCTGCCAGCTAAGGTTATCTGTAGCCGAAGGCGGTGGCTGACGCTAACTCCGTGGCTTGCTATCAATTCTCAACCCCTCATTCGCTCTCCACTCTCGCTGTCTCTGCTACGCCAGATCATGTGAATTGGCGTTACGACGTCGCGATCCCTGCTGGTTCAAGGCGCTGTGTCTCCTCGCAACCTTCAACCAATACTTCTCCTGCTCACACGCGATACCCTTGAAATGCTCATGGAAGACTCGACCAAAGACTGTATTCGGCTAAATTGCCTCTCTAGGGTTAGTGGGAATCGAGCTCTTCGCGCCTGTCTGATTTGCGAGAGCCATTTGCAGACTCGACATCACCACAGAGCTGCGACTTCAGAAGAGCAAGAAGAAATACCTCAACGTCAGGCTCAGCTGGGCCGTAGCCATGCCGACCAAGGCCGAGCGCAAACAGTTGGATGCAACACTGGCTGCTTTCCACTCTAACTATGCCTCTCCCGCAAACTGGGGAAATGAGAGATGGCATGGCTCACTTTATCCAGCCCTTGCCAAGCCTACTCGTTACGCTGCCCTGGTGAATCACTATGTTCCCCGTTCCGAATTCGACAAGGTTCTCGCCACGATTTCGGAACAAGAAACACAGACAATCCAGCTTCCAAAGGTGCCATCAGACTCGGCAGAAAATGCAACAACAACACCGCGGATATTGCTTTTCGAACACGTTACCCCGGTTGTAGAAGAAGACGGCAAGAAGCAGGACGCAGTCTTCCTCTTCCCTCCCCCGCAGCCCATTCCCACCCCATCAAACGGCGGGAAGGACCTCTTGTCGCACTGGAACATGGACGCCGCCTCTGCCCTTGGCGCACACATGCTCTCCGTCCAGCCCAATGACCGCGTCCTCGACCTCTGTGCCGCTCCTGGCGGCAAGTCTGTAGCGCTGGCCCAAATGATCTTCCCGCACCTGCACGCCACTGGTGCCTCCTCCTCAACGCCGACCCAACCCACCGGCTGCCTCCACTCCAACGAAATCGACGCAGGCCGCAACAAGCGCCTTGCCGCAAACCTGCGTGCCTACATCCCAAGCTCACTCTTCGACAGCGGCGCAGTACGAGTGCTGCGTCTGGACGGCGCCGATGGGGCGCGCACCGTGGCGAAACTGCCGTGCGGTGTGGGCGGCTACGACCGCGTGCTGCTGGACGCACCGTGCTCTTCGGAGCGTCATATCATCCACGCGCACGTCAAAGCTGCTGCCGGAGGTCGGATTTCGGATGACATGGCACGGTGGCGTAAGGGGTCGAGCAAGGCGCTAGCGAAGCTGCAGGCGGAGCTACTAATGACAGCGTTGCGGGCGGTGAAGGTGGGCGGGAGGGTCGTGTATTCGACGTGCTCTATTGAGACGGGCGAGAACGATGGGGTCGTGGAAAAGATGCTAGCGGCGGTAGAGAAGGAGAGGAAAAAATTCGGGTTGTCGTGGGATGTGAGATTCGAGCTGGGAAGCTTGCGAAAGAAGGGGGAAGAGGAGGCTGAAGTGGATGATTCATTAGAGAGGCTGACGGAGGAGACGAAGTATGGCAGGATTGCCGTCCCCGATCACCCTGGTGGTGGCCAGTGGGGCCCGCTATTTTTCTGCGTCATCACGAAGGTGGCACGGAAACCTTAAGAGGGACGGCCTGCTGCCGACACCACATGGCGAATCGGAGACTAAAAGAAAAAGATTTTAAGACCAATAACGAGTAGTGTACACTTCAAAGAGATGATGTATCTACAGCTCAGTCGACATTGATGCACACCTTGCCGATGTGCTGGCCGCTCTCCAAGTATTCGTACGCCTTCACAACCTCATCTCTCGTAAAACCGAACGTCTTCTCCACCGGAACATTAAGGCGCCTCGCACCCACGAACCTGACCACATCCTCCAGCATCTGCGTAGAACCGATAATGATTCCTCTCACGACCGCACTCTTACCCAGAGCCAGCAGAGCGACGTCTGGCATCTCGGACTGCGGGATGCTGGCCAGAAAGCCAATGACGGAGATGATGCCACCCATGGCGATGGCTTCGATGCTCTGCTTGATGGTGCCGGCGCCCCCGTTCTCGAGGATGAAGTCGACGCCGTGTCCGCCAGTGATGCGCTGCGCCTCGACGGCCCAGTTGGGCGTCTTCTTGTAGTTGATGACGTGGTCGGCGCCGTATTTGGCCTGCACATACTTGAGCTTCTCGTCCGAGGAGGAGGTGATGATTGTCGTGGCGCCCGCGGCTTTGGCGAGAATGAGGCCTGTGATGGAAACGCCACCTGTGCCTAATCTCGGGGTCAGCAACATCCCTTCTTCTCAAAAGAAGACAATATGAGTGGAGACGACTCACCTTGGAACAAAACTGTCTGACCAGGCTTCAGGGGAATGTTACCGTACAGCGAGTTCCACGCCGTGACGCCTGTGCACACTAAACTCGCCCATTGAGCGTGGCTCAGCGAGGAGTCCTTTGGTACCTTGACCACCGCTTCAGCGGGGAGGACGATGTACTGCCTCAGCACTCCATCGACGGGACCACCCTGGCCGTTGTTCCAGTCGCGCTGGGGGCCATAGAGGTTGGTCGGATCGAAGGTGCCCACGATGGTGTCGCCTTTGGCGATATTCCTGGAGACGGCGCTGCCAACCTCGACAACCTCGCCCACCGCATCCGAGCACGGGACGACCTTTTCCTTGACCGGGAAGGGGTATGTGGACTTGGAGATGGCGAGGTCACGGTAGTTGAGCGCGACGGCGCGAACGCGGATTAGGACTTCGCGGTTACTGATGGTGGGGATGTCCTCCTGGAAGGTTTGGAGCTCGTGGTAGGACTCGCGGTTGCCGGTTAAGCGGAAAACTTGCTGTGAAGGCATCTCGAGGTGGTTGAGGGAGTATTGATGCTCAGTGGCTTGTGGGTTAAACGCAGTGACGATCTGTTGCAATCTATCGTTGGATAGAGGTAGGCTTTATACTTCAGCATCAGACAAAATTCTATCTTACCAAGAACCAGACGGATTCTGTGATTGCTAATCTATCATTACAAAATCCGGTGTTGATGCGCTGAGTCTCATACGGAGCTCGTGAAAGGGGAATCTACACTACGAGCTGGTGGCTACGTCAGTATGCTTATGCTAGCTCGGAACTACCTTCTAAACGGCATAGCCTAGGGAAAGTATCAGAGCCCTAGTGGTTGCCACGTCTTTCCTAACGAAAGACCAAGAGGTTTGAAAGAATTAGGGTGGAGAGGATACCTCCAATTTTCGAGCCAATCACAACGTTTAGCGCCGATTTCCTTCTCCAAATGTCTTACAAAGCAACCCCTAGTTCTCCAACTGACGAGCAAAGTCTCCAACAAAGTGCTCTGTTGCCTTTTTTTTTATAAAAAAAAAAATTGTGATTAGTATTCTTTGCTTTATTGATTGTTCATCAGTAGTGACTTTAGCGTCTAGCAATGCTGATGAATCTACATACATTTAGTGCATCAACGGAGGTCATTGCGTATCTCATGCTAGTGGACGTTGATATCGGTGCATGTGATCATCACGGACGGCGGCTTATCTATCATCTACTGCACCCCCGGGCTTCAAGCATGATGGATTTAATCGTTTCATCTCACAGTTTCCTGCGACCCGACAGTTGTATGTGTGGAACCCCGAGATCTTTATGTTGAGCTATTAACAACTGTGAAACAAGTATAGTTTCTTAAATGATTGCCAAGTGCATCTCGAAGTAATTAAAATGCTCAGAACTCTTAACTTGTGGTCTCAGAACGATTATCATGAACGATTGCTTTCATGCAGAAGCCGCTCTAATCATCAGATGTTGGGACACTCATAATTCAAGTGTATACATCGAGGTTAAGGGATGTGAAGAGGAAACATTGCTCTAGGCTGCTTGTGTAGTTGGCTACCTCTCCTCCGTGAGATATCTTGTCCAAAGATGTATCGCCTGGTAGTATCAGCTTGATAGCGAAGAGCCAAACAGAGGTGACAATGGTTGCTTGTTGGAAGATACACGGAACAGTTGAAGATTAGCTACGACGGAAGCTACGTCGAAGACCCTCTGTCAATGGCTTGGTTCGGGTCAGCGGTGTTGTCACTACTTTTGACGGAAACTCACGGAAGACTCAAAGATGAAAGTCTAGTTGATTAAGTTCTTTGACTGGTATATCTGGATTTGGATGACTAACGCCATCGGCGAACACACAAAGACGCCGAGAAGGGAGCAAACAAGCGCGGCTGCTAGTCGTGGCTTACCAATCCTACGACAGCATTTATGTTTCCTTATATGCCGTAGTCTTCACAGCTTTCGCTTCAGATATACGACAACCACGTGCCCCTTTGTTGCATTTTTCATACCTACGTCAACGTGGAAATACAAGTCGTCTTTCCTCACAACCGAAAATGGCAGTGTCTGAAACGGTCAGCGTGGCCGACGACTCGGAGCTCATCTACGAAAAGCTGGATCTCGTCATCGACGGCGTTAAAGTCCAACTCTCTACTGTCCGGCGTTCTACCAGCACGCGTCTCGCACCTATCCTCTTCCTCCACGGCTTCGGTTCTACGAAAGAAGACTACGTCGACCTTGCATACCACCCCTCCTTTGTCGACCGGCCATTCATCGCCTATGACGCGCCCGGCTGCGGGTCGACGTACTGCTCCGACCTCTCTGCGATCAACATTCCTTTCCTCGTCCAAACTGCGGTGGCCGTCCTCCAGCACTTCAGCATACCACGCTTCCACCTGGTCGGTCACTCGATGGGCGGGCTCACCGGCCTCGTTCTTGCCTCGCAGGCCTCCTCGACAAACGTCTCGGTCCTCTCTTTCTGCTCTATCGAAGGCAACCTCGCGCCCGAAGACTGCTTTCTCTCGCGTCAAATCGTCACGCACGACCACGCCGACGCGGCGACTTTTCTATCCCTCTTCGTCGAGCGCGGGCGGCGATCTCCCGCTTTCTCGTCCGCACTTCATGCGGCCGGTGTGCCACAAAAGGTGCGGGCCGGCGCCGTGCGCGGTATCTTCGAGTCCATGGTTCGTTTTTCGGACGACGAAGACCTGATGGGCTGGTTTCTGGGTCTGTGCTGCCCGAAGATGTTCATGTATGGCGAGCGCAACAAGGGGTTGACGTACCTACCAAAACTGGAGAAAACAGGGCAGGTGGAGTTGGCTGAGGTGCCGCTTTGTGGGCATTTTCCAATGTACAGCAATCCGGTTGAGATGTGGAAGAGATTGGGAGCCTTCTGGGAGGCGACGGGGGTTTGAGGGCTGTTTGCTTGGATTGTGATATAGACCCGAAGAAATCGGATTATGGCATCGGCCTTGTGAATCGAATTTGTAGATTTATTTTTTTTCTTGTTCCGAGCGACGAGAACTAATGAGATACTGGATCAAGTTTGATAGTGACTCATCCTTGTTCGGAGGCGTAAATGCGGTAGGAAGCGAGACATGTGAGAGCTTTGTAGGAGAAACAATTACGGAGGCAATGAACTGATGCGCAGATGACATGACCTTAGATGCCATGTTCGGTCTAGCGCAGCGTCGGGGAAAGGAAAAGGACGCCGACAGCGGCGCCGACGATTCTCCAGGCCGAAGCTCTTCAGGCGGAAGGAACCACATCGTTCCCACATCTCTGACCACGCCCTGCGACCCTCCGGTTAAGTGACACTGCGCCGGTGACCATGTCCGACGCCGGCGACAGACGACAAGCGCTCCGAGCGGGCTCTGCGTCGCACAAGTACAGAGCCGGCATTCTGGCAAACAAGCCGAGGACGAAGCCAGTCGCGTGAGTGCTTTCCCAATCTGCTACGCCTCCAGCCGACTGATTGCTGCAGATGCCGCCGCTGCCATGCACGCAAGGTCAAGTGCTCGGGCGGCAAACCGTGCACCAACTGCAGACAGCTCGAATGCCCTGATGATTGCGTCTACCCCGCCCGCGACCGCCAAGTGCGAGTGAGCCAGAAGTGAGCACATCGTGGACGTCTCGCCGTCTCAGTCTTAACCCTCGCCAGTTACATCGAGGAGCTGCTGGAGGAGAACGAGCGCCTGCGCGAGTCAAGCCACTCCTCCACTACCCTTCCCACCCCCAACCCAACCACTGCCCCCGAGAATGAACAGTCTGCCGATGCCTCTGAGAACGACGAGACTGTGCGCAACCCTTTGCTCGAGGACCGCGCCTGGTTCTTTCCCATGAATACGTCCGAGATGCCCATCCACATTGGCGAGGCAGCCGACGCCGCCTTTGCAACACGCTTCCGCCAGGCCCTCTCCGACACGCCACACAGGCACATTCCAAGAACCCACTACGTGACTGATGAGGAGCTGATGGCTCTGACCGACATCGACTGCCAGTGGCCCACTGCCCCGCGCGCTCGCTTCCTGGTCAAGGTTTCTCTCAACACCATCTGCCAACGCTTCCATGCCGTTCGCAAGAGTGCTCTCCTTGACGGCCTCGAAATGGCAATTCGCAATCCTACAGGCTGCGACGAGCTTTTCAAATGCAAGCTTTGGGCCATGTTTGCCTTGGGAGAGGTCTTCTCCACTCGCACCGTCTCTGCCCAAGGCTTTTTCCCAGGCCTGGTTTACTTCGCCCGTGCGAGCAGGATGCTACGCGTAGTAGGCGAACGCCCAAGGATCGATTCGATCGAGATACTGCTTCTGCTTGTAAGATCTGTACCAATGCTTCTCCGTGCCTATTTCAGCTGACCTTCTTTGGCTTCAGTCGTTCTATTCTCTGACCGTCAACAGGCGCCATGCTGCATACTACTTGGCAAGCTCTGCAGTGCGTCTGAGCATTGTCATGGGTTTGCATTTAAGTGTGCCAGAACACCAGCTGAGTGATAGAGGTGCGCGAGAGCACCGTCATCGTATTTGGTGGACAGCATACATCTGTGATCGAATGTGGGCCTCGAAGCTCGGCCAACCTGCGTCTATCCTGGATGATGACATTGAAGTCGACCTGCCATCCAGTGAGGGACTGACAGGTCCTCAGGCCAGGGATTTCGGCGACCCGGATTACATCATTGCAAGCATACGCTTAGCCAGACTGGCCACGCATATCATTGCCTCGATATACAAGAGAAAAGGGCAGCACGGAGCCTTCTCCCAAAGGGTCCAGCAGGCGTTGCGAAACTTGAGGAGTTGGGTCGAAGAGCTGCCGAGCCATCTGCAGCTCGACACGGAGGAGTCTTTACAAGCAAAGTCAAAGCCCATTATATACTTACACCTATCTTTCAACCAGGTAAGCCCCGTTGCCGGAAGTCTATGTCTACTCTGTTATCTAATTCGCCAAGTTTGTCGTTCTTGCAACGCGACCCATTCTCCTGCACGTTTTCCGCACATATCGAGAATCTTTACGGACGCCGGCAAGCTCACCAACGCCAATCCCCGAAACAGCCCTCGCTCTCGCAGAGGCCTGCATCCGCTGCGCGCGGCATTCCTATCGTCTGCTCACCGAATCTTGGATCGACGGCGCCTTCGCCACCTTCGGCTACTTCGACACGCAGTATCTTTTCTCGGCCGCTACGATCCTAGCCATCTCGAGTTTCCTGAACAGCAAAGATGCACAAAGCGACGGGGATCACTTCGAAACGGCGGCGCAGTTCCTTGGCCAGCTGGAGCAAAACGGCAACTTCGCAGCCAAGGAGTTCTGCCGGCATATTGATGCTATGCGACGGATCATGCAGGAGGCGCGCGGTACTGAAACGTATGCTGTCAACCCATCTGCGCCACAATCCTCTGCAGCCGCCGGTGTAGTCCAAGGCGAGGAAGTCCAGTATACGCCGGGCTCAATGGTGACGGCGGGAATGGCGCTGGCAGAGCCGTCGTTGCAAGAGTTCCTGTCCCAGCCGGATATCGACTTGAGGTTTATCGATACATCGATATACGATGGAGGGCTGCAGAGCTTGTATTGGCCCGAATTGCGAGGTGAGGATTGGATGGGAGGCGGTCCTTGAAGGGGTACAATGTCGGCTCTCCCCCACCTTTAAGGGGGACAGAATCATGGATTATGTCTGCGTCCGCTCACGAGCCAGCTACTTCTGACTGTACGTTTGTTTTCTTCCACAGTCGTTTCTCCATCCAATTCTGCATTTGCAGTCCATATTTGGCCGTCACAAGCGTGAGAAGGCCACCCGTGAGCACAAAGGCCGCACCTGTATACTCGTCAGCAAGCACTCCTGATGGAAAAGAATACGTCCTTACTAATTGTGTTCGTCCACCCAACTCCGACTGCATCAATCATGGGCACGCTCGTCCCGCTGGCCGCAGCCGAGAAGGAGTACTGAATGCAATACTTACTCGCGATCACGTTCATGCGCCGCCTCGGCATGACTTCCGCGCAATACGTGTTCAAGCTGGCAAAGGCCGCCAACAAACCGGCAGCGGTGAAGAAAGCCAAGACAATGGGCAACGGCAAGCCGCCTTTTTCGAACTGCAGGCACCAACCGTAGATCAAGCTGGCAGCGGGCACGACGAAGAAGAAGGAGACCATGCCGGCGTTGAGACGGTCCTGCGGCACGCGCACGCCGTCGCGCCGCCGTATCCATTTGCGCACCGTGTGGTCGGAGAAGCGGCCGCCGATCATGGTGCCGGTCAGGAAGCCGGCGGCGGGCGAGAGGTAGAAGAGGCCGGCGACGAGCGGCGACGTCAGGCCGAAGCGGGTGACGATGATGTGGCGCGGGGCCGAGAGCAGGCTGTACTGCGACCAGCTCAGCAGGCCGCAGGCGACGTCGGTGAAGAGGATGTTTGGGTGGGCGAAGAGCGAGAGCACGTTGGAAGGGTCGAAGGCCCGGAGCATCTGCGCGACCGTCATGGTGCCGTAGCCCGGGGCGTCGAGCGTGGCGCTGTACGGGATGCCGGCGAGCGAGAGGATCAGCCCGGAGCCGCACATGGCGGCTTGCAGCCAGAGGATGGTGCGCCAGGACTTGTACGTCACCATGATGCCTGCGACGAGGGGGCCCAGGGGCGGGCCGAGGACGGTGCCCGCGAGGAAGAAGCCGGTTGCTGTGCCGCGTTGGACCTGAGGGGGTGTTGTCAGCGGATTTTTAAGTAGTACTGGAGGTCACTTTTGCTTACAGGAGGGAAATACTCGGCCAGGATGACCTGGCCGGAGACATGGAAGTAGGTGCCAGACAGACCGGACAGCACGCGCATGGCGACAAAGGTCTGGAAGTTGGGCGCCAAGGCGGTGCCGATGGTGAAGAAGAAAAGCATGACGATGCACATGTTGTACGAGACCTTGCGCCCGACGATGGTCCCGATGGGGCCCCAGATGAAGGTCGAGAAGCCCATGGCCAGGAGCACGCCGGCGTTGGCGACGTTGATGTCGGCGGTGCTCACGTCAAAGGTGCTGGCCACCTCGTTGGCGGCCGAGAAGAGCGAGGTCGAGCTGAAGGTGGCGGCCAGCGTCACCCACGAGGTCACGAAGACGATGAGGCATTTGCGCCAGAGCGGATAGGAATAGTTGTGGTTGGTGTTGGACTCGAGCTTGCGGAGGGCAGATTCGAGTTCCGACGGCTGTGGTGGTGATGGTGCGGCGGTGGCGGCAATGGGTGGGGTGCTGGTTTTGGATTCTTCTTCGTACTCTTCAGCAGGCTCGGCGGGAGACACTATGGACGGCGGCGATGATGACGCTGCCTCTTCGGCCTTGCGTGGGTTGTTCGACGCCATGTCGTTTTAGGCAGGAAGAGCCAAGTGATTAACGGAATAGATCCCGTGAAGCTTGCCATTTCTTATGCTTGAGGCTCTCGCTCTTATTATGTATGCTGAGCCTTTTTCGACTTTTGACTCACATCATTCGTACCTTGGATGTTTGTGGGCGCAGGATCCACTTCTTTCTTCCTTGGAAGACGTGACTCTGGTACTTCGGCGTTGCGTACCCGATGCCGCGGCGAAATGGGCACAATACACCGAAGGGTCCCTGGCCCATTAACCAGGAGCAAAGAATGTACGTCTTTTGCGCCATTTTCTGGAAAGCAAGGGAGGACATGAGGAAGTGATTGGGAAAGAAAAGAAGAGTCGTCGAAGAAGAGGACCCAGCCCGGGTTTCTGACGATGTGCGTGAGGTCAGAAGACCATCAACCCCTCCCTCCCTGAACCAAAGGGAGCGAAGAGAAGCATGATGGTTACACAGTCCTTATATCATACAGTCTCTAGCATACACTGCGTTCGCAAATGCCTAAAAATTAGGCGCAAACGGTGACGATCCGCTTCGCTCACGCAGGGAAAAACGACAGGTGCATAAAAAGCGTGAGTGGTGCTCTAAAAGATTGATTGCATGATCTAATTCGACCAATGGTGTGAGCGGGCCACGACTTCGTAAGTAAATTAATGCGTGCGGCAATTTGAACCACAGAATCTCCCCTACCCTCTTGGAAGCCATTGCGCGAGGCATACTCGAGCTTGCGAATGATTTCCTTGGTGGGTTCTGGTAGCCATTTGATCCTTCGGGATCTGGATATGGGGCTTAGGCGTGCGGGGAGCAGCTTCTTGGGTTTGACTAAGCCCCTTCAGTACGGATCCATGACGCCACCAACAATGCCCTCGACCTCACCGCCCTACAGCCGCCGCTGAAGGAAGCTTTGCACTCTGGTCCTCGTAAAAATTACACGTGTTCTAGGCCAGACACCACAGTCCAAGCCACTGCACCATGGCGGAGCTGCCAAGGTCGCGCAATGGCGCAGCGATCCTTCCGCTTACAGTTACACCGCTAGGCGACCGTTTGCTATGCATGTACATACGAGGCGGAGTTCACCAGTTGCAACAGTCTTTGGCCGTAAGATTGTCTTATAAGCAGCTGCTGCCGCATTGAAGCAGACCATCCATCTCGCCGGGTACATCCAGCAGCAATGCATCCAATCAGTCTTTTCGCGCTAGCCGGTTACGGTACTATTGTCAGCGCAGCTTGGCCCCCAGCCCCTGATCAATTCGTGGCCGGAGCCACCACCCAAAACTGCCCTCTCGCCGGCCAGCTGTTCCCGCCGCCAACCAACCCCGAGTCCAGCGCTGCCCTCAGCGCCGCCCACGCAAGCCTAACGAGCCAACTTGACGCGGCGCTGACGTCCGGGGCCGTTCTTCCGCTCAACATCACTATAAACGACACTTTCTTCTCCATCGGTGTTTTCTCTGCCGATGCCACTCTGTTCGACTATCACTATGCCGTGCCTGGCCAGGAGAACGCCACAGCCGAAGGCAAGGTCGACAGCGACACTGTTTACAGAATTGGCAGCATCTCCAAGCTGTTGACAGTCTACACGCTGCTGGTTGAACGCGGCGACGTTGACTGGAACCAGCCAATCACGAAATTTATCCCCGAGCTTTCTGATTCCACCGACGATGATGATGAGGATGAGTTGGGCAAGGTCAGATGGGAGGACATTACTGTCGGTGCCCTCGCTTCTCAGATGGCCGGCATAGCGCGAGACTGTAAGATTCCCCATCCAAGGCGGCCTCGGCGCCTGCTGACCTCGTTCTAGATGCTTGGCCGGACCACGCGACAAACTTCACAGAAGTGCCTCTCCTAAAGTCGCTCCTGGGAGTGAACTCATCAGCCATCCAGCCCGATGACATTGCGCCTTGTGCCCTTCCAGTCCAGGGAGCGACCGAGCTCACTCTTTGCACGCGCGAGGGTATGTGCCCCATATAGCCACAAAACCATTGACTGAGCAAATCCAGAGTTTTTTCATGGACTGAACAAGCTGGGCCCCTACTTTCCCGCGTTCGAGTCTCCTGTCTACTCCAATGCAGGCTTCCGTCTTCTCGGCCACGTCATCGAAAACATCACTGGCGAGGCTTTCCATGAAACCTTCCAGCGCAACCTGATTGATTCACTTCAACTCAATTCCACCTCCATCACCGCCCCAGAGGATGAAACCCACGCAGTCATCCCTGGCAACAAGCTCTCGGCCCAATGGGGCATCAGCCTTGGCGACGAGGATCCGGCCGGCGGCTTCTACTCCAGTCTCTCCGACCTTACCGCCATCGGCCGCTCGATCCTCAAGTCGTCGCTCCTCTCCCCGGCCCAGACGCGGCGATGGCTCAAGCCGCACTCGCGCACGTCCGACGACAACGCCGCCATCGGCGCGCCCTGGGAAATCTCGTCGTTCCGCATCCCGCTGACGGCCAACGACACCACGACGACGCGCATCGACATCTACGCCAAGAGCGGCGCGCTCGGCCGGTACCAGAGCTTCATCGCCCTCGACCCGGACCGCCAGTGGGGCTTCGTCGTGCTGGGCGCCAGCCCGTCGCCGGCCGTGCCCGTCTACTACGTCGGCGACGTCGTCAGCCGCATCTACGGCCCGGCCTTCGAGGCTGCCGCGCGTGAGGAGGCCGCTGCCAACTATGCCGGCACCTTCGTCGCTCCTGACGGGAATAGCACCCTCACGCTGGCCCTGCAGCCGGACCGCCCGGGCGTCGGCGTCGTCCAGTGGACCAGCAACGGCGTCGACGTGCTGAAGGACGCGCCCGTGCCGAGGGCAAAGCCCGCCGACGGCCGCAGCCTGAGCGTCCGCTTGTACCCGGCGCGGCAGCGCACCCGCAACAAGGTCGCCTTCCGAGCGCTGTTCGAGTCGCTGCCCAGCTCCACCCTAGGCGGGCCCATGGAGAGTGCCTGCATCACGTGGTTCACCGCGGACTCTGTGCAAATTGCTGATAGGATGCTGGACGATGTGGTGATCGGGGTCGACGAAGAGACGGGCAGGGCTGAATGGGTCGAATTTCGGGCTTGGAGGATGAGGTATGAGCGAGTGTAGGTTTTTTTTTTTTTTTGGTTGGGTCATGAGTGATCACGCGTTATAATGGCTTATTATCAGCTGGGGGGAAGTGTCGTCGGGTATAGATGGGGTGTTTTGACTTTCCGATTAGAAAGATGTATTATTGACTCTTATTATTGCTAACCCAGAAATGAATAGACAATCAGAAGTTTTGCTCCATTGAAAATGTTACTATGTAATGAGTGAAGCTTTGATTGAATGACTTTTGAGAACACTTCGGTAACCTCTCGAAAGCTTCGCACTGATGCAAGAGTGAGCACCAAGACGAGGACCTCTGAAGTGCAAGCCAGCTATATCATAGTAGTTTTATATCAAGATAGCTGAAGTCCAGCGACTACGTCTCTGCCCCCATTTTATGCTTCACTGTCCGCTGAAGCCTCCTGTTTGAGTCAATAGGTACCACGCTCAATATAGAAATGAAAAACCGATCAATAGGGGTCGTCAAGGGACAGAAGTACCCTCAAGAGTCCCTACCCCCAGTTCCTACCCTCTCACTCCATCCCCCTCTCCTTCAACCGTATTATGTGCTTGTCCAAGCAGATGCCATACCTCCACAGAGTCCAGTCCATCATGTCGAGCGGACCAAGAGTTTTGTCAGTGCCAGGTCGACACCTCTTCACTACTTCAATGTCTGGAGCCACTCCAATCTTGTTGCGAATGATTTCCTGGACTTCTTCATAAGCTATCGGCAAAATTTGTGAGTTGCCACTTTCTAAGGCAACCCCAGGAAATCGAGGGTAAGCTTGCAATTGTAGACGTTGAAGGCGCCCGGTGTAGCGGCATATGATGGGGCAGCTGTCTAGGACGCTTAAGACTTCGTGGTAGGCTTCTGTTGTTTCGCCCCCTTAGCTCCCGACTTCGAAGGTGCCGTGGCCTTTTTAGGCTTTGTGGTGGTAGTTCCACTGGGCTTAGGCTTAGGCTTATCGTTTCCTGGTCCTGCCTTCGGAGATGAGGCTTCTGCTGGTCCTGCTTTTGGGGGTGAGACTTCAACTGGCCCTGGAGGTTGGGAATCCAGCCGCGCCGCCTTGCTCGGTCCTGCCGCAGGCGACTCTCCCTTCCTTTTGAGATTTGCACTGGTTGAAAAACCCAACCTTCTGCCGGTGGTTGTGTTGGCTGTTGATGAGGTGGGCGTCTCAGATCTCTCTCTCTTTAGCATGAGCTACGGAATTCGTCAGTTCTTGGTCTCAAGTCACAAAAGAGTAAGTCTCACCAAAGGAGATATCTCAAGTGTTTCAATGTACTGTTCCGCCGGCTGTAAGGCATTTTGGTTTGCGACATTTGACGTCTCTGAAGGTGAGATAGTGGATCTTTTGGGCGGATGAGCCGCAAGCCATTCGAACCAAGCCGGCATGTCCAGGCCACCGAGTGGAGATAGCTTCGAATGATTTTTGGCTGCCTTGAGCATTTCGATGGGGGGAAGGCTATCGTCTTGCGTGCGCCGTGATATGATGCACTGGAGGGCGTACCACTCCAACTCCGAGAGGTCTTCTTCCGGGTTAAGAAACTTTTGCACCACCGCATGCTCGAGCTCGCTCAGCATATTTGCAAAGCCGGATACGCCTGGAGCAGGCATCGTGGGAAAAGTGAGGAGAGTCCTGAGGCTGGGTGAGAATTTGCTGCGTACGTGATCGCAGGGCCGAAGCAAAGATGTGATGAGTGGGATGATCTGGTAAGTTGAAACTGAGCTCAGACGGCGGGGGTGTACGAAGAATGTGGTTCGCTCTACGAGAGAAGGTTGTAGAGATGACGAGGGTATGTGAAGGATGGGAAAAGAAAGAAACAATAAATAGACCTTATGCCCCGGGGTGGCCGAAGATCATCAACAAGGAAGGCGTCATTGGAAAGCAGTATTTCGAAGTAAACCACACTTGGCATTTTGGGTCAGATTAAGGGCTAATTCTATCTACCTTTTCACAGATTCGCCCTCTGTACGACTTCTTCATCCCTCCCCCAATGCGCCTCCACATCACTCACGCAGTCGTATGTCAATAACCAATCGCCCACTCCGCTGAACCTCCACGGAAATGGGTCGCTACCCTGTACGAGACCTAACGCCTTGGGATCCGGATTCTCCCCTCTTCTCTTCATTCCCTCAAACTCGTCCCAGGCTGCAAAAAGCCTATCTCTTTCTCTTTGCTCCTCTCCGTCATGGATATGGTAGAGGTGTTGCTGCACGTTTCCTCGCTGCACAACCCTCTCAGTGCGGTCCTTCCTGCACTTCTCGTACACTTTTAGCGCTCTCATCTTCTCCTCCTTGCTCTTGTTCTTGATCTTCGATAGACACAGACCAAGCACGCTTGCATCCTCCAGGCTCATGCCGGCGCCACTGGCCAAGTAAGGTAGTGTGGCATGAACGGCATCACCCAGGAGAACGAAAGCGCCGGACGGATCGGACCAGCTGGGCTCGAGCGTAGGACGGATGCACAGTCGCCACTTGTAAACGCTCTCGCAAAGGGCTAGCAGTTTCGGAATGCGCGGGTCCCAGTCCTTGTACAGGGCGCGCATCTCTTCGACATTTCCTTCCAGCGTCGTCGCCCCAGCCGGCATGTCATCCGGTACAAGCAGCACCATGTTGAAGAGCTCACCACCTCTCAGAACGTAGTTGACTGTTACAATACGTCAGAATTCTTCTATCCACACAGAGAAGTGATTTGGAAGACTCACCAGCATGCGCATCCGGCCCCATCCAATAATTCACTTGCGGATCCTCCACGAAGCCCCTCAACTCTGGGTCCTTCATCATCTCCTTGGTGCTCAGCAGCAAGCGGTAGGCTAGATCTCCCGTCTGCACCGGGGGATCCTCCCTACCGAGCAAAATCTCACGGCACCTGCTGTTGATACCGTCCGCGCCCACCACCAAATCCGCCTCCAACCGCTCACCTCCCTGCAACACGCACGTCGCCACCTCCCCATCCCCACCCACCACGACATCCACCACGCGCGCATTCACCCTCAACTCGGCGCCCAACTCGACCGCCCTCTCCAACAGACACGCGTGCAGGTTCGCGCGATGGAAGTCCCAAAACGGCGTCCCAAGGCCGGCCTCGTACTCGTGGAAGTCCATGGACGCGAGCTTGTTGCCCTTCCAGCCGATCATGTTGCAGCGGCGTGGCTGGGTGCAGTGGCGGGACAGCGCTGGCGCGAGGCCCCACGCCGTCAGGATGCGCGACGAGTTGGGCAGGCATTGGATGCCCGCGCCCACCTCGCCGATCTGAGAGGCGCTCTCGAGCACGACCACAGTGTGCCCGGCGAGCAGGAGGGCGATGGCCGCACCCAGGCCGCCGAGGCCCGCGCCGACGACGATGATCTGTGGGTTTGGTGTTAGGAGGGGGGGCGTGATCAGGCAAAGCAAAAGCAGCGGATGTTAAAGCTTACCTTGAGCTTAGACGAGGCGTCGCGCTCGATTGGCTCTTGAACGGTTGGCGGACCGGGAGCCATGGTGAGAAGAGAGAGAAAACACGCGGTAATGACCGAGAGCGTGGAGGAGGGGAGCGGTTCAAAGGACAATGCCTGGAGAAAGTTTGTTGTATCACTTGAAGTTCAAGGGACTATCGAGCTGAAATGGATGCTTTAGGCAGCTTCCGCGGCCTTGACATGGCATGCTTGCGGGTTGAAGGGTGGATGCAAGCAACAGTGGTGGCACTGCGGGAATAAGCTTCGTGCCCGCACATGCAAAGGGTGCACACAGCTTCCTCGTATCATTAGCCGGGTTGCAGCGGCGTAGGAGTGGCGCGGTTCGGGAAGCATGGTTGCGCAAGAGTGCAGGAGTGGGGTAAGATGGATGGGACGATCGGCCGTCGGATGCGGCCACCACCTTGGGTAGTCGCGTCGCCCAGCACACTCGACGTGGCGCGGGGGAAAAGGCAAAGTCGTGACCTTACAGATTGGGTCCAATTTCAAGTCTCATTCATTTTTGATTTCAGTGCACATTTGATTTTGCATGACAAACGCTGGGTATTGCTATAGAATGATCTCCGAGAGCTGCATATGACGACATCTGGATCAGAACATCTGAACCAAATCCGCTTCCGTAGTAACATACTTCATTAGATGAGATCTTGAGCCTTATGCTGCTTTCTTTGCTTCGTACTTTTTCATCACCTCCTCAATTGGCGCTGGCATCATCGCACCTGGAGCTGGCGTGTTCTTGCTCTTGAAATCATCGCACATCTGCTCCATCGTCACCCACTCCACGCCTTCGTGCTTATTGATATGCTCGATGATCCTGTCGCATCGTCAGAACCGAAGAAATGCTTGCTGTTGTTCGGGCAGTCTTACCTTTCATGCATGAGAAGGACGTGCGGCCGGCCGCTGACATCAGGATGGATCGTCATTGGGAAGACGAATTCATCGTACTCGCGGTAGAAATAGTCGAAGTGATCCTGATGGCCCCAGATTAGACGCAATCCTATTCAGTATGCTTGGCAGGCTACTCACCATCCACAGCTCCTCCACCACCTTCGGGCTGACCCAACCGTGGCTGTTCGGTGCGCCCTTGATGAACATCATGGGTGGCAGATCATCGATATACCAGCTACCAGGGATCTCGACGAGTCCGGTCTCCTTGCCACGCACCAATGGTTTCATCCACTCTTCGGCCTTCTTGGAGTAGTCGATCTTGGTCCACGAGTCCTCGGTGCGCAGCCAGTAGCACTGGTAATCACTGTGGCTCATGCTGTGGTCGTACTCAACGCCGTAGCTCAGCAGCAACTCGGTGCCCTCGCGGCTGACCTCCCACCACGGTGCGACGCTGCCGCGCGGTGGCTTGCCGCCGCAGAAGTCGGTCAGCATGCGCCACGTCTTGTCGAGCACGTCGCGCTGCTGTTCGAACGTCATGTCCTTGGGGTTCTCGTGCGTGTAGCCGTGCAGGCCGATCTCGTGGCCCGCATCGCGCACCGCCGCGCACTCTTCGGGAAACGTCTCAAGTGAATGGCCCGGGATAAACCACGTCGCCTTGATCTTGTACTTGTCGAAGAGCTTGAGCAGTCGCCGAATGCCGATCGTGCCGGCGAACATGCCTAGAAAAAGGGAGGCGTCAGAATGACAGACTACGAAAGGGATGCGCCGCTGCTTACCGCGACTGATGTCGCTCGTCGAGTCCTCGCCGCCGTACGAACCAAGCCAGCCGGCGACTGCATCGATGTCGACGCCGTAGCTAACGAGCACGCGCTTCTTGCCCATGGTTGGAGTTTTCACGAGTCAAAGAGGGTTCAATGGAGTCTGATAGTGGAACGAAAGTTGAAGAGAAAAGAAGGCGAGAATGCTGACGCTGACATTAGTGTTCAAGAAAATCTCCGGTCACAAGCAATTCGTAGCGGGGTAGATTGAGAGACGCATTGGCCAACAGGATCGCACCGTCATGCAGGTTGCTGACCCGCACTCAGTTGCTGACAGCTGACAAGCCCCCATCGTGGCACGGCGGAATTCCGATACGAAAAAGGCAGGCAGCTTTATCAACAGTGGGGGGAAGCAGGAAGAGTGGCAGTGGCCATAGCTCCCGCAGCATTCACCCTTGACCCCTGATGACGTGCATCCCCGTTCTTGCCCCGCATCGCTTGCTATCGCCGGCCTGCCCCACCTGCCAAGACTTGATGATAGCAGCAGCAGGTCTCAAGCAGCGAGACGTGAGGATTGCATCATCCAGACGATTCTCGAATCACACGAAATGGGTACGTCTTGACTTCGAAATACCTGACTGGTCTTCATATGATGCTCTATTGATATGTATCTCTAACCGAACGGGGCCGGCGCGGCAACTCTTTCGTCGCCTGCAGCCAAATCCACACATGCTACCCCCGTCTATGCCGACGCCTCCTCAAAGAACGGATAATCCACGTAGCCCTTCTTGGGCGGATCCGCGCCGTAAAAGGTGCTGCGATCGTACTGGTTCAGCGGCAGCCCCTCCTCCAACCTGCGCGGCAGATCGGGATTGGCGATGAACCACCGACCGAAGATAACGCAGTCAGCGTCGTCGGCCTCGACCACAGGCGCCGCATTCTCGCGGTTGAAGCCACCCGCCGTCAGGAAGCGGACCCCGCCCTTGGCCAGGATGCGACGGAACGGCACGAGGCTGTTGGGCACCTTCTTCGCAGGCGCCGTCGCCTCCGCCTCGACCCCGTTCTCTTCATGCGCCGTGTAGGCCGCCAGCGCGTCCAGCTTGCCCTGCTCGTCCAGCACCTCGTCGAAGCGCGGCTCGACCATGTGCACGTACGCCGGCTTCTCCGGCAGCTGCGCGATCTTGTTGCAGAGGTAGGCCCAGTGCGCGTTAGGGTTGCTGTCCTTGGTGTCCTGGAAGTAGTTGTACGGCGACAGGCGGATTCCCGTGCGCTCGCCGCCAATGGCCGCCGCGACGGCTGCGATAACCTCGAGCGGGAAGCGGCACCGGTTCTCGACACTGCCACCATAGGCGTCGGTGCGTCGGTTGACGTTGTCGTGCAGGAACTGGTCCAGCAAGTAGCCGTTCGCTCCGTGAATTTCGACGCCGTCAAAGCCCGCCTCTTCAACCGCACGCTTCGCCGCCGCCGCCCACTCAGCCGTCAGCGCGTGGATCTCGTCGACGGTGAGCGGCCGCGGCGGGTTGTCGGCGTAGGCAGTACCGTCGAGCGCGTTGCCGGAGATGGGAATGTCGCTGCTGCTAGGGGGTTGCGCACCGGCGCGGAACGAGGGTGGCGAGGCGCGTCCGGTATGCCAGAGTTGGCAGAAGATGTAGCCACCCTTCGCGTGCACTGCGTCCGTCACCTTCTTCCAGCCGGCCAGCTGCGAGGCTGTGAAGACGCCGGGTACTCCGGGGTAACCGCCAGCCTGCAAATTGAGAAGTCAAGTCAGATAAGCCTGCACAAGTGGAGGGCCGGTAATCCTCACGTAGTGGCAGATATCGGTGGCTTCAGTCAGGAGCAGACCACCTTTGCTGGCACGCTGCTTGTAATACTCGACGTTCAACTCGTGCGGCACAAAAACGCCATCGCTCTCCTTTTGCGCGCGCATGCGCGTCAGGGGAGCCAGCACCATGCGGTGGCTCAAAGAAAGCTTGCCCAGCTGGAGTGGCTTGAACAGAGCCGTGTCCTTCAGTGGCGCAAAGGCTGGGGCTGTGATAGGTGCGGGCATTTTTGAGTTGCTTGCAGATCAAATGGCGGAATAGGTTACGCAGGGTCGAAGAAGCAGAGCAGGAGAACGAAAGTACGAGAGGAAAGCAGAAGTAGTTGTGCCATTTTGACTCGCTCTTGTAACAGAGTTTACGGGCATACGAATACTACGCAGGCGCCTGGGTGCGATCTGCACGGTGCACGGTGGTTGAGGAGTGGGAATTGGGGTAGGTAGAGAGTGGGAGCGAAAAGTGGGAGGTTGGCGATTTAGCGACCAGTAAGCGCTTGAGCGATAATGCTAAACGATGAATGGTCGCGTCTGGGGATGTCCGGCTGCGGCTGATCCGCTCCCGTTGCACAAGGTTAACGTCGGAAAGAGGAGGTAAGAGACCAGACTCGCCGCCACGCGCACCTCCTCCCGACCTCATCAATCCTCTGCATCGCGAGAGGGGTAACACAGCATTGCCAATTTCTGTGTCAAGCCCGCTCCACGTCGTTGCCGCCTCAATCGAGTCCCGTTGCAGCTGTCAAGTGAGTTTTTGTCCCCTGCTCCCCCATTTCTTGAATGTCGAGTGCTGATAAGAGCGTCATCTCTACCATCGTAGTTGGAGAGGCGTAGTGTGCAATGGCGTTGCCAAAGCCTCCTCAGGCGGCCCGGCATGCGGCTGTTTCTCTCTCTGCTGCCGAGGCATTGACGCCGCTGATCCAATCCACATACACGACCCCAACCCTCAAATTCTACCTCAATGGGAACAAGGTCGAACTTGACAGCCCAGACCCTCATTGGACTTTACTCGACTTCATCCGCGCCCAGCATGATCTCAAAGGCACAAAGCTCGGCTGCGGTGAGGGCGGCTGTGGAGCCTGTACCGTTGTCCTCAGTTCGCCCAAAGTTTCCCCCAGGACTAAGAAGATCGAGTATCTCGCTGTCAACGCGTGCCTGTTTCCACTTGTCGGTGTTGACGGAAAGCACCTGATCACCATCGAAGGCCTCGGCACTGTCGACAAACCCCACCCTTTGCAGGAGCGTATCGCGAAGCTACATGGCTCGCAGTGCGGCTTCTGCACGCCGGGAATCGTCATGTCTCTCTACGCCGTAGTGCGGAATGCTTATAATCCTGAAACCAAACAGTTCGATCTGACCGAGGACACCATCGAAAGAGAAGGACATCTCGACGGGAATCTCTGTCGATGCACAGGCTACAAGCCAATCCTACAGGCAGCCAAGACGTTCGTTACGGAGGACCTGAAGGGCAGATTGGCTCCGGAGAAGGCGTCCTCGAAATCCAACGACATTGAGATTGATCTTACAGATGCGTCCCCGAAAGCTGGTTGCGGATCCTCAGCGAAGGGCTCGTGCGGAAGACCAGGTGGTTGCTGCAGGGATAAGAGTCCATCGTCAAGCAGCAGCAATGACTCCGACAGCGAGAAATCAACCTCGGCTTCTTCAGCATTGACTGAGCCGGACGCACCTCTCCCAACTGCCAAGGTCACGGATCAGCCTGGGACGGACTTGTTGGCGAGCGGCACGGCCTACGCGAAACCCTTGAAATCCAGGGAGCATGGCCCAGAGGGAACGAAGGTCGAGACAGAGCTTCCTGCACCCTTGGCCGAATCCCGAAAGGGTGTTCCACGATTCACCTTCAAGCCTTACCAACCAGATACCGAACTCATCTTCCCGCCGGCTCTCTGGAAGCACGAAAAGCGACCGTTGTGCTTTGGAAATGACAGGAAGATTTGGTTCCGACCTACCACTCTTGAGCAATTGATTGAGCTCAAGAACGCCTACCCTTCGGCTAAGCTTGTCGGAGGTGCCAGCGAGGTCCAAGTCGAGGTTCGGTTCAAGGGTTCCGATTTTGCTGTGTCTGTCTACGTGTCAGACATTGAGGAGCTCCAGGAGACGAAGCTGCCGAAGTCAGAGGCGGAGTGGGATGCCATGACTGAGATCAACTTGGGAGCTAATACGCCGCTCAGCGAGTTGGAGCATGTCTGTAAAACGGTGTACGACAAGCTCGGTCAACGCGGCTTGGTCGTGGAAGCTCTCCGCAAGCAGCTGCGATACTTCGCCGGCCGTCAGATTCGAAATGTTGCCTCTCTAGCCGGAAACATCGCCACAGCATCGCCAATTTCAGATGGGAATCCCGTTTTGCTTGCTGCTGGTGCGCACGTCATGGTCCGCAGTAAAAATGGCGGTCCCGTTGCGCTTCCAATGTCCAAGTTCTTCCTCGCTTACCGAACCACCACTCTCCCTCCAGACGCAGTGATTACTCACGTTCGCATTCCACTGCCTGCAGTCGGGGCGCGCGAGATTACAAAAGCATACAAACAAGCAAAGAGAAAAGACGATGACATTGCCATTGTCACCTCCGCATACCGTGTCCGCTTGGATGACACAGGTGTCGTCACAGACATCTGTCTTGCTTACGGCGGCATGGCTCCTACCACGATTGAGGCAAAGAACGCAAGGAAAGCATTACTCGGGAAGACTTGGTTCGAATCGGCGACTTTGGAGACCGGAATGGATGCCTTGGCTGCAGATTTCAATCTCCCGTACAGCGTCCCTGGAGGAATGGCGCATTACCGCAGAGCTCTTGCCGTGTCGCTCTTCTTCCGTTTCTGGCACGAGGTCGCCGCAGAGTTGGGTCTTGGAGAAGTCGACCAGGACCTCATCCAAGAGATTCACCGGGAATTATCATCTGGTACCCGTGACAACTACAACCCGCACGAGCAACGAGTCGTTGGAAAGCAGATCCCGCATCTCTCAGCCTTGAAGCAGTGCACCGGCGAAGCCCAATATGTTGACGATATCGAGCGCCAAGACAGAGAACTGTTTGGCGGAATGGTGATGTCTTCGAGAGCCCACGCGAAGTTAGTCGAGGTCGACTGGACACCTGCGCTGTCGCTGCCGGGAGTGGTGGGTTACATCGACAAAACCAGTATTCCAAAAGAAGCCAATATCTGGGGCTCTGTAAAGAAAGACGAAACCTTTTTCGCTGACGGCGAAGTTCTTTCTCATGGCCATACCATCGGAATGGTCTATGCAGAGACAGCACTGCAGGCCCAGGCGGCTGCGAGGGCCGTCAAGATTGTATATGAAGACCTCCCGGCAATTCTTACGATCGACGAGGCCATCGAGGCTAAAAGCTACTTCGCTCACGGCAAGCAGCTGAAGAAGGGACTTGCCATCGAGGGGAGGATGGATGAGGCGTTTTCAAAATGCGACCGAATCTTCACCGGTGTTACTAGAGTGGGCGGGCAGGAGCACTTCTACCTGGAGACCAATGCTGCTCTGGCTATTCCTCACAAGGAAGATGGCTCCATGGAAGTATGGACCTCTACCCAGAACACTACCGAGACGCAGGAATTCGTCAGCCAGGTACTCGGCGTTCCCAGCAACAGGATCAACGCTCGGGTCAAGCGGATGGGAGGCGCGTTTGGAGGAAAAGAATCCCGCAGCGTACCCATCGCCTGTTTGTGCGCCATTGCTGCGAGAAAAGAAGGCCGCCCTGTACGAATAATGCTCAACCGCGACGAAGACATGATGACGACCGGGCAAAGACATCCGATCCAGGCACGCTGGAAGGTTGGCACGTCAAGAGACGGCAAGCTCCTGGCCTTCGACGCTGACGTCTATGACAATGCCGGATACTCCCAGGACATGTCCGGCGCCGTTATGGATCGTTGCTGCACACACATCGAGAACTGTTACAACATACCCGACGCTTGGATCCGAGGGCACGTGTGCCGCACCAACATCCACAGCAACACGGCCTTCCGCGGATTTGGCGGCCCGCAGGCCATGTACATCGCCGAGCAGATCATGTACGCCATCGCTGAAGAAACTGGGTTCGACATCGACGACCTGCGCGTTAAGAACCTGTACCAGATTGGCGACAGGACGCCCTTCCTGCAGCAGATAGATGTGGATTGGCACATCCCGACGATGCTCGACCAGCTCAAGAAGTCTGCGGACTTCGAGGCTAGGAAGGCGGCCATCCGTGAGTTCAACCGGACGCATAAGTGGAAGAAGCGGGGCATCAGCATGATCCCGTCCAAGTTTGGCCTGAGCTTCGCCACAGCACTGCACCTCAACCAGGCCGGTGCGTACGTTAAAATATACGCCGACGGCAGCGTGCTGCTGCATCATGGCGGGACGGAGATGGGCCAGGGCCTGTACACGAAGATGTGCCAGGTGGCGGCGCAGGAACTGGGCGTGCCGCTCGACGCCATCTTCAACCCGGACTCGCAAAGCTACCAAATCGCCAACGCGTCGCCCACAGCCGCATCAAGTGGCAGCGACCTCAATGGCATGGCTGTCAAGAATGCGTGCGACCAGCTGAACGAGCGGCTGAAGCCTTACTGGGACAAGTACGGCAAGGATGCGGAGTTCAAGACGATCGCGCACGCGGCGTACATCGATCGCGTCAACTTGGCCGCCAACGGCTTCTGGAAGATGCCTAGGATCGGATACGTGTGGGGGGAGTACGACGTGAAGAAGGTGAAGGACATGTACTACTACTTCAGTGAGTTTTCCCTCCTTCTCGTAGACTTACCTCTCCCATCTCAACAAGGGTGAAAGAATACCATGGGAAAGCGAAATACTAACGCACCTGCGAAAATTTAGCCCAAGGCGTCGCCTGCTCGGAAGTCGAACTCGACTTGCTCACCGGCGATCACACTACCCTTCGTTCCGACATCCTTATGGACGTCGGCCAAAGCATCAACCCGGGCATCGACTATGGTCAGATCGAAGGCGCCTTCGTACAGGGCGTCGGTCTCTTCACCATTGAGGAGTCCCTCTGGACCTCCCGAGAGGGCCAGCTCGCCACCCGCGGCCCCGGCACGTACAAGATCCCGGGCTTCTCGGACATCCCGCAGGTCTTCAACGCGGCCATGCTGAGGGTCGATGGCGAGGGCAAACCACTGACATGGAAGCATTTGAGGAGTGTGCAGAGTAGTAAGGGGATTGGGGAGCCGCCGCTTTTCTTGGGCTCAACGGTGTTCTTTGCGCTCAGAGAGGCGGTGAAGGCGGCGAGGAGGGATAATGGGTTGGTGGACAAAATGAAAGGTGGCAGAGGAGAGAGATTTTGCTTGGAGAGCCCCGCGACGGCGGAGAAGTTGCGATTGGCGGTCGGCGATTCGATTGTGAAGAAGACGGCGGTGGTGAAGAAGGAGGGAGAGACGCCGTTCTTTGTGACGGTTGCTTGAAGTGCCTCGATACCTTCTTTCTTCTTTACTTATCCGCCGCGTGGAAGGTTTTAGGAGCAGACATGTCGATGGACGTGCTACGATGATACGAGTCGAGACGGCAGGTGAAAATTCTGGCGAACGAGGGAAACGCGGTGCGGCGTTCTTTGGTCTTAGTTTTGGCAATTACGAAATCTTGATTTGAATCGACATCAGAGGCCAGAATTGCGTTTCCCTTGGTGTTGTGGGTAGCTAGGTATTTTAGTCTCCAGGACCCGCTCGCCATTTGATGTCGCAATCATCACGACACTCGCGTGTTGGAATTCCGCGTCAAAGCTCTCTGTCAAGCATTACGAAGACGTAAGACAATTGGAAAGAAAAATAGACTCTCTTGGCCAAATTCTTGTTTTTCCCACCCCTTTTCATTCTAAAAATGAAATTCGGGTTTTTGTCCGGATTGCATTCAGACTTACTGCTGTTGGCGGTGGTGTGGTGGTGGAGCCGCTGCTGGTGGTTGGCGCGACACTGACTCATTGCATCATAGGCAGAGCGTCAAACCTATTGGATGCACGAAATGAAGAAGAATTCTCGACCTCTTTCCCACCGGAGAGCGGAACCACATGAGCAAAGGTAGTTGTAGTATGGCACACTGTTTTCCGATGGCGACAGTGCTCTTTTTTTTTCTCTCTCTTCCAAAGCCAAAGAGGAACTCAGGCGTGGCCAACAAAGCCAAGATACCGATCCCTTCGAGCGGTCGTAGTAAGAAAAGAGATGCTTCGCTATAGGCGCAATATACCAGTTCATGGCGGGTCTGGTAGTGGAATTAGCGAGTACAGACCGTCATTACTACATTAGCAGGCCGTGACCGATGGACTTGGAGTTTGCACGTAACGAATTCTGCAGAGACGCAGGGTCGACTCGTCTCTGGAGAGGTGATTGTCTGTCTCCATTGGGGGTTGGTTGCATGGTTCTCAGAGGTTAGTGATAAGGTGCAGAGCCGCGTGCCAATGCCCAAGGGAGAAAGTGACCCGAAGATAGGGTAGCTCAGGGTCCTGCGGGTCGGCAATTTCGGACAATCTGCGAAGATTGTTGCCTTTGCGGCACGTATGGCTTGGAAAGTGGTCAAGGTATCCGGAGCGGCTGGGCGGAAATGGGGCGCAATCGGCGCTGGGAGGTGATTGGAAACGACTTCCGGTTAGGGATAACTCCGGCTGTTACGTTGAGATATGCGCGAGTCGTTACCCCGCCTTCGCAATCCCGCACGCCAAAGGCACAATGGCAACGTGCGCGTCAATCAACGGATGGCGGCATTTGAAGGGCGGATGTAGGGCCTCGGCGAAACACAGCGTTTGCCGGAAGGCCCCAGGACTTGCCTTGTTAGGCGGAGCGAGCTTATCCGCCGGCCTATCGCGGCGCGCCTCAGCGGGAGCGCGTGCGGGCGCAGCGAGCGGTAGGAGGGGCAGGTCGACGCGCCTGCGCCAGAGCAACACCAGCGGGCCCGGGAACGCCCGCGTGTCGGAGAGTCCGCTGGGGCGTCCGATTGGCTGTGCGCGCCGGCGATAGCCAGTGATACGCGGCGAGGCAAGCGTTGCGGGCACCTGTGCTCTGCGACACGGCAGCTGGGTCTGATATGTTGCTGGCAGGAGGTTGGTAATGGAATGAGCAACCCCCACCGTGGCCGCCTCGCCCCATCTTTGGCCCGGACGCGGTTAGTCATCGCGTAGCGCGGCGCCAGTCTTGTCGGCAACTTCTCGACGATCCGACCGCTATACTGCGGAGTCCATGCAACGGCGAGTGGCTCCCTGCGGCTCACTCCAGGGTCTAGTGAGATGCGACGTCGGATCCACGCGATAAGCGGACATGTCAAGTAGTCCATACCGCCATGGCCGCCCGCACGCCTCGACAGCTTCCTCCGCCATAGCAACACCCGGCTCAGAGCTTCTGCAGCTGCGCGTCACTAACCACCACTCTACCAATTGACCTCCCCTCGCCATGCGCAACACCTCGCCCTCCACTGCCGCCCAGCGCACGCACGCGCGGCGGAAGAGCAGCACCTCCGCCGCCGCCAGCGACCCCGCGGCCAAGAAGTTTGCCTGTGCCTTTGACGGCTGCGGCCGCGCGTTCACGCGCTCCGAGCACCTGCAGCGCCATCTGCTGAACCACACGGCCGGCGAGAGCACCTGCGAGCGCTGCCGTGCCCACTTCAAGCGCAAAGACCTGCTTGGTAAGTGCGTGCGGGAGTGCCGCCCGCGGCCCTTCTCTTAAGCGCTAGCTACTCCACAAGCTTTCTGAAGAATGGGGTTGCCAGCTATTTCGGGCTCCCACGTTGCTGGGGTCCAGCCCTATCCCACCTACCTCCCCCACCCATTGCTCGAGCGCTGACATGGATCCGCAGAGCGACACATGCAGCGCCACAGGCAGAAGGACGAGGAGGCCGGCGCCGAGGGGGCCGGCGTCCTCAACACCAGGAAGCGCATGTGGAAGGACCACGACGGCAACATCGTCACCAAGCGGCCCAACCTAGGCAAGAAGAAGGGCTCTTCGGGTGACCAGCACCAGCGGTCACTGTCCACTTCCACCACGGACTCTATCGAAGACGCCGTCCGCGCCCTCGGCGGCGACGCCCCCATCTCGCCCCCCATCTCCAGCACGCACTCCTCACAGTCGGACGGCTACGGGAGGAGATCGTCAGACGCGTGCGACGCTACTACAGACCCGACGGTCGAAACTTGGGTCTTTCCGCCGCTCGAGCTCAGTCCCGGCCCTGAGCCCCAACCCTATCCGGAGCTGGAACCGCTGGCGCAAGAGACGGATCGCTTCTGGTCGAATGCAGGCGGCTTGCAGGCGTCAAGTCTAAGGAATCTGTCGGACGATGTGCCTTACGACGACATCTTCAATCCTGACACTGGTATGTCTCCGTTCCACTTCTATTGGGAGCCGGACTATGTGGGGAAAGCCAGCGTCTTAATTGAATAATGAACGGAATTGCTCAAGCCTGTTTCTGGTGCTCACGCTATGCCTGATGGTCACCATGGCTGACCGCCTCCCAGCCAGCTCGTTCAACATGCCCTTCACGACCATGAACAACTATAACTGGCTATTTGACGTCGATCTCGGGGCAACAGCAGCGCAGCAGTTCTCGGCCTCGACCCCAGACATCCTGTCTGGTACGTTCACAGCAACGCACGTAGACCAAGCTGCTCCTGATCATCGGCCATCCACTCATACTTTCCCTACAGGCGTACCCACAGAGCATACGCCAGCTGTTAGTGAGCTTGCTCCTCTCTCCACGGATGAACCTTCGATTGCGGCCCCCACCGCGCCTTCAGCTACCCTTTCCCACCCCCAGTCCAACTCCTCAGTGCTTCCCGACATGAGCCTGCCAGACTCCACCACCATCTCCCTTCCCAGTCTCGAATTTGCAGAAAAGCACCATGCTGTGGGCAGTGCCGCAATCGGACGCTCGCACATAATAAACGCCCCCACTCCCCTGAGCATGCCCAACGAAGAAAGCGCCAAAGCTGCCCGCGATTCCCTTGCAGCGCGCCAAGCGCATTTCGGCATTGATTTCGAACGGCCCATGTCCTCGATGAACCGCTCCGCCAGTCTTCCCGTTATCGATGAAGTGGCCCGTGCTCAAGTGTTGGACGTGATTGAGGCGGCCAGACCAATCACGCCTGATGGGCTTTACATCTCCCGGAGCCACCCTTTATTGTCTCTCTCCTCTCTACAGACCTACTGTGATCTGTACTTTACACGCTTCAACACGGCTTACCCCCTGATTCACCAGCCAACGTTTGACGCTTCTCATGTCGAGACGTTGCTACTCGTGTCTGTTTTGCTACTTGGAGCAACATACTGCGAAAAGGACGCCCATCAGATGGCAGTAAGTTGCAAGCTAATTGTACCTGTGCAAATCGCGTGTTGCTCACATGACCAGGTCTGCATCCATGACGTCCTCCGACCCCAGATTTTTGCTCATGCCGGGTTCAATGCGAAGCCGGATCTGTGGGTCCTGCAGACGATTCTGCTGGTGGAGTGCTTTGGAAAAAGCCGCGCTGGCCAGAAACAGCACGACATGGCACACCTCTTCCATGGGTTACTCATCAATCTCATCCGAAGGAGTGACTGCCAGACAATCCGCACACTGTTCACGGAAGATTGCTCGGGTGATCTTGACAATGATTGGAGGAAGTGGGCAGAAGCAGAGCAGAAGAAACGGTAAGCTATTCCAAACTTTCACAGATCATATGACTGATACTTCTTAGACTCGCTTACCTTTGCTTTCTTTGGGACGTACAACACGCTGTTTTGTTTTGTCAGTCTCTCTGCATGTCAGCGTTTGAACTTCGCTCCAACCTACCCTGCAATCAGCAGCTTTGGGAGGCCGACTCTGCAGAGCTCTGGCAACGTCTCCGTAAGAAGCAAAAGAGCCCCCCGCTCTTTTTGTCCTTGGTCAAGGCCTACCTGACGCCTGGTGCCCCGCCTATTCCACGGAATCTGAATGCTCTCTCTCGACTCCTGCTTCTTCATGGCCTCATGTCCATCTCGTGGGATATGAAGCGCAGGGACCAGACGTCGCTCGGACTCGTCGGCAAGCACCCAATCGGCGACTGGAAGACGCGCATGTCGACGTCGTACAACACATGGAAGGCCGACTTCGACGCGTACTGCACCAACTACCTCGACCTCTTCTGCACGCTCCCGGACAACGCGACCAACCCTCTCCGGCAGGAGTTCGTCACCTGGTCGACGGCCAACGCGGCCGTGTACCACGCGGCGCACGTGCTGCTGAACGCCGAGTTCCTCGACCTGCAGATCTACGCGGGGGCGCGGCACATCCTGGGCCGGCCGGTGGGGCGTGCCGACTACGTGCGCTCGCAGCGGGTGGTCAAGCGGTGGGCGAGCGCGCCCGACGAGCTGGAGCGGCTGCGGGCGGCCAGGGCTGCGCGCCACGCGGCGCTGCTGATCCGCGAGGGCGTCGAGCGGCTGAACGCGTTCGACGCGGGCGGCCTGTTCCACTACCCGTGGTGCCTGTACCTCGCGACGTTGACGTGCTGGGCGTGGTGGCACGCGCGGCCGCAACCTCCACCGGCGACGGCAGCAGCAACGGGCGCCGTCGACGCTCAGCAGCGGCACATCGAGGCGGATGCGATGGATCCGGACGCCGAGCTCGAGGACGTGGACGTGCCGTCGGACGAGAACGAGGACGAGATGGTGTGGGATGCCGGGGCGGAGCTGGACGCGTTGGTGGGATGCATGACTTCTGTGCCGTCGTCATCCTCGTCTTCCGCTGCTGCCGCTTCATCACCGGCATCCCCGTCGGCGGCCGCGTCGAGGAGGAGGGAGGACGACAGCGCCGAGCGCCATCTCGAAGCCGTCGCCAAGGCACTGCGGCCGGCCGTCGTGCGCCGGCGGACTAGCGGGTTGACGGCGGTGGTGGCGAGGCACCTGAGCAAGGTGAGGTGGGCGGTCGTGCATGATGGGATGATGGTGCTGAAGGGGCTGGTGCCGTGGCGGATGATCGGGGGTGCGGATGGGTTGGCTTAGGATTGATTTGTTTTGCCTCCTTTTGTCTAGTAGTGGTGGTGGTGGTGGTGTTTGAACTGGGGATACCTTCTGCGTCGATACGAATGTACGAATGTCATGTGAAATGTTCACGAAGCGAATGATGTACTGCTCGCTACCTAAGCGAATCGTTCAGGGCAAGATTAGTGGTGGAGAGGATATGTGCAGCAATGTTGGTGTTTGGATAATTAACGCCAACCACGCTCGACAAAGCGTTATATTACTACGTTCGAGGTTGACAGGCATGCGGCTCCTGGGGGCGTCTGGAAAGGAAGGAAGCGGGTGATCATATAATAGATTGTGAGCCTCTCTTCGCGTTATTGTTTTTTTGGGGGAGTGGGGATGGTGGAATTGGGGGCGGGGCAGGGACGTGGTTGAAAGCGAAAGCGAACGGAGGTGCATGCATTGCATTGCAATCTAATGGTCGCTGCGTCGGTTGGAAAGCATTCAATGCAAGGGCGGCGCGGTAACGGAAAGAAAAGATGGGTGGTAGTACATGAGACGGGGAAAAACAAAGCCACAGACGTCGAGTGACGAGCCAGGCGAGCGGGAGAAAATTGACGCGCGCTCCTTTGGCACACAGGTTTGTAGTTGTTGTTGGTGAGAGGTGTTTTGGCGAGGGCAGCCGTAAGCGGAAATATACGCGCGCCATCTTAATTACAGCAATGAGGGCCGCAATCTAAATAAATGAAAAAGGGCGGCGCGCGCTTCGAGAACGTCATCGACACTGCGGGCGATTCTTCCGTCCGTGTGTGATCGCCCTTCTATTTCTGCACACCTGTGATGAGGCTCTTATTTTAGGACCGGTTTTCGTCGATGCCGCCCGTCTTAATGGTTATAATATCTCTATTGTTATGATTATTGCTACGTTCGAAGTTGCACGCTTGGGGGCGATGAACCTTGCTGTCGTTCCTTGCTTGCTCTCCATCATGGTGGAGAGATGGTGCGGCTCGTGCGAGGCCTGGTCGTTGTGGCTGCGCACCTAAGCCAAGTACGGAACAACGACGACATGGCATTAGCCGCAGTCGGCCATCCAACACTCCGACTTATGCATGGATATACATTGAACAGGCACCCCAACAGCACAGTTTCGTAGAGCAGCAAAACCGATTGGAGGGATGCTACATCTCTGCAGCCCTCTGTATCCTGTTCACCATCGCTTTCAGTCTACGTGGGCCAGCTTACAATGTACCAATCTGTTATCACTGAACAAGGGTCCCTTGCTGATGCATTGAGCACCGAACGCATATGCTTCGTATTTTCGAAACTGCATACAATTAAGACGGAGGCGCAAAGTCTCGACCCAGCCGCAAGAATGTTAAAGAAGAAGAAAACAAGGAAAGCCTCAAGCCACAGCCACGGCCGGGGCGCTCGTCAAGCTGGCAGCCTTTGCCCTCTTCTCCTCTTCCTCTTTCTTGCGCATCTCCTCCTTCCACTTCTCGGCGCGGCCGTAGCTCTCCCGGTAGCTGCCGCTCACGGCCTCCTCGACGGTGATTGGCGGATACTTGGGCGCCTCGGACTCGCTCTGGCGGCAGTTTGGCAGGCACTCGATGACGTAGTCCGGGTTGCCGCTGAAGAAGACGGGGATGCTGTACCGCTCCTTACCCGACTTGTTGATGACGCGGTGCGTGTTGGAAATGTACTTGTCGTTGGTCCAGCGCATCATGAGGTTTCCTACAACGAGGAAGAAGTCAGTGATATATTTTTCCCTTGAAGGGATGAAGGACGTACCAAGGTTTACAACAAAGGCGCCCTTTACGGGCATGACCTGTGGAATAAAATCAGCATCGACATAGAGGGAATGGTGCAGGGGGGTTCACGCACATCAAACCACTGCTCCACTTCTTTGTCCCAAACTTGCAGGCCGTCCACCTCATCCTGCAGCAGCAGCGTCACGGCGCCAAAATCCGTGTGCGCACCAATGCCTCTTTGCAGCTTCTCGGCGCCATCACCCTTCTCGGTTGGCGGGTAGTGGAGCAGTCGCATCGTCGCCACGGCATCGGTCGCAAATTCGCGGAAGTGGTCCTCGGAGAGATCGAGACATAGCGCAATGACTTTCAGAATGTCCTTTGCCAGCGCTACAACAGCATAATAATAGTCCATACACGTGCTTCTGAAGTCGTCAACGCCTGGGAAAGTTTCGGGCGAGGGCCACTGGTTTGGTCCCGAGTTGAGCTTTTTGTTAACAAAGTATCTGAGGCAGTGGTTAGCCGACTTCTTCCCCGGGCGAAGCGGACACTCACGGGTGTGTGACGGGGATCTCATCGCCAACGTAGAAGCCTTCTTTGAGTTCGGGAAGCGTGCCTTCTTCCAGGATTTGCGAGCGTAGCAGCTCATAGCCTCGATTCCAAGTGTTGAGTTCTGGGGAATTGATCAGCAACAGGTTCCTCTCCGTACATTCTTTTTCCCACCTTTTCCCACTTTCTTCTTCTCTTCCAGCGGCAGGTCAAAGAACTTCTTGTTCCATGCCATCATGCGCTCCTGGAGCTCAAGGGGAACAGTGTGATTTGTGATTTGGAAGAAGCCATTGTGCAAGCAGCAATCGCGCACTTGGCTGACAAAGGCTTGTTTCTTTGCTGGGTCCGAGTCGTAGAAGGAAGCGAAATCAAGAAGCGGAGGGCTGCGAGATGTGTTTGGCTCACCCGCCATGGCGATGGTAGTGCTAATGGAGTGGTGGATTGCCTTTTCGGGAAGCTAAATAATGATGACGGGTGTAGAGACGGTAGTGTGAAGTCGAAATGATATATCAGAATTTCAGGCTCCGAATTCCACTTTGGGAAGCGAGCAACCAGGGTCCTCGGCGGGGATGTCGCACCACTCTAGCTCCACTGTCGCTTAGTCACGGCGGCACGACCACTCCGCTCTACTTCCCCGCACGCTAGCGAAGAGTGGGAGGACGCCCCCATTCTTGATAAGCCGAGCGACGGCATCTCGACCAGGGAACCACAATCGGCTATCGCCCGCCCCGATAAGCGCTGCCAGTATCACCGTCAACTGAATTATTGTGCAAAGCGCGTATCAGACGGGTGAGTACCCGCTGGAAAGGATTGACGTCTTCTTCATGGGCGAGCTGCTGCGGAAATGTCGGATGTGCTGAATGCAGCCCGTCATGGCATTGGCTGCATCTCGAGCAAGTAGTACCAGGCTAACCGTTTTGGGCAACATGCCTGTAGCGCGCCTCAGAACGGCTGCTGTTGGCCATCTCCAAGACTTGGCTGGGTGAGCATGGGGAGGCGTGTCATACTGAACCGTTATACATATCCCGCCGACCTGTGCTCCCAGGCGACTGAAGTCGAGGACTCCTGCATTTCTCCGTCCTTCACTTCCCACTTCCACCCAGCCCGACCGCAATGTCGTCCGACGACATCAAAGAGGAGAAAGGCCACGAGCCGACATCCAACGCCCTCACTCAAACCGCGTCCTACGGCGAGGGCAAGGTGCAGGACATCGATGACCCTGCTGTCCGCGACTTCTACGGCAATTGCTTGAGCGACTCGTACAGGCTGAAGTCTGAGCTCGTCAGCAAGCACCTGACGGAAATAGGGATGGGGAAGTGAGTAGCAGCATCGTCCGAGTCCATCAGCATGCTCACAAATTGCAGGTACCAATGGCTTCTCTTCGTCGTCACCGGCTTCGGATGGATCGCAGACAACTTCTGGTCGCAAGGCATTTCGACTGTGCAGCCAGCCATGGCCATGGAGTTCAGCGACATCAGCAAGCGGTCCTATAGCAGCGTCGCTTACTACGTCGGCCTGATCCTGGGTGCCTCCTTTTGGGGCATCTCGGCCGACTTCATCGGGCGCAAGCCCGCCTTCAACGCCACCATCATGATTGGCGGCATTTTCGGCTGTGCCGTGGCCGGATCCCAGAACTTCATCGCCTTCTCTGCCATGTGGGCCGTCATCGGTACTGCCGCGGGCGGCAACGTTCCTGTTGACTCGATGATTTTCCTCGAGTTCGTGCCTGGCAGCCATCAGTGGTTGCTGACGGCCCTGTCGGCGTGGTGGAACTTCGGCCAGGTCATCGTCTCGCTGATCGGATGGGTCTTCCTGGCCAACTACTCGTGTCCGTCTGGATCCGACTATACCACGTGCTCTAGGAGCGACAACATGGGCTGGTATGTGTTGCTCCACCCTTCCCCTTATCTATTCCAGAACTGATGGAAATCGAAAAACAGGCGCTACACCATGATCACGCTCGGCGCCCTTGCCATGGCCTTTGGCATTATTCGCATTTTCGTCTTCAAGATGCCGGAAAGCCCGCGGTACCTGCTGTCCAAGGGGCGCGATGCCGAAGCGGTCGAGGCAGTCAACTACATCGCGCGTTACAACGGCAAGCCTGAGACATTGACGCTGGCTATGCTCCACGACATCGACGTGACGCTTGGGATAGCGACAACGGACGAGGACGCGAAGAAGGGCTTGTCGCGCCGCGAGATCATCCGGGAGAATCTCAAGGACTACAAGGGCGTCAACTACAAGAACCTGTTCGCAACCCGCAAGTTCGCCCTGCACACGACCCTGACCTGGTTGATCTGGCTGACCATCGGTACGTTCCGCATTCATCTCTTCCCTCTTCTCCCCAGAGACTGACAAGCCCACAGGCATCGCCTACCCCCTCTACTTCGGCTTCCTCCCCTCCTACCTCGAAACCAAATTCAGCGCCGCGACGTCGCTATCCAAAACGTACCGCAACTACTGCATCGTCTCGTCGGTCGGCATCCTCGGCCCCATCAGCGCCGGCTTCCTCGTCGAGACGCCGCGGTTCGGGCGGCGGTGGATGATGGGGCTCTCGGCCATCCTGACGGGCGTCTTCCTCTTCGCCTACACGGCGGCCCGCACCGAGACGCAGGACCTGGCCTTCCAGTGCGTGACAGGCATCCTGGGCAACTTCGAGTACGCCGTCATGTACGCCTTCACCCCCGAGAGCTTCCCCGGCCCGCTGAGGGGCACCGGCACCGGCACCGCCGCCACCCTGCTGAGGTTCGGCGGCCTAGTCGCCAGCTTGGTGAGCGCCAACGTCGGCTTCTCGACCGTGCCCATTTATGTCAGTGCCGCGCTGTGGGTTGCTGTGGGCGTTGTGTGCTTTGGCTTGCCGTTTGAGACGCACGGTCATGCAGCTGTCTGAAGTGGGTATGTCGGGGATCGGAATGGGTGGAGGTGACGGTGTATTCTTAGTAAGGCTGGATCGTAACATTTCAAATGTACGGATTTCGCCCGTTGATAGACGGGACGTGAGATCGGTACGCTAAGTGTTGCAGCGTCCAAGCCAACCGCAATGGGAAGGTTGGATTGCTAGTACCGATAAACGATGACCAATGCATTATCTTGGAAGAGAAATCTATTGCCCTATTGTATGTCTGCATTCTCGTATATCTAAACATCTAACATCAGCAAAGCTATAGTCTAATACAGGTCATCTTATCTTTACGTCTTAACATGCGTGCCGGCGGAAAAAAGGAAATACACAGGATATCTCAAACAGATCGCCTCACTGAATCTGGAAAAGCACCCTATCCTTCTCCCAAAACTCCAGTGTCATAAACAACCGCCAGGGCAACTGTTGCCCGGGCCACTTATCCTCCCTGTCCACGACCAGATGCCTCGCCGGGCCCGGAGTATCGCCGTACTCCAAGAACGGTGACCTCTCCCCGTCGTCGCCGTCACCGTCGCGCGCGCCGTCCAGACTCATTCCCTCGGCTACGTCCTCGTCCTCTTCGTCGTCTGGCAGCACCTCGAAGCGCTTGCACAGCACGCCGGCCAAGCTCGGATGTCGCGCTTCCGCCGCGTACCGCATCGCCGTGCGCCAGCAGGAATCACGCACCGCGCCGTCCTCGAGCACGAGGTACTCGAGCGTCTCGCAGCGGCGCAAGATGGGGACGAGCACATCGCGGCGGCAGTCGAGGTGGAGCAGGTGCAGGCCCTTGAGCTTCCGCGGCGCAACGTCCAAGAACACTTCAGCGAGGAAGCAGTCCAGGTTGCTCGTGCGGCCCCTGGCGGCGCCCAGCCGCAGCACTTCGAGGTTCGGGAGGAGCGAGAGGAAGTGGGGGTTGGATTGCAGCGCGTCCGTTGCCACTGCATCGCCCCCGCCAGCTCCTCCTCCGGCCTCCTGGTCCCCGATGACGACGGTCCGCAGCGGGAGATTCACGAAGAGCGTCAGAACGCGCAAGTTGGCCAGGGGCGCGCGCAGCTGCTCTGCCATGCTCAAGTCCGACAGCACGAGCGCGCTCGGCGGCAGCCCGCCCTCAACCTCGATCTCATCGATGGCCGCGGCGCCGGCACCAGCGGCCGCGATGGCCACGAGGGCCGTCTCGAAGGCGTAGGTGCCCGGCAAGAGCGGAGCGCCGTGCTGCTGGCCGCGGCTGCCGCACGCAATGTATGCGGGCCAGCCGAGCTCGCGGCCCAGGCGCTGGAAGCCCCAGCAGCCGCGCGGCTCGTTGCGCACGCGCAGGGCGCGCAGGTTCGGCAGGCGCAGCAGGGCCTCGGTCAGCAGCTCGACGTCGAGGTTCTGGCGGCGGCAGCGGGCCTGGGCGTTGAGGAAGACGGTCAGGGCGGCGCGGCGGAAGGGGCAGGGCACGTGGAAGGGGCTGGTCGGGTTGTGCATGGCGTTGCGGTCGCGCTGCTGCTCGAACGGCAGCAGGCTGAGGTCCAGCCGGCGCACCGCAGGACCCAGGTCGGCATGCTGGGCGAGCGCAACGAGCCCCTTCAGGCTGTGCTCGGTGAAGAGATGGCGGCGGCGCGAGAAGTGGGCGTCGAGGAAAGTGTGGTGCGTCTTGGCGTGCAGCTGCCGGCACGCGAGGCGCAGCGACAGCTGGCCTGGCGAATCCAGGTACCGAGCGATCTCCTGGATCAGCTCGGTGGGCAGCGCGGGAAGGCTGGGCGAGGCCATGACCGGGATGTCGCGCTGCTGACTGGCTGGAAAGTCCGGCTCTCCGTCGTGGTTGGGAATCTGGGGATCGGATGCGCTTCCGGACCCTGAAGATCCGGGGTCGAGTGGTCTGGAACGAAAAAGCAGGCAACGGCGGCTAAGCTTTGCGCGCAATAATTATGCGACACCGACTTGTTTCTCCAGCAGCGTGTCCACGATAAGGAGACGAGAACCGCCTTTAAAAAAGGCAGCGCCGGGGCACAGATCTCCACGTGCCTCTCCACGTGATCAGGACTTCTCCCCGTTTGCGGCCCGTCTGCGATCCGGCATGCCTACCGGATGTACGACAGGGATGTGCTGCCTTCCTATTCTGTACACATGTGAAACACGCCTTTTCTCAACCTCCCTCGGCCTCCAGAATCGCTGCGAGCCCCTTCATCATTCACTTATTTCGCGTCCTGACTATGTTTCCACCACTGAACATGACCATTGATGCCTTGATGCCTCACCTCGAGGCGATATACCACAGCCTCGTTCACTCAAGCTAACCGTTGACTGGTTCAAATCAATCTAAGACATCTAATTCACCTCTCTGTAATCGTCGCTCTCTTTCGTATATATTCGGTCAGGCTCCGCGGAGCATCTTAATTTTGCTCACTTCTTATATGAGCTTTTATTTCACGCTCAACCACTTCAATGTCCATCATATGTTATATTTTTACCCCATCAGCCGACTATCCGAAGCTCTAATCCTCGACTATTAAAGCAAGATCATACAGACAAAATGAGAATGGTCGAAAATGTCGGAGGACATCGTGCCATAAGGACTATATTCTATTAGTAGTTCGATAACTCCCTACACTTCACTAAAACATTTAATGTCCCATATCACTTCTTGAAAAGCCACCACTGCCCAACCCGAATCTATCATTCAATTCTTGATATTCGAGCATTCCTTTCGCTTAAGTAAATTTGTCCTGTCACCACAACTGGCGTGATGTTGCGGCCCCCACAGATCCATTTGGAGCTAGTACCTGGCTAAAAATACATCTCGCGCGGCCCAGAATACGCGCTTAAAACAGCCTCATCTCCCGCATCCCGCCTCGTCGCGGGAGCATCCGTACTTTACTTCCCTCCTTCCTCTCAACGAAGGAAAAAACAGCCTTCTTGTTCAGCAGCCATGTTACACACCCGTGGCTTTTACAATCCCTGGCCCAAAGCGGTAAAAAGATATGGATCGCCGCTAATGTACATGTTTTTGTTGTTCCTTGGCCTGCTACCGAGCCTCATCCTATTCTTCGGCTCGTTTTGGTCCCTGGTTCAGCTGATCCGACGGCGTACGTGGTATCTCTGGGGCGTCGTTGTCGCCGGGCCGCTGATTGCCTGGGGATTGTTCTATCTTCAGAGCATACAGGTGGAGATGGACGCCTGGGCCAGAGACCGGGCCAAATATCCAGACATCTCCTTCATTGAGTGAGCAACCTTTCTCCTTCCATGCCCGGTCTCTCTTCATCTTCATCGGAGACAATACAATCAGAGCGAGACCACTCACTTTAAAAATCTGGAAAACAGCATTGGCGCCTCTCTCCTCGCTCAAGCCCTCTTTGCCACTCTCATACGCCTCACCTGGTCCGTCCTCCCGAATGCAGCCTCGACCTCCCTCTCCACTGCCAACGAGGAGCGCCGCAAGGTCTTGCGCGACCGCCGTGTGGGTTATTACCTATTCGTCCCGCACGTGCTCATCGCTGTTGTCGCAACCTATTGGGCGCCACGGGCCTCGGTCTTCACGCCGTTCCTGCAGCTCCCATTCTGCGCTTATCTCGCCTTCGTCGCATGGGAGTATCGGAGGTTGGCGCGTGAGGAGTGGGGTGTTTACGAGGAGGAAGAGGAAGATGGAGGAATGCGGCCGAGTGGGAGGTTGTTTGATGCTTTGGTGGTTGCTGCGGGTGGTTTGACGGTGAGTCGGCGGCTTCTTTACTTCTTTTCTTTCCTGCAGAAATTGGCTGTTAAAAACCGAAACGGTGATGAGTATCAACTGACTGATGCGGCAGGTACGGTCTATCTTGGGTATCATCGCGGTTGTCTTTGGTATCTACACGAGAGAGGCTTTGTATGCCGTGGCCCTTGCGTGGGCGATTGTTTGTGATGACATTGTCATATTCTGTGAGCTCCCCTACCTTTTTACCCCGATCCTTGGGTCTCATGCCAAGAGTTTCCATAGTGTGTTTTAGAGTGTTTTGGGCCGCTCATCCTGGGTGGTATTTGCCTCCGCAGCTTCGTGGGGTGATATTTAACAAAAAAGTTAGGAGCTCGTTTGCTTCTATTGAACTGGAATAGTAGGAACTGATTGTTTTTAGAAGTTGCGTAATACTTAACTGGCACCTTATCGTTATATTCCATTTGATAAATTTTTTGAGAAGCAAGAACTCTAATGTACCCTGTCTACAGCTTGACTTTGTCGAAAAGCTATCTGATTACAGCCCTATCCCGTTATATGGCGCTTAACTCTACCATTTTAAAGCAGAATAAAAGCCCTTTAAACAAACCAGCAGCACTTGAACGGACAATACTTCGTAGTGATACCTAGAGATTTAAGGCACCTATGAGAGAACATAAATCTCATACAAGCCCATGATTGTATAAAAGCAGTATCTTGGTGATGTACTTCTGGGAGACAAGCTTCTATAAGGATTCTCATTTTTGAGGGAGAACAGCTTAAAGTACTTCCGGGTTGATGACGTTCGCAACTACAACAACGCTTTGAAGATAACTGCTCTGCAAGCTCTGGCGGCAACACCTATTCAGCAAGCCCCTTGCCTCTCAAATTAAGAATTTTCCAAGCAGCCTGGTCTATGCAGCTGTTGTACGACAGAGGACCTGAAAAGACTAAGCTCTTGAAGCCTCGCATAAGCAACCAAATTCTCAGCAAATGCTAAGCAAACACCAGCCAGGCCAAGAAAAGGCCACTGAATAGCCTGAATGCAATCACTTTCGCGATAATTTCCACATCATGCCTTATAATGGTGCACATTACGGATTCTATCCTAGCTCATACTAGGCCCCGCCCACCCTACCTTTTCCGTGCGCAACATAGAAAATGCAGCGCAACGCCCACCGTGTCTACGAACCGAACCGTGTTTCAGTTACGTCCATAGTCGTTAACTTAGGTCTTGACAATGAAATGCTTAGGACGAAGGAAGAAGGAAGAAAAAGAAAAAGACCCTCTACCCATAGCGTTTTCTACCCCGTTTCCATACCGTAAAAGAACCATCCGGACCTAGTAATTTGGCGCCCCGACATCATCCGACAAGAAGCCATCAAAGTAATCATCCATCCACTTCATTGCCTCCTGGCCACACTCTTTGCTACCCTCGGGCCAGATGCGCAGAGTGCCAATGTAGCCATCGGGGCGAACGATGACGACGGCGGTCTCCGCACCCTGTAGGCCACCGAGCCACTTGTCAGTGCAGCTGCGGCCGCGCGTATCCATATGGGGGATATCGTCGAGGTAAACGGTCCAAGCAGAGTCCCGCAAGGCGTGCGGCAAGTCCTGGATCTCGAAGGATGATTTGAGTGCGCCAGAGACGACGAGGGCCCAGGTGAAGAGGCAGGAGACGGTGGTGTAGCGTTCGGGGCAGACAAACTCGTCGTGAGGTGCGGCGACGGGTGGCTGCAGCGTGTAGGACGCGTTTGCGGCGGCGCTCATGCGGCCCATGAATGACTGGCCTGCATTGTTGGCCTGTTTGCACACGGTGTCCATGAAACCCCGGCTCGCCAAAGGATCGTTGCAAAACAGGTAGACGCGGAACTGGCCCAGCGTCGGAATGTCCAACTGGATGTCGACCGGGTTTGCGTCCACGTAACGCGTCACCTTGGCCGGCGTCGGCAGGCAGCCTGGCCGCAGGTCGCCGTTGCCCATGTGCTTGGTCGGCACATTGAGCACGTTGGGGCCGTACTCAACCCCCACGCCGGAAATAAACCTGACGTTTTGCATAAAGTTCCGCGCTAGGGCATCCGAGTTTCCCGCGGCGAATGCGTTGGCGTGCTCGTAGTCGAAGTTGATCAAGTCCTGCGCGATCTTGCGCCGCTCGTCCTCATACGTCACCATCAGCTCGGGCTTCGCAAGCTTACGCACGGCCAGGTTGAGCTTCCATGCAAGATTCCATCCATCGTGCATCGAAGTGTTCCTGGAAAAAAGCAAAAGCAAATTAGTATTGCCTGGGGGTTTGCTCTTTCGGGTCAAACACTCACATGCCCTGTGCGGCCTTCGGAGAATGCGTGTGGCTGGCCTGTGCATTTGAGTCAGGATGGGCGATCGACAGCGAGTCAGGCTCAGATACTCACGTCTCCACAGATGTACACGCGACCCCTATCGTCGGTGAATCTGGTTGCAACTCTCTGTCCGACTTGGTATCTTCCAAACCACTCTGAAAAAAGGTCAGCGGCGTAATTTTTCCGCGAAAGTGCAATAACATACCAACCGTCTTCCACTTTAGGTGGAACGGGTGCATGATCTCCTGCGCCCTATGCATGACGAACTCCTGCGTAAGCTCGTCCCTGGACGCGCTTCCTCTGGACTCGGGCTTGAGCTCGATGTAGAGCCTCGTCAGGTTCCGTTCGCGGGGGATGATCAGGACCGAGCCGGCCTCTTCGGAGTAGATGACGGCCTTGGACCACAAGTCTGGGAAGTTGGTCTCGATCTGCCCGTCCAAGACTCCCCAAATAGCATCGGATGAAGCTCCCACCGGCTGCGCTCCAGGGATCGACTTGCGCACCTGCGAGTGGGCGCCATCACACCCGATAACGTAGCTGGTGGTCACCTTGCTCTTCTGCTGCTGAACTCCAACCATGCAGGTAACCTCGATGGGGGCGGTTTTGCCGGTGTAGGAAAAGTCCATGAAGGCCGTGTTTCTCCGGACAGCAACTCCCCGCTCTTCCATGTCGTCGATGAACAGCTGCTCGATCATGCCCTGGTGAACAAGGAGGATGTAGGGGTCCAGCAGGTCAACTGTTTCGCGCGGATAATGCACCTCCCGTCCAGCCCTCCGCATTTCCTCGTTCACGGCAGACCTCTGCTGCCGAGTCAGCATTCTGCAGAGAGGGGCATGTTGTCAGCATACCCAGAAGCAGATGTCAAAAACTTTGACGCCCTTGCGCAGCAGTGAATCAGAAAGGCGCATCTGGCGCAGGGTTTCGATCGACTTGGGCTGGAGGCCGTCGGCCCTGCCAGTCAAAGTGCGGTTCGGCCTGTTGTCGATGATGTCGACCTTGATGCCGAAACGGGCAAGGTTGTCGCTGGACGGGAGTTTAGCACTGGCATCTGCGAGGGGAGAATTGGACGCACGCAAGCATCAAGCCGGCTGGGCCGGCGCCGACAACCAGCACATCGCTGGTGGAGGGACCGCGGAGGCCATGGTTACCATTTAGGTTGGGGACATCGGCGGTTAGGACATCGACGCTGCCTTCTCTGAGCTCTTCATCCGGGATCTTGCTGGGGGACATTCTGTGGAACCTTGGGTGTTTGCTGCGCTTGATCAGATTCCATAGCTGCGGAGGCATCGCCAATTATGTCGGGTTCGAAGAGTGGGAAAAGTGGTGGAGGGCGGCTCCATCTTCTTTGAGTCTCAGGCGAGGCATTGCGGAGAAGAGCCAGCGGGCCGGGACTGCAGGAGCAGGGGCGGGTTCCGGGAGCGAAGGCGGCTACAGGTGGCCTGACCAGCTGCAGAATAATTTTCTCGCTGCGCGCAGCCAGCGGCAAGTATGGCTGAGGGCGTTGCGTCGGTGGATGTGCGTGGCGGCGCTCGGGCGCCAGGGGTGGATCGCTCGGGAATGACCTCCCCCACTTTCCTCTGCGGCTACGGGGGAGCCCAGCGCCCAACCCATCCTTGGGGCTTGCGATGCGATAAGCGGCCGCCGGCGCAACGGCTGCCGCTGCCGCATCGCGACTGCACGTGGCCGTATATGAAGATGGCCCAGCGACTGCCAGCGATCCCCAGCACCGACCTGATGGGGAGCACCGCACCGCCGTGGCTCGTCCAAGCCGAGCGCAAGCGCGCGCTGCAGCGCGCCGCCATTGACTCTTTCCTCGCCGAGTATCCACCCCTTCCGGTAGGTCATTGGCCCCCGCAACGCCCTCCCCCTTCGGCCATTCTCTTCACCCGTGTTTGAGCATTATTCTTGCTTTTTTCCGCTCCCGGCCGTCCCCGTGCCCTCCCTTTCCGCCTGACACGTGCTTCTAGGCCGCCGAACGGCATGCCACGGAGTCAATTCCGGACATCGACCGCGTCGAGGAGCTTCTTTCCAGCATCTCCACACGTGCGGTGAGCGCCGTAGACGTCGTCGTCGCGTACACGCACAGGTAAGGGCCGAGCGCTGGGTCGCGTACGGGGCCGTCGTCCTGATTCAGATCCCGTCCGCGCCCGCCTCGATCTTGTCCTTGGTTATTTTTATTGGAGATCTCTGACGCCGGGCAATCACTCGCAGAGCCATCGCGGCACATGGCAAGGTACGTTCACCAAAATTTACGCGAGGCGGAGTGCGCCACCGCACCTTCCCGCCGCCCTCCGGCTAACACGCCTCGCCCTAGACCAATTGGCACGTAATCCCGCTCCCGGATCGCGCTGCGTGCTAACCGCTCTGTTTCAGCCTTACGGAGGTGCTTTTCGACGACGCCCTCGCCCACGCCAAGGAGCTTGACCGGCATCTTGCGGCGACCGGCAAGCCGATCGGTCCCCTTCACGGGTAGGCTCATTTGCTTGGCCTCCTCCGCATCATCTAACGGCGACTAGGCTGCCTGTTACGCTCAAGGACCAGTTCGACGTCAAGGGATACGACAGCACCATCGGCTATGTCGCCAAAGCCTTCCGCCCCGCTTCCGAGGATGCTGTCGTCGTCGCTCTCCTGAGAGAATTGGGGGCGATCATAATTGCCAAAACAAATCTCCCCCAGTCCATAATGGTAAGTCGGCACGCCGTTGACCGCCCTCCGTATTGATAATAAACGCGAAACGTACTGTTCACTTTGCTCGCGTGCGCGCCGCTCAACACTTCACTGTTTCCTTTTTTGGATCCGGAACTTCCCTTCCAATGATCGCCCTATACTGCCCACTATATATCGCCCGTCTTATCCCGTCGATCTTCTGCTGCGCCCCAGGGGGAGGGCCGCCGATTCATTGGCTGTCTCTTAGATGAGGGTGCTATAGCGTCCTGACTGACAAATGCGCCGGCAGTGGTGTGAAACCGAAAACCCGCTCTGGGGGCTCACGACCAATCCTCGCAATCCCGCATTCACGCCCGGCGGCTCCACCGGCGGCGAGAGCGCGCTTCTCGCCGAGCACGGCTCCATCATTGGGTGGGGGACCGACATTGGGGGCTCCATTCGCATCCCGAGCCACATGCTCGGCCTATATGGCCTGAAACCCAGCGTGCGTGGCTTTCCTACCTATATCCTGGTGCCACGTAGCTGACGTGAACCAGAGCGGTCGGCTGCCGTACCAGAATGTCACCGTTTCAACCGATGGACAGGAGCATGTTCCGTCCGTCATCGGCCCGTTAGCAAGGTCATTGTGTTCGCTGCGATTCGTTACAAAGGCGGTCGTGGATGCCGCCCCTTGGCAATATGATCCAAAGGTCGTCCCTTTACCTTGGCGGGCTGATATCGAAGCAGAGATCCAGTCTCGACCGCTCGTTATAGGCCTGCTCGTAGATGATGGCGTGGTCAGAGTCCATCCTCCTATTGAACGTGTCGTGAGAGAAACGGCCCGTAAGTTAGAAGAGGCCGGCCATGAGGTGATCCCTTGGGACTACAGTGGCCACCAAGAATGCATTGAGATCATGGTAGGTCCCCCTTCGTCTCGTCTGGTGAAACATAGGTGCCAACGCCTGATTCAGGATCAATTCTACACGGCCGATGGCGGTGAAGATATTCGCCGAGAAGTACTCGCAGGCGGTGAACCGTTCATTCCGCACGTCGAAGCCCTCGTGAACCGAGGCAAACCAATTTCGGTCTATGAATACTGGCAGCTGAACAAACTGAAGCATGAACAGCAGAAGCGCTATCTTGACAAGTGGAACGCGGTGCGCTCGCCTTCGGGCCGCAAGGTTGACGTCCTGCTCACCCCGGTGATGCCCCACTCGGCGGTACCTCACCGTGGATGCCGATGGGTGGGCTATACTAAGGTCTGGAACTTCCTTGACTACAGTGCCGTTGTGCTGCCAGGCGGCGCTGTAGACAAGAACATGGATGCAAAGGCAGACACGAGTTATCAACCGAGAAACGAGCTGGACAAGTGGAACTGGAGCCTCTATGACCCAGAATCTATGGACGGCATGCCCGTTGGCTTGCAGATCGTTGGCCGCAAACTTGAGGAGGAGAAGGTTCTCGGAGCGGCCAAGGTGGTAGAATCTATTCTTCAAAGAAAGTGATGCTGCTAGAGGCAATAGACGATCAAGCAATCCTTTCCTACTTCTCTAGCAATTATGGTGCTAAATGATATTCAGAATACCCGTCGATATGTCGGTGGATTCCTGGGTCAGTAGTAGACGAAAAGAGCCGCTTTCCGCCCCACAAACAGCGCTGCCTGGCATAGAACCCCCACACAGCAGCCTGGAAGAATTAACATCGTTACCGTGGGCTGTAGAATATCTAGACTCTTTGTGCTCCAGGAGTAGCTCTTCGATTTTCTTATGTAAGCAGTTGAAGCAGATATCTGGACGTAGATATGAGTCTCAGTTTCTTCAGTTTAAGCATGTGCTGTAGGTAGGCATTCGCACCCCGGAACATCTAACCACCCCGGAGCGCACGTGCGGCTCCAGTTGCTTGCCCTGCAGGAACTACTATATGCGCCTTCCTTCGCCGCGTCCGTCAACCCAACCCAGCTCACCCACAACCACTGCGCTCCATCTTGGCGAGCGCGCTCCATTCGCCTTGCGCGTACCTGATCAGACGGCTTCTTCGTTTCCTTCTTAGGCGGACAGCGCTTCATTCCTCCTACTTTTGCCTCACTGACGTCACACTCAACGCAACGCGTCCGCTGACCGCGTCAGGTCGCACAGCTACAACATGACGGCGCCCGACGTCCTCTGGGCTCAGAGGTCGTGCTACTCGCCTGACAACAACTATGTGATCTTGACCATCGCAATCCACGATGTTCCGGCAAACCGCCTCAATCTCGACTTGCAAGAACGCAAGGTTGCCCTCGACGCTCGCTCGGACCTGAAGAATACTGATTATCACCTTGAGCTGAATCTGCACGACGACATTTATCCGGACGAGACCGAAGTCAAGCACACTGATCGCCAGCTCGAACTCAAGCTGTTCAAGGCTGAGCCCGACTACTGGTGGCCGGCTCTGCTCTCTGACGCCGAAGTCCCAGCCTACATCAAGCAGGACTTCGAGCGCTGGGTTAACAAAGATGCGCAGGATGGCGAGCCCGATCCTTTGGAGGAACAAATTGCGAACATGGAGCGCCAGGAGCTCCAGGCTCTCGCTGACGCCGCGCTCTCTTCGCTTTCCGTGTCGGAGCACTTCGTCACCCACACTGAGCGTCAGTTGGGTGCAGAGAAGCTTACTGAAGTTTCCAGTCTGCAGGGCGATGAGGAGGACAGCGACGAAGAGGACGAGGATGCTTCGGACAATGACATCGGCAAATTCAGTGACGACAGTGACTCGGACGATGAGGATCCTCCTTCCCCTCCTGGTAGTGGTGGTGCGAATGGACGCGATTCTGGAGGTGACCACGCACATCACGATGATTCTGCACCGCAGGACAAGGACTTGGATCATGGAAGCGGCCCCGCGGCCAATGACAACACCGGCAAAGAAGGCTGTCGTGGAGGCGAAAACAACAACGCAGAGGGAGCCAACCAGGAACTGCCTGAGCAATCTTCCGTGGAAAAATGGAGCGATGACGATAGCTCTGATGTAGAAGACATTACCGTTGTCAATGAACAGACATCCGACCGAATCGAGATGCAGGATGATGAGGATCATGAGACGGAATCTGGAGGAGAGTTTCGAAAGCATCTGGCCCAGCACGACCGCACTGAAACCCTTGATTGGGCCAGAAACTTGGGTGGCGTTCGTCCTCTGATTACTCGAGCTGGCCGCAAGCTTCCTTTCAATCTTCGACCCTTGAGCTTTGAGGCATGGAAAAGGTTGGTCGACAGGACCATTGAGCTCTGCGTAAGTCTATGATCCACTTTGTTTCAAGCTTGATTTGATATATGAACAGAACGTCAAGAATTCTCGATTGATGCAACTCCCCCAAGATATTCGCCTGGATATCTTCGAGCTTGCCGTCACGACCGGAGAACGAATTTATTTCTGTCCCGAATTACGACCGAGATATGAAGGCTTGTATGCCAACATGATCGAAGAGGGAGCTTACAAGAAGAATAAGACCTCCGATTTGAGAATGCGGGCTGCGGTCAATACGGCCAAGTCCGAGTCCTGCTCCCGTTACTACATCGGAAATGATATGGGCAGATGCAAAGCGCCGGCTTTGCTGTACGTATCGAGGCAAGTCAGCGAGGAGACGTGCATCGCGCTTTACAGGAGGAACACATTTGCCTTCCGCGATATTCACGGCTTCGTCGCCCTTGAGTGCTTCCTTCATTCGATTGGCCACTTCAACATGCATCAACTTCGCAGGCTGGATGTTCACGTTCCGATCTGGTTCCATGGTCGGACTCTGGATAAGCTGCGTTCCACCTGGGTCTTCAAGGCGGCCAAATCATTTGGTCTCGAGGCTGCCAGGCCGCACAAAGATAGGATCAGAGGATCATTCGAGGCGTGCATCAACAAGTTGGCTAAGGTTGGAAAGCTTAAAGAACTTAACCTCATCATCTCTTCTGAGAACGTCAAGCACTGGCACATGGAGTACCACGAGGCTACAGCCGGGATGCCGAGCAACAAGAAGATCGTTTACGCTAAGCGCCTTAGCCAGGAGGAGTACATGTTCAAGCACGTCTTGGCAAAGGTCCCCAAGCTGGTGACCACAGTCGTTGCCGAGGAGAGCATCAAAGACCCCAGGTACCGTGAGGAGACTTGGGAGGGTGAGAGGGCCCAGTATCAGAGGTACTTCGCGGCGATTGAAAGGAAGTGCAAGCACTACGGCTTCCTCTTCGAGCGTAGGACGCCGCAAGATGTACGTGCCAATGTGACGCTTATACTTGAGCGACAGAATAGGAATTGCTAACGCTCTCTAGGCTTTTCGGAAGAGCCATCGCCTTGGCGCGCTCCGTCAGCTGTGCAACTCCGAGGGGCTCAGCCTTGACAACGTCACGGACGAAGACCTCATGAACTTCTACATCAACTATCAGGAGCCGCAGGTCTGATAATCCTGGCTTCACGATCTTGGTGCTGTATTTGCTTAGGGGATATCAATCGGTCTGTCAACCACCGTGGTGCAACCTCCGGGCATTACATTACTTTCTGATTTGGGCGCGATTCTGGCTCGATGGGTATGGGATCTCGGGCAGTTGAAGTTCATGAGATGCGAGGTGTTTCGTCAGATAGGCATCGATTTGGAGGTATAGTTCCTTCTGCCCGGTGCAAATTCATGGGTAGTTCATGTATACTATGATCTGCGAAGGTGACGTGATGTACGTATGCAGGTATCCGTCCTCGCAGCGGCCAAACCGCCCGGCACAGAGGTACGGGCTTGGTGCACCTTGCATACAGCACCGACAGGTTGGTACTGTCATGGGTTGTAAAGGTGGGTGTTCCTGCAGACAGGGTTACACGCCGGAGTCAGCTCCCGCTTTCGAGCACAAACGGTCTCCCTGCATCACCATCGGCCAAATGGCCGTTTGCCATGCACATGTTTCATGGCAAAGCTAAACATGCAGACTCCTAACCCAGTTGGAGAAAGGTTGTATGGTGGCGCGATTTCATTGTACTGCGCCACTTGTTTCTTTTCTTTATGCTGTTTTCGTGCTAGTCCTACATTCCTGCGTGAGTTTTAGCGGGGATTCCCGCTACTCACATGGCTTGAAGAGAGAATGTTCGAGCACTATACTATATCCTTCCTATGATGGTAGTTAAAGTAAACATACGGACGGAGATGTGGAGTTTCTTTTTTTTAAAAAAAAAAACAAAAACGGTACGAACACATCGAGATACGCTTCAACTGGCAACGTAGAAAAAAAAAAAAAAACACACAATGCCCGCTCGTTGGGCAAATATTTTGCCTTCTATTGTGCCACGTACACGATGTCGCTGAAGGTGGTGCAAATAGAATACCGGTGCCGCATGCCAATACACAAGTTTTCAGCCGCACGCTATCGATTGAACAGTCTGTCTCTCCTTTGTTGCCGGTTTTGGTAATCAATGTATTATAGATGGAGGTCAATTATGGTACACAAGCTTCAAACACGGCGGTTCATGCGGAGGCGACGATCTGTCGCGGGCGCGATTATGCAGCAGGAAGCCGTATTGTGCGAAGTGGCATGGCCCACGGACGCAGCCAATACGAGGGTTTTTTGACTCATGTTTTAGCCGACGTGAGAGCGACATGAGGTTCTTTTAATTATTGTGTCTCGTATGACCCGACGCGGCGAGTGCAAGGGGACGCGCAATAGGTGATGGCTGTGTGCCTTGCTTGGATGGTCTTCTGTCTCGTGGGCAGATTTGGAGGTTTTCGGGGGGGAAAAATCGAAAGAAGGGCGGGGGAAGCGATTGATCATGTAGCCTAGCCATCCATGCCTTGCTTAAACGTCTATCTGCCGACTTAGAGCCACGCAAAGATGGTCTAGAACCGGGAGTTGTAGAGTTAAATGCACAACAAGATTCCGGGGTCTGCAACAGCCGCATTCAGATGCGCTAAGCGATGGTGGTGTAGTTGGTTTATCACGTCAGTCTAACAGTCCCCTGTTCACTGAAGGTCCCGAGTTCAAACCTCGGCCGTCGTATATCTTTTTGCCGTTCGGCAGTGGTGGGTGGTGTGGTGCTCAGGAGTGGAGTTGTGCACGGGCGCGGCGGGAAGCGGCAGTCATCAGTCAGGGACCACGAGTCGTCGGAGCGCTCAGCTCGTGGCGCCCTTGTTGGCGAGCCCGCCCTTGCAGCGCGCCGCTCGTGATGCCTCCTTTGGGCCTCAGCTCCCGATCCGCCCGCTGCACGCTGAGCTTGTCCGGCGCTGCATCGCCAGTCGGGAAGCGATCGTTGAGACGGACGGCGCACGGGCGACGCGAGAAAAAAACATGTCGACGAATCTCGTGCCCGTTTCAGCTTGCGGCTAAGGCCAGCGAGCGGCACATCACCCCCATCAGGCAGCCCTGTCCGCCCATCAATTTGGCCCATTCCTAGAACCATGAATCTGCGTCAGCTTATATGCGCGCCGTGTGTCCTGAGCCCGCCTGGTCTGGCCTGGCCCTTTTCTTTTCCTTCCCTCTCTGCGTGCCCCTTGCCGGCCACCAGAAGCTGTTCGCGCGCGCATTTCGAAGAGAAGGGTCTGCAACGGCGCTACCGTGGGATCATTGGACCCCAATTCCACCGGCCTTTCCTTATCTTCCCGGATCACGCACCAAACACTCCTGCGCGAGCCGAGCCAAGCAGCCTGCACAATGTCCTTCGTCAAGCGACTCCAATTCGTCTCGGTCGTCGACACGCCCTTCGACCCGTCGCATCGCTTCGCGACATCATGGCTGCTGCCGCCGGGCGCGCTGTTCGCCCTCCGCGCGCTGCTGTCCGTCTACGCCTTCACCACCGCCTTCTTCAACCTGGGCTGGCGCGGCACCCACCACCTCGGCGGCGTCGGCCAGTCGTTTTCCTACTTCACCAATTTGACATACTGGGGCCTGGCCTTCTACTTCGCCTTTGCCGCCCTCCACACTGGCACCTACTGGTTGACCGGCCGCCCACTTTTGGCCAGATGGCCCCCGGCCCTGCAGGTGCTGCACGCTATCTATTACAGCACTGTAACTAATTTCCCCTTTATTGTGACGAGTGAGTGACTTTTATCTTATTTCAATCTTTCAATGATTTTATTTCATGAGTTGGTCTGGGAAAGGTGGATATAAGCCTTCTTTGCTTTTCCAACTCTATCTCAGACAAAAGATAAGGAAAAGGAGAAAGAAATAGGGAAAGAGAGAGCTTGATGCGAATAATTACTCGTTGAAAAAAGCAGCCTTCGAAAAAGAAGAGAAACAAAAAAAGACATGGCTGACCCCAAATTTTCACCAGTCGTCTACTGGGCCATCCTGTCCGGCAATTCGTTCGTCACCCCTTTCACTTCATACTACAACGTCTCGGCACACGCAATGAACTCCGGGTTCGCGCTACTCGAAGTGCTGCTGCCGCGCACGGCGCCCAGCCCGTGGTGGCACATGGCTCCGCTGGTGTTGCTGCTCGCCCTCTACCTCGCCCTCGCGTACATCACGTACTACACGCAGCACTTCTACGTCTACTCGTTCCTAGACATCCAGTCCAACGGCTCCGGGTCCGTCACGGGCTACTGCTTCGGAATCCTGATCGGCATGGCCATTATTTTTGTTATCGTGCACTTTTTGGTCAAGGGGAGGGTGTGGCTGACCGAGCAGGTCTTGGGGATGGACGGGAAGTTCAGCAGGAGGGAAGCCGGCAGGATGGGCGGCGAGATTCATGTTGCGCCCGAGGTCGGGAGCGAGGGCTACGTCGAGATGGAGGCGGCCATGCAGACGCACGAGGCCGTGAAGATGCGTCTGAGGGAAGAGGCGGAGCAGCAGGCCCAGGCGCAGGTGGGCCTGACGCATTAAAGACTTTTTTTTTCTCTTTCTCTTCAACTTTCGGCTTTTACCCGTTTCGAGCGGAGAGCGAGCATGGAAGCATGGGTTACGGGGAAGATGACGATGAGATGGAATCCTTCTTTTTTGCTTCGGAATGTAAGAGACAGGTGAAGGGCAAGTATATGCTGGTACCGCTATGTTTTGTTAATGTTTTATTGTCGACATTGGAAAAGGGGGCATCTGGAAAGGGCATAGCATACTCAGCTCCCCTCTGGTATTTTGTTGAATGTTCTTACGAGCTGTGCAGTTAGTAGATGCAGGGAGCAGTGGGCGTTCTTGTATGATACACACAGGGAATACTGTGCTCCTTTTTTCGGGATCTTCGCCTGAGGGAAAGAAGAGAGGTTGTACGAACATTGTTTTCTTCTTCTTCAGCAGCTGTTATTTTCTTTACTTCGCAGCAGGTCCGAGACATAGCGTCGTTAGGCGTGCTTTTGTCTGTGTCCCACGTTTACTTGGGTCAAATTAAGAAATTATGAGGCGGTATCAAGGTCAGTTCGAAACTTCTGAGTCGAGACACGATATTATTAACGTTTAGATAATACAAAAGCTTCCCGGGCGAGCCAAGTCTATGGATGCAGTGAAGTGAATAACGAACTTTTAACTCCAGAACCCCGCCATCTATGTCATTAGTGATTAGTCTTAACCTCGGCGTTCCTCCTCGTCCTTCTCCTTCTCCTCTTCCTTGAACCCCTGGTCCGTGGCCAAGGCCTGATCAAGCGGCAAGCCCTCAACGAAAAGACTGATGACGCCAGCCACGGCGGCGAGGGCGCACATGACGATCCACACGCGCCTCAGGCCGTAGACGTAGGCGACCTTGAGCTGGGCCTTCTGGAGGCTGTCGTCGGGCATGCTCTTGATGATCTCGACGAGGCTGCTGGCGTCCTTGGACAGGGCGGCGGCGTTGGGGGCGAGGGCCGGGAAGGTCAGCAGCTTCTCGCGGATCTGGTTCTGGAAGACGACGCCGCCGATGGCGACGCCGAGCGTCTGGCCCAGGGCGCGCAGGAAGGCGAACATGGTGACGGCGGCGGCCTGGTCCTGGGCGCTCGACGCGGCCTGCACGGCCAGGCCCATGGACGGGAACAGGATGCCGGTGCCGATGCCGGGGACGAGGTTGAGGAAGACCCAGGCGGGCACCTTGGTGTCGACGTCGAGGTAGATGAGCAGGCCCAGGCCCAGCGTGGTCATGAACCAGCCGCTCCACAGAGCCCAGCGGTAGCGGCCGGTGTGGGCGATGGCGAAGCCGACGAGCATGGCAGCCGGGGCGACGGTGAAGGTCTGCGGGAAGAGGGCGACGCCGGCCAGGACGGGCGAGTAGCCCTTGACGGCCTCGTAGTAGAGCGGGGCGTAGTACAGCTCCGACCACAGCACCAGCCCGTGCAGCACCGTCTGCGCGAACGTCGACGCCGCCGTGCGGTTCTTGAAGACGCGCGTCAAGATGAGCGGATTGGCGGCATAGCGGTCCTCGTAGACGATGAAGCAGATCAGCGCGACGCCGCACACGATGAGCGGCACCAGCGTCCGCCACGAGTCCCACGCGTACTGCACCCCGCCCCACGTGATGGGGATCAGCAGCCCGGTCGTGGCTGCCACAAAGACAAAAACGCCGATCCAGTCGATGCGCACGAGCTTCTGCACGAGCGAGCTGGTCTGGAAGTGCAGCTTCAGGAAGAAGATGACCATGGGCACGCCGATGCCGATGAACGGCAGGTTGATCCAGAAGATCCACCGCCACGACACCTTCTCAGCGAAACCGCCGCCGAGAAGTGGCCCGAAGACGGTGCCTAGGGCCCACATGCTGCTGATTAAGCTGAACCACTTGCCGCGCTCGCGCATCGGGACCAGGTCCGTCACCACGATCTCCGTCAGCACGATGATGCCGCCGCCGCCGATGCCCTGTATGCTGCGCCCGATCAGGATGACAGTGAAGTCATTCGCGACGGCAGCCACGATGGCCCCGGCACCGAAGAGAGCCAGCGAGAGCAATATCATGGGCTTGCGGCCGAAGACATCGCTGAAGGACCCCATCACCGGCTGGAAAACCGTCGAAGTCAGGAGGAAAGACGTGCCGGCCCAGAATGCTTCGATGGCAGAACCATGGAGGACCTTCGCCATGATCTGCGAGTCATGGTCAGTGGCTGCTGGTGCAAGTCATGAGAAGAGTACTGACCGAGAGGGCAACCGAGATGCTAGTTGCGTCGAGAGCAGCCATCAAAGTGATGACCGAGAGTGAGCTGAAGGCTACATAGAATCGCCACGTGGGATTGAATGCAGTTGTTTGACGAGGCTCTGAACTCGGCTCATCTCCCAATGGCGTCGGTGGGGCTTTGGACAGAATCCCCGACTTTATCGAAGTCGCCTCCGATTGAGGCAGCGACATTTTCGGTAGGACGCGAGGAACTGAGAATGCAGTACTCAAAGTACCAAGGTACCAGGTCTCTTTTGTATGTACACAGCGCGGCGTCGGACCGGTTGTAGGCGCACGGGCGAAGGGCTGAAATGAATGGCTGAGAGAGGGCTGGCTGTTGACAGCTCGCCACGTAAGTATCGAAAGGGGAGATACAAATTTTTATCCACAGGGGCCACGAACAGTGAAGACTGTTTTGGTAGACGCAAAAATGAAGCATTGCGGCACGCTTTATAAAAACGTCATCCATTGTTGAACTTCATCCGCTGTTCGTCCAAATCCAAGTCGGCCCATCATTGTCGCCGTGCCAGCAACAGATCTAGTAACAGATGCGCGAAGCGGAGATCTCCTGACCCACATGGACGGAGTTGCCGAAAATTCTTGGGGCCGTAACGTTGGCGCTCTCAATCAGTGAGTAAGAGGGCTAGATTTCAGCCTCATCGTGGCCCCAGGCGATCCTTCCACGCGGCCGCGCTTAAGCTGTAGCCTGGCGTGGCGGCGAGACGTTAGCCCGGCTGCTGAAAAAGTGCCGGAAGGATTCTGCAGGAGCCGGCTCGACATTGGCCCGACCCAAGCCCACGTCACGTGCTCGCTTCCCCGACAACTGCACTCGGACCAACTCAGATCCCCGTCCTCTCAGAAAGCTTGCTGCAACGACCACGGTCTTCTGATCCTCGCAAAAAGATACTATAAACAATCCACACGGAAATATATCATTCCGCCGCCCAAGGTGCAATTCACTAGGCCAAGTAGGACCCATATTTATTTCTGGAACCCCCAAGTACTACTACGCAAACTAGTTAGCTTTCCTACAACCATGGTATAAGAGATTACCTAGGGTCCAACTACCACCAAAAATTTGTACCCTAGTGATTGGTTAGATGCCAACACTGCCAGAGAGCAAACAAACGTCACATTGCCCTTCTGCTGTTTCAAGGCTCAGACAACGCTACTGAGCATTATTTGAAATGTCTGTTTCGGAAGAGCAACAACAATATGAGGTGTTTCGACAAGCAGTGTTACTTACCCTTCCGCCTGTCTTTGTCAGTCCTTCGCCAAGACCCCTATCCGGAATGCTCGCCCATTCCGCACGTGGTCCGGTGCTGCTCTTTGTTGTCAAGGCCGCTCCCGCAGAGCGCCTGCTCTCCCACAGTTTCATTTGTTGAAACATCTTTCCGCTACACGTCCCATAGCGCTCGAACCAGGCATGCCCTACGCCAAGGCACATGTCCCTCCCACTGCGCCTGTCTTCGGAAATGAGACGCCCGCACTTGGCGGCATGGAGCAGAGTGTACCAATTTCCTTCCGTGACTTCATGAAAACCGCGCCTCCGCAACGCAAACCATTGCCGCCAATACCATCGCTCGCCTTGTCGCTGTCTGACAATCCAAGCCGCTCGGAAGACTGTCTGAAGAAGACGTCGGAACCATGGCCACGCGAAGACAAAATGGACGGCGAGCGAGCCCTCAAGCCGCCCAAGGATTTCTTCCTTCAACCCGCCACATACACGGCCAGCAACCCGGCCTTGTCCAAGCCTGAAGCGCAGCGACCCCCGCTTCTGCAGCCAAGGAGGTTTGAACTGATCATTCCCGACCCTTCGCCACAGCCAAGCCCGGAGTCGAGGACGCCTGCTTTTGAATACGAGAACCACATCGACTTTCCGCCAAGCCCAGCCTCTAGCAAGCCACCGCAATCTCCACTCCCGCCCATACCAGCCGCCATAGGCCCTGCGAAGCGGAAACATCTTTCGATGCCGCCCAAGACTCCTACTCCACCTCCTTCCGCACCAGTAACGCGCGTGGTAATTCCGGCAACGGCCGCCTGCGAATCGTCCTTGATTATATCTCCTTTCGACTTGAACACCCCACTCTCGCCATGGACGGGCGATTCCTTGCTTTATCAACAGCCAACAGCGTCTACCTCGCCTCGAAGATTAGTGCCTCGTAGCGCCGCTCCGGGCGTGTACGACGAGTGGGAAGATGTCGTCGAGACAAGGCGCATCCGCAAAGACAGACTTTCGCAAGACTACCACGTAGCCCTCGTCGAACAGTACCGCGAGCTCGTTTCCCCTTCGTCAGACATCTTCGCTGGCGATGAGAGCCCCAGGGCGTTGCCGGATCCGAAACCGAGCAGAGGATACAACGACGACGATCTGATACCGCTGCCCCTCGCTCCGAGGAAAGGTTCCTCAGACCGCTATGACGTTGTCGACAGGAGCAGTCCGTTTCCGGAAGACCACTACGATCAGCCACCCGATTCCCTATCCCCGCGGCGATCCGACCGGCGAAGGTCCAGCATCCGCGAGAAACTCCCAGCCCTTGCGGCCGGCACGCTCAACATGATCCTACCGTCGAAACATTACCGGAACACCAGCTCCATGAGCTCCCGGAGCGGCGAGATACCCATCTCCCCGCCGGCGGATCACGTAAGTTTCGGGAAACGAGCCGTCGTCGCGCGGGCGCGATCGCCGGTGCCGCCATCACCAAAGGTCCGGCCACGGAGTCGAGCGTTCCCCGTAGCTGCCGCACGCCCCCAGTCAGGCGTGTACACCGTGGGACGTACGAAGCTGGGGCCGAAGAGTGGGAAGCCGAAAAAGAAAGGGAAGAGAGGGAAGAAGGGGAAAGGCGGGCCTGCAGAAAACACACCTCCGCTTGCACTCACGCTCACCTCGTCTTTGTCAACCAACGATTCTTCATCAACACGCCCCTCTACGGAGCGCCTTCACCGCCTCAATGTGAGCGCACCGATTCCCACTCCTGGGGCAGCATCGGCCCAAGTTCTTCGCGCCACCTCTAGCAGTCCCTCAACAAGCTCCTACTCTTCCCAAAAATCCCAGCCACGCTCTTCACCGTCCGCGACACCACTACCTCCCTCCATCACCAACAAGCCGCCCACTCCTTCTCCTCTTGGCCGCGGCCTCACCCACACCGAGCTCTTCGCATCCGCTCCAGCCTCGCGGCCAACGTACCCGCGCAAAATGTCCTCAGGTCCCCCAGCCTCAGCCCCGCTGCCGCAACAGCAAGCTCATCGCCGCCGGAAATCCTCCGGTTCCCGCACCGGCCTGCTCCACGCGCTCGGGCTGGGCAAAGGGGAAGGCAGCAGCAACAGCCACAGCGGTGGCGACAGCAGCAGACTGCCGTTCGTGCACGAAAAGAAGCTTCACGGCACCTCTGCGCCCGGGCCGCTGCCATCGCCGTCGCTGTTGTCTGGAGCGAAGAGAAGCCGTGAGGGTGCGGGTAGGCGCGGCAGCAGTGGCGGCGCAGTCGCCATGCCGCAAGTCCGCAGCCTAGCAGCCGCAGCGGTGGCGCCGGCGATGAGATCAGCTCCTCTCCCTTCCTCTTCTTCCACTTCGCTTGCTTCGCTCGACAAGGCGAAGGGTGGTGCCGATGCACGTGATGCTGGTGGTGGTGGTGGTGGCGGGGGTCGCAGCGTCGCAGGTTGGAGACTCAGCTCGGCGTCGCAGCAGCAGCAACATCACCTATCATTGTACAAGAAGGCCGTCGAGGCGCACCGCAGCCACAAGCGCGAGCGCCAGAAGCAGGAGATGAAGAAGTCGATCCGTGTGCTGGGCCAGGCAGATCCGCAACAGGTGGTGCAGGGATACGTGAGGGTTGCAGCGGGAGCTGTGGCAGGGCCGGGGATCAAGCCGGTATATGGTAGGACCGGGAGTGGAAATGCGGACAAAGGTGGGGAAGGGTGGCTGTGAGCGAGTGGTCATTTTTCGCTGCGGATGTCCATATCAAGCTCCTGGTGCGCCTTTGGGATTGCGGCAGCAACGAATCCTGTAGCCTTTATCATACTCATGCCGAAATACTCATCCTTCTTGTTGAGTTGGATATCATGTGCGGATCAACGCTGGAGAGGTCAGCGTGAAACCAAGGAGCAGAAGGCTAGTGTTTGCATGAGACGATGGTCGGTAGTCGTATTCATGAGCGTCGCCCCCAGACCAGTTACGTGCTCAGAAATCGCGTGCGCGGGTTGAAAAGCGTCTTTATGGATGGCTGTTAACGGAAGTCGTCGGTGGTGGGGTTGGAAAGATGGGGCGGACCAAGCTTGGAGAGCTGCACGTGACCTTGACAGGGCTGAGCGAATCGAGTTGGAGCGGGCGGTCGGGGGTTCTCGGCGAATGGCAGCACAGGTAAAGCTTCCAACATCATCGCATCCACGCGCGGTCCTTCCACCATCAACGCGCCTCCAATCGACCATGTTCGCCGCCCGCAGAAGCGCAGCGAGGGCCGCCCAGGCCTCGCGCGCCGCCGTCGCCCGCCAATCGCGCCGCGCCGCCTCGCACGACGCCCACCACCACCACGCCGCCGACGCCCACCACGGTCCGAAGGAGGAGCACTTCAGCGTACGCCCATCATACACACCACCGTCCGCACCGGCACCGCTCCGACATTCTTCTCTCCGCACACACCCTCCCCGCACATAGCCTCGCATGCCCTGCCTCCAATCGCCGCGGGAACACATGAAATAACCAATTGCGACAGACCGGCTTCTACTTCGCCGTGGGCTTGATTCCCGCCGGCTTCCTGCTCTACCAATGGACCGGCACGCCCAACGACCCCGCCGACGGCCGCAAGCCCTACTTCACCCGCATGGTCGACATGTACTCGGACTACCGCCAAACCTGGGCTGAGCGCAACAAGCTGCACACCGACATGATCGAGCAGGCCGCTTTCGACCGCCACCTCTTCCTCAACTCCACCCCCCGTCGCCACGTCGACTTGACCTTCCCTGAGTACGTCCCTGTAGAAAGCGTTGTCGGTTGAGGCAAAAGGGCAATTATGCTGACAGCACAAACAGGGCTTTCAACTGCGGCTCGCCGTACAACGTTCCCGCCGGATCGCAGGCTGACCTCTCCAAGGTCATCGAGCACTATGAGAAGGTCAACTACGAGGAGAATGCCAAGAAGCTCGAGGCCCTCAAGAACGGCACTCTCAAGGCTGAGCAGCCCCCCTCCAAGCTGGGCAGCGGCAAGGCTCCTGCCATTGTCCCGCCCTCGCCTGCTTAGAGAGAGAATCTTTTGTAGAAATACCATCAAGTGCTGTTCGAGAGTTGTCTAGGCTTCCACTATTGATTCTCCCTTTGAATTCATCTTTTCACATCCAACTACAAGAGTTATCACCACCTTGTTCAAGAGTGAGAGAAACACGTCAATCTTCCACAAAGTTGATTGTAGCTATCACTCCCTATTTTCCTCTCATGGCTGTAAGCCGGGCAGCTCCCCGCGGGATATGCATTTGATAAACATTGCTCCCTTACCCAGTCAGGCTCCTCCCAGGAAAGGCTTCTGTGCAGAACCTCATATCAGGACATCATCAACTGGAAGTCTCATAAGTATGGCAGTGCAGTAACGGATCCGAAAGAAGGAGGCAGGGTCATACCGTATGACTGAAAAGGCCATAGACCCCGTCTCAGCGAGAATTGCATGCTAAGCGCTCACTTTGATTTGTCGTTGTCGTTGGTCGTGCTCTCCTCATTGTCGTTGGCCGCCTCATCCTCGACAGGACATCCGAGATAGACGGCTGGTGATGTTAGTGGTTAATGCATATCTGGGTTTGGTAACGGAGGCATACCTTGAGCGTAGAGTCGGTACGTGTCCGCGTTCTCGGTTGCCATGTCCGCTGGCAAGTTGGCTGCATTAGGCCATTCGGTTGCGTAGTCGTGGGTGTCCGGGCTGAATACGCGGGACAAGTGTGAGAGCTCATGGATCATGACCCCAGTCAGATCGAGATCGTGGCATGTCTGGGTGAGCGACGGTAAATCGAAAGCTACGTCACACAGGCATACGATATGGTATGCATCGAAGGCGTAGGCAGCAGACCATTCGCCGTTGTCGATCTTGCAGAAACCAAGGACGTCCTCACAGTGGAACTTGACCGGGCCTTGTTCGATGGTTTCGCATTCGTCAGCAATCGCACGGAGGCGCTCAGAAACCCTGTCCTTGAAGACTTGGTCCTCGGTGTTGAAGAACTGCTTGAACCTACAACTAATCAGCACTTTCATTGAGACCAAGGGTCTGCCTTTTGACTCACAAGTCGCTCGCCTCGTCGGAGCCGGCATCGTCAGCGGCTTTGTCTGCCTGTTCTGTACAGCCACCATCGCCGATGATAGCAGCCTCTACTCGGGTGAGGAGATCTCCTTCGCAACTGTCCTTGACATCGACTCCCGAGATGAACCTACTCCGAGCTGTCTTGGTCGAGTTGGCTAGAGCCTGTTGAAGCTCAACCTGAACGTCGTTGCTGTGGTAGGCTACGGTACTGCCGTTGAGGAGCGTTGAGTAACCCTCGGCGTAGGGAATGAAGCCAAGTGCAACCGCTGTGAAGTTGCCACCAGCGCCGAGGTCATACTCCTCAGCGGCGTCGAAGCGGACGGTAAGCGACTCGCCAACGGGAAGGTGAGAGAAGTAGTCGGCGCTGTAATTTCCAGGGCGGGGAGCGGCGAACCGAACGCCCTCGAAAGGAAGCAGAATGCCTTTCTGGTGTCATTAGCGTGCTCTTTACCGGTAGGCCGTCCTACAATGGAGCCAAGTCGATAACTCACCGTCGGAAGTCATAACAATCTTCTGGGTGGGGACGTCACCAAGAAGGGTGCCTTTGTTGAACAGGTTGACGGCGCAAGAGCCCGTGTTGGTCAACTTGACCTCCATGGCAGATCCACCCACCGAGGTGAGCTCAGCATCGAGCGAGGCGCACACAGCTAGAGCTGCAAACGCAAGAAGGCAGAGGTTGGATAGGAACCTCATTGTGGCGGCTGTGAGTGAAAGCGATTGGCTGTAGTTGGGCAGGTTGAAGGTGAGCGGTTGCTTGCGAAGCTGGTGGTGGAGCAAAGAGTGAGGAAAGTTGGATGCAAAAGTTGAGTGACAACTGGAGGAGTTCATAAAGGCTTTCACCCGGGCTTTCAAAAAGGGAAACTACGATGGAGCAGAAAGAGAAGGCACAGATCAGGCTCCCATCTGCTGCCCGCTGCACGCAACTCTCACTTACATGACCGGTGGCTCCTTCCTTCTATAATGCACCCATGCACGTGATTCTGTCAAGACAAAGAGATCCGTTCAACTACAGCTAAAGAGACGTATCATCTCGACCGCCTTTCCGCACCATCACCAACCCTCCCGTCATAAGTCCTCCTCTCCTCGGCGCCACCATACCTCGCGGCCGCGCCCGCAGTCGTACGCGCACCGGCGCCGCTTCTTGCTGCCATCATCTCTCTCGCCCTTTCCGCAGCGTTCTGCTGTAGCCTTGCAGCAAGGCCATCAACCTTCGTCCCGCGACACTCCGGGCAAGCGTGTGCGGTATGTCGGCGCTCCATGATGCGAAAGCGAGGACAGTGCTCAAACGCGCGTGTGTCTGCATCGACATTAACGCGGCCGCACGGCTCGATATGACGGCGGGCGGCGCTGCCGCCCCGGAGGTGGCCGCATCTGTAGAGACAGAGAGTTTCGGTGCACATTTTCCCCTCTCTTGTTCGGGGGCGTTTGTGCTCGTTTGTCGGGGGATGGAAGAATGAGAAGTTGCGCTTGTTGTTGTTGTTGTTTGCGCTCGCAAGTCGACAGTTAGAGATAGTCAGGAGGTGGGCCTGCGTGCTTCTTGTTTGCAGCGGGATGTGGTGTTGCGAAGGATGACTCGGACTGAACGGCAAAGCTCCAAAGGTTGAAGAATCTAGGAGTGGAAACACGAATTTAATGTGTGTGGTTTGCGTGTTACATACACCCCACGTGTGCGACTCAATTGACTTCGGTCAATTGGTTTGCTGCAAATGGGATATGACAGCCTGGCATTTGTTGGTGCACGTCGGCATAATCTCTCTGCTGCATGGCTACCCAAACCGATGCGCGTCCCCCGTCTGGTAAGCACTCTCCCGAACGCCACTCGCCGACTCGTGCGCCTCCGCGGGAAGCAAGGTTGAATAAGATTGCGGGCGCCTGCATTGGTGCCCGAAGACGCTTCTCCCGTCTCGGGTTGGCGCAATACTGACTCGATGCTAGCAAAGTCCCAAAGATCGGCAGTCTCATGACACAACATGAACTGACTTCTGTATCATTTTTGAACCCTACATTTACGGCCGGATTTGTGCAGCAACTGCCAACCGAGAGTGAGCAAATAACTGGAACAAGGCAGCGTATCGCATCTTTTTTACTTCACTCGACAAGAAACGGTCGAGTTTTGTAGTTGTCCTATTAAACCCCATCCTCCAGTCAACGTCTAGAGAAAGTGTCAAATCATCCGTGCACCAATGCAACTCAGGTTCAAAAAAGAAAGTCGAAGAATAGGCCGGTACCCAATACTTAACATCCGAATACCACCCTTCACTGTACTCTCTACTTTCTGAGCTTGTCAGAAACTTTTAGTCTTTCGAAGTGTTTGTGCCTGAGTCGAAGCCGTGTTCCTGGGTCTAGTAGCAGAGTCGCAAGCGACGTCCTCGGGTATGGCAGCAGAGTCCTCGGGTATGATAGCAGAGTCCTCGGGTATGGTAGCAGAGTCGGAAGCGATGTCTTTGGGTATTGTAGCAGCGTCGGAAGTGGTGTCTTTGGGTATGGTAGCAGAGTTGGTAGCCGTGTCCGCGGATGTGATAGGAGCCGGTGGCTGTGTATGCGGGTGTGGTGGGAGCCAGTTGCCGTGTCCGTGGGTGTGATGGGAATGCTGGTAGCCCTGTCCGCCGGTATGATAGGAGCCGGTAGCTGTGTTCGCGGGTATGAAAGGAGTACCGGTAGCGGGGTACTGGTTCATGAAAGGAGCGCCGGCAGCTGGGTACTGGTTTATGAAAGGAGCATTGGGATCTGTGTACTGGCTCATGAAAGGAGCGCCGGTAGCGGGGTACTGGTTCATGAAAGGAGCGCCGGCAGCTGGGTACTGGTTCATGGAAGAAGCATTGGGATCTGTGTACTGATTCATGAAAGGAACATTGGAAGCTGCGTCCGCGGGCAAAGGAGCCCCAGTAGCCGTGTACTGGGGCATGGAAGGCGTATTGGGAGCCGTGTATTGAGGTATAAAAGAAGTGTCGGGAGCCGTGTTCGCGGGTAAAGGAGCGCTGGTAGCCGTGTACGAGGGCGTGAAAGAAGCATCGGTGGCCTGAAGCTTTTGCGGTAACGTACTAGTGTTGTAACTCAACGTCGTATTGTTATTCATGAGATTGGAGGTCATTGTTTCCAAGTGCTTAACTCGGACCTTCAGACTTTCATGTTCTGTCATCCACGGCTGAAGCTTTCCGGAAATGTCTCTGTTTAAGCTCGCTTGCGCTTCGTCCGAGCCACCAGTCGGAGGGACCGGGGGAATGTCCACAGGGGTATATATGGTGATAGCAAGTGGTACCGTGCTTGGGTTATATGCGCAGAGACTAGAATCTGTATCGTCGGTGGCCAAGAAATTAATCTTGCACTTGCGTGCAGGCTCCGTCATAGCTGGTGGCTTCTCTTTCGAAAGGTCCCTTGCATCCTTCGAGAAGTAGTAGACCCTTCTCAAGCCTCCAGCCTTGGGATTGTAGCCGGATATGCTGCGAACGTCCCGTGCTTTCATGACCCTTAGGCTAACTTTCTCTTTAGAGGTGTTCTCCTCTTCTTGAACAGAAATTCCATCTGCTCCATTGATATTTTTAGTATCCTGATTCTCGAGGCTGCCGCTGTCAATCACCGTAGTATTGGCATCCTGGTGTTCAACATCGAGTTTCTTGTCGGCCCCTGATGGTTCGGGTATGGTTTTTTCAGGCTCCTTCTGGTGTGCCGCCTTCTCCAACTTTGCATTGTCGCTCGCGAATCCGCTGTCCGGGAGGCTTGTAGGCTTGCTTTGGGAAGAGGCAAATGTAGAACTCGACTCCAATGAAGGCCAGATTGTGTCATATTGTACTCCCAATGAAGGAGGAAGTGTACTTTCTCCACTTCCGGGTGGCTCAATGGGTGCCGGAGGACTGACTGTGCCCTCCCCATTGCTCTGTTTGAGTTGCTCCACTTCCTGGGCTAGCTTCGACTTTTTACCGCGAAAACGCTTGCGAGAACCTCCACGCCACTGCGGCGAAGAATTCCCAGTAGGAGTTGGATATTTGCCACCGCGCTTGTTCCTTTTACCTCGCTTTTTGTTCTGGGCCAACCATTGGGGCTGATCGTCCGTATTTGCTGCGTCATTAGATCCGGCTGGCACCTTGAAATCGGTGATCTGCTCTTCCGGTGGTTGCAACGAGTCCGAGCCTCCGTCTTGCTTCTCAAAAACGTCTGTCGGAGGCTCAGTCGGAGGAGGAGTGGAAGCTTTTGTCCCCTTCTCGGACTGTTCTGCTGGTAGCTCGGTTGCAGGAGGAGTGAAAATTTCCGTCACCTTCTCAAACTCTTCTAGCGGTGGCTCAGTTGCAGGAGGAGAGTGATCTTCTGACACCTTCTCGGACTCTTTCAGCGGTGGCTCGGTCGTAGGAGGAGTGAGAATTTCCGCCCCTTTATCGGACTCTTCTAGCGGTGGTTCAATCGTAGGAGGAGTGTGATCTTCTGACACCTTCTCGGACTCTTCCCTGGAAGGCTCGGGAGGAGGAGGAATAGAGCCTTCCGTTCCTTTCTCGACCGCTTTCTTCTTTTTCTTAGACTTCTTCTTCTTCTTTTTCTTCACCGCCTCCTTATTTTCCTCCTGTACTTCATCTTCTAGGGCATTTGGGTTCTCACCTTCCTCAGCGAAACTCATCTCGCTGATACCTTGGACTTTAAAAGGAGGCTCACGGGGGGTCCTGTACGATTGAACCCACTTGACCCAGTGATGACTCTGGTGAGGGATCTCAACTTCTGAGACCTTTGTGGATGTGATGGGAACAGCGACAGCTGTCTCGTGGTCGGAGGCGCCTTTGTCATTATTTTCTTGGGAGCGAGAAGACTTGGGGCAGCACTCGCAAAACTCCATGGTTGCTATATCGGCAAATGCTGCCTCGGAGTCGTCAAGGATATGATTATCGAAATCAACAGGCTCCGAAACAGTGTTGGAAATGAACTTGTCTACTAACTGTCAGCATGTACTATGGCCGACCAAGGCCAGTGACTATACCGATGGCGGCAACCAGTCTCTCGATGCTCACATTATCTGCGCCTTCATTCAGAGCTGAGTTGTATATCACGGTGTCCGGGCGCCAGATTTTTGCTGGCCGCATGTTAGCAAGAGTAGCAATTAGCTGTGTTTCAAGGCTCTTACACTTGGCGAGTATCTTCTCTATGATCTCATCCACATTGGGTCCAGCCAAGCCGCGGCTGAAGACGTGGCCCGTTTCGGAGTCTTCAGCGTTAATTACAGTGATGGCCGCGGTAAGGTGCGTAATGTGCTGGTCCCATTGGGCGGCATTTGCGCCGGACGTGTTGCGGGTCTTTGGGGGGTTGGGGGCATCGGCAAAACATTGTAACACCCCAATTGCATAATCCTCTGCATGAGCGTATTCATCAGGGCCTCGGCCCACGATGCCCATTCTGAAAGGAGGCTGCTCATCCACCGTGATGTCCTCGTATGCTTCTGCCTTTCTAGTTCGAAAAATCGTATCGCCCGGATGCTCGTCATCGACATCAATAACTATGCGAAGCTCGTTGTTTGGCAGCACAATTGCCAGCAACTGTCCATCTATATCGTCTGTGACGGTGACATACCGCTTGATCTCGTTTCCTTGTTCGTCCACGAAGACGGTGCTATCGTCCGCGGTGATGGTGCTCCTGTCGCTACTGGCGTCGTTCTCTGGGGCTGCATGACTAGAGTCATCTCCTGCGTGCGGCCCAGGCTTCGGGGACGGCGCCCTTGACCAACGTGTCAGCTCTGTATGTTTTGCGGGGAGGACTTGACATGTTACTTACGGTAAACCGCCGGTAGAAGGTCCAGGTGTCGTATGCTCTGGGGTTTGAGCGGCCGAATCGTTGCCTTCTGTCGCCTCGTGCTTCTTCGAGGCGGAGGCCTTGGATTTGCCTTTGCCTTTCTTGCGTGGCATAGCCAACAGCAAACGCTTGAAAGAGAGTGGTTCTTAGGCTGCGCGCAGAGTTGCTATTGTAGAGTGTGGGCAGGCGCCGAAGGCGAGGTGCACGACGCTTGTAGGATAATAAATGCGAAATGACTGGACCTAAGAAGATGAGTTGAGCATAAGATGTTCCAGTAACCATGTGAGAGCGGTGGCTGGCGGAGCGTGTGTCGGCGGAGTTGACGCTGGCCAGATGATGCGACTGCTCTTCAAGGAAGGAGCACCTGAAGGGTCTTGCCGTTACTTATTTGGGCAGTTGAATCTCATTTACGTCCCTTCGACTATCCATGCCCAAAAGACAATGAATGCCATGCAGACCATTGTCCAAAGACATCTGACTCTGCCTTTGGAAGAATAGCAGCTCTGACCCCAGGCGGTCGAGATACTGCTTTTGTCGTGTTCCGGACAGGAGCCTGTGATCCTTTGAGTATGACAGCCCAGCGAAGACTCACTCTTCTTTGATGCGTGTGTCACCTCCCATATCCCACTTGAAGTACTGTAATTGGGATTCTCATCCACACTGCCATCCCACCCTGGTCTCTCTCCCACGTCACTTTCCAGCCAACAACCAAAGCTACCCATTTCCCCATCACCATCCCATCCCCCCAGCCCATCCCACAGCTCCTCCACCCCAAGCACGCCCCCTACGAACTCGCCCGCCCTCCCACAATCGAAGACCAAAAACGGCGACTCCCACGTCGCTGAAAATGCCACGAGCCATTCTTGCCACCCTACTGTACAGCCGAGAGCAGCCTCGTGCTGCAGGGTTCCCCAGTCCGTCCACTCGGTACCGAAACGGAAGAGCAGAAGGAAAGTGTCGTCATTCTCGCCCTCTTCATTCTCCGCATTAAATTCGTGGTCATCGTGGGGAAATCCACGATCCATCAGAACTTATCCTTTTCTTTCTTCCTTCTTTGGATTCCGTCTGCCTTCTCTTTCTATATCCTGTGCAAACCGAGTTGATTGTTTAATGTATCAGGCTGTCCCTGTTCTGTGCTGTGGACGCGATGAGACGGACTTTACAGGTTAGACAGAAGAATAGATTAGAGAGGGCTTGGGAGGAACGTAGGTAATGGCGGCCGAAGCAGACAATAGAGGAACACTACGCGTAGAGACGTGTCAGCGTTAAGCCTGGAAAAATTAGATAAAAAGAGCAGAAAGAAGCCATCCTTGCGATGCGTAAGCGCTTTTAAGCCCTTGTTCGTAAGTATTGTTTCACGAATGGGAAAATGAGGTTGGGCGGCGTAACGAGGCATGGAATGTAGACCTCGTCTCCCTGCGAGCGCCCAGCAAGAGGCTTGGTTAGCGTACATTTCTGCGTCTGAGACAAACCACCACTATGTAAGACTTGGAGAGGCTGAGATATTGCATAGATTCTGCTGCATTTATATTACCTGCGCCAAAAAGTTAGCACGATAATGTTCGTTGCTTCCCCTGTAAGATATACTTTCGCAACGAGATCCACCTTTCTTGAAGGCCTCCATTGCGTATGTGAGAGAAGTAGAAGCGATGGGAATAGACTGTCTCATGAAAAATATCTTAAATGGCAAAGTAGTTGATCATTTCATCTATCAATAACCATCTGCTCTATCAAGACTGGTCTCGCCTTTTCCGAAAGATGACGTGAAATCTGGCCAATATATACCTGCCCAAAACTCCGAACGGCCCTGTGAAAGTAGGATGAACTCTATTAGTAGCTGAAAGGTTCCGGTGTCATTTAGGTCGTTAATACAGACGCTTCAAGCAGAACCGTTGGAGACGCCGTTGCCTTTATTCAGTTTTCCGCCAACAGCAGCCTTCTCCAGCGCCTGCAGCACATCTCTCTTGAGGTCCTCTCCATCCTCAATACCGCAGCTGACTCTGACAAGATTGTCAAAGACGCCGGCGGCTTCACGTTGCTCCTTGGGGATACCTGCGTGCGTCATGCTCCCGGGGACTTCAACCAACGACTCGACACCTCCCAGAGATTCGGCAAGCGTGAAGATCTTGGTGGCCTGACAGAAGCGCTCAGCAGCCTCCTTGCCTCCCTGGATGCGGAAAGAAAGCATGCCTCCGCCCATGCCGTTACGGTGCTGCTTAGCAGTGATGTGGTGCTGGGGGTGCGAAGGGAGGCCGGGGTAGTTGACAGCGATGACATGCGGTGAGGTAAGGAGAGCATTGGCGATCTGGGTCGCGTTGGTTGTGGCCTCCCTGGCACGCAGGTGCAGCGTCTTAAGACCACGGTGGGCAAGCCAGCAGTCGAAGGCACTGGGGACACCGCCGATGGCATTTTGCAGGAAAGAAAGACGCTCGTACAACGTGTCCGAGTTGAAAGCGCAGGCGCCCATCAGCACGTCAGAATGGCCGTTGATGTACTTGGTCACACTGTGCACAACGATATCGGCGCCGTGGTCCAAGGGGTTCTGGACGTAGGGAGAGAGGAAGGTGTTGTCCACAACAACCATGATCCCGTGCCTGTGCGCAACGGTAGCAACAGCACGGATATCGACCAGGCTCAGCGTGGGGTTGCTGGGCGACTCAATCCAGATCAGTTTTGTCTCGTTGGGGCGGATCAGATCTTCGATATCCAGCTCAATCGAGGGAGAGAATGTGACGTGGACGCCGTGCGCGGCGGCGACCTTGGTGAAGTAGCGATGAGTTCCGCCATAGACGTCAGACACAGAGACGACATGCGAGCCGGCGGCAAGGGACTGCAGGATGATAGCGGTGGTGGTTGAGCCTGAGGAGAATGCAAGAGCGTAGCGGGCGTGCTCAAGGGCGGCGATGGCCTTCTCGAAGTTGTCCCTGTGGCGGTCGCCGTCAGCACAACGCGTACACGGGGCGCGAGCGGAGCAGAAGCATACCTGTTCGGGTTGGAGCTCCTGGTATACTCATACTCGCCAACGGGCTTGCCGACAGACGTCTGGGCGAAGGTAGTGGAGAGGGAAATCTAAGCGCTGTGAGCGGGGCTGCGCGGGGCTTGGGGCTGGGACTGCTTACAGGAGCAATAACAGCGCCGGTGACGGGGTCGTGAGGAGAGCCTGCGTGAACGGCCAAGGTGCCGAACTGGTGCACGGGAGAGGGCGCGCGGGGCGGCGTATCGATAGGGTGCTCGGTGTGCGTCATGACGGCGGTCTGGTGCAAGCGCGGAATGGGACCTTTCAACAGGACAGCAAAGAGCGAAGGAACGGCTGGGGCGGGCGCTGCAGTCGTCTTTTAAGGGCGCGGCGCTCGAGCAGTTTAGTTATGTCAGAGTCAGACAATGGAATGGACTGAGATGGCGCACGGCTGCTTGGTGGAGATGGCGCAATCGCCCTAAAAGTAGGTGGCAGCTCGCAGGGTCTCGTGCTGCGCTTGGAGCCGGCGGCCGAGAGCAGCGTGTTAATAATTCACGGGAAGTGCGTCGAACGGCGTCGGCGCTGCGTCTGTCAGCAGCTATCGCTTCGGAAGGCGCGGCGCGCTTCCCCAGATTGTTGGACGCGACTGCTGCATTGCATCATCGCCCATGCACGCGTTCCTGCGCAAGCACTTCTCCTCCCTCCTGAACGCCTCTCAGCCGTCAATAAGCGGCCCGCCGAGTCACCGCACCCTCAACCTCACACCGAATTTCTCAGCTGCCCCGCCTCTCGTGAGACGCGAGAAAAGTTTGTCGCCGATGTTGCCGCGAAAATTCTCTTGGATTAGGTAACGGCTTGCCCGCCCGTGTCGACTGCCAACACCTTCCTATTCCCTACAAGGCTCGCCAGACGGCGACCGCCGCCCATGGACCACCTGTCCTCTACCCATACAGCTGTCCGGCGTCGTCGCTCATGGCGAGCTTCCCGCCTGCTCTGGACGTCAGCCCAATGTGGCTGACGGGCCGCCCAGTCGCCGGCCCCGATGCATAGTACATCCAGCTCGACCCCTTCTCGTCGATGGCTTTGTCCAACTCCTCGTTCGAATAGCCCGCAAGATCAGGGCCCAGGTCCTCGCGAATCGCCTCTGCCAGATCCAGCACCGCTCGCCACATGCCGAGCCTTCGCCCGCGCCGCCACAGCTTGCTGTTGCGATGCGTGTCGAACCACACCAGGTACATGCCCGCCGTCCAGATCAGCATGAGCGGGATCCAGATGAGCAGGATCCCCGGAGCCAGCCCCCACTCGTACGTGTTGTCGTAGGTAGGCACGCACTCGAACGGCCCTCCTGCTTGCTGCTGCTTCGCGGTGCCGAAGTGTGGGACTGGATTGGGTCCGCCGGGTGTGAATAGGTCGCTGGCCTTGTACGTGCTGTCGAAGAGGTGGAACGTGCCATCTGCATCCGGGATGTTCTTGTAGAACCACGGGTCCGAGACGTGAAATGTCTGGCCGTTCGTGACGTACGTTGCGTTGCTCCAGCGCACGAGGACACCACTGGGCAGCTTGACGAGGGCCTGCTTCTTCGAGATGTATCCCGCCATGAGGTCCAGAATGCCCGGAGACGCCAGGATGAACACGATGGAGAAGACCAGCCACAGAAGTGTGGCCTTCAGCCTGGCACCTCGCAGTTTCCCGAAGTTCTTGAGTATGTGCCACAACGACGTGGGCGATCCGTGCTGGAAAGCCAGCGATGAGTAGACGTTATAGGGTATCGGTGTCCGTTCGGCGTTGCGCAGGAGAGCACCCATGAAGACCCAATAGGAGCTCAGCACGAGGGTGGCTTGGATGCTCTTGCCGATGATAAAGTTCCAAAGCACTTCGACCGCCTTCGCTTCTGCCCAGCTAAGAGTGCCGGTGGAGAAAGTGACGGAGGAAAACTTGTTGATATCCGCAGGAACCTCCCGAGTTGGCCGACAGATTGCTTTGTTGGCTAGGTAATGTCAGAGCCTACACTTTTGCAAACCCTTTGTGTGTACTCACGGTCTATTTCATTCTCAACGTCGACACGGTTGCTGAAATGCTTCAAAGCCACTAGGAAGCCGACCGTAGGAGCAAGGCACGCGAATAATGCCCCAGCGAGGATGAAGACATGCTTCGAGAACGCGAAGCACCAATTCCGCCGGTGTCTGACAAGAGGCTTCGGCGAGAGATGGCCGCCCTCGCTCGACGTGACCACGGTGTAAGGCGTACCTGGGGTCCACGCCATTTTGAGACTCAAAAAGGAGCTTTGAAACTGAAGTGCAGTCAAGATACTCGTTCAGTCAGGCGAAGAATAAACACGACATGATGGGGACCGTTTGCATCTTATGCTCCAGTATCCTTGCTGCAACGAGGATGCACCAACGGCCAGCCCTCAAACTCTGTCAGTGCCGCATGCCACATGGGTCGGAAGGAAAAGCCACCATAAGCACTTAAAGGTCCGTGTCTTGCTGTGTTAGGGTAAGCTGGTGGTATTCTTGGGGGCCGAAGTGGCGCTGTTTGTTTTGTGGCGTGCATGATTAGGATCAGATTCCCGCACGGGAGATTGCTCCCAACCTACCCACGAGAATTGAGGTTGTGTACTTTTGGCCCCGTACACACAAGCACATCTATGGGAGAATGCTTTCTGCCAGTCCCTCCGATCTACTCCATTCCGCTGCAGCTGTCATGCACGAGCAGCGGTGATGTTTTGATTGGACAAAGAAGAAAGCGTATTATTGTTGATCCTCTCTTGTCGCAACACATAGCAGCATGTACGACAAAGGTGTTCCCTTCATGACTAACTGCGGCCCGAGTGCCTGCCACTGGGCTCTTTGAAAGCTTAGTCGTAGCCATGTGCTCAGCCTCGAAACACGTTTCTCGGCCCGCCCCACCAATCAAGTCAAATGATCAAGACTGATGAGTAGGGCGGTAAGGTCTATTTTTAGAGTCAATACCACTGCATCCATGCGAGAATGAGGGCGTGGCCAGCACGCACATAGTCGTCCGTCTCTAAATTGAGCGATATTGCTTCTGGCAGGGGTTGGATTCCAGAGCTGCGTTTGCTGTAATACTAGTGCGTAAAACAAGGCGCTTAGGTTGCTTCATCTCGTGGCCCACAGCCACCGGGAGTGGATATGGAAGCCGTTGGGTTGGGATGAGCATCGAGAAATATTGCTGGATAGGCAGTTTGAAAAGAAAATGATCATTTGGTAGCTGTCGACCAAAGGACGAAAATATCAGAAAATTTGTCGTTTGAATTTCTCAGTTCACCAGGACTTCGACAGATGTTTTCATGGAGCCATAGGATAATATGTTCACAGCAAGAGGTCTCAAGAGCGCCAATGTTAATTTGAAGAACTCTTTTTTGGTGGTGGCTGGCAGCACCAGGTTATCACATCATAGCCAGATCCGATCAAGGAAACTTTTGATTGGCTCATGTATCCTTCATGAAATCCGTAGTTTCCATATGCCCCAGACCATGCAACCCGAACCCAGAACAAGCATTTACTTGAGGGGAATGAAACGCGAGGAGTGGGTGGCACCAATACCGGGCCTACCGTGCTTGACGGGCTTGCTGTGGCAGATGTTAGAATCGCGTTTGACTGCGGCAGGAAAATCCGGTGCAACGTACTAGGAGATGGAGAACTCAGCCAGGTAGTGGCCAACCATCTCAGGCTTGATCTCGACCTGGTTGAACTCCTTGCCGGAGTAGATGCCGATGACGCTGCCGATCATCTCGGGGACGACAATCATGTCACGGAGGTGGGTCTTGACGAGGTCGGGCTTCTCGTTGGGCTTGGCCTCCTGCTTGGCCTTGCGGAGTTTCTTGATCAGGCCCATGGGCTTGCGCTTGAGACCGCGGTTGAACCTGCGACGGGCACGGGCGTGGACGACATCACGGAGCTGCTCGGACGAGAGGTCGAGGAGCCTAGAATCGGTATTAGCACAGCTCACCCCCACTCTCCACCGCCACCGTTGTGTACATACTGGTCAAGGTCGATACCACGGTAGGAAAACTTGCGGAAGGCTCTCTTTCTCTTGAGCTCTGCACATCACCGTATTGTCAGCCAAAGTCCCCGTTCCAGCGTGGGTAAGACCCAATCGGGTTTCGATGGACTGAGCAGGTGTGCATGCCAGTGCAGCGATCGCGATGGGTTGCGGGCGGTTGGGCGAGTGTGCGAAGGGTTTTCAGGTCGTACCGGCAGCCTCCTCAGCGTTCTGTTGACAGGTCAGCGAGGCACTCAAAGGGATATCGGCGGCAGCAGGGCACTCACGTATTCCTGGTCAGCCATTTTTGCGGTTGTCGAAGTGCGGGTTGAGGACTTCGAAGGGGTCGCAAAAGGTGTTGTCGCGGTTGAAGTGGTGTCGACGGCGGCCAAGTTCGCCCAAATTCTGGTGGGAGCGCCTAAGCGAGCGCCAAGACCGGCCCCGAACAGCTCCCCGAGCGTTTTCACTGCTATCGATAGGGCATGCGCTCGTAGCAGCGCAGAGACTCGTCATATTTAGCATGGATAGATTCACAAGGCTGGGACTGATTCATGCGGCCTCGACATGCCGATGTGGACATTTCACGTGCAAATTAGAATAACAATTGGAGGTTACACGGCCTTTTGTATTTTTTGGATATCACACAGCATTTTCGCTGCACATGCTCCTCGTCCGGTAGACGCCCATTTTTAGCCAGCACGAATCCCTCCAAATTCCCAAGCCATACACGTGAGCCCTTCGTTGCCGGATCCTGAGCAATCATAACCCATCCTGCGCAGAAATGACCTTGTCTTGACCGTGATGCACTTAGTCGAAAAGACCGAAGCCCATATCCTCGTCGGACTCCTCCTTCTCCTCCTCCTTCTCCTCGGCCTTCTCCTCGGCGGCGGCGGCGGCGCCACCGGCAGCGGCACCACCGGCAGCGGCACCACCAGCGCCGGCAGAGGGGACGGAAGCAAGCTTCTCGGCACCGCTGGCAATCAGCTGTTAATGGAGTCAGCAATTGTTCTTCGAGAAAACCCCGTGAGGAGCCTGTGGGCAGCCGTACCTCCTGGATGTCCTTGCCCTCAAGCTCGGCAATGAGCTTGTCGAGGCGGTCGGAGTCAGCCTCAACACCGACAGACTCGAGGACGGCCTTGACGTCGGCAGCGGAGGGGCTGGTGTTGCCACCGAGGCCGAGGAGGAGGTAGGCAGCGAGGTGCTTCATTTTTGTGGTTGCTGCAGAATGTCAGTGATCGCCAAAGCGAATGAGCGAAAAGTGCAGCGCGCAGACGACGGCTCTGCAGCGCAGGAAAGAACGTACTTGTGGAGGAGTTTGTGGAAGAACAAGCGAATCAATCGGTTTAGCCGCGCTGGCGGAGACTGAAACGTCGAGTCCTTGGAGGTTGTCGTTGGGTGTAGGAGAAGAAGCAGAGTGCGGCCGCGCTGAGTGTCAGAATAGCGATGCTCGGTGTGCGAGGCACTAGTCCCGATGCGATTGCTAGCGCGGCGGTGGGTTCCAGGCAAACGCGCCGTCGCCGGGTAGCGGCAGCGTGCGCTGGGGCTCAGGCGGGTGCAGGTGCGCTTGGATATTCCGGCGCCGATGCCCGCGCCTTAAAGAGCGTCATGTCCTGCGCTTTGCCGTCCTCACTCTCTCCGTCTTCCTCCTCCCTCCCTCCACTTCCGACCGCTGGCCGTTTCCCCCTCCCGCCGATATCCGCCCGCCCGCGCGCTCCCCATCCTTCTCATGCCCGCAGCATGAGCGCCGGCCATACTAGCAACTATCGGTGATCTTCTGAACAAACGGCTGGGCCTTTTCCACAATGAGCGTAAGCCAGTCCGCTCCCGTGTATCGCCACCGCTGCTCACTTGGCCCGCAGTTCCTCAACAGCGTTCTCTCCTCCATCGGTGGCGGCGCAAGCCAGTCGCAGTCGCAGTCTGGACGAGCCGCCCCCTCGCAAGCCCCCGCCGCAAAACCGACGCAAACTCCACGTGTCGGTGGCTCGAGCAACGGCGTGTCATCAACAACGGTGCCCAAGCGCAAGGCAGAAGGCGAGCCAGCGTCCATACCTGCAAAGGCCGCGCGTAGGGATACAGACCCGTCCCGTTCGAATCCTGTGTCCCGCACTGGCACCGCCTCTCCAGTCGTAAAGCCCGCCACTCCGGCAACGTCGAGCTCGATGCCCTATCGCGGCACCGCTCAACCATCCGGCTCCGCTAGTATCGCTCGCAAGCCCACCACGTATGCGTCGGTCGCAAAGTCGGGCTCCTCGACCACCACCGCAAAGCCTGCCGCGAAGCCCGTCGTCAAACCATCGCCTGCAGTCGCAGCAGTACAAGCCCCACCGGGGCCGGCACCGAAGAAGGGATCATATCAAGAGATCTTGGCAAGAGCAAAGGCGGCACAACAGGCACAGCCCCCGGTCGGTGCAATCAAGCACAAGCCGGTTGAGAAGTTGACCAAGAAGGAGAGACTTGCACTTGAAGAGAAAAACAAGCAGGCAGCCGCCGCGGCGAAGGACCCCAAGCTTGCACTCAAGCAGGGGCTGAAAGGGGCTGCTAAGAGCGTTGATGCAAAGGCCGGCGAGCCTGCAAAGGAAAAGAAGAAGGCGCCGGACCTCGGCTACCAAGGCACCATGCGTTCAGCTCCAAAGGAACCGGCCTACCAGGGAACCATGAACAGAGGTGCCAGCGCAGCAGCAGCACGCAAGCCTGGACTCGACAGGGGCGACAGGAGCAGAAGTGGTTCCCTTGGTCCCCGGCCTGCGGAGAAGCGCTACCGATACTACGGTGAGGACGAGGACGATGAAGAGGACTACGACTCTGAGGGCTCTTCAGACATGGAAGCAGGCATCTTCGATGTAGACCGCGAGGAGCAGATGAGCTTACGTGTTGCCCGAAAGGAGGACGAAGAGGCGTTGCGCGAGGAAGAGGAGCTCAAGCGCAGAAAGCTCGAGCGCAAGAGGATGCTGGAGAGGATGAATTCCCAAGCGAAGAAGAAAAGGGCTTACTAGGCTGCAACAAAGGCTTATTCTACTTCGACTCCAGCCGGTAGGTGGACATGGAGTCCGCCTCGGCTTTTTCTTCCGGTTTTGAGCATTGCATCGGGCATTGGGTAGATTATTGCTGGTTATAGCGTGGCGTTCGTCATCACTTGTCGCGGCACGATTCACGAAAGGCTTCCGGGTTTCAGAGGGGCCCGTACATTCTCCATCATCCTTAGCACTTGTAGAAGATAGCTTCAGCCACTGTCTTACGGTAATTGATACAAGACTAATTGCGCATCGTGCGCCTCTACTATACACCGTTTCGACATGTTTATCTACTAGTGAAATTCATTGTGTTCTCCACATTTCCTAAGATTTTGGCTTCTCTTTTTGGTAATGTACTCTTACTATCCAGCCAATTAGCGTATTTCTAATCTTCTGCTTCAGAACTGGCCATGATTTGTCGCTGGGCTGCATGCACTGACTTCTACATGCGAGGTAGAGTGTAGGGAGTTTCTTGATTGACCTGATCGCATTCCCCAGCCACGATGGTCTGAATTCAACGTCAGCATACACCTATGCACGAAATTTAGATGGTTGAGACTGAGGTGTCCCATGTCTATCGACGAACGAGGTGCATGTTCGGAGCCTACCAGCAGCTCCTGGCAAACTTTGATGCGATACCCTGAAGCAAGGCGCCGGTGTGGCTTGCTGTTGATCAACGCGACATGCAGAACGCCAGCATCTAATGTCGCTTGACGTTGTCGGCCCCCCTTGCTCGGTAGGGCTGCGTTGCGGAGTAGCCAGGGCAATGCCTCCGAGGAAGCCCCCCCGCAAAGCATGCCTCGGCAAGATCAGAGGCGATCCAAGCTCCCGCCCGACTCCGCTCCACCCTCGCTGCTAGAGAGCTTCCGCGGCTATTCTATATCACGGGCTCTCCCCCCAGAATATGAAGTCGGTGTGCACATCCGGGGGCTGAAAAACGCAGAGACCTTCACACTCCTGAAAACACAGCGAAGAAATAATGGCGGGCGAGGTTCGCCAGCCCATCGACGTCGCCTCGTTGTCGAGGTACATTGATGCAAACGTGCCGGAGATCAAGACTCCGATTGACGTCAAACAGGTACTGCAGTCTCCCACCCCGGCCCTCTCAACAACACATGCCCCTTGACGATGCTACCTTCCAGAAACATCACCGATGCTAAGCGCTGCTTTCACAGTTTGGCTACGGCCAGTCCAACCCGACCTACTTGCTTACCTCGGTGCCAACGGGCGCGCGGTTCGTGCTGCGCAAGAAGCCGCCGGGCCAGTTGCTGTCCAAGACGGCGCACAAGGTCGACCGCGAGTATCGCATCCTTGCCGCGCTGTCGCGCCATACCGACGTGCCTGTGCCGCGGGCCTACTGCCTGTGCGAGGATGACGGCATCATCGGCACCGCCTTCTACATCATGGAGTTCCTCGACGGCCGCATCTTCGAGGACCCCAGCCTGCCCGGCGTGAGCGTCGAGGATAGGACCGAAATGTACGTTTTGCCTGTTCTCCGTCATAAACGGGGAAAACAAAGATAGGGAGCTCTTTTATCTGGCAGAACCCCCTATCTTTGAGACCGTCATGGAGCAGACAGCTAACCACTACGCTCGCTCGCACAGGTGGCACGACGCCATCCGCACGCTGGCCAAATTCCACCGCGTCTCGCCCGCGTCCATCTCCATGTCCAATTTCGGCAAACCCACAGGCTTCTTCAACCGGCAGCTTGCAACCTTCGCCACCATCTCCGAAGCGCAAGCGCAAACCAAGGACGTCGATAGCGGGGTGCCCGTCGGCAAGATCCCGCACTACGACGACATGGTCGCCTTCTTCAGCAACCCGGCCAGCCAGCCGCGCGACCGCAGCAGCTTCGTCCACGGCGACTACAAGATTGACAACGTCGTCTTCCACAAGACCGAGCCGCGCGTCATCGGAATCCTCGACTGGGAAATGTCCACCATCGGCCACCCGCTCTCTGACCTAGCTAACCTCCTCAGCCCTTACGTCACCGCCGCCAGTGGCGTCAGCATTGGCGCTGGCGGTAAGGGTACTCAGTCCTTTCAGCCTGGCGCCACGCCCGGCCTTCCCGCCCACGACGAGCTCGTGCGCCTGTATGCCGAGACGGCGGGGTGGAATCCGGCACCCGATATTTTGTGGGGAGAAGCGTTCAATCTGTATCGCGGTGCTGTGATTCTGCAAGGTATTGCAGCCAGATATGCAAGACGCCAGGCGAGTTCGCTAAAAGCAAAGGATTATGGAGATGGCATGAAGCCGATGGGCGAGTTGGCTTGGCGTTTGGTACAGGAAATCGGGCAAGGAAAAGGTAAATCGAAGTTATAGGAATGTACTGCCGTGAGGCTCATAGGAGAAATTTTCGAAACTTCAATGCACGATGAAAACCAACTGTGAACTCGATTGTAGTCAAGATTCCGTTTGCTTTTTTGAAGGCCAGCTGCTGAACTCTGAGCAGCATTTGCTATCCATTTGCCCCATGTTGTCCGATTAACGCCTTCGAGAAAAGAGAAGCACTTGGACTTGTCAACGGAAGTGTTTCCTCATTAAGAAATCTTTCTGGATGGAGCATACCGTGGATGCCGTCCTCCTGCCGATTTGTGTACACTAGCTAAGGCCGTCCCCGACTCCAGTAGCTCCGTGCATCATTGATTGACCAAGTGGTATCCGTGAAACGAGAAAGGAAGTGCTGTCGACCATGCCCCAGGTCTGCACCAATTTACCTGCCAGGGCGCTCATCGCCGCCAATGCGCTCGAGGGCCTGTGAATTTACACGTCAGTATTTGCTCTGCCGGCACGCGGGGGTTGAAGCGCAATCGAAGGGAGATCTCGCGTGGGACGGAAAGTCGTACCTCGAGCATGACGACTGAGTTACCGCGAATGACCTGCAAGACTTTGATCAGCTTTCTTGCCCATAGCGGCTTTGGGTTGGCCGAACCACTTACACACATGCCAATGCGGACCTTCTCGCCACCAGCCTTCTCCTCGACAGCCTCGTCGAGCACAATGTTCAAGAAGACCTAAGCATGGGCGTCAGCCTAGAGTTGCGCACGAGGCAGGGCTCAGTCGAAGAAGCTAACATACATCGTAACCACGGAGAACGCCGATGACCTTGCGAGAGCCGTTAAGCTGCACAAAGAGACGCTTGTCCAAATACTGGAGAAGGACGTTCTGTCAGCGGATGCAACTAATCTTCCCGGGGTCGGAGCTATCATGAAGGTGGTAGAAAGGGTACCTTCTTCAGTTCCGGCTGAGCCTGCGGCATTTTGGATGATTGCGCGTAAAATTGGTAGTCGTGGTCTGTGTGGCTTCGGGAGCTGTGAACGAAGATGGCGAGCGCGTTGTTGTCGGAGGGCAGGTGGTGCTGGAAATGCGACGGCAGTGAGCTCAAGTTCGCGCCGACGCGCGCCAAGACTCAATTCTGCCGGCCCGCTCGCTCACCGCCCGCCGCCGCGACGCTGCCTCTCTGGAGCTGCAGGCCGCCGCTTTTTCAACACCACTACATCATTTGTGCACCGCATCCGGCCCCGCGCCCAAGCAAATTCATGAAGCAGATCCGACATACCTTGGCGACCACGGACGTATAATAACAAAAAAAACACAAGGAGAAGAACTATGAGGAAATCCTTCGGCGGGCGGCGCGTCCCGCGCAAGATCGGCCAGGACGAGGACGAGGACGCTGGCGCCACCAGCTCTGGCACCGATGCAGGCCCCCAAACACCAGGTCAGTATATCCATCTTGCCTCCTACCACGTCAAAGGCCTCCTGTTCTGACGCGCGTGCACCTGACAGATAGCTAATCCAAACATAGCAGAACCCATAGTAAAGCGACCAACTACCTCGAAGACCAAGAAACGGTCCTCTCTCCGCCTATCGTTCGGCCCTGGTGAAAGTGGTACCGAAGGTGATGACGACAGCGGTGCCGTCTTCACGCCCAAGAAGTCCAATCTTAGCAGAATAGCGGCGGAGAAGAACGCCGAGCGCAAAGGTTTCCGCGCCTCGTTGTCGTCAGGCCAATTGCCTGCACGGAGAGAGGTCGCAGATGAACGACCTTCCTACACCAAGGAAGCGCTAGCGGAGCTGCGCGACTCGCAGCCGTCCACGCCAAAGCCCAGCGCGGATGAGGAGGATGAACCAGAGGGGAAGGAGGTGGACGTTGCTGCCAAGTTCGGGCCGCTGACGAGCTTGAAGTCATCCTCCGCCATCCCTACTGACGCGGAAATCCAGGAGAAGAAAGAACGCAGACGACGGTTAGCTCAGGAGCAGGGGTATATGTCGCTGGATGGCGACGACGATAGAGACAGGACCGTATATGATGACGACAATGCGTACGACAGCGATGACCTTGATCGGCCGCGTGACGTTGCTATCCGGACCTCTTTCAAGGAGAAATACCCTGAAGGCCGTTTGGTGCACGAGGATGAGGATGTGGCAGAAGGCTTCGACGACTTTGTGGAAGATGGTCGCATTTCGCTTGGCCGCAAGGCAGAACGAGAGGCCGCACGTAAGCGCCGTGAAGAGATGGCTAGCATGATTGCAGATGCTGAGGGTGGTGGTTCTGGAGACGACGGGTCCGACGATTCGGAGGCTGAGCGCAATGCTGTCTATGAAGCTGCGCAAACGAAGGCTGGCACGTACGGATCACGAGACAAGAACGCAGACGATCCGCAGCGCCCTCGGACACCACCAAAGATTTCATCGATACCGGAGCTGGGAGGGGTACTAGCGCGTCTACGGGCCTCGTTGAAGGAACAGGAGGAGCTCAAAGCGGCAAAGGTTAGGAGGATGGGGGAACTGGCGAGAGAAAAAGCGGACATTGCCTCTCAGGAGTCCTGGATACAAAGCCAGCTGAAGATTGCGGGAGAGAAATACGAGAAGCTGAGAATCGAAGCTGGCGGAGCTGGTGGAGCGGCAACGCCAGTGAACGGAGTTGATAGCGCGGCGGCAAGTGAGAGGGGCTTGGATAGTCTTGGAGGTACACCGGCTCCTGTTGGAAGTGACGAGGATGCTGCGTGAGACAGTGGAGAGTGCATGCCGAGAACTATCATGCCAAAACCAATTCATCAGGCGACCAAACAACCAAAGTGTTTTGAGTTTAAGGCCCACGAGACCACATAGCTAAAAAGCTAAGTCAATGTCGGATGATGGCATCAGAGATGGGCCTTCGCTATGTGCGCCCTGGCATTTGAACAAAAGCTCCACATCTATCTTCATTGTGTGGGATCTCGACAGAATCTTCGCGACAGCAGGTTCTAGAATTTCATGGCTTCCTTGATCTATGTTTATTGAAAAGTAGGATTTGCATAGTGCCCTTCTATACCACTGGGATAGGATGCTCGAAACAAGCACAGTTGTGCAAACCTAGGACCTACGAGGCACAATCAAACCAATAAGTACCGCAATGATGACAGGTGCAGCTTGTTACTATTACTTCGCATAGAGAAATGTAGGGTATGGCATATGCACGAGTGGACGGCTCTTCGATAGATGCCGGGTCTTCATGTTTACGAAATGATGGAAGCTGCTCATCGAGCTCCCTTTCCTCCCTAGCCAGACCGAACATGGTCTATGCCTTGTTTGACGCAAACCCCTGTCGTGTCACTGCGTCTCCGTAGCCCTAGCTTAGTTTCATATGGTATCCAGTTGTGTCTGTCATTGATCAATCCTTTTTATTGTTTGCCGCAGCTACTACAGAAACTCCTCTAGTGCACAGCGCCTGCAAATGCACATTCCGGCTCCCACGCAGCCACCAAAACGCTGGAAGTTCGGTCATCCAGACAATGATATAGCTCAGAATGGCCCTCAAGGGGCCGTCTAAGCGATGAAATGCTCGGGAAGCCAAAGGCACTTGAACATCAGTAATCTCCGCCATCCTCATCCTTCATGCACCCACTTGCCTCATCAGCCCCTTTCTCCCCCTCATATTCTCCCTCGTCCACCCCATTAACCAACTCTCCAATCTCTCCACTTTCCCTCAACACCTCTCTTGCCCTTGCCTCTCCAACATCCAAATCTTCTGCCACCAACCGCATCGCCAACTCAGGTACGAGTACTTCCTGGATGAACCCGCTGACCGTCTTGAATCCGATGAGGCGGTCCCGACCCGCCTGCAGCCTGATCTCGCCCGCTAGCTCGTTGGTGACCCACTCTTCCATCAGGCGCCTGCCCCGCGGGCCGTAGTAGCCCACGCTCATGCCGGCCAACGCCTTGTCATTTTCCGATGTCGTCTTCAGGTTCCTGCCCTCTCCCTTCGCCGCTGCGGCATCTGCCACGTCCCTGAACGCCGACGGCCGCTCCTTGCGCACGATCGCAACTAACTCGTCCCGGAAGCGCTCAATGCGTCCGCCACTGCCACTCCCGTTGCCGTTACTGTTTTCATTAGGCGAAGATAATGGTACACCCACCAGCGCATCGAAGTCGATCTCCGGGTATTCTCGCGCAGCGTACTCCTCGCATGCGGTGGCGCGCCGGTGTGCCTCGCAGAAGGCCATCTGCTTACGGATGCGCATGTACGATCCGCTGCCCTGCCATTCTTCGAGTAAGATCCTGTCCACCGGCGCCTGGCAGATGGGGCACTTCGCCGGGGTCTCATAATTTCCTTTTGGATTGCACCCATCGTTATCGTCGTCGTCATCATCATCATCATCATCGAGGTCATCAAAGCCGAGTGGGCTGCTGACTTTGATGTTTCCGTTGCGGACACCATCCCCCTCTTTAACATTTTCTGCGCGCTCGGCTTGACTTTTGTTGCGTCTTGACGATCTTTGAGGGACAGTGGCCTTAGAATCCAGAGTCGCGGAGATGCCGCTGTCGATGGATGGAAGAGCTTTGAGGGTTCTTCTTTTTGTAGGCGTATCTGGCCCATCCTGACTGAGCGTATCTGATTTACTGTTGCTCAATGTAATGGCTTTGGAAGAGGTTGTCAGATCAATTACTTCGCAATACTGAGACTCTGTTGATAACGAACTCCCTCGTGTGCAGACTTTCGGCGAGTGTGGGGCTTGTAATGGAGCCAACTTCATGACCTTCGGCAGGGTCCTAGGCTGTGGAGGAGGGTGGATAGGGAGTAACGTCTTGAGTATCACACTGTTCTCCTTTCCCTTTGCTACCGCAGGCTCAATTCCACCTCGAAACTTGACTTTGGGATTTCCCCTTGGAGATCTTGTCTCGGTAGTTTCCACGTACGTTGCCTTCGATTGCAGCCGTGGCGACGTCGGAGACATTGCGATTGGCTCAAGCGTCTTTAACCTTTTTCCAGCCCTTCGCTCCTCGTTCTCACCACCAGCACCCTCCCCAGGAAGCCGCTCGGAGGACGAAGTCGTGGTGCGATCTGAAACGTTGGGAAATGGCGTACCTTTTTTGTCCGTCTTCGCTGCCGCGCGCCCTGTACTGGCTGCTGAATTCTTCCCAAGCGCGTGAATGTTCTTCGCCGGCGTCGAGTGTGCGCTCTTAGCTCCAGATTTACCTCCATACCCCACCGTCTTCTTCGCCTTACCACTCTCACCACCACCAACAGTCTCTGCGGTCCTCCTCGAAGCCCCGTAAGTTATTTTCTGCCTCTTTTGCCGTGGTGCGCCCATATCATTGAACATGTCCATGTCCTCAGTTTTAACTAAGCCGACTCCTGAATCTTGTGTGCTAGCGGCTGGTGCTACAGTGTCGCCTCCTCGCGCTCTCTTACCAATGGCGGAAGTCGCCATTTCTCCTCGGCCGCCGGGGAAGCGCTGAGCTTTGAGCCCTTTTTTGCCCTTCGGCAACTGGAACGGTGATATTGGAGGGGACACGGATGAGGACCTGCCGTCGTCGGAGCCTTTCTCACTAGCGCTGGGGCTTTCCGGCTCGGCACAAATGCCCGTTTCCTCCCGTAGCGGCGCAGCCATGGGCACCGAAGACGGTGAGGAAGGTGCCGCTAACTTTGTAGCTGCGCTCTGGTTGGCTGAAAAAGGCCGCCCACCGACCTTGCTCAGCAGATGCCCGGCGTTACGACTGAGTGGAGGCATCGTGGGCAGCGGCGCAAGACAAAAGGGAGAGCCTCCAAGCCGTTGCGAGCATGCGGGAGAAGGTCGCCAAGGTGGGTCAAATTCGAATCAAAACCGCGGTTGATCAGGTGGTACCCTCACGGGAGCATATTGGAGGCCGGGCTGTCAAATAGATCCAAGTCGAGCGCGATTGTCGATCCAGCGATCCTGCTTCGACGGTTATGCAAAATGGCTGTCCAGATGGTGATGGTGAGGACAACTCTCTTGGCAAATGCAGGTGTCGAGTCTCAAGTCCTGGTGTTTCGGGTAAGCACGTACCCGACGCGCGCGCGCGCCAAGCGGAGGCTGACGCGACACGCGCTGTCCCATGACTGCGGATCGTGTTAAGGCACGCCGATTCCTGAGCATAATCACTTTGCTGCATCAATTGCGGGGCAAACCCCAAATCCGACCTATATCATGTACAAAAGACCCAAACCCGACCCATATTAGGTACAAAAGATCCAAACCTAACCCACCCGGACCAATGCAACTTTTTGACGCTATTCGACACGCCATCAAACTTCAACAAGAATTAAATCTCAGCTTATTCACACTTCTACTGTAGTAGGTAGACTTCTAGGTTACTTATGAAGGTGGAAAAAATTGTTTCAAACACGGAAATCTTGCACTGTTCAAGAGTTGTATTTGGTCCGGGCGGGTTGGGTTTGGGCACTTTGTATGTGATACGAGTGTTTAGTATTTGCTTCTCACAGAAAGCTGAGATTTTTACATGGCGAAGTCCATTCACTCCTCTAGCGCTGCCGCCCTTTCTCATCACGAATTGACACACATATGATTCCAGAACATGGGTATATGCATTTCCCTTTCCAGCCGCAGTTCGGCTTCCCTTTTTTTAACCCTCAAACTCCAAACATTCTACTCGCCAGCTGCCCAAAAACGCCATTATCCCATGCAATCCACGCATACAAACAAAGAATTAGGCAATCTTTCTTCCAACATTGCCCACTCCTCTACCCACGATGCTGACCACAATATCTCCCTCCTCGTTTCCTGCGTCCCTCAGTCCCCATCCACTAGCACCGAATGCTCGCAGATCTCTACTGAGCTGAATGACGTCCTCGCTTCCAACGACATCTCTTCCCATCTGCAGGCGCCCCACATCCTCTGAACCCATAGCCATCAGGGTTAGCATCGTCGGCGCCGCGATGGTCGAGACACAACCGCCCCTCTCGATAGCCTCGAGCAGCTGGTAGGCGCACTGCGCGCCGATGTCTTCTGCCGGCACGCCTCCCTGCGGCGGTGAAGCCACGTCCGCCGAGTACAGCATCCCCGTCGAGCTCTCCGCCACCAGACTGATACCGAATCCAACGCCAATCTTCCTCTTGTTATCCGGGTTTTCCTTGGTCGGCCAGGGCACCAGCGGCGCGCTTGAGACATCTGAGAAAATATACGTATCGGCCACGAATGGGTTGAGCACGCCACGCGCCTTCTCAATCATGCGCGCGTTGTTCGCGCCCGACGTGCCCGTCGTGTATGCTACGCCGCGTATCTTCTTGACGCGGCCGGGGTTGAGCAGGTGCACCGTCTTCGGCAGGCGCACCTGGTGGCCGAACACCAGCTGGACCTCGCCGCCACCGCCGCGACCCCCGGGGCCCGGATTTGACCGGCGCAGCACTCGCAGCTCGATATCAGCCTGGATGCCGAACTGCGCGTACAACGGCAGCACCGCCGTTCGCACCGTGTCGACCGACACGTCCCCCGTCGCGGGCGTCGCGCTCGTGATAACCCCCGGTCCTGTAAACATGACGTTGACCTTATTCTTGGCGAACGGCGCCAGCATGCACAGTGGGATCAGGAAGTAGCTGATGCCCCGCACACACTCCCGAGGAACCTCGTGCTTGAGCACACCGTGGATATTGGCGCCGTAGCCCGGGGCGCTGCCGGCGATCAGGCCCGGCCGGTAGACCAGCGTCGTGCCCGTGTACGAGAACTCGATCGTCGAGCCATTGGTGACGGCATCGAGCAGCCGGATGAACGAGACCTCGTGCGGGCGCAGGCCTGGGTTGACGTCCTTGCTGCGGATCTGCGAAATGCGCACGGGGCGGCCAGTGAGGGTGGCGAGGATGAGGCGCTGGACGAGGTAACGGTGGCCGGTGAAGGTGAGCCTCGGTGCGTTTGTGGCTTCGGCCATGGCGCAGCGCGGGGAAGGGAGCGGAAGAGGGTGGGTGTGCTGTTGCGCAGCTGTTCAAAATGTTCACACAGCTTAACTTTTTCTGCCGGGCGGAGGGCGGCCGACCGCCTGCCACATCGGGTCGGCAGGCAGGACCCTGCTTTGTCGCCGGGTAGGCTGCAGGTCAGGGTTGAACCTCGGGCCAGCGATTGTCAGACGGGAGCTGCCGCCATTACCCACGCCGGCCTCGACGACAAGTGATAGACAACAATATTGAGGCGACAGACGCCTACGCCAGAGCATATACTGTAACAGACGTTACGGCGGGCACGCGGCTCGCGAGATGGTCCTTCATTTGGCAATTGAGTGTCGGTCCTCAGCCAATGTGCAGGGAGCGCGGTTAAGCTTCACCGGCAATGGCGGTCGGTCCAGCGAGCAGAGCGATCAGCCCCAGAGCTAAACGCCATCTGAAGCATATGCGATTGTAATCCCACCCGCCTCAAACCGGCCGCCAGGCACGCGAAACGTAAACCTCTTACCCAGCCCTTACCCACTATCGCCCACCCGATACGTGCAAGCTAAAGAGCAACTACTGGCGAAGAGTGGCGCAAGCCCGCCCCTTCACAAACTCTATTCACTCTGCTTTCGCGAGAAGGAGCAATAGCGTTGGGAAATCGCAATGGGCAGGCAGATTATATGTATACTAAACATTAAATAGGCATTTCTAAGCATTAGTCAATGCGTCGCCCCTCGAGTCGTAAAAAGAAGGCCCCTGCGCTTCAAGCGCCTTGGCGTCTGGCGATTCCCCGGCCTGCCTAAAAAAAAAAATAATGCGCTTTACGCAAGCAAACGAACAGCGCCGTCAAAGCTCCCGACCACCCCCAGGAACTCGTTGCCCTTCGCTCTGTATAGCTGCCCGACACCAAGTCTCGACTACCCGTAGCTGGAATCTTAGTGTCCAGGAGGCGCGGATGGGAAGATCCCAATATCGAGCCTCCCACGCCTATGACGTTATGCTCAGGAACATGGCAGCCCCCAATCAGACCAAGGCAGAGTGTCACAGGATACGGACCTCGCCGGCACGGTAACGGGAAGCTCCCGACAAGTGCACTCGACTCTATTGCTCGAAGGGGTATAATAGGCAACCAAGAAAAACCTCTCCTCTTAGCCATGCGACCCTACGCAACATTGCCACAGCATTGCATGCGACATGCCTGTTGGCGGCAGGGTCTTTGCCGTGACCTACACGTGGCCAGGATGCAGTAAACTTCAAAGAAACGCGCGCGAAATGCAAAACCATGCAAGATGATGCAGATGCAGGACGAATGCAAATGCAGCCGGCCCAATCCAGCCCTTTGTCAAACCCATTTTTTAATGCGCCACTGAAACAAATGACGCGTGTCGACCCGAAACTGAAAGGAAAGCCACTTCCGCTACTCATTTTCAAACCGCCGCCCTTCCGTGTTAAAGCCTCCGAAATGCGAGAAACGGACCCCAAAAAACCAAAGCAATACAAATGACACGTGCCTCGACGTCACGTCGTCCCGCGGCGGCACCATTGTGACAAATGATCCAATAGCGCGCATGCTGTGAAACCACAACCCATGGCTGGATCCAGTTCGTCAACACCTTTCCGCGCTGTCCCTCCACACCTGCTAGCGCCTGTGTGCTTGCAGGTCGCGCACCACAGATCGTACCCGTGCATGTCCGGTGACCGCGATCCGTAATCTCCAGCTGCTCACATCCCCAATCTCATCCGTTTCATCCAGGCTGCAGGCGTTTGATCGTGAGGTGCCCGTGTAATCGCTCTTCCCCAGGTGTTTGATAAGACACCGCAAAGGCATTTACTTTAAGTCTGAATTTGACTCTGGAAGATACAGCTTGGAGGGTGCCTGATTGCGGCGACCTTGTAGCCCGTCTCGAGCCTCCGTGCGGCAAACAGTTCCCAACCGCAGTGGCAGCACAGACTAGCAAGTGCATTGGTAGACAGCGTGACGCCGAAGTTCAGTCCGAAGTGGGGTGACCAATCCTGCAGCTGGAAGGGATCCTGGGGGCACAGAGGACCGGCCGAAGCGGTGAAGCAGTCCAGCAGACTGTTCATCTCGATCTCTTGTGGACTTGCCCTTCAATCATTCCTTGGCCCCCGTAGTCCCATCGCCGCTTCAGCGATCCTTCACTAAACGAGCTTGCAACAACATCCTGCCACATGCTCGGTGTGACGTATGGCTGAGCAGGGGTGGCGTACGAGACTGGTGGAGGGAGCTGCGCCGGCACATTGGGGATTTGTTGCGTATGCGGCGAAACGCTTGATGACTGGTAATATCCCGAAGGCTGGGTCTCCTGTTGTGGCGTCCGGAGCTCGTAGGTGCCTGGCGGGGGCGGTCTTAGAGGAGGGGAGGACTGAGACGTAGTACTTGGAGGGGGCGTACCGAAAGCTGCATTCCATTGGCTGTGCACCATCTAGTCAATATTATTGCACCAATACCAAAGTTGCAGCCACTTACTCAAAGATTCTATTTGGGTTCCATTGCACTGGTTCTTGATTTTGCATGGTGGACTGTTGGGGTTGCCTCTGACCCGCAGCCATCATAACCAGTGACTGAACTACGGGAGAGTCAGCCTTGGGGTCCGTGTCGCTCGCGGAGATCGGCGGCGTGATAGGATGCTGGGTATAGTTGACTTGACCTGGTTGCTCCAAAGAAGGGTCCTGCGCCGAGCCACGATGACGGTACCCGCCATCGCTGATGGGGCTGGGGTTGTTGTGGATCGCAGGGCTGCCAAAGGGGAAGGAAGGCTTTAGTTCAAACGGCTTGCTGGTATCCGCGGAAAAGGCCTCCCTCAGGTTGTTGACTTGTGCTTGCATCTCCGGCATGGGCCAGTTTGGAATGCATTGCTCCAGGATCCTCATGTGGCGCACAAAGAAGTCCCTGGCATCCCCGTTAAGCTCCGGATCCGGGGAAGTGATGGCAACCTTTTTGACAGTTAGAAACAAAATCTATGACAAGTTGAGAGGCTGCCTTACCAGGTGAAGCATAGTGCACGTCAGGACAGAGTAGATGGTGAAACTGATTCCGCGTTGCATGCAAAGAAGGCCGGGCAAAGAGTAGTCCCGGATGATAGCCTCCTGCAGCCTACACATGTTCTTCGCGGCAGAATAGCAGAGCAGCATGTGTTGCTTCCACATCGGGTCAAAAGACTCGTAGTGGAAGTGCAACTGCGGTCTGTGGTGCATGATGATGCCGAGATAGTGGTAGCAGTGCAGGTTCGCAACATAGTGCGATGGGATCCACGGCGGGGTGCCGTCTGTAGGATAGTCAATCTGCAGATCGCGGGGAAGCTCCCGGGTCCATGCTGCATAAGCATCATTCATCTGGACAAACGAAGGTTCGACCGCCCAGTTCTTCGTCTTCTTGCGAAGGGTCCTGTGGAGGATTGTCGTTTGTTGGATGTTCCTTACGATGCGCAACATGTAAGTGAACTGACGGGAAATCGAATTCTCCGCCTCTTCCTGGCCTGACATTGGCCGGGGAATGTCAAAGTCAACAGTATCTTCCTTGACACCAAAATCCGAACGCCCTAGGCAAAAATCAATATCAAAACCTAGGCAAGGGTTCATTTCGGCATACCTTGAGGGCCTCCGACCATGACCTCAAGCTGGAACAGCATGTGCCAGACTCTTGTCTTTGTCACACAGTCATGTGCTGATGAGCCGCAGGGCTTGCCCATCTGGTGCAGCTCAAAATGGGTGTCCAAATCAAGGTCTTTAGCCATGGCAACACAGTTCACCACTGTCATCCAGGACCTGTAGAAATAACCACGTTTGGGTACGGCTTCACGTGCCTTCAGAGCAAGAATCAAAGCTTGAATCGTGCTGAGGCGAGGGACGTCCTTGAAGCTTTCCTCGTGCTCTAAATCAACGTCAGAATCACAGTGACTGAAATGTAACGTGTTGGGGCATACGCACTTGCAAGCAGTGCCAACCACTTGTTTCCTTGAGAGGGATCGTCCAGCATCAGGGATGAGCATGCAAAGATAGCCTCCAGGATGAGGGGAGAAATGGATGAACGATTGGTATGCCACTGCTGGTTGAAGTACGACTTGTTGATGACCGGGACATAGGGGTGGATGTTGGTGAAGAAGTACTCGAAGTAGTTGAGCGCCTGTTGGTCTGACGGCATCATGTCCGGGGGGATGCGAATCGTCATGTCCGGAGCGTGGTCATCAGGAAGCTGGATCTCATATTCTTCAACTGGTGGAGCATTTGCCAAAGATCTTTTCTGATTTGCGATGTACGGCGCTAGAGCAGTTAGTATGCCAAGGTCTAATTGTTTGGATGAGTCTGGCTTACCAATTGCTGTGTGGTCAATTTTAAGTTCGCCCAGAGCCTCGGTAAGCTGAGATGTATCGAGATTGTTTCTCCACATGGGCTCGCCTTCATTTGAAGAGCTCATTGCAGGCGCAGGTTGCGGTTGATACACTTGTTGAGGGTGGTACTTCAACTGATCCGAATTGGAAAGAGGAGCTGGTGGCATGTTGCCATAGTGAACGCTTTCCTGGCTCTGAGGCGGTGCTGGAGGCATTCCACCGTAGGGCGCAGTTTGATACAAGCGAGCCGCATCTGCATACGTTGCTTGCAGAGGGTGTCCCATGAGAGGGCCAACCTCGGTTCCTAGGGGATGTTGAATTGAATGGTGTCTTTGAAAATCGCCCGGCGCGGGGACATGTGTAACACTTTGCGAGGGGTCATAGTCGTGGCTTCGGTCGCCGATCTCGAAAGTGTGGGAGCCGGTGGGAAAGGAGTCCTTGTTTTCGTAACTGACAGTCGGCGGGACACAGTTAAGCTTCAGGCGGATGCACGCAGCGCAGGGCCAAGCGTTCGTGGTCGCGGCATCACATTTGATCTTGCGGCGGCGGCATCCCTCGCAGGCGCGCATCACTGATTCGGCAAAGTTAGCTTCCCTGTCCGGGATGCAGGCAGAGCGACGGCGCGCGGGTCTCTACCTTTGAGGCGCTTGTGGCGGTTGTGCTCGTCGACGAAAACATAGTCTGGCGGAGCGGGTCAGCTCGCAGTCGCAAAGCAGGCGCACGTCACGGCGCATGCGGTGCGGCATACTTCTCTGGTTCTCCCGCGGCGCCAGCGTCTGCGGCGCAAAAGGAAAGTTCTGCATTTGTGCGGTCTGGGGGAGGAGAGGCCGTCCGGTGGACTCGCTCGCCATGTCTCAGCGGCGGAGGAGGTTGGAAGAAGCTCGTCGCGCGCTGGAGCTTATTGGCGGCGCGGGACGGGACGCGGTGAGTTTGCGATGGATTGCTGTAGCGGGGAGGAGCAGGCGATGCGAGGCCGGGGCGCCAATCGGCAGCGGGTGGGGGGCGTCAGCAAGTGGGAGTTCGGACGAGGTAGGTGTTGGATCAGATCAGCCGCCACTCGGTCAGCTACGTTTGCTGCGAGCTGCGCGCGGGTTGGGTGTGGTTGGACGTCCTAAGTAGGCGGCAGCGGGTGCGCACTCCGATTGCCGAGAACGGGCGCGGTGCTGGCGCATTGAGATGAGGAGTGGAGCCGCGGTCTGGGAGGGACGTTGAGACTGTCCGCAGGGCAGGTGCTCTCGCGTACAAGTAACAGTGGCGTAGAGACTCCTGAGTGGGGATTGACGAACGGTCTGGCGGTCGACGCTTGGGACCGTGGAAGCCAGGCCAGGAGCACGTAAGATAGCCCAGCTAGCTCCGCACCCGCCAGACACCACACAGCCGTGCCAGGGTGCGCTGGAAAGCCGCAAGAGTCAGGCAAGCGGGCGCGCGGGCAGCCAAGCTGGCGCGAGGGATGCGCAACGCTTCTCGCGAGCGGGACAAGGATGCTTGCTGGGCTGGTACTGCCACGGGCGCACCGGCATCGCACGCGCCTGCCACCGCCGCAGCATCGAGCCGCGGGCCCGGCGCCCTGTTTCTCTGCGCAAGCTCTCCCTCTCTCTGTCTCTCACACAATCTTGCTGGGCGCGCGCGGGCGCCTCCGCGCTGCCCCTCGCGCGGGGGAAGGGGCGCTGCTGGCCGCCGGCGACGCCCAACCGCGGCGCTGCAGGGGCACGCTCAGGCTGTCAGGCTTTAGCCTGCCCAGCACCACCCACGCCCGCCATTCGATTTGCCGAGGAGGCCCCACCGCCGGTGCCGAATCCTCGACAGCCTCGAGGGGTGCTGTTCTGAGGGAGATGAGCGGACTGCACGAGGGCCAGCCCTAGCGAAAGAGCTTACGACGTCAATAAAAAATCTCAGTCTATCCGTGCTGTTTAACGCACGCGCTGTAAGATCTGCCTCCCACGTTGTCTCACGCGTCTCAAGATCCTCGCCGCTGCGGCTGGAACACAGCTCTGACATCGCTCCCTGCCCGCTCAGCCCTGTCTCTGCCTTGGGTTGTACCGTACGCGCCTGCGCGGGTTTGCAACAGCAGAGCAGCGCGTGCAGAGGCGTCCGTTTCATAGCTTCGTCTCTCTGCTGACCGCAGCATGTGCGGGCCTGGATGGAAGCGCGGGCTCGTCTATCATCGCCCTTCAGCGCCACGGATGCAGGAACGCCAATAAAACTGCCTGAACAGGCTGGTTCCCGGGAGCTTGGAAAGCGTCAGCATTGGCCGCACCCTGGGCGGTGGGATCCTGCGACATGCAACCGCACCATGCAGGCCACTATCTCGCTGAGATGATTGTTTGCTCAAGCCCGGCCACGACCCTGGCGGGACCGACAATGCGGGCGTGTAACTGGCGTGCGCGCCGTCGGAAAAGCCGTCACAGGCTCGGGCGGCTGCGACGACTTCTCACGCCGTCAGCGGGACAGCTGGCTGGCAGGCGCGCGTCACCGCAAAACACGCCTGAAACTGGCACCAGAAGCTTTGGTGGACATTCTGGAAGACTGCCGGCCCGAGATCCACGGCGCCGTCGCTCGAGGCGCGACCCGGCAGTGAGCAAGCGGCGCGCGCGCGAGTTGCAGCAGCCCAACGCCTGACAGCGCGCGGCGCGAAAGGCATCGGCTGCTCCCGGTGCGCCCTCGCCCGTCTTCTCCTGATGGTGTTTCCATTCGCATGTGAAGGCGCCATGAGCCCGGGGCCTGCTCGAAGAACAAGAGATGCATCCCAACACCCCGGGTCAGCCAGGCTCGGCGGAGGCCGCGTGCCTGGCCGGCAGGGGATCCTCCCCCATCGACGATCTTGCCCGACTCGCGCGCTGCTCGCTTACCGCCTGCAACACGCCGGGCTGGGTAGCGCGTGGGAGGCACGTTGTTTTGCGGGGGCGCCAGCAGCGGGCAGCCAAAGCATGACAGCAATTTGGCAGAGGCGCGCCCGGCCAGTAGCCAGCGCCCAGAGCGCTGCGCGACAGGCTTGGCGCGGCGCGGTATTGGCTCCACCTGCAGCAGTCAATCACTTCCCAAGCAACGGCGCTGCAGTGGCGCCGCTGCTTGACAGCTCGTGGAGTGCGATGCCCGGCTGCTGGTGCGCTCCAACGTCCCGCATCAGGCACTAGGCTGCATGCGGGCCTGGCAGGCGATATGGGGAGCCACGAAGTAACCCTCGCTGCGGCAAAGCACTAGTCCGCGCATGGGCTGATGCGAACAAACGTCTTCTGACCACGCGCTATGCATGACAGAGATTGCAAAGGGGGGCCGCCGGCTGCGCGGGTGACGTGAGTGGTGAGGGCGGCGGCGAGGGGCACGCCAAGCGGGCAGATCCAGCGCGGGAGCCGGGGCCGGGAAAGCGCAGCAGCGGAACCAGCCGCGCGCTGCTGAGGCCTCGGGGATTTCTGCTGCGAGCCTCTGCTGCGATGTGCGATCTGCTGCGAGTGGGCCGCCGACTCGAGACGCGGTGCAGAGTGCAGCTGCACAGCGCGGGCACAGGCGAAGATGGCGGCGGCAGATATTCCGGCTCCGATCCGCCCGTGACGCATGCGGCGAACACAAGCCATCGCGGCTGCGGGATCCTGCAATTGCTGCTCCCTCTGCGATCGTAACGCCTCCCCACACCCGGCGCCGCATCGTCCACATCCCGCCCGCCGCGTCAGACGCCAGACGACATGGATCCCGACAAGGACAACGCCAACCCCACTATCCTCAACCCCTCCGACCTGCCCTCGCGCCGCCGCGAGTCGTCGGTGAAGAAGCGCGAGGGCGCTGGCGTCGGCCTGTTCGACGACCTCATCCCGCCGTATAGCTACTTAAACGACCCGTTCGACGCGCCGCAGTCCTCGGACGACTCGGACGACGGGTCGGTCGAGGACATTGACGAGCAGGAAATCTATGGTGAGCCCGATTGCTCGCCTTGCGCCCCGCTTGCTGACCGCAACGCAGACCTGATCTCGTCCATTTCCGACCCCGAGCACCCACTTTCGCTGGGCTCGCTCGCCGTCGTAAACCTGCCTGACATCCGCATCCTACCCCCGTCGTCGCCACGCTCGCCGATCAGCACAGTGCTCGTCGAGATCACACCCACAATCACGCACTGCTCGCTGGCAACTGTCATCGGCTTGGGCGTGCGCGTGCGCCTGGAGCAAGCGCTGCCGCCGCGATTCCGCGTCGATGTCCGCATCAAGAAGGGTACCCATAGCACGGATGAAGCTGTGAACAAGCAATTAGGCGACAAGGAGCGGGTGGCGGCTGCGCTGGAAAATGGGACGCTCATGGGCGTGATCCGCAAGATGCTCTCGACGTGCGAGTAACGAACAAGTGTGATGTACGCTCGGCATGAATGATAACGACAGCATTGGGACATAAAAAAAAACGGCGTGCCGGTGTTGCGCTACGAAAATAGCAACAGCTGCTATAGCCTTTTATAGGCTCCGCTCGAAAAGTCAGGTCTACCATCGGATGGCGTTGGGCCCCTTCCAGATTTTTTTTTTTCGAAACGGCCATCCATGCCATATCTCCGACTATGCAGTGCGTTGCCTTCGGCGCTGCGCCGTAGGCATTTCGTTAGAAACCGTGAGCTAATCCTCTCGTGATGGTAGGAACGCCCGTCTTGGGAAAACACCCATGGCGAGCAGATCATCTGCAAGTAATTAGGGTTCGGGGGCCAAAGCTGAGCCCGTGGCCCGGAGAATGATACCCGGGCAGAGGGCTCTGCGACAGTGCGGGCTTCCACGAGAAGCACCCCTCCTGCGCATTGACCGATCCCCACGAGAGGCTGCCCCCGGGTCCCAAGCTCCACCTGCGCCGCTCCCGCTCCCTGCTCACCGTCGAATCGCCGGAACCTGCCAACATGACTTGTTTCACGCTCGCTTCATTCACCCTCATGAATCACCAAACAGCCCGCGGCAAGAACCGGTCTCACGCGGCTGCTCATAGCCCACAGTCCACAACTCCTCCACCGCCACACCCTGCCGCCAACGGGCTTCTCCAACTGGTCACAAGCACCCCACCGATGAGAGCTGCAGGGTTGCTGGTGGGCCCGTTGGCGCGCTGTTGGGTCTGGCCACTCGCCCCAGTCTGGCGCCAGGGGTTTGTCTTCGGCCACCGTGCTGCTATACACTCGAGAAGCGCGCAGATCCAGCAGAATCGGAAGCCCGGAGGAGCCCGGCTGTCGATAGCGGGGGGGCGACGAGCCGGCCAGGAGGTAGTGGACGATCGCTTATTATCTTTCCGTAAGAGCATTGAAACAGGCACGCAGGATCTGCGGTCTCGATGCAACGTAAAGCTGCTCCTTCGCCCACGTCCCCACGCACGCACTGAGATGGCAGCCTGTGGCGCCTTGCCAAAAAGAGAGGCGATGCGCAAACGTCCCGCAGCGGCGCAGTCCGACACCATGTCTAGTTCCTGCTCTAGAACTGCCCTTTGGCCTGACCGCGAACCTGGAGCGCGCTCCGTCGTTCTGAACGCCAATAGGGACATACCGCTAAGCATGGCCGCTCATCTATCCAATACTGAAAACCAAGAAGTGTGAGCCAGAGCGGTGTGAGAAAAAGCTGCCGTCTATCACGATATTCGCGGCATTTTTTCGTCTGGTGCGTCTGGCCCCCAAGACGTGCTTTTCCGACTTTCCCGAAAAGGCCGCGACGGCAAATGTCAAAGGAAGTAGCCGCTCTGGACGTTGACAGGAGGCAGCCCTGCCAATCACGAGCAACGAGAGCCGAAGCGTTACTGGAGAGAGTCGCAGTACATGCAGGAACGAATGTTGGTCGTGTGTCGGCCGACTGCGCATCCCCTAATAGTAACACGGCGCGCTTTGAACTCAGGTGCTACCTATCCGATGATAATTCCGAAAGCCGCCCTACCCGGCACCGGCAGGATGAACGGGCAATCGGAACATCATCTGATCGGCGTCCCTTTGATCTTCCCCGTCCCATTTCTCAACGCTGCTCCACCGGCACGGATTGTATTGGCTGCGGCCCGAAGACCGCTCGTGTCTCGCTCTGCGGTTGTAACAAAGGGGCGAAGCCACTGCAGGCGAGTGGGTATGGCACTCGAGGGCGGGCTCGGGCTCTGCCGGTTCCTGCTCCGCGCACCAATTCCGGACGTTGTGGCCCCGTCTGCACGGGCATTCATACCCGTGGCAATCAAGCCGGCGCGACAGGTGCGACAACCACCCCCAAATTCCGGGGTCGTACGTCACGGACTCGCTTACCGGTACGCACCGAAGGACGAGGCTTGCCAAAGGCAAAAGGCAACCTGCATGAAGCGGCAATTTCCTTCCTCCAGCCACACGCCGGAGCAAAGGGCTTTGCTTGACGCCACGGCAATGTACGAAGAGCCGCAAGAGTAGTCTCGCCTCTCTACGCTTGCCACGCGAGCTCTCTATGCTCGCCTCGAACTTCCGTGCCCTAGAGGGCGTCACCCGCAGGTTAATATGTAATGCACGTCTGCGTGATGGGATGGGATTGGATGCTCGCTGGCACAGGCGCTACTGGGAAAGTGCAGCAACCCAATCCGCAATCTGGACAATATGCACAACAGCCCTGCCTTCACCATCCACGGAGGTATCACCCGCTTATTATTTCCGGAAAACGCTCACCTCACGCACAGTGCACTCCCGGACGCGCCCGCGCGCGGGAGGCTGGGGCAATCGGCCGTAAATCAGGACAGGGCAGGACGGGACTGGCGCCGGGAGGGCACGGCGGAACCTGCCCACCAACGGTTAACCTGACTTAACCCCACAGTTGGAGCAGAAAGCTAATCGGCATCTCCGATATGGCGAACACGCGAGCAAGCCGGCTGCCTTGTTGAGTTTGGTGCCATGACGAGTACACGTGCAAGCAGGCAGGCATACAAGCAAGGCGTCCGTCAGCATGTGACGGTCTTGTTTCCTTGGTGGTTCAGTCTCCACACTTCAGCCGCACGCTGCACACCACTCCGGCCATCAGCACGGAACGCCTGGTGAGGCTGAGGTGTTGACCCCAAGACGAGCATTGAATCCTCTTGGTGCGTGTAGCGGTGCCCGAGTGATGGCCAAGGATGGAGATCCTTCCATTTGATCTTTCAAACGGCCATTCGTTCTCTCTGATAACACATCTTACGCAACTGCTTCAAGTACTTTCGACATATAGTATCAAATGGGGCTAGCCTACTGCTCGGTTCGACCCGCTCTATCCCGCGCCAGTTACGATATTCCTCGGTGCTCATGCGTCGCCTATTGTAACCGCCTAGATGATTACTGTCACATTTGCCGTCCCTAGGTCTGCTCATCTCCCACCCTCCTACATCCCACAATTGCACCAATCGTTCCGTCATGTACTGCGCCTCTGCCGTCATGGCGCCCGGTGATTATCTGCCGCTAATCTTCATGGTAGTCTTGGTGCAGTACGCCACGCCGCGTCAGCCCTGCGGGCCTTCCAATATACACCTGTTTCCGTAAAGAGGAGGCGGCAAAATAGGGTGTGATGCTGACCCGACATGCCATTTGACCCTTGCCGGTCCCTTCTTTTAGCGAACCTCAGGCCGCTCCTTCTTGCACGTCCGGTGGGCTGGAATGGATTTAGCCAGATCCCACAGCAACACTACACTTGCGCTCTCAGGAACTTCCAGATCTAGAGGTAGGCTCTAGCCGCTGAGTAGCTCTTTTGTCCTTGGCATGGGCCCTTGTATGCGAGACACACTATACCTTTTTCCCCGCTCCCGCTCGTCCGAGGTAGCGGAGAACAAGACCCTGAAGTACCCACATGCTGGAGAAATCGGTGAATCTGTGGGGTAAATTCTCCGTCCGCATAGGTTTGCGAAGTGACATCCACTTCGGTCAAATCAAGCTTGAATGCTATACGACTCATTGTACTGCTCTATACTTTCAAAATATGCGTCGCAAAATACTGCGAGCATCATGTCACTCCCCGTGCCCCGCTTCCGCCTGCAGTAGATCTACATGGCGCCGAAACGCCGGGTGTGTGAACGTGCTTTGGTACCTTACACCGCTCAGAATGCGTATGCCAAGCGCCAGTTATGCATTTCTATTTCTCAACACACCGCAGGTTCTTGGTGAGAATCGCGTATATCATCCTGAAACCACATCCACGGTTTTGGTGACTAAAACTGCAGTGTGACGAGAAACCCAGGACTTCGGCATAATGAAAACCGAGGGTGGCGACAGACAAAAGGAGTGTCTGGGCCAGAACTTGGTTACGGACAGCATTTTGGTGGAAAAGGTTGTGTCTAGCTGCTGTTGCACGAATAAAATTCTCCACAGGAGTGTGATCAGATAGAGTAGTTGTAATCGAGTAGTATAATGACGATATTTAACCTTTATTTCTCGAATTTTGGTACTGCTACTTCTAATCCCTCTTCTCTAGCGTTGCGACTTCGTAGAACTGCAGGTGAATAGGGATACTAGCGCAGACCGCAGTATTGGAAAACCTAGCCCAGGCCAAAATAATCCGGGTTTCTGGTTCCTCAAAGGAGCCACGAGTACAGGTTGACTTAAGCAGTTGCTTGTACCTCGTCCTCGCCTCTGCGCCACCGGCGCCAAGCATCCCAATATGGGTCTCAATAGGTGATGCCCTCAATAAAGGCACAATGGAGTCTATCAATAGGCGCTTCGTCTTTCATGCCTATAGAGACAAGAAGCCATGATTAACGCAAGTATATAACTGGAGCTGTCTTTTCTTGATGCTTCTTCCCTTTGCACAGATCGCATAAGCAATCCTTTCAATCAAGACATCAACCAAACTTACCACATCCACTCCCTAGAATCGACGAGCCAACAGACCAAAAACGCAAAAAGCGACCAAAGAAAAAACAACGGCAAAGATGCACTTCGCAACCCTCACAACTCTCTTCCTCGCCTCCACCAGCATGGCCCTGCCAGCAACCATGACTCCCGGCGCCTACGCCACGGATATCGAAACCAGCCTCGACCTCAACTTCACACCTACCGTCAACGCCACCACCGACGGCCTGACCAAGCGCGACTGGGCCTACAACGTAGTCAAGTTCTGCGAGCACGCCAACGGCAAGGGCAAGTGCGCCAAGCAGAGCTTCCGGCACGCGCTCTGCTACAACTTGGACCGCTGGTGGAATGACCGTGTCTCCTCCATCTACCCCAACCCCAACACCTACTGCCGCATGCACGTCAATCGCGACTGCCGCGGTGGAGCCATGGCCGTCGGCCCCAACTGGAGCATCGCCGACCTCAAGACCATCAACTGGAATGACAAGATGAGCAGCATGGATTGCTTCAGCCAGGCATATTAAGAGAAGAAACAGGAGGAGAGAAAGGCCTTTTCCTTGTTTTCCCTTCTTTTCTTACTCTTCGGCATTAAGAATGAAATGGGGCACAACAGCGAAATCACTTTCTTCGAGGAGCAAGGAAAATAGAAGCTAGAGCGTTGGAGGGCTCTGGCACATACATTTTTCCACCTATTCTTTTTTGTTTTCGCGTGGGAAGGGGGACCAGCCTTTTTTCTTATCATGGGTGGTGGTTTTATTCAATCTCTTTAATTATTTTCTCACACGTGTGTTCCAATTTCGCGTTCCGTGCCGCAGAACTTCAGGAGCGCTGGTACTGACGAATGAAGCGGTCTTTTCAGTGGACCTCTTTAGCATAATTTACCTCCTTACTTGCTAATAAGAGGTTTGTAGGTGGCTCCGTTCACATATCATCATTTGTCTCCCTGCAACTACCGGTCTGTCATCGCAGTCGTCTATGCCGGTATGTAAAATCAAGAGACGGGCAACAATAATGCCACTCACAGTGCGCTCTCAAACTGCTCGAGTTTAAGCCTCATGCATCTATCTACTCCAGAGGCAGATGATATTTAGCAGAAATTCCTCGGGCGTTTAACGGGCAGCATCTCTTTCAAGGGTAATGTTTCTTCTTTTTCATTGGGTTTCCATCTTGACCTTCTCATTATTTTCTTTACTGTCCAAGTTTTGTATTCACCTCAATTGACACTGTCTTCTATTCGCCTAGGAGGTGATTATGGTGGCAACTTTGCGGTATGACTTGCGTAAGCTCTGTAAAGCGTATAATATGTAGCCTTTTAAACTTCATAAACTTTTAGGTAGCTAACAAAGCAGCCATAGAATAGCTAAGACTGAGAACTAAGCCATCTCCTTACAATTTGCCTTCCGATAAGTATCCAGCCATAAATTCGCCACACCGCTAAAGCCGGCCCTCTGTTTTAAATACCTGGCCATCTCCCCGTAGCGCCGAGATGTTACAAAAGCAATCTACATGCAACAGCAAAACATCAGGGAAATATAGACCGCAATTCTCCCACAGGAAAAAAAAAAGACCAACATGAGATGCGATTGCGAACACCTCAAGTAATCGTTCATGCGATCTTCGCCAAAACTTCATGCTTATGTCTCTCCACCGCTTGCATTAGCACAAAGCTTAGATCCCCCCGCACTCTCGTATCTTCTTCCGCGTCTACAAGCTTGACTTGCATGAGTAAGCTCCCAAGTCGATCAGCCCAGCTCTGTACAACGGTTGGAGAGGACACTTCTTCTCCGGACACAGCAAACAGAGAGCGCATTTCTCCGCTTGCGCCCCATGAAATGGCTTCATCCTTTAGGCTGAGCAGCATACAGGCTGTGGTGATCCTTTTGATTAGATGCACCGCGGATACTTCGCCGCCGTTGTCATCCTTCGCTATGCTTGCGGCGGTGGAGACGACGAGCGAAATGTTCTGCATCCGAGCGCCGTCAGGTACGCTCTCAAGTGGAAGGTTGGACGTAGTGCGACGGCGAGCTTGCTGACGAGTGGAGTGTCGGCGCAGAGAAACCAGTCCAGTGGTACGGGTGTGCTGCTGCTGCCCAGATTGTTCAGGCTGAGTACGAGGCTGTTGCGTGTGTTCTGAAACCACATTAAGAGCCCGTCCTGTAGTAGAAGTTGACTTCGCTGCTGGACGGCGACGCAAGCTGCGTCGGAGTGGCTGCCCGACGATCACAGTTTCTGCTGTTTCCTGTTGTGGCAGCTCTTCTGCTTCGTTTTGCTGGGAAATGGCTGCCGGTCGGTTCTGAAGTGTAAGTGTACCTGCTGTGGCACCCATTAAGGAAGGTTGGGACGACATAGGTGCTGCGCTGAGCTCAAAGTTGCGCATGCCCACTCCATCCAAGCTTGCTGGGGACCTATGACGGACGACTTGACGAACCTCTTCAGAGGCTTCAGTGTTGTGTCCGACAGGTAGACCACTGCCAAGGGCGCCTACTTCATTATCAGACGGTGATATGCGTTCTCGTCTCGTACCTGATGCCGTCCAATGCCGAATGTCACGATCGCGACCATCGGACAATCCACAGCTGTCTGCCGCACCGCTCATCATAAAGTCATTGGCCGCATCATCTCCGCTAGTTGTAGGCGTCTTCTTATTCCTTAGGAATACCGTTGATCTTTTGGGGTATTTTGACGGCAAGTTCGAGAACCAGCTATCCCTCTCGGCATTGATTGGAGATTTGAACGGCTTGTTGATTCCTCCATGGCCAGACTGTTGCTTACGAGGAGCTCCTCGACGCGGTTTATTCGAAGCAGCTGTGTTAGCCAGATTACCAGTTACACCACCTGTTGGCTGGGGAGATACAGGAACGAAGCCTTCAGCGTCGACTTGTGGAAAGGAGCTGTGTGGAGATAGAAGATGACTGTTGTTTGGTTTGGAAACGGAGCGGCCTGCGCTTGGAGTAGCTTGGCTTCGTGTCAAATTCAGTCCACCAGGACCGCCGCTCCGCACAATAACAGAATTTTGACAGTGAGCCGGAGATGAAGCTTGTGGCGTTGGAAGATGTGTTCTATCAAGTTGGACACGCGGTACGGTAGGTGTGCTTGTCGATGGCCCAAGCTGAGGCTCCGGGCTTTGCTTCCGCGTATGAGCTATGTGTGGATGGTTTGCCATACCCGGATTTCGGATTCTAGCATTCATCTTTGCCATTGTCCAGGGGTTTGACAAAGTGACACTGCTCACGCCCTCTTCAGTGTCCTCGCTTGTAAGATCCACGTCTGGACCTTCCTGTGTCTCGGCGTCCGCCATGATGAGATCATCGTTATCGAAGTCGTACATGTTATATTTCCATGTGCGCTGTCGTTTTCGTTGCGGTTCTTCAAAGTTGCTCATCTCTGCACGGTTGTGAGGAGGACTGGTAGGAAGGTTCGGGGAAGCTGGAGTGTGAGCGATGTCCGAGGTCGGCATATCGACCAATTGATCAAAGAGGTCATCATCAACCGCTGTATCGTATTCACTAGTCTGAACCTCTGAAGCTGGTGTTGTAATTGCATCCTCCGGTTTCTTCACCTTTGCTTGTGCTGATGTTTCTGATTTATGTGTCTCAGGTGTTTCCTCCGATGGCTTCCCTTCTGCGCTGGTTGAGGAGTAGAAAGCATCGAGAAGTTCGTTGACAGCAGCAATCAAAGAGGCCGGATCATCGAATAGGAGATCGCTCTTCGACGGCTCCACGTTTGGATCGTAGCTACCAGGTGGGCATGCAATATCCATCCTCAGAAAAGGCTCCTTGACATCCTCTAGGGTGGGATTGGCCTTCTTTAGCTTATCTCTAAAGGCCTTTGAGAGCAACTTGAGGGTTCCACGGGCTGTCGAAACGGGTCTTGCATCGACGGATAGGAACTGGCCGAGTCCGGAAATATTCTTGCTCTCCGCGTCCACTTTGGGTAGGACAGCGCCAAAGCCGTACCCTTTGATGTTCCGAGCAACGTAATTGCACTGCGCAGCCGCATCTTTCCCAATGATCTTCCATACCGCGTCCATAATACTCTCCTCCCCGTCATTCCGCCCCAGCCCTGGCTTCGGTGCGTACGTCCACCTCTCTTCTTTTCCCTTCTTTGTAGTCTCCTTCACCACCTTCAACGATAACCTACACCCCGGTCTCGCAAGCGCGTAGGCTTGTAACACGCCCCTTATTTTCTTGGTCACACCGCTACCCTTCTGCGCCTCCCTGAGTGCCGCCTGCTTCCTGACTGGCCACCTATCGAAGAACCCTTCCGCCCTAACAGTCGTCCCAACGGGACACCCAATCTTTCTTACTTCCACGACACCCTCTGGCCCCTCCCTCCCCAGTCTCAACACCTCCCCCATCGTCTCCCCTTCACACTTCACCGTAACTTCCACCCTTTGACACACCTCAGCCAGGCTCGCCAACGCCTCGCCCCTAAACCCCAGGCTCCTACCGCCGACATCCCTCAGCAACTCCCCATACTCCCGCAGCTTGCTTGTGCAGTGGCGGCGGCCCAGCAGCTGTCTGTCGTCGCCAGTTGGCGGCACGGAGCGGCCGTTGTCGCGGACGGTGACGTGGTCGAGCGCGCCGTTGGCCGAGACTTCGACGGCGATGGAGGTAGCGCCCGCGTCGAGCGCGTTGTCGACGAGCTCCTTGACTGCTGCGACGGGATCGACGATGGTGAGCGAGGAGCTGAGAGCGCGGACAGTCTGCGGTGCGAGCGATCGGATGCACGAGGAAGAAGATGACGACGTCGTGGCGTCAGTGAGCGGTGATGGTGAGGATGATGACGGCGTGGGGAGAACACTTTCGTTGATGGAAAAGTTGAGAGACATTTCGAATAAATAACAAATTCTTCTCTCAATGTCTCTTCATTTTGCGTGGTATGGTGGATGTGAGGTTGTAGTGAGCGTAGTATAGAATGCCACTCTACCCACGAGAAAGGGGGCAAAAAGCGCGCTCATTCAAAGAAATTTGAAACCGGGCTCTCACTCACAAGGTGAGGGAGAAGAATGCACGACTGTAAATTTTTGTCGCGTCTGCGCAAGTGAGGCTTCTACACCGACGCATGACGTAATGGGCAAGGGAAAAAGGAAAGCGCGGCGGGTCACTTCACTTCGGCCATGCCCAGACACATAAAGACATGGAGCATCATGCACTTCCAGATTATTCTTTTATCTCATGCACTCTCAACAATTTCGCAATTGCAACTTGATTATTACCACAATATTTGTGGTATACGGAAATTAAACCATGCAGCGCAGCCTTATCAAATTGCTTTGCTATCTTCACCAACGGGCTCGATATATTCTTCAGATACCAAGCCACCTCGCCTGGTACCGTGGAGCCAAACCGGGCGATCATCAGTGGAGCAACTGAGCAAGGAAGAACAGAATCATAGACAGTTCAGGAACCACAATCCTAAACATCAAAATGAGGCAGAATAAATAGACCAAAGATAATACAGGAGAAACAAAGAAAGAAGTTCCCCATCCCTTCCATTCCGCCCTGAAAGCTCGGAGATACAGGAGAAGCTCTGAAGGAAATAATAATAACGGTTGTCGTTCCGGGGCATCAATCGCGCCATGTGTGTTAGTTCGATCGCTCGTTAACGCCCACCACGCCCTTTGTTCCATCCATCATCCAGCCGCAACCTATTCATGATTCGAATTCCCATGCATGCATGCAGGTCATGTAACTATACTCCACTCCAACAAAGCCCAAATTGACCATTACCCCCACATATCCCATCATGCACCTTCCATTTCGGTATCCTGCTCACCGCTTGCCGCAACCGCCTGCTCTTCCTTCGGTGCCGAAGCCGTAGTAGCTGCGGCACTAGGTGCCCGCGCGTTAGCACCTTCGGCAACCATGCGGCTGAATTTTTGCTTGCGGCCATCGACAACGTCTTTGCTGAGATCCTTCATCCACGCATTGTTCATGACGACCTTCTCCTTGGCCAAGCTGGCACGGTTCTCGCGCTCCTGCTCCGCTTCGGCGATGCCGTCCTTGCCACCGTTGCGCACTCTGTCGCTCTTGAGAAGGTACTCGCTGGTGTTAGGCTCGAATACCATGGTGAACTTCTCGAGCGCAATGCGGATGGTCAATGACTCCTCGCTCTTGACATCTTGCGACGTCTCGGCTTGCTCATCGTCGTCTGCGGGCGCGTCACGCTTCAGAAAAGGTATCTTGACCTTTTCGGCAGGCACCCCTTCGGTGGTGCTGATGCGCGTAAACGAAGAAAGGTACGCGCGCCAGTTCTGCTCCTGGCTGGTCTGCCTGGTGTCGAAGGTGGGCTCCTCCCTCTTGAAGATCATTACGCGGGTTATGGAACGCGACTGATCCTGCTATGTGTCAGTGGCCGGTTGAGCTCGTGTTCACACGGGCAAGAAAACTTACATAGGAGATCTTGTAAACGTCGCCATCCTTGGAGTACTTCTCGACCGTCCTCCGGTAGTTGAGCTCTGCATCATGAGTCGTCTCCTCTTGCTGGCGATCCTTACGGAAGAGCTGGTAGATGTCCCACGTCTTGTCCTTAGCATCGCTGCTAAGAAGAGCGAAGGCAAACCTAACAAGCGAGCTCAGCAGCTTGTCAAAAGAGTACAGCTGCCAGCCGCTCTGCAGGTAGTAGCGCCTGAGCGTCTCCTCGATCTGCGGCATTTCAATCTCACCCCGAATCTGGTCCATGAACATTTCGAGCACCTGCTCGTAGTAATTTGCCTTTGGCGACGTGTCGCGGAAAAAGTCCTCGGGGCGCTTGTCGATAAGATTGAGGTCGAGAGCGGGCTTGGCGTGCTGGGCCCGCGCAACCAGCTGATGGACATGCTCTTCGTTCTGCTTGAGATGCGAGAGACGCTCGTAGAGGATGACGAACATGCGGAAGAAACAGTAGATCGGGAGGTTGCAGTACATGTTGTAAATGTCCCGCTTGTAAGGACCATCGGGCGCGATGTCCTGGATGTCAAGGTTGTTGCCGCCGGCAGGATGCTCGAGCCATCTGTCCGAAGCAGTGTCCTTCGGTACCGACGTGGTAACGTCTCCCTCCTCAGCCATTTCGTCGTCAGCCGCCGATCCCGCCTCGGGCGTGCTTCCACGGCTACCCGACGCATTGCTCTCGTCCGCATCCTTACGCGACGCTCTTCCGCTGCGACTGGGGTCGAGAACACCGCGGCGAAGGTCATCCTTCTTGCCGTTGACTTTGAGCGACTTACGAGAGCCGTCATCCATGCCACCCATCTCGTCATCAGTAGACTCAGCCTGAGGCGAACCGATCTCGCGTTCAAACTTCGACGCACTGAGGCCAAAGAAGAGCGGGACGAATTCCTTGATGAATCCATAAAGCCTGTGCGAGTCTGTAGAGTTGCCGTGCTCCGCATGCAGCAGTAGAAGCTTAGAGGCATCCAAGAGGACCTCGGTATCGGTGAAGCTGTACTCGAACTGGTGCTTGGGCACAGTGATACCTTGCATGTCTCGCTGACGCTTCTGCTCCTCGTACTTGACCTGGATTTCGTTCTGCAGTGTCTTGGCCTGGAACTGACGTTTGTCTGCGGCCTTGGCGCTCGCGCTCTGGTGGTCGAGAGACTTCCAGAAAATCCTCTGGGTTTGTTCGCGCCAGACCTTTTCCCACTCGCGCTGGGCTGCCTTCCACTCCTCCAGCTTCTGTTTCATCCGATTCAGCAGCACCGGGATGACCGTGTAGGGAGTTTGGAAAAGTTGCTCGATAACCTGGTTTCCGCGCTCACGGTTGTAGATCTTGTAGATGACCCGTTTGTAGATCGTTTCACTCTGACCGCCCAGGTTGCTGGGGAGGGTGAACTGCACCCTCTCCTCGGCAGTAGCGTTGAGGAGCTGCTGGGCGATGGGCTCAAGTTGCTGAATGGTGCGAATGCAGGCTTCGATCGTGTGGTCGTAGTCGTGGCGCTCCTCCTCGATGCGGTGCAGGCCCTCCTCGTACTGGTTTTTGCGGTGGGCGACGAAACCGCTATCCTCGGACGCCCATGTCGGGTGAGAGGCCCACTCGTCGTTTAGAACCGAGTGGCAAAGCTCGTCACGACCACTGCAGCGGCGCATCTTCTCGGCGCGGGGCAGCTGACGATAGCTGGGGCCAAGACCGCGACAGTTGGAAAGAGCGACACGGCCACTGGGCGGCTTAGGCTGGTTCTCGAGGGCCTCATCCTTGCCGTCGTACCCAAGGAATTTCCTGAACCAGCCCATAAGCTCTGGATTGCCGCCAATGAATTGGTGAACGCGGTGGAGAAGTAGGGACTTGTCAATCAAGTCCATTGAGAACAAGTTACAAAGTTTGAGGAACTCGTTCATAGTGTTCTTGTTGCCAATGTATTTTTTGACGCGGTCAAACCACGCCAACTCCTCGGCGCTAGCTGAGAGCGAAGTCGTCGGCGCCATGGGCTCGGGAATGGCGGGAGTAAGTGTGGGTGAGACCGGAGTAGCGTCGGGCATCGCAGATGATTTCGCACCGTGCTGTTGTTTCGCGCGCTGAAAGGTTTTCGTTAGCTGACGAGGTTTCGCAATGAGAAGGTAGCTCATCATTGGAGCGCGATTGGATGCAGTGGTACGGTTGGCATGGCTGGCAATGTGGAGTGGCGAAGGAAAGAACTTAAGGTCAGGTGTGAAAGCAGCAAGATAAGCGGCAATTGAGACGCAAATGTGGAAGTGGGTAGAGGAGGGTGACTTGTTGACACGTGATATGGCTTGTTGAGTCGAAAGAGCTGTCACTCACCTTCGCGATGTTTCCAGTCTGGGCAAACCCAGTCCTCTGGCCCGCTCCGGACACCTCGGCCGGTATCGATGTAGGCATCGCGGTCGAGCTGGCGACTGTGCCCTGTCTTTCACCACGTTTTCTCTTGTTGTCACGGCTAGCACTAGGCGTTGGCGCAAAGTTTCCAACCGGAGGAAGACGACCAGAGCCCTGCTCGGCCCTCGGTGTGTGATGCATCTGGGGAGTGCCCGCAGGCTCACCGCGCACGTTGCTGAACATGTACTGTTCTTCAGCAGCCTGCCTGGCCTGGGCGGCCCTGTGCTGAGCTGCAGATTCAGGAAGGAATTGTTTGAAATCCTCGAGCAAATCGGGTGCGGAGTTGAAAAGCTGCGTCACCTGTGCGTAAACATCCTGGATCGGCTTGGACTCACGCTGATACGTCTGCAAGATTTCTAGGAACTGCTTGTAGATGTCGGGCTGGGTCGCGAAGCGGTTCTGCCGGAGTATTTAGCGAGTGCCTAGATTGACTGCCACAAACGGTCCTACCTTGATCTTATTGACGTAGCTGATGGCGTGGTTAAACTCCACGGGGCCTCTCTTATCCAGTCCGGCCTGTGCGCCGCCTTGCTGGGCCAAGTGGCTAACACCATTCATGCTTTGCGCGGGCATTTGGTTCGGAGCTCCACCTGGAGGAGAAATCAGATCAGGCCTGTTCAACAAACCACCAGTGGCGGCTGAAACGGCATTGCTGAGTTGGGACACACCCCTCTGTTCTTGCTGATGTGCGAGCGCGGCGGCTGTCATTTGCTGCTCTCTAGCATGAGCTTCGGGAGAGATCGGCGCTTGGTTGCCTGGCTGAGGCGCAAAATGCGGCTGGACAACCGGGCGACTTGGGCTATAGGAAGCCTCAGGACCAGCGCCCGGTTGTTGCTGCTGCTGTTGCTGTTGTGGCCAATTAGCTCCGGGGCCGCGGGAAGCAGCTTCGTAGAACTGTCTCTCAGAAGCGCCTGGTCCATCGCCATTGACAGGCACACTGCGGGGGTTCGACAAAGGACGGGGCACCGGCATAGACTGCACAGTCGTGCCCATCGGTGTCGTGACCCTAATCGCATTTGGATCTCCACCGGTTCCACACTCAATTTTGTATCCGGGTGGAAGGAAAGTGTTAAACCCCTGGATGAGGTTGGGATGCCCTGCGAAGAGCGATGACACTCGATCGATGACTCCTGGGGTATCAATACTAGGATCGGGGTTAGAGCAAACTTTGCTACTTTAACTGGACGTAGCTAGGAAGCAACTTACGCTCCGCTCTTGAAATCTTTCATAATGTCGAGGAATTTATTATAGACATCGGGATGTTCGTGGAACTGCACTTTTACCTGATCCAGGTAACTTAGTGCATCCTAGAGGTCAACGTTAACACCCGGCGTTTGCCTCATGGTTGTCGCGTTTTCGAACGGATAGTCGCTTACGTTAAGTATAGGCTGCTGTCCTTGGCCCATGGCCAAAGATTGCTGCATGCCCTGAGGTCCCCCAAATGGGACCATAAGACCTTGCTGCTGCTGTTGCTGTTGCTGCTGCTGTTGCGGCGGCGGCTGTTGTTGTTGTTGCTGCTGCTGCTGCTGCTGCTGCTGCGGGGCCTGTGCAGGATGCTGTTGCAAACGGGCACCCTCGCTCTGCTGCTGGCCTGGCCCAGACGTGAATATGCTGGCAGGCGGCTGCGACATGGAACTTGGACCCATTTGCGTGGAGTTACCCAAAATGCCGTTCGGGCCATGTATAACGCGAGACTGTGGGCCAACGGCCACGGGTTGGTGCAGATGTATTGCACCGGCGTGGTTCTCATGCGGGGCCTGCTCAATCTGCTGCCGTTCTCTCATCTCGCGCTCCCGTTGTTCGGCCTGCATAGCAAGATCTTCTGCATGCCTGTCGTCCCTCATTTCTCTATCACGATCATTATTTCCTTGTTGTGTTTGTCCTAGCTGCTGCGACTGCATTGCTTGGTTGATCCCTGGCAGGGAATACCCCGGGCCACCATGTGCTGCGGTCTGATGCGCCTGAGGACCAGCGGTGGGTTCTTGGCCTGAAGAGGCGCCTCTCTGTGAGGTCTGCGCAGCTGAGGCCTGTGAAGATTGATTTAGCCCCGCAATCCCGGGCAAATTGTGGCCAGAGGGTTGATTCGGGGAGAAGAACGGCGCTGCAGGTATCCGAATCAGCTCATGCGCTTGTGCATTTTGTCTGCCTCTGTGTGTACAGCCCACATACCGCTTGGTGGAGGAAGGACAGGACCATTACCCTGGGCCGACGGCTGGGGCGGGGGCTGTTGGGAGCCAGCAGCACTCGATCTATACATACACGAATCAGCACGCGCACGTCCAGCAAACACGTCAATCCGGCAGTTTCATGGAGGCCCGGGCGAAACTTGGACCCCGCGAAGACGCCTCCACAGCACGCGCCGCTAGATCGCAGCGGGCGCGCCAGGTCCCAAGACAGACTTACCCAAAGCCAGCTATCGGGCGAGAGGCTTGCGCCTGTGCCTGATCATTATTTTGCGAAGCAGCTCCGCCCTGCGGGCCTTGCGACGGAGGCCAGCCCTCACGATTTGCTGGATTCATGGCGACAGCTCGCAGCGGCGGGCGTGGCCTGGATCGCGGACGAGCGGGCTATGCGGACGGCAGAATGGGACTCGATGCGACGGATCCCCCGAGGATCAGCTCGCGAAGGACATGTGCTCCCTGATCTGGGGCTCGATGAGCGCTGCGGGGCGGCGATAGCGAAGGTTGCGGCTCAGAGCTCGGCAAGCCAGATGTTGTGCACAACAGCTGGCGGCAGGCGACCTAATCGCTCAGAGCTGCTGCAGGAGAGGGATGGAGCGGAAAAGTAGACTGCCAGAAAATGGTCACTGGCGCGCGGCAGACATGCGCGAGAAGGCAGCGCTCTGACTACTGAGGGCGGACTGTGGTGGACTGGAGTGATGGACAAGCTTGTCGAAAGAGTCGCGCATCCTCCCCCGGTTCAGTAGCGCGCGGCCGGGCGAGGAAACTCCGATGGCGGCCGGCCCTACGTTTTCCCCCTTCGCACGCTTGCACAGAAAGGGCACACCCGCCTTTAAGCGAGGCGCGTGCAGACAGGTGCCCTGACTGCTGAACTCTCTCGCACTGCAGCTTATGACGCATGCGCCGGACATCATGCGGCCAGTTGGACCTATCTAAAAGCCCGTAGCCAGGCGACCAAACGAGGAAAAATTTGCACTTCGGATTCGCACGAACATTTGACACGGCCGTTTCTACAGAAAGAGGGGGAAAATAAAAATAAAAACCCAGCGGGGTGCAGGGACTACTCAAACACCGGTCGCGCTCCGGCCGGTGCCCATTCTCGCCTTAGGTTTCGGGCATCCAAAGTTCAAGATCTACCGACTGCGGAACATCGTGTCTTTCCTCTTTCCTTTAGAATACCCAAGTAAATGATTCAAGCACATCGAATGACGTTGAACACCTATTAGCCGGTTAGCGTTTGGCTGTTGTGCGAACTCGTGGTTCTTCTTACCGAATGTCTGCGGATGAGGAACCGATGAGAACCTCGAAGCGACCTTCCTCGGCAATGTACGATTCCAATGACGTGTCATAATACCCAACCGAGTACTTGTCGAACACCAGCTCCACGTTCTTCGTCTCGCCGGGCTGCAGGAACGCCTTTCCGAACGCCTGCAGCTCCTTCTCCGGGCGCGGCAGTTTTGACTTCACGTCCTTTATGTAGCCCTGCACAATCTCGGCCGCGGCAAAGTTGCCAGTGTTCGTCACAGGTATGGTGACCTTCACGGATCCGTCTTGTTCAAGCGTTCGGTCGCTGATGGTGGCATTGCCATACGAGAAAGTCGTGTACGACAATCCGTGACCGAAAGGGAACAACGGCTCAATCCCGCACCGCTCGTAGTGCCGGTATCCGATGAAGATACCCTCACCATACACAACCTTGGCATTCTCGCCAGGCCAATTGTGGTATGCTGGGTTGTCCGACAGTCTTCTGGGGAAGGTCGTGGGGAGCTTGCCTCCAGGACTCACGCGACCCAGGAGGACGTCTGCAAGGGCATTACCGGCTTCCTGTCCCTGGTACCACGCCTGAAGAATCGCGGGTGCTCTGTCTGCCCACGGCATGGTGACCGGCGTGCCCGACTGGTTGACCACGACCGTACTTGGGTTTGCTGCGAGTATCGCTTCAACAAGACGGTCCTGGCTTCCGTGCTTGGGCAGATCCATCGTTTGACGGTCGTAGCCTTCCGACTCCCATTCTGCATCCAGGCCGACGAACACAACCGCAGCATCGGCTTCTTTTGCTGCATTTGCCGCTTCTTGAAGAAGATCGATCCCCGATTCCTCTTCGTATCCAATGCGGCAACCACCATAGGCGTGTGTTGGCTTACCGGGGATAATCTTCGATGCCGGGCGTACTTCGTTATTGCTCTCAACAAGGATTTGGACAGGTTTGTCTGCTTCCAAGTACACAGACTTCAGGACATCCTCGGACGCCTCGAACATGGCTTCGCCCTCCTCTATCCAGTCCCAGTTGTCGATGAACAACTCTCCATTCAAGAAGAGCCGACCAGGTCCAACACTGGAGAAACTGAAAGTGTGGCTCCCCGATGTCTTGGGCGTCAGAGTTGTCTTGACCTTGAATGAGTATGCCGGTAGAACAGCCTTTGGTGCAGAGTCCCACAGGAAAAGATCAGTATTGGCCTTGTGCTGCACCGACGCGGGAACTCCCTCGAATCGATCATGGTAATAGTACTCGAGTGTTACTCCTTGCTTCCCATCCTCTGTAGTGCAGAATGGGGAGGCAAGCGGGAGCCATTTCGCCGTGTCACAGCCGCGGGAATAAGTTAGCTCTCCGTCAAAATGAGCGGCAAGTCCATCGAATGGCGTTGTCGTGTAGTAAGGGTTGAGGCTTGCACTGCCGCCGCCTCCGGCAATGGCACGCTTCGCATTTGGTCCAATAACTGCGATCTTTTTCGCAGATCTGATGGGCAGAGTGTTCCGCTCGTTCTTCAGCAGCGTCAACCCCTCGGCCCCGGCCTGACGTATGACCTGACGGATGGCGGCATTGTCGTTCGCTCGTTCTTCTGGTTCTGGCGCGTCATTGTTGAGCCCTTTCGTTCTCTGGATAAGGTAGAGCACGTCCCCAGCAGCACGCTCAACATCTTCGGCGGCAAGTTCTCCCTTCTCAACCGCGCGCACCGCTTTCTCGCCACGCCACTTGGTTGGGCCTGGCATCTCCAGGGCACAGCCCGCCGAGATGGCTTCCGCGACCGAGTTTGTACCCGTCCAATCAGACATGACCATGCTATAGGAGTCAGCCTCTGACCCAATTTTCGCGTTACACCAGGTAGCTTCCTACTCACCCATCGTATTTCCATTCATCGCGAAGGATTTTCTTCAGAGTATGTGGATACATGTCCGCATGCACTCCGTTGACAAGATTGTACGAGCTCATCAAAGCCCACGGCGACGCCTCTCGGATGGCAATCTCGAAAGGCTTCAGATAAAGTTCTCTCAGGGGCCTCTCAGCGATGATCGAATCAATCGTCATGCGCAGGGTCTCCTGTTCATTGCCGACGAAATGCTTAATGGTTGCCGCGACCTTCTTGCTTTGCAAACCGCGGATGTAGGCGGCGGCAAGCTTTCCTGTCAGGAAAGGGTCTTCGGAGAACGATTCGAAGTTACGGCCTCCGAGTGGCGATCTGTGCAAGCACACTGTGGGAGCTAGCAGGACATCAGCGCCTCGGGCTTTGGTCTCGTCACCGAGGTGCTTGCCCACCTCTTCCAGCAGACCCGTGTTCCAGGTAGCTGCAAGAGAAATGCCACAAGGGAACAGAGCAGCCTGCTGCTCGTTAGCTGTCGACTCAAAAATAGAGAAATGCACCAACCGGAGTGCCATTTTTGAACCACTGTCCCCTAGCGCCGTTGGGTCCATCGGTGGTCTTGATTGAAGGAATTCCTCGGTGAGGCAGAGCAACAGTGCGCCAAAAGTCAGACCCTGCCAAGAGGGAAACCTACAAGTGCAGAGGTTAGCGTTCTACTAATGTAGCATTTCAGGGCAGGTGTACTCACCTGCTCTTTGAGCGGAAGCTTTGCCGCCAATTCTCGGGCCACTCTATCTGGCTGATCGACTCCAAGGCTCGAGGCCTGTTCAGGAAACCTCGAACCACGCTCGGCTGAGCTGTGCGAAAGGGAAGACGTAATGTCGGCGGAATCCTGTGGCGCCAGCCTCAGCGCAGGTGAGCCACTGCCAAGTGCTGGCTCCGCAGCACGCGGTAAGACCACGGTATCGGCCATGGCGTGACAAGCGGCGAGACCACAACAAGGCAAAAACAAGGGATGCGACGGGGAAACGCAGGGGCGCTGGGGAAAAGAGCGTGAGGGCAGGACACGGGGTGGCTTTCGAAACGTCGGTCACGCCCGTCGTGTTCTTTAAGTATTCCATGGCATGCAGAAGGCGGCCAGGCGCGGACCACACGGGAATTGCTCGAAACAGCATAAGCCGAAAGGCGTTAAGACGTGCATTGTACCTGGACCAAGTATCTGCATCTCATTGATGAGCACTATGGCGTGGTGAGCAGCATGGCCGGCGATTAGCCGGTCTTTTGCCTCAAAGAAGCGGCTTTAGGCAGCTTTGATTTCTTAATATAGTGGTCGAGATGCAAAACCGGAGGGCGAAGTCGCACGAAATGAAGCTCGATGGCAAATAAAGAAGCTGGTAACTGCGGCTGCACCGCTAACCTGGAGACTCCTTAATGGCGGTTTTCCCGTATGCTAGCCGAGACGTGGCCGCAGAATTTCAATGCATCGAGTGGTAAGAAGGTATTTGCACGTAAGCTTCTTCAGACAACGCGGCGATAGCGGACCGATGCCAACTGCTGCGGAGGGCTGTGGTCCGGGCCCGAGTGAGCTAAGAGTGCCAATGAGGCATGGCCGTTGTGCAGGCTCACGGAGCCGCGTGCCAGGGAGCGAATTGTTGGTGGAACGAAGCGAGCGGTCGAGTCGTGCGCGTGGAGATGAGGCTGGCTCGACGGCCCTCAGAGCCGGCGCCACGTGAAGCACGACCGTCGCCTGCTCCTTCCCTGTGCCACACGCCAACGTCTGAGCCAGTGGGTTCGCAACTCAGACATCAGAAAGCATACATTGGTCCATCCCGAGTCCCGTGAATGATAGCACTGTGAAAGGTGCTCGTCGCGGTGCTGAAACACGTGACATTTGGCGCTCCAGAACGTCAATTCGCCAGAATCTGTCATTAGAGGTTCCTGCTACCGGTTCGGTAAAGCTGACCATTCGGGAACAGCGGCACATGGGATGGAGGCGCATATCCTCTTTCCATATTCTGCTTGAGGCGAACACAGACCTTTTTCCCGCCACGCAGGCAATGCATAGTTCAGTCAGTCCACTTACAGTTCGCGGGGGAAAGCCTAAAGTAAGAAAAGCACGCATCTCTTTGGTGAATGATCGGGGCTGACGTTACCTACTACACTCTTGCAGCATAGAATGAAGATCTAGCTCGTCAGCCTTACAGCAAGCATATACGATTGTAGAGCGTGCGAGCCGTGACACTGGCGAATCAGGACGTTTTCGCGGATACGTATTTAATAATGTCTTTGCGTGGAAACCAAGATGTCTTGAAAAGAATACGACGACCCTCCAGAGCTGCATTCATCTTGTTCTGAGCGCAGGCAGTAGTGCAAGACCTCATCTGACATGATCCTGCAGAAAAAAGAGGCCGAGTGCACCAGCAACTAGCTCGTTACAGCTTAGCAGTTTGCATGAAGAGGCGACGGTGAGCAGCATGTCCATTCCACATGGGGTGGTGCTAGATGTTGGATACATATGAGTTACGGCAAGCAGCATTCGCAGGCTGGCATCCAACGTCTGAGTCAGATTAAGTGTGGTCTGTTTTCGGGCCTTCAACCGGACGATCAACACACTTGTGTGCACTACTATTCCTCGCCATGTGAGCCAGCAAGACCACAGCGTAGTCGCCACGTTCGTTCGGAATGTGCGGAGCAGAGTCAGAACAAACCCGACTTCCTGGGACAGGCAATAGAAGAATACGAAACTTTACATGTTAAAGTTGCAACGGCAGTTCCGGGCTTGCTGGGGATGAACTTTGGCATTTTTCTCGTCGGTGGCTGTTCGGACTTTACAGGCAACGTCGACTGCGCATGGATGGTAAATCCCACAAAAAGGCCGCTTTGTCGCCGTTGGTAGGTTGACGTGGTTGAAACAAAGTCTTGGGCTTTGAGCTTATCGTGGCCGTGGAGGCTCGAGCGCCAATCGTAGGATTGCAAATGGTAATCAAAGCGGCTGGTATTTCACGTGCATATCATGTTCGACGACCTCCAGCGCGTCCAAGAAATGCAATGCGGCGTTTGTGAGCCGGATCAAGTTGACGTGTCAAAGACGAGATGGAGGGTTTCCGATGTCGGCATTCGTAAGGCGAAATCCATGGACTCACACCGCAACAAGACGCCTGAGCTCGCACCACGGCGGGACGTTGGACTGTAGACCTGTGGCAGGCCCGTGGAGGGAAACGCGTGTGCAGCAGCCGAGGCCCGCATGTGCGTCATGCGAGCTGTTAGGTGGTCTTGGGAGTTGGGTTGGTGGCGAAAGCAAGAGTGGTCGCGGTCCCAAAAGTAGCTATCCGCATGCCGAGAAAGATGCGCATAACTCGACGCAAGCAATCCTCGACACGGGGTGTCACCACTCGTTTTGGATACGTAAACACTGAAATTAGCCTCGCTCCTGGGCAGGAGATTGTTTCTTGGCCGCTTTCGCGCTCCTGTCGCAGGGCGCGGGAGACTTTGCAACGGACGGGTGGTCCGGGCGCGTTCGACGTGGCGCTGCTGCGCATGTCCTCCTGAGAGCACGCTGGGGGTCGGGATTCACTGTACGTAAGAAAGTGAGGATTCCGTGGTTCTTTCGAGCTCCAATTAACCTGAACAGGCGAAAAGGGCTGGCCTAATTGCCCCGGGACCCTGATTCGCCCTCGCACCCGCCACCGCCTTCATTTCCGCGTCGGGAGTGCATGGAGAAGAGATATCCATTCCGTGGACACATGCGATGATGCGAGAAATTTGGACGAAGCGGGGAGCGAATGCGGAGACGAGTTGCATCTGGGCAATCAGGAAAATCTCTCACCCGGAGGCGCGAATCGGCTCGTCTACAGGCCGATCAGAACGAGGTCGTCTGACGAGGCGGGAATTCTGGAAAGATGGGCGACCGCCTTTATGGAATGCGCGGAGGGCGGGCAGGGCGCAGGGGCGCAGCTGCACCAAGACGCGGTGCAACGACGCGGCGGACGCGGTGCGACGGATCCGCGTTTGCGATTAGATAATGGCGGCTGGATGGTGTGAGTGGGAGGATGCACGGCGGGCGCTGTTTGGCTCGCGCTCGGTGTTGCGGCCGGCTGGGCGCGCGCGACCAACAAGAGCCCGCCCAAGAGCATGACCGCGACCGGCGCCGCGACGTCACCGCGATAGAGTGCCTGCGTCCGTCGTGAGGCAGGCGGGCACGTGTGCGGAGCGACTTCGGGTCGCGAGTAAGGCAGATCGCGAGTGAGATTGACTGCGCCGGGGGCCCAACTTGGGCACCCTCTGTCGTCAGGCCCGCCAGGGTCCGGCCGGTGCAGAATGCGGAGAGGCCTGGCATCTGCGGGCGCACGCGACAGCAGGCCGGGCGCTGTGCTGCTGTGCCGCGCCTCTGCGGAGATATCTTCTTTACGTCAACTTGGTGGTTGAGTAAAAAGAGTGGTAACGGAAACGCGGCGCAGGGATGGACGGGCTGGCAGTCGGGCGAAGTCGGCCAGTCAGAGGGCACTGATAAGAGAAAGCAGATCTACCCCAGCGCGGCGCGAGGTTTCATCGAATTAAGCCTTCGTTAATGCTTCAGCGACTGCTCGTTTGGGGCAGCAAGCGAATATCCAGTACGTAAACTGCCCTAACTATGACCAAGCCCACGCCAAGCGGACGCCCTCGGTGACACAGGCGCAGACCGCATCGCTGACACTGCGCGCCCATTACCTCTATCCATCGACACTACTTTATCTATAAGCAACACCTGCGCCCGCGCTCCACCGCCCGCCGTTCGTCACCACGCCCAGCAGAGCCGCTGCCCAGCCGCGAGCAGAAAGCGCGCCTCAGGCAAATGACCGAACGCACCATCCACTTCCTCATCTTCCTTTCTCACGGCCCTTGAGACGCCTGCGCGATAAGCCCGCCGTTCCCCAGCTGCCGAGCCGCTCCCATATCGCCCGTTATCAGACACGGCCTCCAGCAATCGCACCGCGGCCCTTCTCACTGGTGCGCTGCCGCCGCCGCCCTGACGACCGGCGGGCACTAACCGGCATACCCGCAGGCTCCACGCTGCCCTGGGCTATCTCCGATACTGGCCGCACGATATGACGACCGCCATAGCTCCCCAGCCCATCATGCCTCGTTCGGACCTCGTCCCTCTCGCTGCCGCCCGCCCCAAGTCAGCCAAGCCCATGCCGGGCAAGGAGAACCTCTTCTCTCACAAGCCGAACGCCCAGCCCGGTCAGCTCACGCCTGCCCAGCGCTCCCGCCGCGAGAGGCCCTGCGACGCCTGCCGCCGCCGCAAGAGCCGTTGCGTCATCCACGAAGGCGCGCTGCTGTGCGTCCTGTGCGAGTTCCACAAGCAGGAGTGCACCTTCGTGCAGAGCCCGCTGCCGCGGAAAAGGAAGATCAACGTCGACGGCCAGAAGGAGGAAAGCGCCAAGAAGAGGTAGGTGTCGTACCGCCGTGATCCTGACACTCGCTAGCCCTGCCTCGCCGCCCTAGTCCTGCAGCACGCTGCTGACACCCGTGGTCCAGATCAGTCGAGCGTGAGCAGCCGCAGAGCACCACCGTTCCGCTCCAACAGCCCTCCCCCACCACCAAGTTCTCCCGCCGAGCACCCCATCTCGCCGATACCACCGGACAGGCCCTCCAAGAGACGCTCGGGCTGCAGCGTCGCCAGCACAGCCGCTACATCGGGCCCACCACACCCTTCGACCCACTCCTGATCGGCTTGACCCAGTTCGATACGCGCAACGAGAGCACCTTCGACCTGGGCGTGCTGCGGAAGGTCCATGACAATGAACATTTCATCATGCTGCCGGACGAGAACACCCAAGACTTTGACAGCGAAATTGAGGCGCTCAATGCCGTCGAGGCTGTGGTAGCACCACATGGCTCCCAGCTCATTGATGTGTACTTCCGTTCCGTGCACCCTAACTTTCCCATCATACAGAAAACGTTGTTCATGCAACGGCATCGCGATGCCGATCGCCAGATATCTCCACCCCTCCTAGCGGGCATCTACATGCTGGCCCTGCAATGGTGGTCGTATGAGCCCAGATTGGCATCACTGCCCAAGCCCGATGTCAGCAAGCTGGAGGCAATTGCTTCCCACTGGCTACCTAAGGCCATGGAACGGCCCAAGCTCTCGACGATCCAGGCCGGCCTCCTGCTGCTGCAGAGACCGGACTCCGACTCTTGGAGTTTGACGACTCAGCTCGTTGCCATTGCACAAGAGCTTGGCCTGCACCTCGACTGCTCCAACTGGTCGATTCCATTGTGGGAGAAGGGACTGCGCAAGCGGATTGCCTGGGCCTTGTACATGCAGGATAAATGGAGCTCGTTGATCCATGGCCGGCCATCGCACATTTACAATGCCGACTGGGCGGTGAAACCGATTAGTGACGAGGACTTCTACGAGGACGGCGCTCAGACGGGCGAGGTTCTCCGAGCAGGTAGCGAGGAGGAGGCTGCCGATGAAGAGCGAGGCGCATACGTCTTTGCGCAAATGATTACGCTGACAGCCATCATGGCGGAAGTCATGGACACATTCTACACCCAGACTGCGATCCAAGACTTCCAGAATGCCGGGAAGAACTCGACGCGGCTAATCCTCGATCGGGCCAAGCCGGTGCAGATCAAGCTCAAAGAATGGTTTGCAAGACTGCCGGCAAGCACGCGCATCGACAGTCACAATTCCGGCCGCTCGTCCAACACCGGTAAGCCCACCCTCCCTTCCTTTCAATACGTCGCCCCTATTGATCCAGGTTCTTGCAGCCACCGGTGCCCTGCATCTGGCCTATTTTGCCACTGAGATCACGCTTCACCGGCGGATCGTACAGTCTCTCGACCCAGAAACATCAGACCCATACCTCCTCTTCATCTGCCGGTCGGCAGCCAAGACGCGCCTGATCAGCGCCATGGACTTTGTGAACCGTTTGACGCCTGCTCACCTCCAATCTTTCTGGTACTTTGCGTCCAAGATCAACTTCACTCTGATCGGCACGTTTGGCAGCCTGTTGTGGGCCACCGCGCCGGGCAGGGAGGAAGCCGAGTTCTACAAGACGCGCTTGCGGGAGTACCGATGGACGCTGAGCGTCAGTGCAACGCGTGCGCGTTGGTTGGAGTACGCTGTGCAGATGCTCGACGCCAGCCGTGAGATGTTACGCGGCATGAAGGAGAAGCCGCCGCTTGCCGAAACCATTGCCGCCCAGCAGCAGCAACAACAGCAGCAGCAATCATTGGCCCAACAGCAACAGCCGCAGCAACTTGTTGTTAGCGATAGCGGCGTTCCATCAATGAAACCTGGTGGCAGCGCTCTGCGGCAAGGCCTCTCTGTGCAGTTCCTCCATAGCGGCAGTGGTCAGCACTATGGTTCGGAGCCGTCCGTCTCGTTTGAGGGCTACGGCCCTGGTGACGACATGGGCGAGGAGTACGAGGGCAGCATCGGCGATGGTGACTTCGATGAACGCATGAGCGAGGGGAGTGATAAGGGCGGCCTGAAGACACCGGTTAGTGCGGCATGATGACGAATCTGCTCCTCACCGCAGTCAGTCTTTTGTCTCTTAGATGGTTTGTATTCCAGGTGGGTATATGCTTTTTTTTTTTTGGTTGCACTTCAGCCTCATCTTGAGTTTGATTAGCGAGGGAAGCTACTGTTTCGGCCTGATTTTAGAAACGCGTTCATGATTGGCTCTTGGGTTAATGAGGTAACATGTTTGGGATGGTATGTGTTTTTGCTCTTGGTTCTTCGTCTTTCTTGGGCTTATTGTTCCGCGCATGGATCGGCCTACGGGCTGCTATCGACAATTTGGGTTGTTTGGTCTTTTTCTGTTTGTTTCCTGTCGTTGGTTGAGGAAAGCAGACAAAGGGTTCTGCTTCGCTGTCGTATGGCGGCAACGGGCCACCAGTGCCGCGCTGGTGTCCGGGTTGGCTTGTTTATATCCCCTCAGTCGGGGGAGCCTGCCCTCCAGAGGGGTAAGAAAGAAGAGAATGACGGCGCCTGCAGGTGGGTTGTCGCTCCGGTCATCGGTGCCAAAGTCCGACGAGACAAAGATGTCCGAGGTTTGGACGTAGTCAGTCGTTGGCTGCAGCAAGCGTCAGTAGCAACTTCTTTGGTAGTGGTAGCAGCAGCAGCAGCAAGTAGTAGTAGTAGAAATGGGAAAGCAGAATATTTCAACAAGCTTGGAGGAGGTGGATGTTCGCAGTGCCAGTAGTTCAGGGCTGGTAGCAGAGAAAAGCAAATGGAATAACGAGCAAGCACGACTTAATGTTGCAAAATGGGGCAAGCAGAGCTGAAATCACGTCACCTGGCCCCTTCACAAGGCGGGTTCACCCGCTTTCCCCCGCTGCAACCCGGTAGGAAAGTGTGGGTTTCTTCTACTTACGTCAACGTAATCGTGCTGAGTGGTTGCGAATGAAAGAGCGTTCGTGCGGGCAAGTCTGTTATTTGACGCGAATGTGACGACACCTGCATAGTGCGAAACCGCTGTAAGTACCGTGATGATGCAAGGGCGGAAAATGAACAACGGCGATGAGGATGGCGAGAGCGCGTGACGGACGAGCGGGCGTTTGGCCTTATAGACGTGCTCCTTGGCTCGTCAAGGGGTTGCTACTGTGCTGTACCGGACAGCAGCAGGTATCCCACGAGACGCCATGCAACGGACAGAGCACGCACGGCGGAGGAAGCCCCGGCGATGCTGGCCACGCGTTGGCGCCACAGACAAGAGCTCGTGTCCTTCCGATTTCCTTTTGCCCTATCCGGGGCGTTTGGGTTAGTCACTAGTGAGACTCTTCCCTTCTTGCTTTGCTGCATCAGGAAGGTTTGGGGAGAAGCGACCTGCATACCAACTGCCTAATTGATTGCGATCGGGGCGAGGAAGCAGCGGGGTGCGACCAATAGCAAGGAGAGCATGGATCAAGATGCTTTGCTTTCGTTATTCTCCCATTCGTTCTGCTGCGGTTGCTGCTTTTGCCCAGAAATGGTGGTGATTTGAGTGGCTCTGCTGTCCCGTGTAACAGCGAGCATTCTTCTTGACCTACCAGATCTGCATTTTCTATGTCTCCAATGGTTAGAGTGGTGAGTAGAAAAGAAAGAGGGTCACTCGGAAATGTAGAGGGAAACTTAACCGGTTGGAAGGGAAATCCCTGACGAAACATGCAGAACGAAGAGGAGAGGAAAGAGGGATTCAGCAAAAGAGTGCTGCGCTATTAGGAAAGGTAGATGGCTTTCTTTACGTGAGGGGGTGCATGTGCACACGTCATTGATCATATACGGCGGTTAGGCTGAATGGAAGGATGAATCCATGTGTTGCAGTGGGTAGTAACGATAGGGTTATTTGCCGGTGACAAGAAGAGCAGCTACCCTTGTCCTCCGTCGCACTCTTCGCGCGAAAAGACGGGTGATGACGCGTTGGAATAGTGGACGAAACTATTTGATGAAAGGCTTGGGAGAATCAGGAAGACAAGCGGAATGTAAGGTGATTTGAGAGGGACAGGCCATCATGGTGCTCTGGAAAATCGGATAGAAACTCAACACCAGTTTGGATGGTACAGTAATAGCAATCCACCAGAGGACTGAGACTCGGAGCAAATGTCGAAATGGAGTTTTTATTCTTTTATCTTTCTCCTACGGACTCACCAAGTCTTCTGATCCCCCACACAATCCGACATTCGTCGCGCATATCTACAACTTAGGCGCAACCATCTTTGCTGTCGCCTTCAACTACTCAACGATTCGCCGTCAACATAAGTCAACAGCTTCTCATCGACTCCTTACTAGTGGATAAAAAGGGGAAAAAAAAATCCGCAAGCAAAGCATTCAACGCCGCTCGAATGAACCCGATAGAAACGCCTGAACATGGAATACAAGCACACAACTAGTGACCAACATCTCTGGGAACTTTTTCTACACTTCTCTCTGGTCCTGGGTCGGCCACGGAGCTTAACCCTGGTGCAGTTTCTTCAGCTTGGCAGAGCCTTCGTAGAGCGCGCGGTCAACGGCGGCGGCAACGGTGAGAGTTCCACCGATGACTGCGCACACGCCAACAAGGAAGCCGGAGAGTGATTTGGAGCGAGATTCGCGGTTGATGACCTTCATGGGGGAGATGTCCTGTGCGTAACAAGCACATTAGCAGCTGCTATTGCTTCCGAATTTGCTCACAAAGAGAGCAGGGGACTTACATAAGAGAAGAAGACACCGGGAATGCCGCCACGGGCATGCAGACGCTCCTTGTGGCCTTCCTTCTCGTCGTTGCCGCCCGCCAGGCTGCGCTTATGGCTGGTTACACTGTACTGGTGGGTCTCGATGCTGCCCGCATCGGCGCCCATACCATAAGAGCCAAGCGGGATGCCATCAGCGTCAGGCATGAGGCCGGAAAGCGCAGAGGTTCCCTTGTTCTCCCAGCCGAGGGGCAGGTAGGCGGTGCTGACGACCTTGACGAAATACATGTAGTTGAAGGCCTTCTCATCAGTGTGCTGCGCCGTATCGTCAAGCGGGTTAATGTGGTGGTTGGTCCACAGGCTGCTGGCGCTCAGGCCGGATGCCTCGAGCTTAGCAATGACGTCGTCGGGCAGCTGAGGGCCAAAGCGCAGGCTATGGATCCTGTGCGAGAAGGAGTGCGAGGCTTGATCCTTGAAGTAGTTCTCCAGATCGTGAACGTGCATGTTGCCGTTGCTGAAGGACTTGCCAGGCGCGAAGTGGAAGTTTCCAATGACCTTGTTCACACGGATTCCACCTTCAATGCGGCACCCCTCACGCCTCTGGGCGTCGAGCTTCTCGCCATAGTGTTCACGTTCACACTGTTCCACGCCGTCGCCGCGAGTGAACGACCAAGAAATGCCAGCGTAGGCGTCGCGGACTTCATCGCAAGTGTTGCAGCAGCCGGGCTTCTTGGCCGTTGTGGGGGCAGGGGCACCATAACATTCACCGCAGTAGTCGGGGTCCATGTGCGAAGCCTCATCGGCGTGCCTGTCATTTTCCATGTCAACCAAATCCATCTTGTATGCTACGCTGGGAAACCGGGCATTACTCACAGATCCAATGCGCTGATTTCAATGGGTCGGCTCCCCTCGGTCTCAGGCGTCAAGCGAACCTTGTTGACGCCGTGCATGACACCCGTCTGGATCTCGCCAGACACGTCCATTACGTCGAGCGTGAGCAGCTCGCAGGGTATCCGAGGAAAAGAGATGTTCATATGAATCTCCATCTTCTCGCCTGGCACGCGCAAGGGATCAAGTTAGCAAAACACGCTCTGTAGGGGCTTGCGGCAGGCCTCTTTTCCGACCGCAGCTCTTCTGTCTTCCTGCTCCAAAGATCGGTAGGCCCCAGGGCAAAAAGAAGCGCGTAATTCACCCACCTCGACTCTTGTCCACAATCAGCTCCGGCTTGACCACGACCCGCCGGTAATCCGCCCACTCGCCCCAGATCAGCCACAGAATCATGAGTATACTAGTGATGGTGACGATGCCGCCCGTGCTTGTGCGCACGCGCGCATCCTCGACGGTTTTGGTGAAGGCGTCCAGCCGCATGAAGCGCGATTTGGCCGGCATTGTTGCGGGTGGGGTGCCGGGTTCTCCGCTTAGTTAATAGTACGATTGGATGTCTCTACGAAGCAGAAGGTGCACGGTCTTGGTGTGGAGAGTAAGGCTGGAGGTGCGGCGGCAGAGTAGGGAGCGCGATGTTTGGCGGTGGTTCGGCCGGTCGGTCGCAGGTATGCGAAAGTGGAAGGGGTGTCAAAGGAGGGAGACAGGACGAGCAGGTGGCCAGTCGGTCGTCTAGCGCGGGTGGGAGTGAGGATGGTGGTGGTCGGCGGAGTGATATGCGCGGGATCTAGTGCGCCTTTCCCCGGGGCTCGTCTTGCGCTGCCACGAACAGGAAGTGAAGAGGGAGGGGAACGAAGAAGAAGCGCGCAAAAGCAGCGCCAGAGCAATGCACAACAGGGTGGAGGAGGGGAGCAAGAGCGTTGCGCGGCAATTGAGCGGCGATAAATTGTAAAGGCCACCTGGAGCTTGCGTACGAGCTGCTGCAATCAGCCGCAACCGACCGAGTCGCACCGCGTCTCCGCCCGCCGAACTGGACCCTTCTCGCGCCCGCGCGCCCTGACGCTAGTCCCGACCCAGCCGCGTTTGATCGCTGCCGACCTTGCGTTTCATGCGCCTGTGATTCGCGGCCTGCTGCTATTTTAGTGTCACGCTTCGTCACTGACTCCATGTTTCACGAAAAAAACATCCATATGAATTCTCTCCGACCGTGGTATCGTATGCTCGCACCTCCTTTTTTGTCTCTCAACCTTTAGGACTCTATCCAAATCTGCGCATCATGCCAAAGAAACGCCTCGCCGAGGACTTGGCCCCACCAATTGAGTCTAGCCTCCAGGGAATAAAACGTCGTATAAACATAGAATGCAAAAGTAAGAATTAAAACTTGCACGCCACCCCTCAAGCATCCTTGGCGTTGGAAATATCGCTTCCCTCGGTTGCACCGTAGCCCTTTTGGCTGTAGATTCTCCGGCGCTCCACGTTCTGCACCGCCGAGATCAGAGCGCTGGTCAGATCGACGTGGAAAAGCGGCCTGTTGACGCCGTGCACCAGCACTTGTTTCGATTTCTCGTTGTATTGGACCCGGCTGGCAGTCTTGTTGATGCTGTCCCGCGCTTCCTCCGACGAGCTGCCGCGCTCGTTTTGAATCTCGTTCTCTTCATCGGCATGACGAGTTGACCTGTACTCAGCGTCCTCTTCCGCCGCCGCCGCATTGGCTGCGCTGTCGGCACCACCAAGTTCCGCCACCGAGAAGATGGGCTTCCAGCGAGCGTAAGACTCGCCCGTCTGGAGATCAGGAGTGGGGTAACCAAACCCGGCAGCTGCGAGCGCGCGCTTGGTCCACCGGTTGTTGATGCAAGCAAAGTGCCATTCGACTGTCTCGGGCGATGCGTAGCGGTCGAGCTGGTTGCGCACATCGATCAAGTGTTGCACCGACGTGATATCGACATTGTTGACCGACGAGAAATCCAGAATGATAGCCTTCAACGTGGGCTTGTGGTCATCAACCTCAAGCGCCTTGCCGCGGCGTGGGCCAGGGTCGTTCCACGGGCGGTCACCCAGCTTGCCATAGGCGTGTGGGTTGGTGCGCCGAGTCTGCTTGAAGATAGTTGCAACCATGTAGTCGAGGTAGTGGTTGGCATTGGGATAGTTATATCCCTCAGAGAACCTATAAATGAAGATGCCCGGTGCCGGTGTTTGGAGGCTCACATCAGGGTTGGTTCCGTCATGATGGTCGATGGGCAAGAAAACCTCCCTGGTCGAGTCCTCGTTGTCTCTGCTGCTGGTCCGCGGCTTCAGAGCGTCGTCGATGCTCTTCGTCTTTGGCTCATCACCCAACAGATGCTCACCCTCGACAGAGCGGACCTTGACCTTGCCAAGGAAGCGACCGCGCGCCTTGAACAGGCGGAAAAGGAGAAGGGCTGCCGAAATGCAGATGGTCGTGTAAATGCCGTTCTCGATCGTGCTGAAAACCGTCACAAGAACACCAGCGAAGAAAATAGGAACCTCGAGCGGAGAAATCCTCCAGAAGCGGTAAACCGTGTTCGGCGGGGTGATAAGATCAAGCACAGCGTGGATGATAACACCCGACAGAGTGGCGTTGGGAATGTAGAAGAATACTGCAGGCAAGGCATAAATCGCGAGAAGAACGACAAGGGCAGTGATAACACCAGCGAAAGGAGTCCTAACGCCAGCCTTCGACTTGATGGCAGTTCTCGAGAAAGATCCGGTTGCGGGGTATCCACCAAGGAACGGTCCGAGAAGGTTGCTAACGCCAATTGCGACCATCTCCTGAGAGGGATCAATCGTATAGTTGTTCACGCGACCGAAGGACTTCGAGATAGAGATGTGCTCGATGAGAAGGACGATAACGGACGCAGGCAAGTCGGTGGCAAACGAGGAGATGATGTCTTTGTTGACAACGGGGACAGCAGCATGCTGAAAACCTGCTCATTGTAAGCATCTAGAAGCGGATGGTGTAAGGCTAGCTTCTTACCTCTAGGAACACTGCCAAGAAGTTTGAACTTGCGCTCATTCACTCCACGGTGGTTGCGGTTGACCAGGAAACCAATAAGGGTGTACAGGAGGATTACAAAGACGGTGCGAAGAGTTGATAGGAAGAAAAAGAGCTTGGCCTTGGACGGGTATTTCTTCGCAGCATATGTGCACACGCCCCTGATCAGATACAGCATGACCAATGCCGTGAGGCCCACGGTCGCGTCGAGGTTGGTGCGGCCAAGGTGCTTCAGGGTGTTGATGATGACCTTGTACGTGGACTCGCGAGTCGAGAAGCCGCTGATGCCCATCATTCCGGGAACCTGACCAGCTGCGATATTGAGGGCGGAGCCGGTCATGAAAGCAGAGATGGCCGTGAGAGAGATAAAGTCCACGAGCCATCCAAGGCGGATGAGGCCCAAGAAACACACAATGGCACCACAGATGATGGCGAGAGCAGACGCAACCTGATGGCCCTCGTACTGTGGGTATTTTTCAATAGCCCTGAGGACGACGTTTCCAGTGACGGTAGACATGACAGCGACAGGCTAAGAACCAATTAGTCTGTTTCTTGAGCCAGCTCTTTGAAGTTCAGAACTTACTCCGATAGTGATATCCTTGGAGGTAGCGAAGAACCAGTAGATCAAAACACCCATGAAGGAGGAGTAAAGGCCGTACTCAACCGGCAGCTGGGCCAGCTTGGCGTAGGCCATTCCCTGAGGGACGACGACAGCGCCGACAGTGATACCTGGAATGATCAGCGACTGCAGGCCAAGGATGCCAATGCAAGGTACTTACCGGCAACCAGGTCGCCGTAAAGCCATTGTAGATTGTAGTTTCCGATCCAATGCAGGAAGGGGAAGAGGCTCTTGACATAGTTCCAGAGATCAGCGCCCGAGGGAGTGATGTCTCTGAACCATTCGGCCACAGTGGGCTCCTCCTCAACATACGTGTCAGCGCTAGAGACGGAAAACACGGACTCGCCGCGAGTGAGCTTGTCTGCGTGTTCCCGCTCATCGAGCTTGATGCCCAGGACCTTGGCCACGCCAGTGGTGACCTTCGAAGAAGCCATGGTTGGCTTGGAAAGCTTGGGCCGTGAACAAGAGTTCTGGGAAGGAAACACAAGACCGGTCGCGGGCCGGGATCAAGGATGGGGCTGCAGAGTCCCTGAAGAGCACGAGCGGATGGACCGGCGGCTCGGGCGGGCAGTTTATAGTGACTCTGAGCGCAGCTGCAGGCGTCTCGCCAACGGCCAAAATTTATTGCTTTTGGAGCCCGGCGAGCAAAAATCTCCTCGGAGCACGCCCTCGCCGACGGACTGACTTGGGGAATCCCAGAGGAGCGGGTGCTAGAACGCCGCCAGTCGGTGGATGGCTTGGAGCCTGGGCGCTGAGGCGCGGCGGTTGCTTGGAGAGGCCAATCTAGACGAAAGCAGAGGCGAGTCCGATGCCTTGGTCGGGCGAGTGCGTCAACGAGCTGAGAATTGCGTGATAGCGGACGGGCAGCCACCAGAACGTGGGCGGATCCCGTGATAGGCAAGAGGGTGAGCAGGCGTCGGGCTGACCCAGTCAGGCGGAACCCTGGAGCAAAGGCGATAGGAGCGTGGACGGGAGGGCAGGAGCACAGAGAGGACGCGAGTAAAAGGCAGAGCACATGCTCAAAAGGAACATCACGACATCGGAGTTAAGTTAAAGTTGGAAATTAGTCTGGCGGAGGCCCCGGGGCAAACCGCAACAGACACGGTCGTTGCCCCCGGAGCCTCGATCTGTGCATGGACGAGAGCGCGGAATCTGACGTGTGGTCGCCTTAGGGAGCATGGCGGCGGAGACGGTGGTGGACAAGTTTTGGGGCGTGTGGCCAATCGCGGGCCGCGTGTCTTGCGTGCTCGAGGATGCCGATGTCGTTTTGCGCCGCCTGCGAAAGTGCGGGCCCTAGCGTCCCAGCGCAGGCGCGGCGCCGGCAAATTCAAATAGCGTGCAGGCTGACGTCTGCTGCTGCCGTGGCCCTGCCGCGCAGCCAGCTCCGTCTGGCCTGCTGCGCTGCCCGCCGTCCGCTGCCCGCTGCCCGCTGCCGCCATCCCCCAGGCGTGTTCCGCCCGCGCTGTCTTGGCACCGCCGCCGCCCGCCGCGCTCGGCCGTCGCGCGTCGATGACGTTGGCCTGAGGCGTCGCGCCCTCGCTAACTCGCTTTTACGCGCGGCGGGACCCAGTTGGCCAAGAGCTGGCCGGGGATCGCTCCATCGACAGGAGACCTACCCAAAGCACCCGCCTTTCTGTGGAGCTGGTCAAATTGGGGACTGCCAGCAGCGACGCGGCAGCAGGGTTGCCGCGCGCAGAGGACACCACGCGTGTCGCAGACAAACAAAGGAGCGGCATTGTCGGGCCCCCCGTCCGGAGCGGCGCAGTTGCTGTGGTTGCGAAAACACTCCTCCGCACATCATCCTCGTGTCGCGCTTTGCCCGCACCCGCCGCCGCGTTTCGGACGATCCCCGTGCTGGTGTTCCTGCTGCTGGAACAAACGGCCGCCAAGCCAGCCTCCGCCGCTCAGACAACGGCGCCAGCCATCGCAATTTGCAACAACAGCGGCGACGACGACTGACTTACGACGCCCATTCGCCTCCTCACCGCCGCCCTGCATCCCCTAGCTGCAGCCATGACCAACCTCGACCTGTTCCTCCTCAAGGGCCCGCCGGGAGGCGATCTCGCTGCGGGCCTGGACGATCTGCGCCACCACATTCTGATGACCGGCATTCCAGCGAACAGCGATGGCATGGTACCGCCCTCCGCCCCGCTGCCGCTCTCGGTCGCCTGCTGACACCTCCAGTCCGAGCTGCGCATATACATCTGGCTGACCTTCCTGAACGCTGCGCCTATCCGCACCGACGTCTATCTGGATCTCGTGCGCCAAGGAGCCTCCCCGGCGTACACCAAGATCCGCAACGACACCTTCCGCACTCTTGCCACGGACCCGCTCTTCCGCCGGCGCGTCACCGAGAACAGCTTGACCCGCGTCCTGAATGCCGTTGCTTGGAAGCTGCATGATGCGCATGAGGCCCGTGTGAACGGCTGGCAGTCGCCGCCTACCCTATCTGACTTTGGCAGCCCGGACCTCACTCGGAGCTCTCTGACCGGCACCACCATCACCGAGGGCTCGCAGTCCCAGCACGGCGACCACGCCGAGCAGGTCGGCTACGTCCAAGGCATGAACGTCCTGGCCGCCCCATTCCTCTACGTTGCGCGCAGCGAGGCCGAGGCTTTTGTCGCCTTCGACAAGTTCATCACCAACGAGTGCCCCGGATACGTCCGCGGATCCATGGAGGGTGTGCATAAAGGCCTAGCTTTGGTGGATACCGTGCTGGAGATTGTCGACCCCAAGCTTTTCGCACATCTTGCGTCGAAAGGCTTGAAGGCTGAGATTTATGCCTTCGCTTCCGTCCTGACCATGTGTGCCTGCACGCCGCCTTTGCCTGAGGTCTTGCTGCTATGGGACTTTCTTTTCGCTTACGGCCCCCACTTGAACATTCTGTGCATCGTTGCTCAACTCGTCTTGATTCGCGACCAGATTCTGGCTAGCCCAAGGTATGTGTGTCATATGTGGAGATCCCATGTCCAATCGCTCCGGCTGACGCTCTCGACAGCCCGAATCAGATCCTACGCTCTCTTCCTCCTCTGCAAGCCAAGTCGATCATTGGCCTTGTCGTTGCCAACGCACAGCGCATCCCAGAGGATATCTACCAACAAATGATTGATCACGCGAAATGAATTACACGAAACCAAGTAACGATTATGTATAACGGGACACGAATATCAGGAAGTGTGGGTTGGCGTTAGGCTTCGTCGCTGCTGTACCTGAAAACGGGCAACATTGTAGTATGCATTCTGGCGTTATGGATTTTTTTTTTTTCACAAAGAGAGCACGGTCTCGGAGAAATGAAGCGGTAAGTAGATGACCTCGATACCGATTTCTGGGTCCGACGGTTCTCACGGTTAGTCATGTTTTGGCTGTCACGACATTTGTATTTCTATGGAATGGGGTTTTGGATACTCCTAGAAGCTGTGTTCTGTTGATCTCACATCAATATCTCAAGCTTATCCCTATTTCAGCAAGAGTTTAGGATGTTGATGCTACCCACAGTTGATCTTCAAACGTTGGTAACCAAGTCGTACATACGTTCTCATGCACATTCCATGTGATGTGCGCCTCCGTCGTCGACCATGCAAGGCGCCCCACTATCGCCTATCTCTCGTAACGCGCGCGTGCACAGGACCAGCGCACCGGTACCGGCAACTCGAGATCACCGAAACCGCAAAAGGTGACTGCGAGTTTGTGAAGCATTCATCGCGAGCTAGATGACCGGTCAATCCGTGCTATTTGGCCAACCCAAATGAAACAGTCATGCGCGTTCATGCGGCGTTGCTCGAATGACCTCTTAGGCCTGTGTCGTTCACAGAAGAAGCTTCAATTTTTTTTTCTTCTGCTCTAACTCCACTTCACGGCAACATCATCCGGATAATGGTTCCCTTCTGGCCGAGTGTGAGGCCCGCTTTCGGATTCTGACGGAGCTTGTATCTTTTTTCCTTCGCGTGTTATGCGCTGGGAAGGGAAACTGCTCGCCGAGTTATGTAATGGCGTGGGCTTGGCTGGAGACGGACGACCCGGCGCGCGAAGTGCCGCGGGACGGCTCGTGTGAGTACGGTGTGACGGTTCCGTCGGGAAGCCAAAGCGGTAGATGCGATCAGTGGTATTGTGGTGTGGAGGAATTGGTTCGTGCAACATTGCATTAGTGAGGGTATACACAACAGACGTCAGTGTAAGGAAGGGCTTACACACCCACAGTCAATTTCTGCCGACACTGGACCGATCCCCATTTATGTTGATGACGTACGGATGGGGTAAGACATCTAGCACCTTTTTTTTTTTCCTGCCTGTTCAAGCAGGATAGAGCTAAAACGTCATCTCTCAGGGCAACAAGACAGCTCTATTTAGACCTTTCCGTATCACTGTACGCACTTGATACTTTCCAGCGCCTTATCCTAAATGGAAGCATAGTGAGCAGCTTTAGTTCGAGCGCATGACTGGATGAAGATCGCTGGATAAGATAATCCATATATTGCAACATATCAAGAAATAAATAGCGCAGTATTCCATGGTCTTGCACCTTGTCGAGGGTGCTCGTTATCTTGATCATAGAAGTAATGATCATTTCTCTGCAGAAGCCATGTCATTCCTCAACGCCGCAAGTGATGGATGGGGGAAAGGCTCCGAGGAGCATGCATCTTCAGGGAAAACCTAGCGTACATATGCTCAAGCGGACACATGTAGGCTTTTCTCTCTCTGCTTTTTCCCTGGTAAAATGTAGTGATCAACGCACTCGTAGCAGCACTCGCAAATGGATTCACCAACGAGGAGAAATACTTCATACAAGACAGTTGGCTGCATCTGTCTTTTCTCGCTAGCGGAGACATGCGCGATCCGACCATGCGATATGCTGCCCCCAGTCCACAGACCCGGTTTCGTGGAAACCCTTGAGCATGAAATGCCGGACCCGATGATATGGTCGGTCTCATGCGGGGCACTGATAACACTCGTATTCCCATCATTATGGAACGAACAAACACCAAATACCGGTCCAAGCAACAATACCACAGCCCAAAGGATTTCATTCGTAGACACGGAAAAATTTCGTTACGGCGACGCGAGGGGCGCTGATGTCGACATCTGCGCCTCGAATGGTGACATACCTCAACCATTCATCTTGTGCGAGATGAATCCTCCCGCAACAGATGCTGGGGATGAGGAAAGAGCAATTATTGAGCAGCGGTAGTGTGTTACGGATGAGCTTGAGTGGTTTGGACGAGGTTGAGAATCACGAGGCGGCTGTTCACAGCCCTCCCCTGGTCTGCCAAGTGGTCGTCTACTCTCAAGCTTGAAGCCACCGAGCACGCAAGACGCCGCTCGGCGCCTCCGCTCTCACCTGATGCGGTAGCTCGCCACGGCGGAGCTGTAGGATGGAATGTTCCGCCCCCATTTCCGCCCATGGCTTCGGCCGGCACCGTTTGTGCTACGCCTCCGCACTTAACCTCTAGAGACATCTTAGGGCAGCGGAAAACAAGCCTAGAAGGGCAATGAAATCAAGAGAAAGCGAGAAGAGTCCAGAGCTAGATAGCGTTATCACGACAGCACCAAGCCATCGCCCGCCACACCCTCCTCTCGATCAATAGTCCGCTCTGGACTCGCGCCAGCTGCGCGTCTCCCCAATATTCCTCTCTCGCTTGTGGCTTTTCCCTCAGATATCCGTCACCGTATTGCTACCTTTCGTTTGCACTGTTCAGCTTGAGTGGACCCGTCCCATTTGCCTTCCTTTAATCACTCTGCTACTAACATGCCACTTAGGATAGTCGTGACAAGGAGTCTAAAGGGTAACAAGCATCGCGAAGCTTACTAGTTGAGCGTTAGCGGCCTCTTCCATGGTCTGGGCATCCTTGCAGGTGTAGGGCACTTGTAGCGTGTAGCCATGCCAAGTCAATTGCCCCAGCACGGGATACCGATTTTTGGTGGCTTGGAAAGCTTAGCCGCATTCGATGAACAAAGAGATATTCTTCGCAAAGATCGTGCCTAGGTGGCGCTGATTGCTGAGAGTGATGGCGCCCAAGCACGCTGTGGCAACTTCTTTGGACCAATGATCTGTGGTTGCGTGGGAAGGAGGGGAAGAAAGGAGCCGGTCCGTGTCTGGTGCAGCTGATGAGACTGATCTCGATTGCGGGCGCTACAGTACCAGTAGCTTTGAGGCGTGGGGTCTAGAGCAGGCGAGGCGTCCCATTTAGCTCATGTGCTGGTGATGCAAGGCGGGATTTTGCTCAGATCATAGATGCGGCCGCATCGAATAGACTGCCCACTGCACGTTCAAAAATTACGTTATACTCTTGGTCTGGATCTCAAGAAATCGCCACTGAGCAATGATCAAGATTTCATAGCAGAATCAAGTTCCGAGCAGCGATCAGCAGGGCCCTTTGAACACTTGACTGACTTGGCCTTTTCTCTCTCCGCTACCGCATCGTTCTCAAAGTCCAGGACTCACAATTGTCGTAAGATATTAAGACACTACTTAGTACGTGAAGATTACGTACTGCATTTCTCTTGAATCATTATTGGTTACATTCTTCAGACCAATGGAAGAACGTCTTACGCCAAATATATCGAGTTACGAAGAGCTTCACACAGTAATTACGCATAATAAAATGAGTATTATTAACTCAGCCTTACCTTATAGGTACACTAGTCTCTAATATATGTCTAGACGCTCTATAAAAGTGTTGAATGATCTCTCTTGGACACTACATTCCATCAGCGGCGTGGCACCAACGCAAATTAGCAACACCGATTTTTCTCAGTCGCCATTTAACTGAGGCATATGCGATATTGTTTTAGTAATGAAAGGTAAAGGACGGTGAGTATGCTTGTAAACTAACTTACGATAGTTTCGAGTGTGTTGGCAACGGCCCCGGGCAGAGTGGACTTATACGGCACTTTTCCAGAAAAGCACTGTGATGGATTAAGTTGTCAAGGGGGGAAGGCTTTCTGCGCGCTTATCTTAAAATGTCGACTGGAAAATATTGTAAAGCACCAAAACTATCTTTTATCATGCTGTCAGGTGCACATAAAATGGTAGCTGAACGAACTCATGGGGTGCTTAAGGGGATATATTGGATCAGATACCACCATCACCGCATCTTCTGTTGAAAGAAATCATCCCTCCTGGCTTGTTTAATTCAGTCAGGAGTCTTATAGCCTCTCCAGCATTCATTTCTTCCCCGCTGGGACAACCAAAGGCTTCTCGTTTATCTTTTTTTTTTTCAAAAGAAAATATGCTCCACACTCTGGCTCCGCACCATGTGCTTTCCTCTCGCGCATTCTGCATCCCGTTTCATTTACTGGCTTGCAATGTCCGCGCTATCACCCCGTTCGCTCCAGATCCATGATCATTCACGCCGTCTTGTTCTTGAACGCCATGCCAAAGTTCAACAAGCCATAGGTCGCGAGCAGGCTCAAGCCGATGGGCAGGGGCTTGCCCGTCTTGATGGCACGGGGAATAGACGAACCCGCCAGCACGATGCTGGCCAGCAGCGCCAGCTCGACGCCGTAGGGCTGACGTTGCGAGATGCGGTAGCCGCCGAGGCCGTACTAGGGACAAGACGCATTTGTGAGTCTCTCGAAGGGCAGAACGAGGGTGTTTCTGGATTGGGATCGCTTACGAGTGTGCCGACGGTGACGCCTGCAGCGATGGAGGGGACGGAGCTGGTGCGGATGTAGCCGGTGATGCCGCCGCCGGCAGTCAGGGCGCCGAGGATAAATGCGACGGTGTCGAGGCCCTATTCCCGGTGGTCAGCTGTGTGGTGGGCTGCATGCGAGGGCTGAGTGCGCGACAGTACCATCGTGATTGGAACTGGTCAATTGGTCGTGGAGCGGGTGCACGGAGTGAATGGAAGAGGAAGACAGGAACGCGGGGAAAGCTACGGAAGCGTCTGGGCTTGTATGTAAGCTTCGCGAACAGAGAGCTCCTCGGACGGAGGCCAGTGAAGATCCGTCCGGAGCGACTCGATGACGCGCTTCTCCGAGCACTTTCCTTTTCGTGTCGGCGCGTCGGAGCTAAGGCAGGAGCAATTGGCGTACGTAAGCATCGAGCTCTCTCAGTTGCGCGTCCCTTGGGTGGGTGTGGCCCGAGCTCCCGCAAGTTGCATGGTGGACAGAACATCCATCTGGCCTCATTCGGACGGCGCACAACCACCACCACACTCTCTCATCCGGCCCAATCCCTCCGCCTCGGCAACAAGCACCATCCACAATGCCTCCCCGCCAGCGCAACCAAGGCGGCAACAACGCCACTTCGCCCGCCGCCGCCCCCGCGTCCGCCGCCGACCCGGCCGCTTCTGTCCCCAGCGCCGCCTCGCACACGACCAAGTCGAGCACTGCGACCAGCGTGTCCGGCGCCGTCGGCAGCGGCTCGTCGTCAAAGGTCAACTCGAACGATGCCCAGGCCATTGTCAACAGCGTGTGGAGGAACTACGTCAACAAGACGGACCAGCGCACCAAGCTGCTCGACGTCTTTATGGTCTTCCTCGTCGCCGTCGGCGCCCTGCAATTCCTCTACTGTGTCATCGGCGGTAACTTTGTCAGTCTTACCCTGCTCTTCTTTTCATTCGGCGGTGAAAGCCAGGCTGGGAGTGGAGTAGCTTGTGTTGAGACGGGAGCTGACCGTTGCTATCCCACAGCCCTTCAACGCCTTCCTTTCCGGCTTCAGCGCCACCGTCGGCCAGTTTGTTCTCACGGCGAGCTTGCGCATCCAGACCAACCCGGAGAACAAGAACGACTTTGGCAGCCTTTCTCACGAGCGGTACGTGGCCAACTACGTGCCCCTCCAAACATTGAGCTGACTCGGACACAGTGCATTTGCGGACTACGTCTTCGGAAGCTTCATCCTGCATTTCTTCTGCGTCAACTTCATCAACTAGATATCCCCCTCAATGCTCATTTTCACGCCACCAGCGAAAACACGAAAAGTACTCAGTTCGAATGTATAAATCTCAGAATAAACAATTCTGTATTTTGACCTATGGATATCGCCGGTCTATATGCAAATGTTGAAAGACCAACGCCATCGCAAATTTGAAATATTCCAATATCATTGCAACATGGCCCGTAATTTCGTGCTCTGATCGGCCGGGGACACCGAACCCCTCAACTTACAAGTTTGAAAAACACTCCCATTGCTTCTCTACAGCTGGAAGCTCTCCCTGAGCGCCTCGCCGAAGCGGCGAATGGCCTCCTGGATCTTATCGGCCGGCGCGGCGGCGAAGGAGGCGCGGAAGAACATCTTGTCGTGCGCGGCGTCGGGCTCCGCGTAGAACCAGCTACCACGGATGACGAGCGCGCCCTTGTCGACGGCACTGAGGAAAATCTCCTCTTCGAGCTCAGTGATGCTCTTCGTCGAGGCGTGCGGGTGCTTACGCCAGTCGACTTCCATCCAGTGCTACACAAATAACTTCGTATCAGCCATCCAAATTCCAAGCCACTTTCAAGGAGAGGGTTAAACTTACGAACATGCCGGCCATGGGCGGGTTCCAGCTGACGATTTCTCTAGGGAGGTGCTTCTCGCAGGCCCCGACGATTATGTTGCGGCGCTCCGTGTACTCCTTGCGGATGTGGATCAGCCAATCGATGTAGCCAGGGTGACCCCAGTGCTCCTCCAGCAGCTTGAACAGCATCAACTGACTCATGCCGCTAGGACCTTGAGTCGACACATCGGCATGCCTGGAGTACCGTTCGACGATCTGCTCCGACGCGGTGATCCAGCCGACACGGCTGCCCGGTGCGACGACCTTGGAGAAGGAGTCCATGCGGATGACACGTCCGTCCGTATCCATGCTCAGCAGCGAAGGCACAACGGCAGCCAGGAACTCCTCGTGCGACTTGGGCGGCTCAGGCTTGTCGCCACCGGAGACGTACGGGTCCATCTGCAGGAAGTAGTATGGCTCGTCCTCGAGGATCAGGAGGTCGTGCTTCTGCGCGACCTGGTAGACCTCGCGGCGGCGCTGGGCGCTCTGCGTGGCGCCTGTCGGGTTCTGGCCGGTGGGCACGAGGTAGAGGACGTGCGGCTTACGGGCGCCGTTGCGGGTGGCGGGGTCCCAGTTGGACAGGACCTGGTCGAGGTCGGCAGCCAGCATACCCTCAGCGTCCATCTTGACGCCGGCGAACTTGACGCCAAGCGGAGCGGCCGTGTCCATGGCGCTGCTGAAGGCGTACTCGTCCGAGACAACGTAGTCGCCGGGGCGAGTCAGCATGCGCAGCGACATGTCGAGGGCAGAGGTGCTGCCAACGGTCTGGGTGACGGCCCAGTCGGCGTAGGGCGGGTTGTGAACGATCTCGGTGTGCTCGGTGATCCAGCGCAGCAGCTGGGCCGAGCCAGAGCCCTGGTGGTAGTTGAAGGCGGTGGCGATGTCGTAGTTGGACTTGCCCGCGGCCATGTCATTCTTGCCCGACGTCACAGTGTCCCAGGCGCTGCTGTCGGCGTCGTCGAAGTGGCCCGAACCCGGCGTCTTGAAGCTGAGGTCGTCGAAGGGGAAGTACTCGGACGAGGGCAGGCCACCGCCCAGCGAGATCATGCCTGGGCGACCCAGGTAGACGGCGGCGCCCTTGAGGCGGGCCGAGACACGGGAAAGGGACTCGGTGCTGAATTTACCTGGCAAGCGTCTCGGTCAGTATCCCTCTTTGTCAGTTCTCGCACAATGACTTACCATCCCACCTCTTGGCCTTGGGCTTGTGGCTGTGCGTGTAGACCTTGAAGTTCTCGCTGCGGGAGGGGGCGGCGGTGCCCCATTGCGACTTGTCCGTCTTCTTGCGCCTGGAGTAGATGTCCTCGAGCTTCATGGGGCCATCGGTCACGCCGCCGTTGGTGGCAGGTGCGGCGGAGGGGACTTCGTCGATGGCAGCCGGAGGAGACATGAGCGTATGCTAGCGGTGAGGTTTTATATCGGGGAATGAGCTGCCTTTGGAGCTCTCTGAACTTTTTTTCTTAGTGTTTGTTGTGTAGGAATGCAAGTGTGGGAGCTCAGGGTGAGGGGGTGGAGGTAGTGAATGGAAGATGGGGTCTGCTAGTTTGGTAAAGATTTGGTAAGAGAAAGTCAATTGAAGCCGTGTTTGCCAGCTTGTCGAAGGGCGCGCGCACGCGCATGTCGGTGCTTCTGGTTTGGCAGGCGGTGGAGGAGATATGCGCTTATCGGCGGATAGCCAGGGCTTTTGTCCGATCTCCGACATCGGTTTTTCCTATTGCGGCATGGCGTGCCGACCAAGAATGCAGGGGTGCAAAGCCGTTCCCTCGTCCTGCGGGGCTCTGACGTTTGCCGCCAACCAGCTGACAATGTACGACTCCAACAAAGAGAGCCGCAGCCTTGGATCTTACCCCCCGCTTCCCCGCATCCGCCGGCCGCTGCTTTGGTAGATGCTGGCGATGCTTCGAAAACGACTCCTATGCCGGACTTTGCTCGGACACGCCCCGCACCAGTTCTTCTCTCGTACAAGCAACTCCCTCGCTCGCTTCTCATTCGTCAATGGCTTAGAAATCGCGAACGGCGGCTTGCCGATGACGACCACCAGCCCACTGCAGATAAAATCCACGCTAGCCTTTCGGCTTGATCCAAACTTCCCGCTTCCTCGTAGGTGGGGGCTACTTGACCATAGGGATTCTACTCAAGCTGTAGTGCTTGAAGTTATCCGTTCGACTTTTCAGCTTGGTCACACTATTCCCACCATACCAGGGCATATAGATACCGCTCGATTCGAGACCTAAAACCCCTACTTTGCTGCTATGTGGCCCCTTCGCTGGGTAATTTTTTTTAAGTATAGGATTCCTTAGAGCATGAAGTACGACTATTCTTTTGGCTTGTATCACGCTTACTCTGAATGAGCGTTCGGTTTTTGTTACCGAGTCCTTTAGTGATTCGGCCCGGCCGACGACTGTTAGCCATGTTTTCCTGCTGCATCCGATACCGACATGGTGACTCGTGAAGCTGTCTCCCGGCCCTCTCGATGGCTCATGCACAGCCACTGCAAGGCTGAGCCCAGACTACATGTCACCATCAAACCCAAAACTCCCCCACATCCCGATGCAAATACCAAGCTTCAACGAACAACAAGTCATGATGGGCAGAGTAAGGACCGCATCGTAGGCCAGCGGTGGACTGATAGGAACGTCTGCGCCTCAAGGATGTCTCAGCCCAGCTTGAACGTACATGGCTGCGAGTCGGGGAGAGTACCTGCAGCTCAGAAGACAGTTTCCTCGAGAAATGGTTATAAAAGCATTGTGGTAGTCCGGGCCAGAGCAGCAGCAACCAATTCACTCTCGATCTTCAGACACCTCAGAGCAAACAGCCAGACTTCGTTTCAAGTGCACCTTCTACGCTTTGCACCTTCATTGCATCCTTCATCCGAATCACCATGCAGGCCTCCATTCTGTCTATGTTCACTATCCTCGCTGGCGTCACACTGGCGCAGACGGTAGAGTGGACTGACATTCCCAATATCTGCCGCCCAGCCTGCGCCTACACGATCAACTTGTCTCAGGGCTGCGCGCATAACACCAATGATGAGTACCTGAACTGCGTTTGTGACAAGCCGCAATCGCCGAATTGGATCCCCAGCTGCGAAGCCTGCGTGGCTACTTTCTGGGATTCCAACAACGGTGAGCCCTTTGAAACTCCCATTTTCATCTACACCTGCTGATTGGCGCCCGAATAGATGTCAAGAGTCTCCTCAATTCTTGCTCGTTCACCACCACGGCTTGGACCGGTGTCACCACAGCCACCGGCAGCGAGACTGCAACCGCGACCGGAGCTGCGTCGAGTACTGTCGACGGAACACTCTCTGGCAACAGTGCGAGCTCGACTGCTGCTGTGGGCACTACAACTTCTCGGAGCTCAACGATCTCGAGCACATCGAGCGCGACAAGTTCTGAGGTACGTGTAAGAGGTCTTGATACAGTGACAGAGCATGGCAATAGATACTGATATGCACAGTTCACCGGTGCGGCTGCCCCCCTTGCAACTGCCGGGATCGGAATGGTGGCGGTCCTCATGGGCTTTCCTGTGATTTTTTGAATCACTGAAACTGAGAAAATGCGCTTTGACCCCATCTTTCTCAAGCAGATGCGGGAGAGACGGCTGTAATGGCATTATTTAGATTTGTTGGTAGAACACAAATAAACCAAATGCGTATCTCGACTGTACACAGTCTTATATACGAGACTTCTATCCAAACATTTTAAGATACATCGGAGACTAATGGGCCCTGTGTCTTCATCAGTAACTTTCGGCTGCGCTCGCTGGGAATCTTTGAGATCACTCACCATGTACACCAAGTTTCTATACACAATCTTCCATGAGCCATCTCCCTGCTTTTTCCACGTATCTTGATACTGCCCATAAGCATATACAACTTGGCCGTCATCCACAAGTGTCGTAGAATTCTGAGATGGGCTCAAAAAGTGCGTAGCAGTGTAGTACGTGAGTGAGACTGCCGCGCCAGCGGCGCAAACGTCAACAATCTGCGTGCCGAGGGCGTGCTGCGTCCCGGTAAATTGCACGAGACTGGTGGATAGCGTGGACTTGATTGTCGAGAGTCCTGACAGGATTCCAAGGGGCGCAGAGTAGTTCGCGACTGCGTCCGCCGCGAAGATGTTGTCGAGTGCGTCCCAGTCTCTGCCGTCGACGGCGAGCGCGTAGATGGCGAGGCTCCGCTTGATTGCTTCCGTGGCAGCGATGTCGATGAATTTCCGGGGTGGGAAGTAAGAAGGGATTTGCTGGAGCGGAATAGGGCCGGGCGAGATTTGGGCACACGTGGGAGGGTATTCCGCCGGTGATGGGGAGGCGATTGTTTTGCTGAAGCTGCTGAGAGCCATCAGCAAGAAAACGACGAGGTTTGCCATAGTCGCAACTTTCGATTAAGCAAGCGTGGAAAATGAGGGTTTGGAAAGGAACGAACAAGGTTGCTTCGGCTGAGCATGATGGCGCAAACCGCCCGAAAAAGGGTGATGTAATCGGGCAAGGTTCTTTTAGCCCCCACTGCTGTTAATGTATGGACAAGGAACTGGCTTACCTTCATTTTAATTTTAATAACCTAGTGCAGGGATGGAAGCTGCTCCGAGATTTGTGCTTTGTTACTGCTTGATGTGTTGCACGTCGCACAATATCGTGGTTGTTCACCACAAGGGGATCCAAAACGTTCAACAACACCTGCACGACGGTGATACTCCTGATCTAGATGGGACAGAGTAAAGCTATCGGGTCATCAGAAATACAAATTTCCCGAAGCCACAGGCTACATCATGAACCAGAACAATCTCCCAATTCTATGTTGGGCGCTGGTTGTAGTAGCCATAAGTCTCGCGAGTCAGCTACCCCGTATTCTCACCAGCATATGTAAAGGAGGATCGTCTAGAAATTCAATCTAATTATAAACGGCTAGCGCATTTAATGTCGAGAAGCCCTATATCTCTCGAGACGTACACACTAATATTGATTGGTATATGAAAGGCATACTTGTTCCGGGCCCGGCTGACGCAATCCGGCACGCTCTGTCTAAGAAACATGAGCTCACTTTTTCTGTTCTGGAGAGTTCGAGCCCTATCTCGTCGTGTAGAATTCCAGATGCCACCAGAGTAGTTTCGAAGTAAACGAAGCAGGAAATCCTGGCGAAATGAAGAACAACCGAGCTGACACGTTGCTTCCTCTGAGACTTCCTTTGCGACGCCCACCGCTTCTGGACTTATCACGCAAGCTTGATTAAAGCTGAAAGAAAATTCTCATCCCTTTTGAAACAGAGAGCTCCACCGAGACACTCGTGTTTGTGATGTTATGACTCCTCAAAATTCACAATCTGTTTGAAACAATAATAGATGGACCCTCAAAGGGTACGCGAGTAGCAGAGATTATCTACACTCAGAGGCGGGACTAAGCACAAACATGTCTTCTATTCTGAGTTAATACTGCGGCTCTTCGTACTTCAACACAATCAGTTCCCAACCAAATCGTCGTGCATGTGCAAGAGAGTTCTCGCCAGCAGTCAGATGAACACATGGATCCCGAAATTCCATACTGTCCGGCCTTAGACGAAGGAAGGCGGTACTAAATGTCACCATCCGCTTACAATATACGAAAGAATGCCTTCCCAGTGGCAACGCGCCACCTATCTTTAAACGCCGCCCGTCCACCTCACTTCGCATTGGATTGAAATGAAAATATAAACATCAAATTCTTTCGGGCTTACATAATTCAACAAGACTCCCCTTGATTCGAGTCAAGGCACTTTGGCGGAGTGGTTAACGCGCTGGCCTGCTATTGGCGTCGGCAGCCTCAGGCTTCATACCCCTGAGTTCTAAAGACAAATCAAGCCTCTAGCTGTATAGCCAGTTCCTTCGGGAGCGTGAGTTCGAATCTCACAGGTGTCGCGTAAGAGTCCGAAGATTTCTTTTTGTTTTGCCGTGGGTTGGCTTGTTGAGTTGTGCTGGTGGTGGGACAAAGGAAATTGGAGACGTGTTGTGCGTCGGCCCGAGTTCGGTGATGGTGGGGCTTTGGTGAGATTGATTGGTTCCTTTTTGCTTGCGGGAGGTCATTCCTTGGATTCTTTGAATAAGGAGCATGACGGTGGGGTAAAAGAATGTAGGATTGTAATGTAACCGAGGCTCGAGAGAATTTAGTTCGACGTACATGCTAGGGAATCTGATCCTGTTCGTGTAGTAGATTTATTTCATCCCGTGTAAACGTTCGCATAATCAAGTTCTACTAGGTCAGAATCAAATCATGACCTCCCTGTGAGGTGAGGTCGTGGCTGTAGAATAGGCATGGTGATCAGCAACCAATCGAAACATAGGCTTCAGTCTCAGATCGATGTTCGATTTCGATTCCCTTTTCATGGTCAGACAGAGTAAGCTCCGCCATCCCAATTCCGTCTAAAAAAGCAAGTATGTTCCGGTTATCTCTCCCTTAGCTGGGACGATACGAGAAACAGGATGGTACGCCACCCAGTGATGCTATGAAGAAAAGAAAAAAGAAACCCAAATAGCATACAAATAATGCTCAAAAGACACACATGAACGGATCTACACGAAACCCAGGACATGGACCTCGAAGGAAACATGAAGGGGTGCCATCTCACCCTTTAGCTCCTCAAACCCCATAAGTAGCCGCAAAAAATGTCTTACTCCCATACACAGCAGCGTAAACGCCATTGCTTTTCTTTTACCGTCCGTCGTTCGAGCCGCTTCCACTTCCGCCGGACGTAAGTCCTGTCTTCTCATCATACACTTCATCATCGTCGGGATGGTCTCTGTACCCATCCTCGCTCTCGCTGAACAAGTCATCGTCACTTTCGCCCGCGAACGCGTCGTAGAGCTCTCCCGCACGCCTCTTACCCTTGCGGCCATTAAGAGCGCCAGCAGCTCCATCGTCATCCTCAGCGCCGTCGACAAGCTCGAACTCGTACTCGCTGCGCGGGTTGTTCTGGAGACGCTTGCGGCGTGCCCACCAGAGATAGGCGCTAAGGCTGCAGCAGAAGACGGCAATGAGGCCGAGAGAGCCGTAGATCCAGACTTGGGTGTGCTTGCTGACACCAAAAGTCGGGAAGGGCGAGGGGAGGAAGTTGTCGCCAGGAGTCGCCGAGGCGGTGGCCGTGGGAACGTCTCCGGTGGCGGCCGGCTTGGACGGAGTGACTTCGGCGTCGGTTGAAGTGGGTTTGGGCTTGGTCGGGCGGTCGGGGAGATCGCTTGGAGTGGCGGTAGGAACAGCCGTTGGGGGAACAGTGATCTCGGTGGTATGCGGATCGGTGACGATGACATCGTGGTCGTCGTCGTCGTTCTCCTCGGGCATGGGCAAGAGACCTTGTTTGCTGCCGTCGATGCTCTCGCCCCAAAGCCGGAGCTTCCAGTCGGTAAAAGTACCACTATGATCGTTCACATTGGTATCCTTGACGACCACGGTCCAGTTACCGACACCCTTTTCACCCCAGTGCGCAACAGACATAAAGGTCCAATCATCGTAGCCTCCCATGAAGCTATCATGACGGCGAGCAGTCGAAAGATGGCTGACGACGCCGCTTGGGCTGCGAAGCTCGACGCTGAGATCTCCGCGTCTCGTGTGTTCGACATTCATTGTGACGGTGATGTGCTCAAGCCTCTCCAGGTTGGCCTTCTTCAGCATTTCTTCGGTAACCTCGAAGGTGCTGGCAAGTCCCTTCTCGCCTTGGGGAATATCGTGCTTCACATGCATCCATGGAGAGAAAAACCATGCCTGTGGCTTGACCAGATCCCACGTCTTAGCCGCCTGAACGAGAGTATAGGCATCGACTTTGCCGAAGCCAAATTGGTGACTGAATTCCTTGCCATAAGGCGTTTCCTGCCAGTCGCTTTGTGACTCAAACTTTACGGCCGTATTGACAGTGATCCACTGAATGTCGCGCCAGGTCAACTCGGGTCGAGCTTCAAGTGCCAGCGCGTAGATGCCAGCAACAAGGGGACCAGCAGCCGAAGTGCCTCCGTGAGTCTTGCTGCATGTGTCGGTTCCCACATCGGTAGTGTGGATGGAATCACTCATGCCGCTGCTGTATGTCACAACAAGCTGCGCAGAGCACTTCTCCGAATAGTAAGGATGGCCATTCAGCTTGTCGATAGCACCAACCGTGACGCTGTAGATGCTGTTCGTGTAGCCGTCGAAGTTGCAGTTGTCATCACTGGCAGCACCGTTTCCAGCAGCGAAAACGTAGATGGAACCTTTGCCGCCTCGACCCTTTTGAACACCTTTGACCATGGCCTTTTGGATCAATATTCCCGGCGCATCCATCGACTTTCCATCATCAGGAGGGCCCCAGGAGCATGAGTAGATTTGGTTATCCTGGTAAGCGTAGTTCATGGCGAGCGCCTCGTCGGCGTCGGTAATGCCCCCAGAGAGAATGCGCACTCCGGAGATCCTCGAGTTCCAGGCAACACCAACTCCGCACACGTTGTTCTTAGCTGCCGCAACTTCACCGGCGCACCTGGTGCCGTGTCTGTCGTCGGAAAGTCTTGGCTTGGGATCTTTGACATGGTCGTTGTAGTCGTATGAGCCATCGCGGAAATAGTTGTCCTTGAGGTCCTCGCTGTCCATATCAAGGCCGTCATCGACAATGCATACAGTCGAGCCCTTTCCGGTGATACCCTCTTGCCAAAGTCCAGAGACATTGAGGTCGTTGCCGACCTCCAGAGTATTGAATAAGTGCCACTGTTCGGTGAAGATGGGGTCCTGGATCCCTAGACTGTCCATTACGGTCTTCCGAGCAGCAATAGCGACTTCATCTTCAGAGCTAGCTTCCTCTTCAGGGTGGGCCACCCGTGCTCTAGCTGCGACATCGAGCGAAACCGGGCCCCGCTTCATCAGCCGTTTCCTCGCAACCTGCTTCTGGTGGAAGCGGATGCCATCTAGGGGCGTGGGGTCGTATTGGATATCTCTCCTCCGTTTACGGCGCTTCAATTCCTTAACTGCATCGGCAACGACGTCGTCTTCGTGCTTGGTAGCGCGGAAGAGGTGGTGGTCGTCCAGCTCACCAAGCGGGCCGTCATATTCGAGACCGAGGAGCGCAGCTACCTCGGAGGGAGAAGAGGAAGCGTCTAATTGCAAGGCGTAAAAGTCGTGGGTATCATAGCTCCGCGAGCGGAGGTCCTGAGCGGCGAGCGCAGAGGCGGCGGCCAGCAGCGAACAGAGAAGGGAACGGCGCATAGCGACTGGTGGGAGCGAGGATTACGTATAAGCGGGCGGAGGACTAGTGAATGTAGCGCAGAAAGGAGATTCTGGGGTGGTTAGCTGGAGTGTGGCGTAGGATGGTAGAGGCGTACAAAGCAACAAGGTGTCCTAACGGCGCAGGCGGAAGGGCGAATGGGTGGTTGGGGGCCAGGCGGTGGGTTGAAGCCGCAGACTGGCTGAGGGAGAGAGCGAGGTCGCGCGCTCAGGACATGTGTCGGCGGGTAGGTTGACGGGCGGACGAGAAGACAGGTGGTTGCGGAGGCCTGGAGCGGCGGCGCATTACGACGCCAGGGAGAAGGTCAGACTCGAGGGAGATCAAAGCCGCTTGCGCTGCGCCCAGCCGGCCTTACCGCCTTAGGCAGTCGGCGCCTTCAGGCAGCCCAGGGCAACAGTCTCCGCGCACGGACCGCGCGCAGAGCCCGGCGGCGGGATCCGCGATCCGCGTGGCTAGTTGGACCTGCCCGCCGCACATCTCGCTCTTCCCGCGCGCGCGGGTGCGCCTGGGGTGGTGGTGGTGTGCAGGCGTCAGTCAGCAGCACTAACAAGTGGCTGCTCTCCCAGCCACATCATTGTGCGTTTTCCTGCTCAACCTCGTCTGCGCTGGCGCCGCTCTTCCTGTGATACCCGCATTCATATTCCCAGCGCCGCGCAGCTGGCAGTGTACAAGACGCCTGCGCCCCCGCTGCCCCAGACCCGTCGCCGCCCAACCTCCCATTGGCTCTGTGTCTGCAGCTGTCGCCGTCCGCCCATTGACTTTCCAGCTTTGCGCGACGCGCCCATGTCTTCTCGATAGCACTGCCAGCACGTCTTTTCGCCCGCGCCTTGGTCCTGAACCTGCCGCGCCTCTGTGCGTAACCCTGGTCGCAAACTGACGCCGCCCTGCGACTGATATTTGTTGCAGGAAATGGATCCGCGGTCCAGGCGCAACAGCGGCCACCCTCCGTCCTCTCAAATGCCCCCTGCAAGCTACAACCCTCAGCAGACTGCTTCCTACCGTCGCCATCCTAAGCAGCCCCAGCCCGGCTACGCTCTTGCGAATCATCCCCCAGAGCCGTATCCCGAGGAGATCGAATACGCAAGAGACTACCCTGCCCAGCCACAAAATGGCTCCAACTCGCAGCGCCGCAGGAGGAGCCAGTCAAACCCGCCAGCGGGGAATGGCCAACCACCACTGCCGCTTCAAGATGCGTCCCGCGGCCCTCCCGTCGCGTACAAAGAGCCGTACATGGGAAGTTACGCTGCTCCCGCACGATCACGAAGTCACAAACGCTATGAGCCCGCACCTGCTGCCGTGAGGAGGAGCGCCCAGCCCAATGCGCAGCCGCAACCTTTCCAGATGCCACCTAATTCGACGGAATACCAGCCGTCCCCCACAACCCCAGCAGCATCTACTCCAATTTCTCCTACTACAGACTACTCTGAACGAAGGAGGAGCTCATCTGGCACTGCGGGTGCACAACGGAGCAGGACTGGGTCCGTGTCACATCGTTCTCCGCTGCAGAAGCTGGAGGGCGCTCTGGACGACATTAGCAAGGAGGAACGCCGCGCTAGAATCCTGGAAGCTGAGGCGGCTGCTCAGGAGAGGAGGGGTAGCAGGCATGGTCCCGAGCAGAATGCCCCTGCAGCAGTTGCTCAACCTCGTCATGCCTCAGGCCCAGCGCAGCCGGGCCCCCAGAGAACAGCCAGTGGAAGGCGCAATTTTTCTTTGCCAACCGGTGGTCTTGTGGATTCCCGGCAGCCTGAAAAGGCCAACGTTGAGTTCACTCAACCATGGCAGCAAGCCCCTCGGCAAGAGCAGGGTTCTCAACGCAGGGCCCGTGTTCCGCAATATGATGGTCCCATCGATCCTCAGACCAAGCGGACGTCTCAGGTAGATCCGGACGTTACTCGCTCGACCAGCTACCGTGACCGCAATGTGAAGGTGGAGACGACGCATGCGCGTCAGGACTCTCACTCTCGGGGCAATGGTGCTCCCATGTCCGCAGGAGCTATAGGAGCTGCCGCAGGAGCTGGAATTGGCGTCGCAGCAGCTGGCAATCGTGGATACCAAGGTCAAGACCAACCAGCTGTTGGCCGGAGCAACAGTAGGAAGCTTCAGAAACGTGCTCAGCCCGAGGTGTATCAACAAACAAGCAACCGAGATGCAGCCGTCATGCCGGACTTGCACAAGCAACCTCAAAGCAGCCGGACTGGGCATGCACAGGGCACCCGGGCTGCTACGCGTTATCAGCCTCCGGATCCCTTACCGGCAGAAGCAGTGCGCAACCCTGGTCCTGGACCAAAGTACCAGGTGCCCCCGCAGACTGTAAATGCACAACGTGCACACGACCAGATCGCGTTCGAGAGAGAGGATGCTCACCTTCCGTCCGTGGCTCAGCAGAGTCATACCCATCATTTACCAAACATGTTCCATCGTCATCACCACGAGGAGCGCCGCTACACCTCATCTCAGCCTTTGGATGAATGGAAGACAGCTGAAGCTGCAAGCTTGACAGCCGAAGACTTGGACATTGACAGTGTAGAGACAGAAGCTGACTCAAAAATGCCATGGTGGGAGAAACGTAACTCTCAGCACCGTAGAAGTAGCGGACCTGGTATGGCACAAGTTGATGGAGCCTATGAGGAACCGGCCGGTCAAACTCACTTCACTCCTCCGTTATACATCAAGTGCGGTCCCCTACTACGCTACTGTGGAATGAGGCGCGAACCCCGCATGGGTCGTAGCGACAAGTGGGTATGGAGGGGAAGCGTCATGATTGTGACCATCGACCAGCATTCATCTTATGAAAGACGCCCCACGTTGAGACTCTTTCTCCAGCCGAAGGATCTTTTACCGCCTCCGCCGGCACAGCTTGACGAATCGACCGGTCAGAAACTCGCATCCGAATACGTGGATCCCCTCGCTGGCGAGATAAAAATGTCTCGGACAGGAAAGACTTTATACGTCAAACCGGTAGAGGATCTGGACGAAGAAGCCGATCTTTCTAGACGAGAGGACGACAGTGGGCTGTATGAGGAATCCAAGAGTGCAACCAATCATACCTCCCGCATCAAAAAGAAGGACGGGGAGAAATGTAACAAGTACCGAGAGGTCAAAGGTGTACGACTATACGCTGAACGGGGTGTCACGTTTTGGCGCTTCAACCTGGAGATTGAACTCGGCAAGGACCAAGCTCGTGTAGCCTACCGAATCAACAAAGGGCCGGCCATTGGCTTCTGGGTCCCTGCGCGAGGAGAAACCATGAACATCATGTTCCACAGCTGCAACGGTTTCAGCTTGAGTGTGAATCCACACGAGTTCTGCGGCCCCGATCCTCTCTGGAGAGACGTCTTGAACAATCACCAAACTCGCCCTTTCCACGTTATGATCGGCGGTGGGGATCAGATTTACAATGATGCTGCTACGAGGCAGACCAACTACTTTCGGGATTGGTTGGGCACAAAGAATGCAATGCACAAGCACTCGGCCGAGTTCACCGATGACATGCAGAATGAGCTCGAAGAATTTTACCTCAATCGATATGCGATGTGGTTTTCTCAGGGCTTCTTCGGCATGGCAAACTCCCAGATTCCAATGATCAACATGTGGGATGATCATGACATTATTGATGTAAGACAAGTTTATGTCCACGCTCATTCCGTTCGCTAATGTTCTGCAGGGATATGGCTCTTATCCTCATCACTTCATGAGGAACGCCGTCTTCTGTGGCCTGGGTGCTGTGGCGTTCAAATATTACATGCTCTTCCAACACCAGAGCCTGCCTGATGAGACCGAAATCGATGAGCCATCCTGGCTTCTGGGAGCTGCGCCTGGCCCCTACATCGATCAACTCAGCCGCAGCGTCTTCATGTTCCTCGGGAAGAACGTCGCCTTTGTCGGATTAGATTGCCGGACGGAGAGAATGGTGAGTGGAGTCAATCAGCCCGAAGAATATCTTGCTGACGAAACTTGCAGAGGGACGAGATCCTTAGCGCGGAGACATACTACCGTATCTTTGACCGGTGCCGCAAGGAGATCATCGAGGGCGACACAAAGCACTTGATAGTTCTGCTCGGAGTGCCAATCGCCTATCCCAGGCTGAACTTTCTGGAGAATGTCCTCACCTCGCGCATCATGGATCCTGTCAAGGCCCTCGGAAGGACCGGCATGCTTGGCAATTTCGTCAACAAGTTCGACGGAGGCGTCGAAATCCTGGATGACTTGGACGACCATTGGACAGCGAAGCACCACAAGGCAGAGCGAAACTGGTTCATCCAAGAGTTGCAAGAGCTTGCAGCTGATAAATCAGTCCGCATTACCATTCTTGGTGGAGATGTCCATCTGGCTGCAGTTGGGCAGTTCTACAGCAACAAGAAGCTAGGAATTCCAAAGGATCGTGACCATCGGTATATGCCAAACGTCATCTCCTCAGCCATTGTCAACACGCCTCCGCCAGAGCTGATGGGCGACATCCTCAACAAGCGCAACAAAGTTCATCATCTCGATGCAGATACAGATGAGGACATGATTCCTATGTTCACCCATGATGTGGACGGTAAGCCACGTAACAACCATCATCTGTTGCCTCGTCGAAATTGGTGCTCTATTCGCGAGTATCAGCCTGGCACCACGCCTCCACCCACACCTCCAACAAGGACACCATCTCCGGGCATGCAGCCTCCTAAGCTGACCCGCACGCTATCCCTTACTCGTAGCGACTTTAAGCCTGGTAATCTGGTCAGGCGACTCTCAAAGCGTGATAAAGGGCCGCCTGTTTCTTTCTACAACCGAGACTCTCACGGTGGACACCGTGCTTCCAACTCTGATGAGTTCGGGCAACGACGCCAGAGTTCAGACTCACAAACCCCAAGTGGATATCACACCCCGCAACATGCCGCAACCATAGGCACATTCAACCGTTCCACTGAGTCTTACGGTCAACGCCAGGCATCGATCGCTGACCCTCCGCGCCCGAATCCCTTCCACCGTCGCCCAACCGGTCTTAGCATCAAGGCTGCTCGCAAAGGCGGAGCCTTTGATGACGACGATCCAGATAATCCAGACCTAAGTGCCATAAATCTTGAATGTGGCCTAGATGTCGTCCTGAACCTCGAGGTCAGCCAGAAAGACCCTGCTGGCATCACTACGCCTTACCGCCTCCTTGTGCCCGCACTCTTCTACGACGGCCCACCAGATGAGAACGTCATCAGCGAGAAAAGACCCAGCGGCAGCGGCCTCAAGAATCTCTTCAGCATTCGCAGAAAGAAGAAGAAGGACTTCGAGGACGACGAATACTACGATAGCCGCAGCCCGTCGCCGACAGCGAGCGAAGAAGCGGCGATCGAAGAGCTTAGCCAAGTTGGAGGCTATAACGGTGGCGGCGGCGAAGGCGGACATCCTCTTCCTCGAGACGGTCGCGCAGCTCGCGGCGGTAACGGCTACAACTACGGCGCCGACGGCAGCCAATACCCAGCACGGGGTGGTGGACGGTATGCGCCATCAACGCCGACGACGACTCACCCACAAGCGGATTACCCAGTGCAACCACGCACCATCGCGCCCGTCATGTACGATAGCCCACCTCGCACCAATTCCATGCGTCAGCAGCAGCGTCAACCGCCCGCGGTCGTCCAGTACGGTAGCGAGCCCATAGCTAGCAACAGGCGGCCGCTGCCGCCCCAGCCGCAGGGTCCGCTGCCTCCTACCGCCGTCGACGCAGCAACGGGAGATCGGCGGTATGCTGCACAAGAGATGCACACGCCGCCCAGCGTTCCGAGGGAGATGAGCGGTGCTCGTGATGGCGGTGGTAGACGTGGAAGCGTGAGGAGGGATAGTAGGTACTACGATGACGATGAGCTGAGCGATGAGGACGATTCGTTGGGTAGTTTTAGAAGTTACGGTGACAAAGGCCAAGGGGCTGGAAAGGGCGCGGCGACGGGGAAGAAGAAGAAGAAGTGGATGGTTTGGCGGTAATGGTTTGGTGAGTTGGTCGTGGCTTTTGCGTCCTTTTTATTTCTTTTTCTGTCGTGTTTCCTTTTGCTGCTTGGATTCCCCGTCCTTTGCTTCTTTTACTTCCTCTGGCTTTCTTCTCTCCCCTCGCGTGATGAGTCTAATGCGTGTACCTGCGCACTGCGTACTCTTTCCCGCTTTAATGTTATGCATGAAGGATTCATGACTGATGACCGTTACGACGACTGGTGGGAAAATGGGTTGGGCAGGGTCGCGCGGTAATGATGATGCAGGGCTTGAATGGTTTGATTGATAATTTCTTAAGCACTGTTATCAGTATTCTTTGGAATCTTCTCAGTCGCAGCACTATTCTTCATGGCATAAGCATTTTCATGGTGTGGCTGAGCAAAAAGAAGAATGAGCGTTGACGCGACACTTTTTTTTTCCTTTTCGGCTTCAATGCTATTAATTGCAGGGTAATGAGGCAATAGCAGCGACAACAGGGTTATTTTGGCTTGAAGTTGCCTCTTCCTTCTTGACTCTATCCTTCTATTCTTGACTTGGTGCCTTGTAAGTTCTTACTCCACACAGCTGCTTATCGGAGACCGGGAGTGTCGGAGAACGGCGAGGAACCCAACGACCCGATCGCAGGACACCGCGCTGCATGCACCAGAAATCTTCAACAATGATGCGACTTACGAGGAATTACCAAAGTGCACATCTTCCTTTGCGGTATATAAGAGAGTCGCCATCCTACAATTGTTCGTCATCTACTCTCCTCTCTCTTTGGAAAACCAGTACTGCCACCACAGAAGCCAGCAGATTCTTTTACTGAGCAACCTCCAAATCGCATTCTGAGTTGCAAGCTACCTCAATTGAATCGTCGCCAGAGAGAAAGAGAAGGGAACCATGGCAGCCAAAACCATCGACTTCGAGCCCAAATACATCACCTTCGACTGCTACGGCACACTCATCGACTTCAACATGTCACGCATGGCGCGCGAAGTCTACTCGGACCGGCTCTCAGGCGAGGAGCTGGAGCGCTTCGTCTCGCTCTTCTCAGGCTACCGCGTCGACGAAGTGCTGGGACCTTACAAGCCCTACCGCGAAGTCATCGTCAACGCGCTCTCGCGCACGTGCGCGCGCACGCAGGTCAAATACGACGCCGAGGAGGTGGAGCGCTTCTACGACGCAATTCCGAGCTGGGGCCCGCATCCGGACGTTCCCGAGGGGTTGGCTCGGCTTGCGAAGAAGTACAAGCTGGTGATCCTGTCGAATGCGGCCGACGACCAGATCATGCGGAACGTGGAGAAGCTCGGGGCGCCGTTTCACAAGGTGTTCACGGCGCAGCAGGCGCAGAGCTACAAGCCACGCATGCAGGGATTCGAATACATGTTTAGGGAGCTGGGGTGCGAGCCGGAAGACGTGCTGCACGTGTCGAGCAGCCTGCGGTATGACTTGATGACGGCGGAGAGCATGGGGATCAAACATAAGGTGTTTGTGAAGAGAGGGCACGAGCCGTCGACGCCGGAGTATAATTACTACGAGGTGGACGATATCAAGCAGCTTGCGGGGATGCTTGGGTTGTGACGGGAGACAGTGTGTATAGAAATGATGTAGGAGCTGGTCCAATAAAGTGGCGCTACGCAGATCTCCTCTAGGTCCCGCTTGTGGTGATGAGGGCGAAATCACGATGGACGTCACGTCATGGACGGGAAGCGGACGGTCGGGCGAGCGGTTTGAGGCGATCAAACACCATCAATCTGAGGCATTGGTCCCAAATTAGGCAGCATCATGTTAGCGAGATTCAGGGTCCGCCCCGCGCAAAACGACGGTACGCTTATTAAAGCCACAGCCGCCGGCCTGCGACGACGCGAAACGTTCTGCCTCTTTCCTCGTGATCAGCGTGTTTTACATTGCGCGTCGCGACGCATACGTCACTGCTGCGCCCCTTGCGCTCTCTTAGCGGCAACGCACAGCCGTCGCTTCAACACCACGCCGCTCAGCCGCACTCCCATTTCAGCATCGTCGCTCGTTTTTTGTTCCTCGCCACTCGCCTTCCGCAATAAAAAGATACCCACCCCAAGTCGCGTCCGTTGTTTCTTTCCACCCAAAACGTCAAACTCGAATCTCCACAAAAAACATGCACCTTCGCTTGGGCCTTCTGTCCCTTTTGGCCTCTGTTTCGTTCGCCCGCAACCTCCACAACAATAATTTGCTCCACCGCCGTGACGACTCCACTACCTCCTCGGCTCGTGGCTCCATCTCGGCTGTTCCGCCCAATGTCGTGACCTTGACTGGTCACTCGACCGCATCCGCGACCGATCTCGCGCCCGTCGACGACACCACCGTCCTAACCACCGTCGTCAACGGCCACACGACCCGCGTCACTCTCATTCCCACCGCCGCCGCCTCGTCCGACGGCATCGTCATCCTGACCGGCACGGGCAAGACAGCGTCGGCGACGACTGTGACCGAGTCTGCCAGTCGCAACGGCACCACCTCGCACATGACCATGCAGACGTCAACTTCCCGTGCGCTGACGACGACGGAGAGGGCTGCTGTCACCGACTCCAGCGCTAGTCAGACCGAGTCGGCTGCGGCGAGCAGTACGGCCGCTGCGGTGCCGGCGGCGACGGCGGCATTGGGGTGGGCCGGCCTGATCGGAGTGGGTGCGGGTGCGATGATGGGGTTGCTTTGAACATGGTTGGGATATTGTTCAACTTGGACTTGGCATGCATCATATGACACACGCATTTAATCCATGCGACGTTTCTTTCCTTCCGCAACAGCTATCGGCGTTCGGAGCACATGTATCTTTCCATAATTGATTCTATTTTGGGTTGCTGCTCCTTGCTGTTTCCTGGTGTTTGGCACAGTACTTTCTCAGCCTTGCACTGAGACGCAAGTCAGCTGAAACCCCGCTTTCGACGCGCTCAAACGGCTGACGCAACCGCACTTCTCTCTTTCTCCAGCCTTGAACCCAGACAAATTCTCCAAAAAAAAAAAAAAAAGACTATTCACGCTGGCCGTCTTCGCAGCGTCTGGATTGCTTAAATCATGGGCAGTCGTCTGGAGCTCTACTTCCGGCCATCGGAGGCCAGCTCAGCCTTGCCGCGAAAATACACCGACCTTGAAATTCAGCAGATCGCGAGCATCTTGGAGGAAGGTGAAGAAGAAAGCTGGAGCAAGGTGCCCAGAACATACATCGTTCTAAGGATCATTGGGCGGCTTGACTTGATGAACGACCTCCTCCATTTCGGCTTCACAGATTTCTGTTTTCCAGTGCAAGCGAGATCTCTACCGCCAAGTCTTCCGTCATCAACCCGCAACGCCTTTGTAGAAGCACAACCTGCAGTACTTACCAAATCGGTGAACCTGGAGAAGGAGAATGGTCGACATGGTCATTTTGCCAAAGGGGAACCGGTTCCATTCAAAATCCTTGGAAAGCTCGGCTCTGGCGCATACAGTCAAGTGCATCAGATTCGAAGCAACATTGGCTTCAAGGATTATGCACTCAAGCGGATTCGTCGCCGCATCGCCTTCGGAAATGACGCAAGGGAGGGCTTGAAGCAGTTCATTTCTGAAATGGAAATCATCAAGTCTTTGCGGCATCGGCACATGGTTGAGTTCGTGGGCAGTTATACAGACCCCGATTACCTGGCTCTTGTCATGTCTCCCGTGGCCGAAATGAACCTTGCTCAGCTTCTCGACAAAAGCTGTCGAGCTGGACTCAAACACGCTGAATCAGAAGCGCTGAGGAGTTTTCTGGGATGCCTTGCGTCCGCACTGGAATACTTGCACAGCTGTTCAATACGGCACAGGGACATCAAGCCACAAAATATCCTGATAGAAAATGGGAATATCCTTTTCACTGATTTCGGCTTGTCTAAAAACTACTCCGGCGACATCGACAGCATCACCTCCGGTTTGACCGTCAAAACGCATAAATACTGTGCCCCAGAAGTGGCCGATGGTAGTTCCCGCAACTCATCCTCTGATGTCTGGTCTTTGGGCTGTGTGTTCCTGGAGATGGTCTCTGTACTGAACGGTATCAACATCCCATCGATGAAAGCTTTCTTCCAAGAGAATGGTACCGAAGAGTCATCGTTCCACAGGAATCCAGAGGCAATCACACTTTTCATACGCGAAATCTCGCGCTCGGCCATGGACAACAAAGCTGTTGATATCACAAGCAGAATGTTGGCATTTGAACGCACTTCGAGACCAACAGCTTCCGAGATATTCTCCTTCCTGACCACTCCGCGCACTGAAGACGAGTTCGCCACGAAGTATTGTGGTCTTTGTTGTCTGAACGAATACGCATCGGACTCGCATGATAGCCTCTGCGAGGAGGACCCTTCAGAACATTCATGCCTCAATGCCCAGCCAGATTCTGTTCCAGTCTTTTCCATAGCAGAGTCGCCTACAGACGAAGAAGAGAGACTCAGCGATAGAAAAGCATATCCCCGTGATGGCCTTCGGCTCGCCAGCTTTTCGTCGAATGATACAACGGCCGTAAGCGCAAGTGCGGAAGACTTGAATGCACCCGCCCGCGCCGAGGATTTCAGTGCGGCATCACGCCCTCAGGCACCGGAAAGACGAGCTGCATCTGCTGCAGCAATCCAATCAAGTCTGTCACCAACAGTGCCCGCCAAGTCTTTGACTAGCAGAGTATCAGATGACAAGCCTCCGTGTGTTTTTGGCGTTTCGGTACGGGAAAGCATAGCATACGCCTACAGCGAGATTGCCCTCTACGATGGTTTCGGTAAAGCTTACCTTCATGGACGCGTTCCTATAATCGTAGCAAAATGCGTTGAACGGTTGCAGGAGAATGGTACGCGAACACTGCCAAACAAAAGTAAAAGTAGCTAACAGTGAATGGTTAGATGTGATATGGGAGAAAATCATCTACGAGCGGCCGGTCTTGGAAGCTGATAAGCCATCATACCTTGAAACCCTCCAGAAGACGTTCGATGACGCCAAAGGGTACGGGAAGCAATACAGGACACATGGAGGTGGCACCTCGTACTGGTTTGGCGGTCTCCTTCTCCTATACATGGAGCAACTGCCTGAACCTATCATTCCTTCGGATTTTTATGAGGCGTTTCGCGGTCCTCTTCGCGATAGACAACCGTCGAAATTCCCATTCGCAGTGTCGACGTTGAGCGGTTCGGATGCAACTTCGGTAGTGGATATCTACGCCACACTGATCATGGAATTGCCTTCTTGGAGCAAGATGGTCCTACTCAGCGTCTTGCAGTTGGCAGCTTTGGCGTCCAAGAGGAACGGCCTCTACAGCCTTCCCAAAGTTGGGTTTGTTGCTACATTTCAGCCATGGATCTTATCGCTTCCAAACCACAGAAGCAACCACAAGGAGAGCCGATTGAGCCATGCAGTTATCGAGTTTCTCATTGAGAATATGGAGAAGCTTATTCAGGGCTTACAAGGTTCAAGGGGTGCAGAGGAAACAATACACGACCAATTCGAAATAGGACAAGACGGATACATGGGTTGGTGCCGATATTAGCATGCGTAAAGGGCATCTCATCGAATCTTCACCATTTCAACATCATGGGCTAAGACTTTTGATCGACAAATCTAACCAAATGTGCATTCGACGCCATCGTTTCTGGAGCGGTTGCTTGCTACTCCCCAATGATCTCTCCATAAATACACTCCGTTACGTGAACATAAGCCCAGCTGATGAGGGATTAGTCAGGGCTAACGGCAAGCGGCTATCAAAGCCGGCTTCGCGCTTGCACCCCCTGGACGATGCCCCGCATCACCAACCCAGCAGCTGCACGAATTGCATGTCTTCTGTCACCAGGCAGCAGCCAGTAAGACCCTCTCTTGTCTCCACTTTTTCTTAGCGATAACAAATCCTGCGACTAGTTGCCGAAAAAAATTCCAGAAGGGGAAAATGCACTAATGCAGGCTGCCCTAACGCCGTTTCCTCCGCGCTACTTGCTTACAGCACCATGAAGAAACCAATAATAACGGCATGGCGCTGTGTTGCAAGACGATCACCTGCCACAAGCGCTTAGTGCTCACACAGCCAGGGATACACCTGTATGCCCCGCAGCGGGGTCTCCTCTCTATATCTATTTCTGCCCTCACTGACGCTTCTTTGTAGCTCCAATCCTGAGTAATTCCTCAACTGTGCAACTGCTATCCATCACAATGGCCACTGACGGAGCTTCATCCTCGTTCAAGACGCAGCTCTTCATTAACAATGAAGTATTGCAACCCTGACTGTCTTTCAAAAAAGAAAAAGGTTGCTAACAATTTCGGCCAGTACGTCGATGCCCAGTCTGGGGAATCATTCCCTCTCTACAACCCGGCCGACGAGTCCCTCCTTCACCCGGCTATCCAGGCGGCCGGTCCCGCAGATATCGATGCCGCTGTTGCCGGGGCCCAAGCAGCGTGAGTTTTCTTCTTCTCAACCCTACATACACTTCCCCGCCGTTAACCAAAAGGGGAAAATAGGTTCAAACCTGGCAGTCCTTGGCGAAGCAGCTTCCCCGCCAAGCGACGCGCGGCGGCGATGCACAAGCTGGCGGACTTGATAGAGGCGAATGCGGCGGAGCTGGGCAGACTGGAGACGCTGGCGATGGGCCAGCCGCCGCTGGTGGCCGGGATGATGGCACAGTGGACCGCCGACACGTTCAGGTACTACGCAGGCTGGGCCGATAAGATTGCGGGCGAGACGTTCCCTGCTGAGCAGGATGAGAACGGCGATGGCGGGCCGGGCACGTACAAGATTGTGAAATATGAACCCCTGGGCGTGTGTGCGGGTGTAGGCGCGTGGAATGCGGCGCAGACGTAAGTTATGAAGATGAGAGAGAATGGAAAGATGCAGAAGAACTGACCTCACAACAGCACCTTCGCCTGGAAAGTCGCCCCCGCCCTTGCGGCTGGCAACACGGTCATCTACAAGCCCTCGGAGAAGGCGCCCCTCGGCGTGCTCGCCCTCGGTGCGCTGATCAAGGAAGCAGGCTTCCCGCCGGGCGTGGTGCAGCTGGTCTCGGGCGGCGGCAGCACGGGAGCGCTGCTGGCGTCGCACCCGGCCATCGCCAAAATCAGCTTCACGGGCTCCGTCGCCACGGGCCGCAAGATCCAGGAGGCGGCCATCCGCTCCAACATGAAGCGCGTCACGCTCGAGCTGGGCGGCAAGAGCCCGGCCCTCGTCTTCGCCGACGCCGACCTGGACAACGCCGTCCAGCAGTGCTCCATCAACTTCCTGCTCAACAGCGGCCAGGTCTGCGTCGCCGCCAGCCGCACCCTGGTGCAGGAGGAGATCGCCGACGCCTTCGTCGAGCGCCTCAAGGCCGTCTTCGAGCACACGGCCAAGGCCATGCGCGACCCCACGCTCGAGGGCGCCCACCCGCTGCAGTTCCTGGGCCCCATGGCCGACCGCGCCCAGTTCGACCGCGTCATGGGCTTCATCGAGCGCGCCAAGGCCGCCGCCGCCGACGCCGACAACGGGAAGCTGCTGACCGGAGGCGGCCGCGTCGGCGACAAGGGCCTGTTCGTCGAGCCCACCATCTTCGTGAACCCCAAGCCCGACAGTGAGATCTACAAGCAGGAGGTCTTCGGCCCCGTGAGCACCGTGAGGACCTTCAAGACCGAGGAGGAGGCCATCGCCTTGGCCAACGACACTTCATACGGCCTGTCCGGTGTGTTCTAACCCCACCCCCTCTTATTTTCTATTTATATATTATACTGACCTGAGGCTGAACAGCGACGCTATACACCAACTCCATCTCTCGCGCCCTGCGCGTATCTGGTTTGATCGAAGCTGGCACCGTTGGCGTCAACACAGCCTTCATGCCGAACAACATGACTCCCTTCGGCGGCATTAAGCAGAGCGGATCCGGCAGAGAATTGGGAAAACAGGGTATACTGGCCTACTTGGAAATGAAGACTATTCACATCAAGTAAGTTGTCATTTCAGCGAAGAAAAGACTGTTTTACTGACGGTGAGCAACAGCATGGGCGTCTAAAGAACGTTGGAAAAAGTGGAAAAAGGAGGTGTGACAGTTTCTACTGCGAGTACTTGAATTCCCAATACGTATCTAATGGAACGTACGTATGGAAGGAAATGAATGCTGATACCCCTGAGAAGCCTGCTCTGTATGTGAACAATTACTTTTGATGACCTACATGTCTAAACTCGATCAGGTCTTACTATCTACAAGCAGCAAGTCAATTTTAAATGTATAAGATATCTCATATCCTAAACTATGCTATACTATCACACATCCTTACAAACGTAAAACAACTCTCGCCACCTATCAAAGTGAAGATCAAAGAAGATGGAATACATCAGATGCTTCTCAAAAACAAGGGCGAAAAGAGAAACGCTGATCGAAACCAAACAAAAAAGAAAAATCGTAAAGGAATGCTAATCATGGACTCATGAACTCATGTGAACTTTTCCAAAAAGTCATGCCCAAGGTCAGAATACAGTTTCCCAGCACACACAGAGGCATCGCTCCCAATGGCGGAAAGAGCCGAGAGGATGGAGTCCGCAACTTCCTCCCACAGAAGCCACAGAACTTTCAATCCTTTTCTCCATCAGCCACCGGGGCGGGCCCCGAAGAGTGACTGGCATGCAGTTTTCTCCTTCCTCATAATCAATTACATCGTCACCCATTTTCCCGCTTTTGTAGCGAGCAACATTTACTTGCTGCCGCCACCGAACAGACCGCCGACGAGCGGCAGACCCTTGGCGCCATCGGCCTTCTTCTTGTCCTTCTTGCCGCCGAGAGCTTCGGTGATGCTTCCGAGGCCGAGGCCCTTGAGGAGCTTGTCGATGCCCAAGCCACCGAGCAGACCATTGACGAGACCGCCGAGACCCAAGCCGTTCAGCAGACGACCGACGAGACCAAGCACGCCGGACAGCAGCAGGCCGACAGCGGCGATGATCTGGAAGAGCGGCTCGGTGAGCAGCGCCCACAGGGGGTTGAGCTTCTTCTTGGCGTGCGGCATGTCGGCGATCTTCTTCTTCGCGTTGTCGATCGTCGTCACGACTGTCGTCGTGAGCTCCTTCAGGCAGTCCGCCAGGCGGTACTCCTCGGGAGTTGCCTCGCGCGTGCCAGCGCGACCCTTGGCCTGCGCCGCGATACGGCCATCGGGATCCAGACCACGCAGCGAGCCGTTGCACTCCTGTAGGATGCGACCACCCTCCTCGATGAGTGGCTTGACGTTGTTGACAAGCTCCTCTTCGTCGAGCTCCTCGCGTGGCGTACGGTCGGCAGCTTCGATGTACTATTGGCATGATTAGTATCCGGCGTGTCGGAGAGGATATGCGTTTTGAATGACTTACCTCGGTGATCTGCTTGCACACGGGCTGGACGCGCTCGAGCGTTTGCTGGCAGATGTTTGCCATCTTGTCCGCGAGCTCAGCATCCTCCTTGCGCTTGCGCATCTCCTCGAGCTCCTCCTCAGTGGGTCCTTCTTCCTCCTCCTCCTCCTCTTCTACAATGTTCTCCAAGAGTGTAACCTCACCGACCTTGTTGCCGTCGTTGTCGACGACATATCCGTTGTCATCAACCTCGAGACCAACGCAGTGGCCAAGGTCGCCAGCGGTGAGGCGGCCCATAACGTTACCATCCTCATCGCGGACCTCACCCTCCTTGTTGACACGGCGGCCAGACATGGGGTTGATGCGGCGCTCCTTCTCTTCAGGCTCCCAACGTTCGGCCTTACCAATCAGGTTACCATTCTTGTCGACGATCTCACCCTCCTCGTCGACCTTGTGGCCCAAGAGCTTCTGGACATCCCCCTCAACGACGCGGCCAACGATGCTGCCATCAGGCGTCACAACGTAACCTTCCTTGGCAACTGTAATGTTGTCGAAGCCAGCGAATGGTCCCTCGGCGGTAGTGTCGACGCCCTTCACGAGCTCAGCGCGTCCGATGACGTTGCCGGCATTGTCCCAGATCTGGCCCTGGCCGTCAACCTTGCGACCAACCATTTGCTTGGGGTCTCCCTCAGCAACGCGGCCAACAATGGCGCCAGCAGAGTCGACAACATTGCCAGCCTTGTTGACAGTGCAGTTCGCAAGAGCAGAGAGATCCTCGGGTTGCTCCTCCTCCTCTTGCCATGGCTCGGCGTGGCCCTTGACGTTTCCGAATTTGTCGATGATGTCGCCATCCTCGTCGACCGAGAGGCCGACCAGGCGCTTGGGGTCACCGTCAACGAGCTCGCCAACGACGTTGCCATCGGCGTCCTCGATCTTCCCGCCGGCAACCACGCGCAGACCCTCGAGGCCAGCGAAAGGTCCCTCGGGCTTGGCGACGCGCTCGTTCTCGGGAATGAGCTCGCAGCGGCCAACGACCTTGCCAGTGTCGCCGTGGATCAGACCGTTCTCGTCGCAGCGACGGCCAGCAAGCTCAGAGATGTTGCCCTCAACAAGCTTACCAAGAGGGATACCGCTCTCATCGACAACGAAGCCCTGCTTGTTCAGGACCTTGTTGTCCAGGATGGACAAGTCGGCAGGCTCCTCCTCGGGCTCCTCCTCGAGGGGCTCGGCATGGCCCTTCACGTTGCCGTACTTGTCGATAATATCTCCATCCTCATCGACAGATAGACCGATCAGACGCTTGGGGTTGCCGTCGACGATGCGGCCGACGATGTTACCGTCTTCGTCAGCCACGTTACCATCGGCGACTACACGGAGGTCCTCGAGGCCGGCGAAAGGTCCTTCAGGCCTGGACTCGCGTTCGTGCTCAGGAATGAGCTCAACGCGGCCGATGACCTTGCCTGCATCATTCCAGATCTGGCCCTCCTCACCAATCTTCCTGCCTGCGAGCTCCTTCACATTTCCTTCGACAAGACGAGCAATCGGAACACCCTCATCGCCAATGACATTGCCCTGCTTGTTGAGGGTCTTGCCAATGAGGACCGAGAGGTCAATAGGTTCAGCCTCGGGCTCCTCAGGCTCTTCATAACGCTCAGCGTGACCAATCACGGAGCCCCTCTTATCAATGATGTCTCCATCTTCATCAACAGCACGGCCGACCAGCTTCTTCGCGTCGCCTTCAACGACGACACCGACGACATTGCCGTTCTCATCCTCGACCTTGCCATCCTTGACAACGATGAGGCCCTCGAGGCCAGCGAAAGTGCCCTCTTGATCTTCCTCGACAGGGACGGTCGTGGCGCGGCCGATGACGTTGCCCTTGTTGTCCCAGAATTGACCCTGAGAGTCGGCAGTGGCACCAAGCTTGGAGAGCTTCTTCGCGTCGCCCTCGACCAGTTCACCGACGACGACGCCGTCGGAGTTGATGATCTTACCAGCCTTGTTGACAGTGAGGCCATCGAGGACAGAGAGAGGAGGTAGATTGTCCTCCTCGGCGACTTCGTCGACAATAGTTTCGGTGCCCTCAGGTGCCTCCTCTTGAACATCTTCGCCCACGATTTCAGCGCCCTCGGGGATCTCCTCGCCCTCCTCAACCTGTTGAGGCAGGACACGAACGCGACCGATGATGTTGCCGTCCTTGTCGAGAACCTCACCCTTGTCGTTCAGCTTCTTGCCAGCGCAGTCAGAGAGCTCGCCCTGAACAAGCTCGCCAACCGGGTCGCCGTCCTCGTTGAGCACTTGGCCCTTCTTGTTGACCTTCAAGCCGTCCAAGATGTCGAGACCAGGAATGTACTCCTTCGGGCCCTCAAGATCAGCGAGGCGGTCGCGCAGCTCCTTGGTCGCCTCCTCTGCAGCGTCGCCAGGGATAATCTCGACCTTACCGATGACCTTGCCGTCCTTATCGAGGACCTCTCCCTTGTCGTTGATTGTCTTACCGGCGGCCTTCTTGACGTCGCCCTCGGTGAGCTCACCGATCTCATCACCCTCCTCATTGAGGACCTTGCCCTTCTTGTTGACCTTTAGGCCTTCCAAGATTCTGATGTCGAGGGCAAGCGGACGAAGCCGCTCCTGAAGGTGCTCAGCAGCACCCTCAGCAAGCTCGACTGTGCCGAGAACGTTTCCGTCTTCATCGACGACCTCACCCTTCTCATTGACCGAGAGGCCCTTAACCTTGTTGACATCGACGCCTTCGGCGACCTGGCCAAGGACGTTGCCCTCTGAATCGACGACTTCTCCTTCAGAGTTAATCGGACGGCCCTCGAGGGCCTCCACGCCAGGGAGATCGGGAACCTCGCTTTCGATATGAGACTTGGCACCCCCGATGGCTGAACCAGCCCCGTCGGCCTTGCTAGCAGCGGCGGAAACGGCCTTGCCAGCCTCGCTAGCCTTGCTGCCAAGCTGCTCAACCTTGCTGGTGGCTTCATCAGCAGCACCAGAGACACCCTCAACGCCTCCAACGCCTTCAACGCCTTCAACGCCTTCAACATCTTCAACTCCGCCAACTGCTTCACCGACCTGGTCGTAGAGGCCGGCAGCATCAGGGTGGACCCTGGCGCGGCCAATGACGTTGCCGGCGTCGTCAAGGATCTCACCCTTCTCGTTGACCTGACGGCCCTTGAGCTGGGAAATATCGCCCTCGACAATCTGGCCGACAGTGTCACCGTCGTCGTTGAGGATCTCACCAACCTGGTTAACCGTAAGACCCTTGAGGATCGAAATGTCGGGTAGGTTGCCAGTGACGCCTTCAGCGGCCTCCTGAGCCTTGCGCTTCTGAGCGTCGATCTTCTCGGGCAGAAGTTCGCAGCGGCCGACTAAATCGCCGTCATCATCGAGGATCTCGCCATTATCGCCGATGGCATAGCCTTCAAGGTCTTCGGCATCACCTTCGACGAGCCTGCCGATCTGGTTGCCTTCGCTGTCGACAATGCCACCGTCCGGCTGGACTTCCAAGCCCTTCAGGACTGAAAGATCGCCGACATCGGGGATTTCCTGGCCGGTGACGTCTTCAATAGTGTCCTTGAGGTCGCCAACAGTGTCCTCAGCGGTGTCCTTGACTTGACCAGCGGTATCCTCGACGGTGTCTTTGGCGCCACCAACAAAACCTTCAGCCTCCTTGCCGAGACCTTCGGCGGTCTCCTGAGACTGCTGAACGGGACCGCCCTGTGCAGTTTCCTCTACATCTTCAGCAGCGCCGCTAGCCGTGTCCTGGACATCACCGACAGTGTCTTCGGCGGTGTCCTTTACGGCGCCAGCAGCCTTGCTCGGGTCCTGGGATGACTTGCTAGCAAGGCTGGAAGCACGGCCGGCAAGGTTCCTCGCGCCGCTGAGCACATTGCTTCCAGTCTTCTTAGGGACCTGCTCGGCGCCCTCCTGTAGGTCGGCGGTAGATTCCTGCGCCGATTCCGCCGTGTCCTCGGCGGTGTCTTCAGCCTCCTCGCCGAGGTCGCCGGCCTTCTCAGTGGCATTGTCGTCGTCACTGCGGGCAGTGTCGTCATCATCATCGTCGCCAACAGGCTTGGGTACCTGCTCTTTCAGATCGCCCGTAGCCTCGGAGACCTTTCCAGTCGGTTCCTGTTCGCCGACCTCGCTTGTGGCGCCGCTCGCCTGCTGCGGCGCATCTTCTGCAGTCTTCTTTACACCTTCAACCTTCTCCGAAATGTCGCTCTCTGACGGCCTGGGTGGGAGGTCCGGGTTTTCCGTCTGGAGCTTCTGAGAAGTGGCCTCAGTTGCCTTTTCTGTCGCCTGCTCGCCAAGCTTGGGGGGTGCAGGCTTGCGGCCGAGCTTGGTGGGAGTGCGAGGGGCATCAACGCCCTTTCCGGCAGCGGGGGAAGGCATTCTGTTGGGGGAATTTCGGGATCGGGTACTTGTGGGTGATACTCTAGTAGGTGTGGGAGGAAAGGAATAGTACTGATAATTCGGGGGAGACCTTGGGGGCATAAAACTGCATGCGCAGGGGTATAGTGCGAGTGTGTGGGAGGATTGAAGAGAGAAGGGTACTCAGAAGCGGGCTTGGAATTGTTAAATGGGTGAGTCTCGAGCCACTCCAGTGCGGACGAATGTGTGATGACGTCGAGATGAGTAGCTCTTGAAGGGAGCTCATTACCTAGATGGGGAGCTCGCGCCTCAAGTCTGGCGGGCGCACTGCTGCGGGAAACTTGTTTTCCTAGCGGCCAGTGGCTTCGTCACGTTACGCAGAGAGATGCGAGGGGAACGCAGTCTCCAGCATTGCGTCAGAGTTCTGCGGCTTCAGTAAGGAAGCCGGGTCCAATGGACTCAGACTCCAAGACACCTGTGGCTGGAGAGGTGACATGGGGCGGATGGGCATCGACGATTGGCTTCTGAGCATGCAGCTACGACGGTCGATGCCGCGCGACATGGTGGCGATCGCGACGGGCGGGCTTCTCGAAGCGAAATCTCAGGCCTTAGATGAGACGCAAGCGTCAGCCGGACTGTGGAACGGGGTCCGGAGTGATAGCCATCGTGGGCCTCATTTGGCAGATCAGCATGCGAGTAGCCACTGGGCAGCGGGGCGCGGGAAGGTCTTAACGGCGGAGCAGGGGGGCGGATCGGTAGGAGACGGCACCGGGCTGCTCGACTGGGCGGAGGTCTGGCCAAAAATCTTGGAAGGCGGTGCGGATGACATATTGTGGCGCGTCGTGCTGGAAGTGAATCCCGGCAGCTGCAGCAAACAGGATGGCGGCGGACGTGACGCGCCAGTGGTCGCGCAGTGCGGGCGGGCGATCAACGCTGGTGCCTGTGCGAGCCGCTCACGGCGTGTAGACCCTGTGAACACTTTTGGACGAGCTGCCTGTGCTTTTGCGAATTGGTGCAGCGCACGGCGGATTTGGGGGTTGAGATTGTCGTTGAAGGCGAGGAGGATTGGCGATCCCGCAAACGTCCCCGGACCCCGGTTCTATGACGCCATCCGTACTGGGCACAGATTCGCACCCGCCGAACTAGCTCATCACCATCATTTCCAACATCTAGCTAGCGCCCGCGATTTCGCCAACGTCCTCCGTCGCGAGTGCGACCCGCCCGCATGCATCTCGCCGCCGCAGCTGCACAACAAAAAAAATAAAAAAAAAACTCTCCGTCAGTGCCAGCCCTGCCGATTCGCCGCCGGTGCTACACGACCCTCTCATCAATTTTTCAAGGGTATCGAGGCGATTAGGTCACTGCTGCCGTGTCTCAGCGGTCCGCCCCATACGACATGTATCATTCGACGAGCTACCTGCAGTCTGGCAATCCGGCACATACACCGCATCGGAATGTCTGAGCCTAACCAGTGGCCACCTCACCGGGACATGAAAGAGGAAAGCATCCGAATCATCCCGTCAATAAAGCCCTCGAGACCTCGCCATGCACAGATCCGGGCTTTGGTATTGTAGGTCAAGTTTGGCCTGCATTGAGCGCTCCATTGGAGACAGGTATAGCAGTGAAATGCAGCGTTGTGACAGCGGCGGATCCCAGCCACCTCACGTGTAGCATTACGATTAAAAAGTGGAAACATTACCCTGCCCTTCCCCACGCTCACGCAGCCGGATATCTAAGAACAAGAAAAAAAATCACCAGAGTCCGGACGACGCCGAGTATTAGATCATAGCCGCCCATCGCCCGGCTATCTCGTTCCGTCGGGTGGGATACCGCTTTCCACGTCCCTGGAGCTCGCCTCGCCTCGGCTCTTCTTTGCCCTCTCGCGTTTGGGCGCACTGGCCGCGCCTCCAACCCCCAGTTTCCTCAGAATCCTCAACCGTAGGCTATTACTCCTCTTCCGCTCCTCCTCCTTGGCCGATGCTTCCGCCAAGATCTGCCGCTCTCTCTCCGCGCTCTTGCTCTTATCCTTCTCCTGCTCCTTCCGCTTAGCCAATTCCTCGGGATGGAGTACCCTCTCTTTCCCGTTACTTGCGTGCTCAGCGCCGTGCTTGAGTTTCCGGCGCGTCTTGACGTACGCCTCGAGCCCGACCAATATGGCGTAACTGCGGGATATGGATACGCGGCTCATGTCGACCCCAGCATCCCGCAATGAGTGGACGAAGGCGCGGAAGTTGGAAGTGGGCGGTCGATAGTGACCGGAAAGAGGTGAGAGGCGACGTAGCTGCCCATCCTTGATTTTGATGAGGCCGGCAGCTGAAATACGAGCGCCGTGGAGAAACGAGCTGTGTTGAAATGCTCCAGACTGCTTGATGCCAACGTAAAGGCGGAAGGAAGTGTCGGCAACCTGTGAATAGTCGGGGTCAGCGATCGAACGTGATGACGGCTGAAGTTCGACTGACAAAAATCCAGCTGTTGGGCTTAACGCTCCTACGCAGAAGATGGTTGAGGACTGCTGCCGCAGACACGTGCTTGATCTTCTTCATTCCCTTTGCTTGCTCCAGATCATGGTTCACATAGTGCTCTGCTTCTGGATCCACTGAGCCCGATGAGAGTACTGAGCTTGCACTCGATGAACTGCTGTTGGAGGATGCACTGCTCCTGTTGTATGCTGGGGTGCCGTCGTCGTTGGGTACGATCCCGTTGACACTGTCCTTGAACTGCGTTGATGTGGTGATTCGTTCACCATTCTTTGCCCAGCATAGCCTCCCCTCTTTATCAATCTTTACCAAATAATTCTGCCTTTCTTCCCTATTCAAGTATCGCACCTGTTCCCTCTCCAATCGCTCTCTCGAGCATGTTGGTACTTCGAAGTGTTTTCCTTGTCCGTAATCCAGCCAGTAGAAGAAGTTCTCATGTGTGCCAGATCTCTTCCATTCGGTATGGTAAGCGCGGAGGTTGGAGCCGTATCGGTGTTTCTGGTCGACCATTTCAAGCCAGTACTGCAGATCTTCAGAGGCACGTCAGCTCGTGCCAGCAAACCCTTCAGTACCGCCATCAGACCTACCCATCACCTTCGCTGTCCTTTCCCGCTCACGCTTTGCCTCGGCCTTTCGTGCACGCCGGCGCTCACGCTCCTCCGGGGACAGTTGCTCCTCGTCCGTGTCCGAGTCTCCATGATCCGAATCGTCTCCACCAGCACGGCGTGCTACTTCGCCAATGCGACGCCAGTTCTCTTTCGCAGCGTCCGACGCGGCGCGAGACCTCGCAGCAGGGCTAAGCTTGTCCCGATCGCTCGAGAGTCGTTCATTGCGAGAGATGGGTCGTGTTGCATTTCTCCATCGCGCTACACAAGTTCAGCATCAGAAGCGTGCGAAAAGACGTTGTAGTGTTGGATACTACTGACCCTCTTTAAAAGCCTGTGGAGCAACGCAGATCGCCGTTAGCTGATCGACGTTTGCTTCAAACGGTCGCACTGCAGAGGACGGAGCGCGAGGGGCGAGATGGCTAGCGCAGAGGTGGAAGAGGAGGGCAGTGGTGCGATCTTCAGCGACAGTGTTTCACATACCTCAACCCAGCGAGTCGACGCATCCAGTCCCATGCCGGCGAGCTCGCGGCGCTGCTTGTAACCTCTGTAGTTGCGCTGGATCAGAGCGGCGGCGGCGGCCTCCTCTTCGTCGCGTTGGCCCTGCGACTTTGCTGCCTGCACGGCCTCGCGCTTCGCATCCTGACGACGAGCAATGGCTTCCAGCTCGTCCTTGGAGGGGACTTGGAGCGCGGCGCCGCGACCAGCGGCCGAAGAATGCGCTGCGGACTGGCGCGCGGCGATGCGGTCATCGCCCCACGTTTGCTTGGCAGCTCCAGGGTCTGGGGCTGTCAGCCTTGCGTCGCCTGATGCCGCCCTCTCTTCGTCGTGGCTGGTAGGCCCTGAGGCGTCGCCCAGCGGCGGCATGATCGGGTCGAGCGCGGACAATAAGAAAGTGGCAGAAGAGCCGTCACAACCAACGGCGTAGTGCCCAACAACAGGTTCGACGACAAGCGATCACTGCCTGCCCCGGCTGACGCCCTGTCCAGGCACCGTGTTGGTCACGTGTGGCCCGGAAGTCGGCTTGCACGGCCCTGGCTCGCTGCACAACGGTGCGATTTGGCAGAGGGCAGGGGCAATCAGCTTGCCTGAAACAGCGAAGGATTGCGTACACGGCGGCGCCGCAATCGTGCACGACACCTGCTTAACCAGCACACAGGAGCTGCGCGCGCCGGCAGTCGGCAGCCGCTTGACATATCAGGCAGTTCTGGGCAAGTATAGCGTGTTTGGATTTCGCTTGGCGGACGCGTGGTCGCAACTGAGCGCTGCAGGAAATTTCCCTATGAAAGCGCCTTCTTGATCCGCAAAGCCGCCAACTCCACACTTGCAACAGCCGTTGCGCTCTTCCTGACCGGCTCCAACATCGCAAAATCATGGACCTGGCCATCCGCCTCGAAAATCGCCACGTCTACGCCAGCCTGTTGGAGCAGATGCCCGAACTCCTTGCCCTCTCTGAGCAGCGGGTCGACGGCCGCAGTGATGATGAGTGTAGGTGGCTGAGCGGCGGCTTGCTCCTTGTCCATTAGAACAGGAGATGCTAGAATGCTCAACCTGTCGTCGTTCTTGGGTATGAACGCGTCCTTCATCCATCGCAGGAGAGGCGCGCTGAGATACGGGCCGTCATGGAACGTGTCGTATGTGTCGCTTTCTTTGAGTACATTCGCGACAGGATAGAAAAGGCTATACTCATCATCAGGAATATCCTAAGGACTCCAACATTGCACTTACACCTGATAGCTGACAGTTGCAGGCAGATTCCGTTGAGCCGACAGTGTAGACATAGCTACGGCCATGTGCCCTGTTCCAGCTGTGAGCTCGCGTGATCAACGTAAGGGTTATCTCGCTCTACGAACCCCCTGCGCTATCACCAGCGAAGGCAATCTTGTCAGTTTTCAGGCCATGCTTGGTACCATTTTTGACATAGTATTCGACTACGGCATAAGCCTCATCGAACTGCTGCGGGTATTGAGCCTCGGGCGCCGGGGTGTAGTATGGAAAAGCAACAGCGCACCCGGCCTCGCGGACCAAGTCGCTCACCAGGCTGTCGTGAGTACCTGGGCTGTTCTCGGTTAGCTGCTGCAGACGGGCGCAGCGCTGCTTGGAAGCCTACCTGCCGAGGATCCATCCGCCGCCGTGGAAATAGAAAGCAAGCGGAACCGCTGCGTCAGCATTCGCAGGCTTGAAGAGAACAGTCTTCACAGTCCCGCCGGCTCCAGCCGGCACATCAAGTTCCTCGCGGAGCACGTCTCGAGACGGATCATGTTGCTGCAATCCTTCGAGTACTGCTCTCGCCTCGTCGTATTGGAGCTCTTGAAGCGGGGGCGCCCCCGCCTTGGCACCAGCATCGACGAACGCTTGATTGACTGGGTCAAGATATGGAGCCATGATGTTTCGAGTTAGATGCGATGCATTCGTTCCAAACACAAAACCGTTGTCTCCGGAAAATGTCTGCCTTCAGAAGCAAGCTGCTCTGCTCCTGCTTTTGAATCTGCGCTGCCCACTTGCAGCATGCTTACATCAATTGCTTAGAACTATCCTCGATCTCCATGTGGGTGTTGAATAATTGCTAGGATAAGCAGAAGATTGATGACTGAAGTAACAACCCCGGGGCGGCCCCAGGAAGCAACAACAGCGGGGCTTGAGAGTGTGGTGGTGATTGGACTGGGCCGTGGCGTGTTCGGTCGCGTTGGCCGGGTCTCGTTCCAGAGCGTGCGCCACGACACAAGCAACCGACCATTAGCGCCAAAAGCGATGCCCAAACTCGAAGAGCTGAGATTTTCATCCGCAAGGCTTTTCTCAAAACCCCCCTGTGAACATTCTTGTGCAGGCCAGGGTTGCAATTTCCACTAGTCGTTGGTTCAAGCGCTAGGCACACCACGAGCGGCTCAATTGGGGGGGCGTTCAGCCGCCGATGCAATGGCAGGAATATATTTTTGTTGCAGGGTCTATCAGAGCAGAGCACCGACTTGCTTGAAATGGTCCCTCGGGTGAGTCTGATAAGCTCCGCTGGTGCGGGTGAGACAATGCCGGAGTACGATTTCTCGTCGCAGCAGGAGACCGAGACGTCAGGTCGTCCAGCGCGCCTTTGATTGGCTCTTCCCTTTCTCGACAAGATTTCTCCAATTCGGCGATCGGGCCCCCTACCTCGCAGACGCCCACGCCGCTGCCAGCACAGTAAGGCCATGCACGTGTACATACATGTAAACGCATCGCCCCCAAAGGAGCCGTTTTGCAGCAGAGATAAAACCGCAACCACATTTTGTCAGGTGGGCATCTCCACGTTGAGTTCCTCCGTGTGCAAATGCTGGGTGAAACTGTCGCGTCTCATCCGCCACCAGAGCCGATTGGACACGAAGCGCTGGTCCCAGGTCTTCAATCCAGCAGGGCCATGCGCCGTGTGCTGGCGGCACAAGTACTTACTGCGTACATGCTGCGGTGCTCCTTGATAGAAGTTCAAGCGCGCAGTGGCCGCACCCACACTTGCATGCCTGGCTAGGGAGCTTCCGTCTCGGCGCGGGCGGGGGGTCATTGGATGCGATGGGGACCTGGTACCAGCGAAGGGGCACGGCCGAGATGACACAAGCGAAGCGCGGCGCGACTTTATGAGCGCGAGACAGCCTTCTCGCAAAAATCCATCAGACAGTCCACTGCTGCCGCTCCAGTGGAATTCCGCTCGGCGCAGTCAGCGAGCAGCGGGCGAGCAGCGGTGGAGGTGGTGGGTGCAGGAGCTTATCCGGGATGGGTGGATGTGCTCTTCATCGGCGCAGAGGGTCGGGGATCAGGTTGCGCTAGGCCGCATGCGGCACGCTAACGGACGACGAAAGCTCTCACCAGTCGCCCTCTGCAGAGTCGGCAACGTTGAAAGCAAACTCTTCCAGCGCCCGGGATCAGGTCCGCATCAGACGCCCACCCCAGCACGAGGGTCCGGTCCGGTCCCGGCCTCGGCCTGGGTTGCTGGACCGCAGGGTTGCTCGAAGGTCAGATGAATACGTGGCAGGCCGGCACGGCTGACGCTCCTAGCCACGCCGCTGCTCTTCAGTACCGGGCGGTGCATGCCCGGCGAGGCAAAAGGCACCGTCCTGGCAGCTGGCTGCGCGAGGAATGCGGTGGGCGAGCCTGCCCCGCGGACTGGGGGCAAGAAGACAAAGCCGGCTCCATCGATGCAGACGGGGCGACGCAGCGTAGATCTGGCGTCGTCGGCGCTACTGGGCGTCCTGCTGTCGCCGCGCCCTGCCTCTAGGGGGATGGCTGCCGTCTCATTGGTCGAGCCCATCCCTCCACATCCTCCTGACTGCCCACGGCGGCGTGGCCCTCGGCAGCCAGCTTCAGCGTAGAGTGCGTCCGCGCCTGGGGCGGTGCGGTCGGGCGGTGCTGGCCGCGGCGGAGGGGTGAGGTCGGCGTAAGGTTGCGGTGCTGCGGGAACCACAGGGCCCGGGGTCGATTTGATGGTGTTGACCCAAGCGAGGAAGCTTAGGCATGCCCTGAGAGCCTAGCGCGAGGCAGCGCGCAAGGCCCCGGCCGTCATACCTCTCAAGTGCATCCACTGCCGGCCGCCATCTCTCTCTTCGAACTCACCAACTCCGCCCTCTCCCACATCCCCATATGCAAGCTTGACAGCCCATACCTCCCTGACCCCAGCACAGCCTGTCTCGGCGCGGAATTCCTACCACTGCCTCAGCTCTTGCCCGCGCCCACCCACTGCACGCGCCTTCCGCTGCCGTATTTGCGTTTTGCGGCGGCAGACCGGTGTCCTTCTTCGTGGTGAGCCGCCTCCAGACCTATGCAGCCCTGATATCGCGCCATCGGCCATTATTCGCCCCAACGCCTCCCCACCGGCCCTCACGCAGTCGTGGACACAGCATTCCCGGTCGCCGCGCCGTGATCCTCGACGTGTCACTCGATGGTCGTCGATGTGGGCGCGGTGAACTCCCCAAACCCAGGCGCGACAAGCGACGAGGCAGCGCGTCCTCCCGCGCAGCCCATAGACGCCATGCAGGACGTAACGCCCACCAGTAATGGCGTCGCCCAGAGCTCCGAGCCCGCGCATCAGAGCACTCCGCAATCCGCCAATTCGCTGCACGCTGCGGAGCGAGACGCGCAGCCGACTCCCCCAGCAGCTTCGCCGTCCGGCGCCTTGCCACCCGCGCAGTCGCAGCCCTCAGCCGCCTCCGCGCCAGCACCCGCGCAGACGGCAGTCAAGGACGAGACTCCAACCAATGCGGGCGGCTACGGTACTCGCTCGCGCAACCGGCCGAGTGCTGCGAGGCCCAACTACGCGGAGGACATAGAGATGGATTTTGAAATACCTGCTGCAAATGGCAGCAATGGAACCTCCTCCGAGCGCACCACTCGCAGCCCGGCCGCCGGAACGGATGCTGGTCAATCCCCTGCACCGAACGCCAAGAAGTCGGCTTCGACGACGAATGGGACGCCTGCCGCAACCGCTGCAAGCAAGGACCCCTCAATCCCCGGGACTCTGACCTTTTCCGCGAACCCAAACGCAAACGCCGGGACTGCTACTCAAGGCAAGAAAAGAAAGGCGGGTGGTGCGCATGCGGCCGCATCCGCTAATACCGCTTCCTCGGCCGCTCCCACTTCCGCTGCGTCGAGGCGAAAAGAAACCGCGATCGCGTCCAACCTGATCCGCGAGACCAACATGATGACCTTCGAGAAATCCGGCTCAAGGTTAAAACGTGGGAAGCTGGAAGCTGATGATGGCACTGCACTTGCAGTTGATGGTAAGCCCTTCCTCTCCATCCTCTCTACTGAGCTCCTGTTGTCCGAGCAAAGTCCGTCCTTCTCGGTGGTGCAAATGTGGTTTCTTTTCAAGGTTTGGACTTGCTGATTTTGATTTTCTTTTTCCTCGGGTAGACCATGCCTACCTCGTTTGCGAGCCCCCTGGGGAGCCGTACTACCTATGCCGGATCATGGAATTTCTTCATGTGGACAGCGAGAATCCCGCGTCTCCTGTCGATTCTTTACGCGTGAACTGGTTCTATCGGCCCCGCGATGTGCTGCGCTATAACAACGACACCCGTCTGGTTTATGGGACAATGCATTCAGACATCTGCCCCCTCACGTCTCTCCGCGGCAAGTGCACCATTCGGCATCGTAGCGAAATCTCCGATCTCGACGAGTTCCGGAGGTCCAAGGATTCATTCTGGTACAATCAAGTCTTCGATCGATTCATCCACAGATGGTACGAGGTTATTCCCGTATCACAGGTCATCAATGTTCCCGAGAAGGTCAAGAGGGCATTAGACGAGAGATGGAAGTTTGTCGTTGTAGAGACGAGTCGTGTCAAAGAGTTGACTAGCGCGGTGAAGACCTGCAAACGCTGCTCGCAATATTGCGCAAAGTAGGTTTCGGCAATCTTAAAAGCAAAGCGTGCCCGAGTTTGCTAACGAGTCCCAGCAACGATTCCGTTGAATGCGCCGTTTGCCACAATACTTACCACATGAACTGCGTTCGGCCACCACTTTTGAAGAAGCCATCGAGGGGTTTTGCCTGGGCTTGTGGTCCTTGCGGCAGAGCGCAGGAACGGAAATTGGAAGCGCGGCGAACGCCGATCATTGGTGAAGCGGCAGCTTCGCAAGAGGAAGAGGAAATGGTCGACGAGGAAGAAGAAGATCCTGGCGCGCTGATCAATACAACCGCCCCGAGCCCCAATGGGTCTGACGCCCCGGTTGATGACCATCCAGCAACCCAAGCCGAGATCGCGTTGGCAAAAATGTGGCCCATGCGGTATCTTGGAATCCATTGCCGCGTGGAGGACGCGCTGCAATACGATGACCGCGCCATTTACCCCCGCGCAAGCTCCCGTCTTGGCCCCAGGCACCAAGCGAACGTCAATGTGTGGCATGGCAGGCCAGTCGAACTCGTCAAGCCGGCAGAAATCAGAAAACGTTACAACAAGGGTCCAGCTCACAAGAAGGACCCCAAACTTTCAAAGGAGGACCTAGAAGCAGATAGGGCGGAGAAGGCAAAGAGACCGAAGTGGGTCCAAGATGAGCCAGTGGGTTACGTCCGGCGCGGCGAAGATTTTCCGAACGACGACCCGAGGTGCACGGCCAAGACACTCTTCAAGATGCCTTCGGAGTCCGTGCGCGGCGAAGACGATGCGCCCGTTGACCGCGAGAAACTCATCGATGATTACATGTTGAAAGCCAGGACGGAAGCTGCTAAGATCGTCGGCGTTCAAGAATACAACACTAATTTTCTCACCAAAGCCATTGAGTTGTTCTACGCCAACAATTACAACTCAGATGCCGCCCTCGAACAACTGAAAAAAATAAACAGACGAAAGGACTTGAGGGAACCCGAACCGAACAAGGAGGAGAAGAAGCGCTTCGAAGAAGCAGTGGCAAAATATGGCTCCGAGCTCCGTAACGTTCGCCTCCACGTCAGGACCATGTCCCACGCCGATGTCGTCCGCTACTATTACTTGTGGAAGAAGACTCCTAAAGGAAAAGAAATTTGGGGGAACTACGATGGTCGCAAGGGCAAGAATCAGAAGGTCGCCGACTCCACGTCGAAACTTGTCGACGACATTGCGGATGATGTGGATGACTCTGCCTTTGATGTCGAAAAAGCCGAGGCTCGCAAGAAAATCTTTGTGTGCAAGTTCTGCACCACGAAGATGTCACGACAGTGGCGTAGAGCTCCCGGGGTTGCGCCAGGGCAGACTGTCCCAGCCGATGGCCGCAGCAAAGATAAGGGATCGCACCTAATCCCTGCCCTTTGCCAGCGATGCGCCCGCCTCTGGAGGAAATATGCTATCAAGTATGAGGACGCCGAGGAGCTCATCAAGAAGATGTCTGCAGCAGGCGGAAAGAAATGGAGGAAGTTGATCGATCAGGAGCTCATGGACGAATTAAATGCCGCCCAAAATGCGCCTCCGGAGCCAATTCCGAGCATCGAGCCGGCCGACCCTCAAGCCCATGCCATAACAGAACCTCCTCGGAAAAAGCAGAAGGGTGCTGCTGACAAGGACTCCAGCCAACATACGTCAGCGGAGCCTCCGACCAAAAAGAAGACTACAGCGGTTCCACCGAAGCCTCCCACCCCTCCGCCGCAGCCCGTTATGCCAAAGATGCGGGAGCTCCCTTGTGCCGTCTGCCTGCAGATGGAGCCTTTGGGCGATCAACGCCTTGTGTGTAGGGAATGCAGGCTAACTGTCCATCGTCAATGTTACGGGGTGACCGAGTCGCGGTCCGGAAAGTGGGTTTGCGATCAGTGCAAGAATGACAAGAAAGAGACAGTATCTTACGTAAGTTGCTCAGCCAACCTGCGATTGACTGGTGCACTAACCTACTCGTTCTCAGACATACGAATGCGTCCTCTGTCCTGTTAAGGAGACTGAACAGGAACTGATCGAGCCTCCGAAGGTTTCCCACAAGAAAAAGACTGACAAGGAGCGGGAGAAGGAGCGACTTGAGAAGGAATTGCGTATGCAAAAGCTAAAGGAGTATCAGCAACATCAGCGAGACAAGGGAAGACCGGAACTTCCTCGTGAACCACTGAAAAAGACTGCAGAGAACAACTGGGTGCATCTGCACTGCGCGGTCTGGACGCCGGAACTGAAATTCACCAACCCTAAGATCTATGAGCTGGTGGAAGGCGTAGGCACCCCAACGATAAAATACGATCAGGTCTGCAAGATATGCAAGACCGCGAAGGGCGCTTGTGTGGCTTGCCACCAATGCCATGCGTCCTTCCATGTAGGATGCGCTCATTCAGCAGGGTACATTTTCGGATTCGATGTCACGCCAGTCAAGAGTTCCCGACGAGACGCCGTTCCGACCTTCACGCTTGGCCAAGAGACCGGGTCATTAGCCGCCGCAATCTGGTGCAAGGACCACACTCCCAAAACCATAGTACATCCTCTCAACGAACCAGTTGATGAACACGGGATGACGGCACTGCAACTCTATGTGCAGAATTACAAGCAAGCCGATCAGACATTGACGGGTACCGCTCGGAAAGCCAATCTCCTGGACCAGTTCACCAAAAGCATTGCGCCTCCAGCGGCGGCTACGCCAATCAACCGTCGAACCTCGACGGTGCAAGGTGGCACGAGATCAGCAAGGAACTCCTCGGCCGGTCTACCAAAAACAGAAGAACCTGATGAGATGCCGAATGGTTCGTTTGCTGATGTTAAAGAGGAACGTAAGTGCGAGATCTGCGACATCGAGGTGTCCCCTAAATGGTGGAAGGCCGAGGACTCGCAGGATACAGCTGTCGTTCCTGGGTCAAATCCGGATCAACCAATCAATACTATCGAGGGCACACCTGTTGGTGCTCCGCAATCCGAGGGGCCTAGGTTTCCGAATGGTATCATCCATCCTGAGCAGCCCGGCTTTGCCAAGGAGACGTTGTCCAATGGGAAAGTCACGACGTCCGATGGCATCCCAATTCCTCGCGCAGGCACTTACCTCTGCAACAAGTGCCATTGGCGGAGGAAAAACAAGCCGGAGCTTCTCAAGCCAGCCAAAAAATCTCCCACACCTCCACCACAGCCTGTCAGATCTCCGCCTCGACAATACGCACCAGCACCAGCCCCGCCGATGCATCACTGGCCGCCTATTGCGGGCCCTCCTCCGCATGCAAGCGCACCTCTTCCTGCATGGGGAGCGCACCCGCCACCACCCCCACCAATCAGCAACGGAGTGGCTCATTCACCACAGCCTGGTGCGCCTCCTCACGGTCCGCCAATCCATCATCCGTACCACCCTGCAGTGACGCCGCATCATCCTCCGACCAACGGGTACCCGCCTTACACGGCGCCTGCGGCAGTGCTCCCCCCGGGGCAGCCTGGTGCAATACGCTCTCCTTACCCACCTCCGACAGCTCCCGCGCCGCTACATCATACGAATTCTCCGATGCTTTCAGGAATACCCAATGGGATCCACTCTCCTCACACAGCGCCGTATGGCTCCCCGGCGCCTGGTCACATCCCGCCGCCCAGACAGACAGAGAGTCCATTCGCTCTGTACGGCCCGTCGCACAACAGCCCTGGTCCGCTCCACACCAGGCCCGAAACGCCTCGGGAAACCACTCTGCCACCACAGGCACAGGCTCCGCCGCCTCCACCGCCGCCGCCACCGCCGTCGCAGGCAAACGGGGCGAGTGGGGCTAGTGCAAGCCCCAATCTTCGTAACTTGTTGCATTAAAAATTTCTTGCTCGTTCAGCTCGTGGTAGGAACGCGCGACTGCTAGTGGAGGATGGTTTGATGAATCATGCTATGAACGAAAAGGTTGGAGGATCTTGAGTAGCACCAACTGGGAGGGTTAGTCGATATGATGATAAAGCAAAGGTTTCATTTCGTTTTTTGCTCATTCGGCGGGAAGAACCTGGGACTGGAGAGAGGAGTTTTGTGAAAGGCATGATACCAACCGAATAGTGGAATTCGAAGAGCATTAAGCGCGGCCGGTTTCTCTGTTTCGCATTCTGCTTTTTATTATTGTTTGGATTCGCGGGCAGCAGAATGAGAAGAAGAGACCCTGTACCATAGTCAAACAGTAGAATGAACGCTCGGTCGCGCATCTAAGAGAAGAGAAGAATGAGGTGTAGTCGGTGTTTCGCAATGCCGACTTTGCGTAAGGATCGACGGGACGTCAGCGCCCGCATGCTCCGCGACCGAGCTCCACACCTACCGCGACACCACCGTCCACGCGAAGATCCCCCTCCAGCACGCACGCACGCGCAAACTGTACAACAAACTCTCTCGTCTCCACGATGCCGTCCATCGGACCGTCACTACCACCTCACCTCGCGAAACGCAAGCGCGACGACGACGATGACGACCGTTCCTCCTCTGCTTCCTCGTCTCCAGGACCGCACCAACAAGACGGCCCCCGTCCCACTTTGTCGCCTGACAGCACTGCTGCGGAAAAGCGACGACGCGTCGTCGGCCCTGCGCCGCCTCCGGCACCGCTAGATGAGATGCCCGCATCCGCGCCGGGTGGTAGCAACAATGATGGCGGATATGGGGAGAGCGATGAGGACAGTAGCAGCGATGATGATGATTTTGGGCCTGCATTGCCAACGGCCGCAGATGTTGCGAAGGTGAGTATTAGTAATGGTCTGGTTCCGCATTTCTCGAGCAAGCCCCGTAAACGCTGCTGAGTTAGACGAGCGGAAGAGAAGTTGGCTTTTTTTAATTTTATTTCTGAGCAAATTTTCTGACTGAGAGTAGGTCAGTTCAGCAAAGAATGACGACGACGGGTGGAGCGCTGTAAGGCCACAGCCTGAGCAGGAAGGGAAGAAGGCACAGAGAGACGAATGGATGATGGTGCCGCCCAAGCAGGACGACCTTGCCGCGCGCATGGACCCGACGAAATTGCGCGCACGTGGGTTCCAGACGGGCAAAGGTGCGAGGGCACCGAATCATGGCGGTGGTGGAGACTTAGGTGCTTGGACGGAGACACCAGAGCAGAAGAGGAAAAGGCTGGAGAATGAAGTTATGGGCAAAGGCAACGCGAATGGTTCTGGGAATGATAGGGATGCGAGGAGAAAGACAGATGAGGAGACGGCGAAGCGGCTGAAACGGCACGAGGAAAAGCGGAAGGGGGAGAGCCTGTATGAGAAGCATAGGGAGAAGGTTGGTGAGAAAGAGGATGATGACCCAAGTAAGAGAGCATTCGATTATCAAAAAGACATGGCAAGCGGGATGAGAATTGATGGAACGAAGAGGAAGGAAATGATCAGGAAAGCGGGAGATTTTGGAAGCAAGTTTTCGGGAGGAAGCTATCTGTAGGTGGGACCCGAGCTTTCCATGGCCATGGAAGCGATGCGGTGCTGGCACAGGCATTTAGATACCAAATTCCGAAAACATCACCCCAGGGCCGTCTCATACATACTACGACATCCAGGCTCTGCGCTAGCTTTGTTACCCAGCCATTTTGCGTAGTGCTAGTCATGTCGCGCTTCCGCTCCGTCGTGCTTGGGGCTTCCAGTCTTCCTCAAACGCATTGAACTACCAAAAGCGTCCAATGGGTACAAATGCACGATGTTAATAGAATCGCTACATCAGAGCTGGACCCACGTTTTCCTAAATACGCAATTATCCTCAATCGAGATTTACGCTCCAAATCATGCAAGTTCCAGCCACGCCTATTTTTTCGCGAGTCATTGGGACGGGGCGGCCCTTGTGAGCCAGGGCCCACTTGACCATTGTGAGGAAGCTCACGCGTGGTCGCTCTTACCTAGTTCATCGGGTCCCCCTCCGCGCCAGATATAAAGAGCTTCCTGCACCACCTCTTCCTCTTCGACATCAACTTCTGCGCGTTCCAGTTGCAATCCAAGGCTTGACTACACCCAACCACCAAAACCCAAAATGCCTTCCTCCAACAGCAACTCCGGCTCCGGCTCCGGCTACTCTTACAAGAGCAGCGGCACCAACAGCCAGGTGAGATAATCATATCCTACCACTGCAATAAATCCAACCCCCGCAGGTCTGGCTAACTTCGCGGTGCTTGCAGGGCAACCATTACTGCGCTCGCGACTACGGCTCCTCCGCTTCAAACCAGAATTCGTACCACTACTCCAACGCGTAAGTCACACTTCAGCGCGGATACCTGGGCAACGAACAATGCAATTGTTTCCTTCCTGTTGACCTTGAGCTGATATTGTGGTTTCCTTTCTAGCAACGGATCCTACTACTACTCCAACTCCGACGGCTCTACCTACTACAACAACGGCAAGGGTTACTCTTCCTACACCCCTAGCGGCGGCAAGTAAGCAAGTGCCCAGCTGGAGGTGAAAACCGTCAACTTGGCCAAGTGCTGTTACTCGGCGAGCTGAAGTGATACGAGTTCAAGAGGATACGATTAGGTAGAGAAACTCTGGATTGTGGTTACTGCTGTTCCGTCTCCGCAACGTGAACATGATGGCGACTTTCAACCTTGGGGAACAACCAATGATCCCGAAGCCACGCTCCCACCTGAGGTTGGCTACCCATGAACTTTCAATTGACTAAGCCATCCTTGTAACTGCCGCTGTTATTTGCCGTATTTTTGCCTTTCACAACCCCGCTATCTCGCAGCCCTTGTACATATATTCCTTACGCGAGCACCACCTCACGCCACAAATGCATGGAACGGTGAAAATGTAGCGGGGTGCAGGACGGCAGTGTTCTGATCGGTACCGTGTTCAACAAAAGCCGCCGAATCCAAGATTATAATGCGTTCACACCACGTTATGGGAAAACATGGTGCAAAACGGCAGCCGTGGATACATAAAAGACTCGTCAGTTCAAGAAGCAAAGCAAGAGCATTATGCTCTTCAAAAATACCATTGGAAATTTTCCTTTTGATCTTCAATACCTTCCGCAACGCCGGTCCAGTGGCCCTAAACCGCCAGGTGAAGTTCCCATCATCTACCTCCTCCTCTCCTTCCTTGCCTTCTTCTCCCTCTCGTACGCGTTCTTTTCCCTTCCCTCTTCGCCCTGGATCTCCGCCACAAGGCGCTTGTACTTGGCCTCGTACGCGGCGTCGCGCTCCTTCTTCTCGCGCAGCTTCTCGCGTGCGATGAAGCTCGCGTCCTTGCGCAACTCGCGCATCGCTCCCTTCTTCTCGCGCCGGTACTCCGCCTTGAGCTTGGCTGCCTCGCGCCGCTCCTGATCCGGATCGTAGTGCTTGTCCGGATTGAAACCCTCCTCGAACTTGGGGATACTCGTCTTGATTGGCAGCGGCCGCCAGTGGTGCAGCTCCTGCGGGCGCCGCCGCTGCCGCGCATTCGACAGCAGGATGGTCAGGTGTTGGGCTGCTTTCCGGCCGGGCTTGCCGAGGGATTGGACAGTGGCGAGGGCGGTTGGCGTGAATATCTCGGTGAAAGCTGGCGTGTTTGCCCACATATCGGCCATGGTGGTGAGGTTGTTGAGGTAGGCACCAATGATGTCCGGGGGTGTAGAGCGATGCTTCAGTGCAAGGGAAGTAAAACGGACTAGCTCGGGGATGTAACGCTTCGAAAGCGCCTGGTACTTGAGACACAGCGTACCAACGTATGCGCCGGTCACTAGTTCCTGGGTTGTTTGCGGTGTCGTCAAACCAAGCCAGCGCGCCATGATTGTAATGGCTGGAGTAACGACTTGGTGGAAGTGGTCGGACGTCGGGTAGATGGTTCCAATGGCGGTCAGAATAACCAGGTCCCCTGGGCTAATCGTCGACGCTCCGAGCATCTTTTCAATGTGACTCCGGAAGGCTTTCGCAACGTCGAGGGGGAATGTCCGAGAAAGAGAGTGAAGGTGTCGGATCAAGGTTTCGATAGGTGCCAATGGCGGAGCTGGCTTTTGCAGAGCCATAAATGAGACATGATCCACCAAAGCTCCACAGAAGTGTGCCATCTTCTCCTTGTTCTCTGCGCTCAGTTGAGGGTGGTACAAAGCTCGGATGCGCTGAACGACTGTGGGTGTGTCTGCCGCGGAAACACCCTTCAACACATCCACCAACTCCCCGTGTGACTGAGGGCACGGATATGTGTAGGCTAGTTTTGAAGCCTGTGTCTCAAGTGCCTTCTTCGCATCCAGAGCCTTTTCCTGGGCCTTTTCCTCCTCGCTCTTTCCCAATATACCGCGGACAAACTCGTCCTCTTCTTCCTCTTCATTGATCTCAGGCTCTCCATCCTCTTCATCAGAGCTCTCGACCTCGCTTCCACTTGACACATCATCCTCATCTATGTCCGAGCCACTGGCGACCAGGTCATCATCAATGACAAAATCATCCTCATCGTCGACGCCTGGTGGCCGCAGGTTGGTATGAACATCTTGCAAACCAAACTCCGCTGCGTCATCCGGGAAGACATCCTCGTCTCCTTGTAGTTCCACATCGTTCTTTGTTTGCTCCTCTTCTTCATCGCTGCTATCCTCCTCGCCTCTCATTCTCTTCATCCGTTTCTCCTCCATCTTCTTCAATTTTTCGGCCTCCTCCTTTGCCTTTTCCTCGCCGGTCTTCGTTCTTGTAGTCGGAGCTGCGCGCTTGTCCAGCTTCATCTCGAATAACCGCTTATCGTACTCCTTCTCAGCCTTGGCCTTGTCCGCGTCGCTCATGAGTGCCGCTCGTTCCGGGTTCATCGAGCCGAGTGCACCCTCCGTTCCGTCGAAGATTGGGAGTGCCGGGGGTTTTTTGACGCCTCGCAGAAGAGACAGCATGTCGTGCATATCGGCGTCGAGCTTTTCTCGCAAGTCGTCATCATCCTCCTTCTGCTGCTGGCGTTCATACTTGTGCAATTTCGACTTGGCAATGACCTCCTTCATGACCTCAGCCTTGCTCTTTTTGCGCTCCGGCTCATCCTCCCCCTCTTCGTCCGTGAGGTCAATGTCCTCGTCCGAATCCCTTCTTCTCTTCAGCCGGCGCGGCCTGCCATCCTCGTCGTCGCTACCGCCCGAGAGGCTGCCGGCGTCGAAGTCATCCTGCTCGCCGGAGAGATCCAGAGCACGTCCCATATGCGTAAGCTGCACCTCCTCTTGTTCCTCGTCGTCTTCCAAGTCAAACAGACCAGCTCCCTTCTTGCGCGACTTCTCGCGTGTGAAACGCTCCATCATCTTGTCCTCAACCGACATATTCGGGTCGTTCTCGCCGATACGTCTGTCAATAATACCTCCGGCTTTGTTCCGCTTGTTCAATTCGGGCAGAAGAGTTTTGCGGCGCTGATGAAAGCCAGACGTCAGCCCCAGTCCAAGCGCTCTTTTGAACGGCATCTTAAATCAAGAGGAGAGAATTCTTAGACTCACAGTCTCCTCGCCCATGCTCTTGGTCACGCCGGGCCTTGCCAACACACCCTTCCCATTCTTCCCATTCGCCTTCTGCAGGCTTGTGGACTCGAATTTTTCGGGCCTCGCGGCGGCCTTTATTTCGAAAGGGTTGAAATTGTCGCGGATGCTGGCGAGCGCGGCACTGCGCTGAGCGGCGCGCTCGGCGCCATCCTTGCCGGAGGACCTCTTCTTTTCCTTCTTGGATTTCTGCGGACCAACGATGCCCTTTTCACGCAAGGACGCCTTGAGGCGCTTCAGCTGCGAGGGCGGCATGGCGTGTCGTGGCGACAGGGAGGTAAAGTAGCACTGTGTTTGCGCGCGCTTGGTTGCTCTCCGAAATAATTTCCATCTAAAATCGCAAGTTTCTGCCGGCGATCGGCGACTCTCACCGCCTTCAGGCACAGTCACGTGCAGGCCTGGTTTCCCAAGAAGTCGTTGCCGCAAGGGTGTGATTACTTGCTCGCAAAGAAGTCACCTGCTGTTGCTCAGGCGTCCAAATGTGTTCCTTCAACGCCAATGCGATTAACATCTTAGCTCGAACTTCGACGTATCTTGCTTTGAATTGCCAGACGCGCTCTCACACGCACGCCGAGTGAACAGCTCGTGGCACATTTTCCACTTATACACCATTCCCCCGACCTTTTCAGTTTTACAGCGTTGAAGACCTGCATGAACCCCCATAATGGTCACGAGTGCTGTACCCCATGTATTTCATCGAGGCACGGGCAATTTCAATAGCGCCGCGGCGGCTGCAAGTAGAGCCGGGCGGCCAGCCACAGTTCGATCGCCCATTCTTGGCATCAACGAGCTTCATTTCCCCGCTTAGCGTACCATAGCTCACTATAGAGTCCACGTAATTCCTTACGCCCGCCAAATTCCGTTGGAGCCATGCCCCCTGCGGACCAGCAAGCCATTCTATGGTATGCTAAAGGGGCGGGCCTGTCCCCTTCTTTTAAGGCCAGCACCCGTGCCATAAGCAACGAATTGTCTAGCCAGAATAAGCCAAGCCGCATCACCGTGGCAGCCTCCACTATCACCAAACTATTTCCACAACCGACTCCACCTTGGACCCGGCAGTAAGCTCAGCATACTAGCACGTCTCCGACACGTAACCGCGTGTGGCTAAGCAAGTGTCAACCGCCTAGACTGATCTCCTGAGGTTACTCAAGAGGATGCTTTCATCAAGCCACAAGCGGAACATGTCCACCACTGAGCCTCCATGAAGCTACCGCAGCGCCTGCAGTTCCAGCCAAGCGGCCGCGGTGTTACCGGCAATTCCTGCTCTTTCATCTTCTTGCTCACTGATTCTGGCCGTTCGACGCCGCAGGCATCGCAGCATAGATGCTGCATATTATTAATGAGCGTACAGATTTCGCAGATCCATGTAGAATCACGAGCGGTCTTTTCTTGCTCAGGGGCATCTTCAGTAAGGTCAATTACTTCTGGTCTGCTCCTGCTGTGTGCACTTGCGAGGTTGTTGGGCACGAGCCGCGAGACCGGGCGGCCGGGACGGGGAGCGGAGACCGAAGAGCTAGCACTTGACGGACATGTGGGAGAAGAGACCAGCTTGGTCGTTGTCGTGGCCGAAGAATCGTTGTCGTTTTGTTTCCTGGTTACTGGCTTGGGCGAAGCCATCTCGAGACCCCCTTCGGCTGACCAACTGAGGCCTTCCTCAGAAGCACCGAGAGCCTGCATCTCCTGCCGATTTGCATCTCTGTCACCTTCCATCATGGCAATGGCGATAGCAAGCTTATCCGCATCGTCCATCTCAGCCTTTGTCCTAAAGCCCAGTCTTCTCGCTTCTTCCTCAGCCTTCTGCTCCACCACATGATTGCCAGACCCACAACCCTGGGTGATGTTATTCCTGCGTTCTGCTGCGTCTGCAATGACACTGCGTATGTCGGTACCGCGCGTGACCGTAGAACCACCGAGCCTCTGACCAGAGCCGGCAGAGAGAGTCTTCCGCTTTTCAGCAGCGAGGCGAGCTTGCCGTCGAATCTCAGGGAGCGGCACTGCCCTACCACCGAGCCTGTGGCCAGTGCCTAGGAAGCCTTCTCCTGAATAGCCTTGTCGCTTCAGCGCGTAGTACTCTTCACGTAGCTCATCCCACTGCATTATTTGGTCAGTTCTGGATTAATCTCGTCGTCTTATGGGTTTCGTACGAGCTTGAAGAAGCTTGCATCATGGGGGCCATGTCTTATGTGAGTAAGCCTATGCAAAATTTAGTATCATGATAATGTTCATGCATTCATCAGCAACCAGGGCGAAGTCGAATATCACAAGAAAGACTGGATTAATGACGTCAAGCTCACGAAGATCACAAAACTCACTCATGTAGTAGGGTGTCCGCAACGGTATCGTATGCGAGGAACTGGTTTGGGTCGTGGCCATGTCTGAGGCGAAGGAATATCTTCTGTCCGGCGTTGACGTTCAACCCTGGAGATATGCCGTAGATGTTAGCTCAAGCGCACGTGATCTGCTCATCGGATACAGACCCAGGAGGTTCAACTGTGGAGGCAAGAACTCGGCCAGCTCTCCGACCTTCCAGTCCCGCTTCCGCATGATTGGCTTCACGACCGAGGCAAGCTTCTTCAACATGAGCAGAGCCTCGTCCTGACGCGGAAGGTCGCGAATATGCACGTATGACCCGAACTGCGGATCTATGTCTTGTCGGGCCATCTTGCTATGAGTTCCTGATGCTGTTCGGGTCAAAAGACAGTGCTACCGAGCAAATGCCGGTGTCAGGAAGGTGGGGTTATGGCGGAAGCGAGGCTTGGAACGAGTGGTAGGACTCGGGAGTGGTTTAGTCGGCGTTGGAAGAATGCGTGGGCGTGTTTGCAGTAGATGACTAGCTCGATTCTGCGGCGTCAAAGACGTCGGCTGGACGAGGCTTCTGTGGGAGGCAGGCGCAAGCTGACAGGCTCCACGTCAGCCAGGCGGTCGTTTGCCACCGCCGCACCCAGCATCGCGAAGAGTACGGAAGCGGCTTAGATATCATTGACAGTGCAAGCTGCTGGCCCAACAGCCACCCGTTAGCCGGCGCAACCGGCTCCAAATATGATCGGCGCGACGCGACCCTGGGCTTGTGGCACTGCGCGCTCACGTGTTGATACGGAAAAGTAAGCTTATCGCCGCTCTGACGAGGATGACATCGTCCCAACCAGGCCTCTCCGCACCCAGCGTGACGCACCACCTCGCGCACCACCCTCCCGCTGCAAGGCACCGGACGTCTCACATTTCCGAATCGTATCCGTCAGAGCTTATTCCGACATGACGGCCGACGACCAGCACTTTCTTGACGTGGTAGGATGACACCCCGCCCGACACTCAGACTCGGCCGCTGACCCTGCTGTCGCAGCTCGCCGGCATTTCGAGCGACATTCGCAAATTCACCGGCGAGGTCGCTGATGCCACAGACCGTCACTTTGAATCCGTAGCTTCTACAATCCGGGAGACGTTAGCTACCACCACATGGCTTCCCGCATCCGCCCGTCCGTCCCCGCCGTCTCGAGTAATCCAGAAAACGCCTGCGGGCTTCCTTCAGCGCGTGCAGGACTGGGTTTCGCGTAACCGTGCCATCACCGCTGCCGTAATTGCTTTTGTAGGCACGGGCGCCATCGTGATGTATCAACAGAAGAAATCGTATACGAGGAAGCGCAGGGCGAGGCGCGCCAGCAACGGCGCACGGAGAGAAGTCATCGTCATAGCCGGGCCGCCGAACTCGCCGATTACGAAGTCGCTCGCGCTGGATCTCGAGCGCCGTGGCTTCATTGTATACGTGGTGGTGAACTCACCGGAAGAGGAGCAGATCGTGCGCGACGAGTCGAGAGTGGATATTCGACCTCTCCTATTGGACATCGTTGACGTAAGACAGCCCCCTTCCCAAGAATGCGTGCAGGATATTAACCAGCGCGACGCAGCCACTCAACGCTCAGTACACTATTGAACGCTTCAACAACACGCTGCTGAGCCCTCACCATGCATTCCCAGGGGCTTCAGCGCATAATCTTAACTTTGCAGGTTTGGTGCTGGTACCGGACCTCATCTACCCCTCAGGGCCTGTGGAGACAATTTCTCCGGAATATTGGTCGGACGCCCTGAACGCCAAGGTGCTCAATACCGTCGCGACGACCCAAGCGTTCCTGCCAGTCGTGTGCCAGTTCAAGGCGCGGATGCTGCTGCTGACGCCGAATGTGGTGTCGTCGCTGCGGCCGCCGTTCCACGGGGTGGAGAGCACCGTGGTGGGCGCGCTGGAGGGATTCGCGGCATCCCTGAGCGGTGAGCTGAGCACGATCGGTATCGACCTGTGTCACATAAAGCTCGGGACATTCGACTGCAGCAGTGTCGGCAACAAGCAGTACCTGCAGAGCATCCGCGACCGACAGACAGACGCATGGCCGGCGGGAGCGCGGGCGCTGTACGCGGACAACTACGTGACACAGAGCCGGATTGCGCGCAGCAGAGGGCTGTTCCCAGAGAACGGCAGCACGGCTAAGGGCAGCCACCTGCGCGAGCTGCACAATGCGGTCTTCGATGCACTGACCCGCAAGCGGCCGCAGAAGGTGTGGAGGGTTGGTAGGGGCAGCGTGGCGTACGATATAGTTGGTAGCTGGGTGCCGGGCGGGCTGGTCAGGTGGATGCTTGGGATCCGACCAGGGGGACAGGCGGCGGCAGAGCCACAGCTAATGGACAGCGTGCAGGCGTGGGAGAAAGTTGAGGCCTCGGGCTAGGTGCGCTGGAAACGCCTTTAATCTCGGCTCGTTGACGCTTCTCGGCGGGTGCTGTAAAACGTGTGTCACGGCGGCGGGCGCGGCGGTGCGGTCGCGGGCAGCGGGCCTGCTGGTTGCTGGCCCGCCGCCCTCGTGCTGCCATCGCGCCCTCGCCCCGCAAGGCGCTGGTGCAGGTGTTGACGCGGGAAGGAATGTGCGACCGGCCGTTGGTCGATGCCGGTTGCAGGCTAGCGTGGTGTTATATCGGGCAGACCAATTTGGCAGGGGCGCCAGGCACTCGCACGGCAGGTGCGCGCCTGCAGGGACCAGCGACTCTGCCTTCGCCGATCACCGCGCGCCTTTGCTCCGCCAAACCATCTCCGTGTTGTGTGCTCTGCCAGCGCTCGTCCACTCGCTTCATGCGCTGAGTCGTGAGCAGCCGCGCCCCCGTCCAGCAGGGAGTCGCACGTCCCCGAAACGGCCGACGCAGCAACGGCCTGCGCTCCCGCCGCGCCCTCGCCGTGCCAAGCCCCTCCTATTGCAACTCGTATTTCCATCGTCGCCCTCCACACCTTCTCCCACCCGTACTCCGGCTGCTGTTGAGCGATCGCCATCCGGATGGCTTAGACGCGCGTGTCTCACCACACCATTGCCTCCCACCCTCTGTCGTTCCTTGCAATCGGTGTGAGCTTGATGTGTTGCGCCATCTCCAACACAACGCATCCCTGAAACCCCAAGACGAAGCTCGACCCGCGCAGTCCCATCGCCACCGGCTGCTCAGCCTCTTTCACGAGACACCTATGCTCAACGCGCCCTCGTACCTCACGGTTCCGGAGCCCGCGCCCACGTAACAATTAGCGTCGCTGCGAGCTCCCCGCACCCACGTCTTGCATAAGTCGCATGCTTATCCTCACCACTACTACCGCCGACGCCTTCTCGCCGCGCTGAGCCGCAATCCAACTCTCCCTCGCAGCACCCGCTTTTCCGCTGCGTCGCAATGCCTTCCGACCGCCCGAATGACTTGGACCTCCGCCCCGGTTCGCAGGAGTCGAACCGGTCGCGCCAAATGCAATTCCTAGGTGACCTGCCGTCGCCGCGCACCGGCGAAGTGCCGCCTGCGCTGTCGCCGCTCGATGCTTTTGCAATGCAATCGCGCCTCTTGGCCAAGAGATTCGAGGAGGAGAAAAATGGCCGCCGCATCAGCAGACTGCCCCCTCTGACCATCCAGAATGAATTTGGCAAGCAGCGACAGCAGGGCTACTTCCGCTCTCGATCCGCCGAGCGCGACGCATCCGACAGACGCTCGCCCGAGGATGAGCACGCCACGCCGCAAAGCGCAAAGGAGATCACCCCCGTCAACCGACCCATGTCGCAACACCCGACCATCTCAGACGATTTCGGGGGTCCCATCTCGCAATATGACCCCAAGCTCTCGCCGCTAGGCGAGGAAGAGCGCACCCCGGCCCTCGCCCAAGAGCCCGGAGACTATTTTACAATCCCCCGCGCTGCATCACCAGAGCCTATCGAGCCTCCTGTTGCGACCCGGGTTGAAGAGGCTACTCCCAATACACCAGGAACCAGGAATGGCCCCTGGAGTTATCCCCGCCCGCGCCCACAGCGGACCCCTACTTTGGAATCGACTACCTCCACACGGTCAGATGGCAGAGGCTTGATGCCTCCCAGGTCACCTGGCCCTGCTCGCTCGCCGCGGTTGGTTTCGCCGACCATCCGTTCGGTGAAGAACGACAGTGCAGATGAAGTTGAGAATATGTCGTTGGGTGGATCTTTCGATTCCCTGCCTCCTAGGCAGCTATCTTCGAACACGAGCTATTCCAGGTCTCACTCTCCCGCTTCTCCTTACCCACCGTCTATCCCCCGGTCACCTTCCGTGTCTTCGGAATGTTCCTACAGCAGCCAAAGACTCCCTAAGCCATCCTTCAACTTCTCGAGACCTAGGCCATCCCTTGACGCACGCCCCTCAACATCTGATCTGCGGCCATCTCTGGATCACAGGCCTTCGTTTGAAAGAGCGAGGACTCCCTCAAGACAGGCCTCTGGAGATGGCTCTCAACGTGCCCCGTCCCGCCAGGAATACGAAGGCCATCAACTCCCATCATACGCACATGAGCAGGTCCACACTCCTATCAGCATGGCAAGTGACGATTACATGAGTGCAAACGCCGACGGCCCTGCTCCTTCGTACATTTATGCCAAGTATGCGTTGCCGCGTGGACGGACTTTGGACAGGGAGTCTCTTTGTGCGCAGGATTTCATGAACGAGCAGATCAGATGGGAGGATGGCGCACCGCCAGCCGCTGTCAACGGAGAGCGGCCTCCCTCTCCACCTTCTCCCCCGAAAACAGCGAGTTCAGAGAGGTACTATGACAGGACGAAGTCTTTCGACATCCCTCGCCCTTCATCGCCCTCTGCTGTCTCCAGCAACAGCACGCTCAAGCCTCATCACTCGCGCCCTTCATCATCGGGAGCAGCTACGAGCGTCACTGCCGGCTCTCGCATCGCCGATATGACTCCGCAAATGCATTTGGAGAAGGGCATCGAGTTCCACGAGAAAGGAGAGGTGCAGAAAGCAACTTACCACTGGCGTCTGGCTGCGAAGGCTGAAATTCCGACTGCCATGCTGCTCTACGCCCTTGCTTGCCGGCATGGCTGGGGCATGCGTCCCAACCCGTCCGAGGGTGTGAAGTGGTTGCGCAAGGCTGTCGATGCTGCGCAATTAGAAGTTGCGGATGATGAGGACCTGGCAACCAAGGGCAAGCCTGGCCCTGACGTGATTGAGAGGAGGACTCACAAGGCACAATTCGCTGTCAGCGTGTATGAATTGGGCGTCAGCTACATGAATGGTTGGGGTATTCAGCAGGATAAGGGTCTCGCACTTCGGTGCTTTGAGATTGCAGGCAACTGGGGCGATGGTGACGCCCTAGCCGAAGCCGGCTTCTGCTACCACGAGGGGATTGGCTGCAAGAAGGATTTGAAGAAGTCAGCCAAATTCTATCGAATGGCCGAGGCCAAGGGCGTGAGCGTAGCAGGCAACAGCTGGTAAGTTCAAAAGATAGCTTCACATGCTAATGAGTAGGTACTAACTCGCGAGTTGCAGGATCCACAAGGACAAATACAAAGATGACGAAGCAGAAGACGATGGCAGAGGTCGCTCAACCAGGAAAGATGCCGACAAGAAGGCGCGTGACAAGTCGCGCACGCGTGCGCTCTTCAGCCGCAAGAAATCTATCGCGTAAAGAGCCACGCGTTTCTCCTCTTTGGTTGTCATTTGACGCTCGGGCCTTCATCTCTTCGATTCCGTACATTTGCTTTCGAATCATCAAATAACTACCCCTTGGCTCAGTTCTAGCATCTTTAAAGTTGCTTGCTGTTCGCAGTGGCACGGGGATGTCTTGCGGAAGCGACAACGGGTCATTACTATGGCCGACTCTTTCGCTACCATCGACTTCCTACTCTCTGCGTCGATGCAGGAATGGTTTATTCCAAGATCATCCACGGCTCTTAGAAACGGTTTTCGACTCTGAATACCGTCAGAACCGCGACCGCCGCCCTATCCGCGTCTTGTCACGCTCAGGGTCGGTGGAGCAATTTCGCTTCTTATGCAATGGTAGACCGGAACCATCCTGCATCACATGCATATCCTGCACTCCTCTGTTTTGCCCCATTCTCCTTGTTTCCTTCTCGGGTCTTCCCGTCTCTGCTTTTCTGGATCTGTTTTTTGGCTTTGCTTTTCACCTGTGGATATGGTGATGCTTCGGTTGGTTGAGGTGGTGGTCGGTTGCGGTGGAATTACATGGGCGAACTCCTTCCATCGTTTGGCATTCGTTTGATATCACTCTCTCTATCTCTGGTTCTGCTCTTTTCGAGTTATCTGTTTTGTTTTTCTTTTCAACCTGATTCCGAATCACGACGAGACTGGACCTCCTTACTTTCATCTTCATCTTCAGTACCCAAAAAACTTACTCTCAGGGGAGCAAAGCGTACGTACAGGACGCCGGGCGACTTGTAATGTTTTATCCTATTTTTGATCTCCTGGAGAAAGGGCGCAAGCCTGGCATAGGCAAACCGGCGCCGGAGAAATTATGGAGTAGAGCGTACTCCTTTTTTCCTTTCTTGTTCTTTTTTTTTTCCCTCTTTTTTCCTGGTGGTGAACAATGGACAAAGTGCGTTGATGTGTGGAGAGGTATGCCTCTTTTAAGGTTATTCTCTTTTGTTGGTAGAATGACGACGCTCTACACGTCAAAAAAGCACGTTTTGATCACCCATTCTTGCATCCGCTACATCTGACTCTGCTGCTGTTGATCGATCGTTGCGCCCGCACTAGACTTTGCTACCTAGAAGGCCCATCGCACTCTATATTCATGAAGAAGGTATGTTGGATGATCCATAGAATACCTGCAGGAAGCGTAGAATATACGATGCCAGACAGCTATTTACCAGCAAACAGTGAATGTAAGAGATATTGGTAGCATCGAATCCGTCTGGTCTGTCAACTTAAGCTTCGTTCTTGTTGATAATAGTAAAATTCAAAGATTCGTGGCCTTCTCTCTAGAGAAAAAGTATAGAAAGTATCATTTAGTCTACTCAGCTTTCTATTCCCATGGGAACACTCTTCACGGGCATTCAATATAAGCAAGGAATTATGAATATTCAACGATTTTGATGCATTGCACATGAAGCGAAGTATCTCCTAGCGGCTGGGTACGATAATTTCAATGGTAGTAAAAGAAAGGAAAAGGGGAAGGAGACAAATTGCCATTGACGTGTGCCACATTGACGATTTCGGAACTTCACCATTTATTAATCAGCAATAAGAGCGGAGATTCAAGATCGTCACCTGAGAATGATTTTTTTGCGGATTCCTCTGCCTTCGATATTCTTTGAATCCTTATCTTCTAAAAGTTTATACCCGTGACTCACTGATAGCTTGACTATCCTTGAAAAGACTCTCTTACTCAGTCCTGCTTCGAGGGGGTTCTGTGCAACTTTGCGCATCCTGACTAGAAGGATTTCGGAGCAGAGTCTGCGCTGGCCGTTGTCAGTGAAGGAAGTAATCGTCGTCTCAGAAGAAAGAAAGCTTACGATGTCGCAATGGAGAAGGAGATTCACCAGGAGAGCATGTAAACCATGCATGTAGAGTGCCTTATTCCGTGATGCACGCTTATCAAGAAGAAGCTGTACTGCTTTGGGATTTGTTTCGTGATGCCGAGAATCATCAACGACAAAGGCATTGTTGCATAGAGTCGAGCATTGGTGTACACTCTATTCGGGGAACTTCAGCATGGCAATCTCTCTGCGGCAGATTAGTTGAATACAAGCCCATTTACACGAAATTGGATGAGATTATGGATAGGAATTGCCACGGACATGATATATTAGCTGACCACACCAGAACGAATCCTTAATTGGGTTCGTTTCAGGACCTCTTTTACCCTTAAGAGGACCCACATTACGGCGTGACGTAGTGGATAACGCTTGGACCTTATAAAAATTGGTTCAGCTCGTCGAGAAATTTAGCCGTCTGTATTGGCGGACACCCGGCAGCGAGTGGGAATATCTTCATAGCGTCATTCTCGAGAGAACAGTCGTGCTTCGATGACTTTATAAGCCCGATAATTTGCCAATAAGTGAGATGTTCGCATCAAAATCCTTTCCGGTATTTTATTTAGGCCGTGTTTAATCGATAACCATAAAGTTCCGCACCATTTGATAGGACAAGTTGGCTTTAAATTTAGTAAATCTATTATCGTAGAAGGATCTTATGACTTTCAAGTCATAATACCATCTATTATTGCTGCGGCACGGACTCTAACTGAGAATGATGAATGGATTGATGGTGGTGGGTCGACTGGGTCGACCCGACAACTATCTAAGCTTGTCGGGGCGCCTGCCCAGATCGATCTGGGCAGGCACCGTGACAATTATCTAGTTACCTCTAGAGTAGCTCGAACATCTCTAATTTTTTTTTCAGAAAGTATAATACTATATAAACTATAATTTTTCTCTTTTATATACTTTTTCTCTAGAAGGAAACCTACGATTTAAAGTTAGGGATGTTTGCCTTCTATTTAGATAGTAAGGATTTTGACGGATCTCTTATAAAGGTTGTATAGAATGGTAACTATAACCTACTCGAATAGTCTATCTGCACCCTTGGGATAGTCGTTAAATTTTTACAACGGCAAATAAACTACAAAATAGATTCAAACGAAATTCTTTTAGCTTGTCTACGACCTACTCGATAACATTACAAGTTTGATTACCACTACATCAAGGCATTAGGTCTTAGATATATCTCCATTATCCCGGTTTGTCAGTAACAAACCGTCAGATGCCATCTCTTGTAAAAATTAAGTACGTGAGCCGCTCGTATACAGACTAAGCTTAAAATTAGAACACTCTGACAAAGTGGCAGGGATTTCGAGATATAGTTATGTCTGCTGTTATTTTCATTAGTAGATTGAGACGGATCCTTCTAATATCTCGTCTCAGTGCTGGGAGGTGGATTGCAAATATCTCGAGTCTTGAGAGCTTTTAAGGCTGAAAATCGGCATTCTTGCGCCCCCAAAACCACTTACAGGTGTGGCAAGTTCTGTGTGAGCGTTGGGAGAAGATTCAATACAATATCGAATATAAGAGACTCTGGAAGTGTCGTCTTCAAGGGCGTACTTGTGAGGCGTATGTGCATTCCGAGCGATCCAGTCCACTCGAGGTTTTTGGCCTCTTGGCTTTCATTCCAGGAATACGGGGCCAAGGCCCATTTACTCTAGACGTCTTGAACTCAGCATATTCCTCTCACGATACTCCGCATTATTCGCACCTCACTACACTTGCTGCTCGTTGAACATCTTCACCGGCATCCATGATGCTGCGAGCCGCAAGCATTTGCCTTGAGTACGTGATTGTATTTTCTCGTGTTCGACGAGTAAGTATTGTATATGCAAACATCGGGGTTGCCGCAGTGCCCAGAACCCATTTGATTTCCATAAATAGCGTGGCGTCTTGGATGCCCGCTTTCCCCTCAACCACATCTCTCAACATCCTCACCCCACCGGAGGCACCGAGATGCTCATCGGGCTCGCCGACTCCGAAATCCCCACAATCATTGCCACCACCACAGCATGGGCGTCGCGCCTTGCGCGCGGACCACGCACTGCGCCACAAGCGCGGCCCTGCACCGCCGCATCCATGGCGGTTCGGAAGAGGAGACCGACACACCACCAAGAGAAGAAAGGCTCAAAGATGATCCAGCCGTTGACGATACAATAGTGCTGCCCTGACTCAAGAAAAAAAAGTCTCGCACACGCCCTTGCGAGGCCGGCCCCTTTTTCTCGTTTCACGGACTTGGCCGGCACGTGTCTTTCTTTTGAGTTTCGCCCGCGTGGGTCAGATGGTCGGCTATTGCTGAGTCGCGTGCGCGAGTCCTTTGCAACGGGGAAGAAAGAAGAGATGGATCATTCGTCGATGGTGTGGATAGGGCGTGGTACTTTCGAATATGAAAGCTTACGTAGCGAAGCTCCGACAATCGGGATCGGCGCCGATAGGCTCGCCGGCTGCTTTCGGTTTCCGTTGCGCAGCACATGACATGTTGGAGGAAATTTGCGTAGAGTCTGCTTCGTGCTTGTTTCCGATCTGATTGGTAGATGCAGCAGCCATTCCGAGGGCCATGGCTATCCTTCTGTCCGGACGTAAATCGTCAATAGCAGGTCATCCTTGGACTGCTGCATGCCCATCCAAATATCGCCGCAATCCTTGATAGGCTGCAATCATCATTGATGCGAGTCAAGCCGGGCCCGCCAATATGTTACGATCAACGATTTGCGCCTGCATAAGAGATACAAATCGGTAGAAGGTTGACGCGTGGAGTGATTGTCGGGGTCTGGAGAAAAAAAGCAAAGAGGTGAACCAATAGCTCACGAAAACGACGATGCGTATACGAAGCCAAGAAAATAGTCAAGCAGTGCCGATCCGCATGCCGAAACCGGTAACTGGTTGAAAATATCGCTGGGCTTTTGGTGTTGGCATTTGCACAAAATGATCAGACGCTGCTCGTGCCTTTTCGCGAGTTGCTTGCCTGGAGTGCTGGTCAAGAAGCATTGCCGCCAGTGGGCAGCGTTAGGGTTGGAGGACGGGGCAGCTCCCTGTGCGGACGATCACCCGGACGCGGCGCAGCAGGGAGTGCTGCATGAAGATGCATTGTTCAGGGTCATCTCACATATGCAAGGCCGGCTGAAAGCGGCTTCCAGAGCAGCGAGGATAACGTCAAGGGCTGCGCTATTGATGACCTGAACGGCAACTTACGAGGAAAAAGCAAGGCCTCGCTGTGGATCCCTCATGGCCCTTTGCCGTGGCTGTGGAATGCCTCAGGCTGCCCGGGGGTTGATCTCGCGTCTGGAATTTGTGGAGAAATGCGTGATTCGTTGGGCCGAGAGAGGAGGTGATGTGCTATGCGAAGTTTGAGAATTCCACATGTACGATCAGAAGTTGGAAGGGAAATGTCCAGGTGAATTTAGTCATGACAGGCCAGCATCATGAGAAGGCTGCACCGTGACGGTGGTTATGCGTATCACTGGTTCATTAGACTTGTCGGAAAGGGCTTGCGGGCCGGGTTTAAGTGACGTATATTTCCGCGGTTAAGACAGGGCTTTCTGGACCGTTGGGCGCGACTTGACTCGCAAGGTATGAAAGTCAAGCTTCGGCAGCTTCGCTTTAGAAAGGCAGGCAATCCATGGCAATGGTACTACGTAGCGCCGAATATGGGCCACGTGGATCGTCCTAGTTGATAGCGTTGGTGTTGAGGGTGATCGAGCTCCCACTTCTGGCCCCCAACCGGTCACCAGTTGGTTTCGCGGCGCAGCTTTCACATGCATGGAAGCGATGAGCGGTCAAACGGCGCAGGCGGCTTGGTGGCTGCAGGGATGCGGGAGACGACCAGGACACTTCTGGCAGCTGTCGTCGCACAGAGAGTGGGGTGAGAGCCACAGCCGCCTTAGCTCTGATGTCTTCTCTCCGAACGGCGGCGTGCATGTGCAAGAGGTGCATCTGCTCGATTGCTTTTAGCCGATTGATGCAGCCAAGACAGAGATGGTCGGGGGAGCGCACATGCTGCAGGAACCGGCCCTTGCTGGTCCTCGGGACGACTTGCTCGACCACATTCCGATTTATCCAGCTGCCTCAGAATGTCCTCAGCGACCAGCGTCAGCGCGCACCGTGCAACGCACTTGGCGCGGAAACGGATCGATGGCGAGAAACATTCGTTCTGGCGGACGGGCCGCGCGGCGGCCTCGCGGAAGGCGAGGCAGCGAACGAGACGCACGATTTTAGGCTTCACCTATGATCTCGTCGGCCGGCAAAAGTGCGGGCTTCTTGGATTGACATGGTGCGGTTCCTGCGGCGTGGTACTCGGCACCTTCGGCTCATCAGTCGAATTGCACCATTGCTGCCAATGTCTCGCAGGCTGGGCAGGGTGGCATCCCAACCTCAGTCAGATATATCAGCGCCGGAAGGTTGGGTGTGGCTGCGGGGACTAGGCGTTGGCTGCCAATTCCAGGCACGGAAGTCGTCGAAGCGAGCGGGCTGACGCAGTACCGAAATTTGGTGCGTTTCTAGAAGGTAAGCCCCTCATGGTGTTGATGCCGAGACGACCGGTCGACTGCGCCGCGTCGGCGGGCGGCGGGCAGCGCAAAGACTGCACAGTGGGACCTCGGGCCCCCGATTTAGAGTGTGGGGTTAATTTGCAGAGGGCTAGACAGCAAGGACGTGGCCGGTGGCGATCACCGCGTCAGGCACGCCGCTCCCGGGCTGATAAGACTCTGGACGGCGACCATGGGCGGTATAGGCAAGAGAGGAGGAGACGTTGGACGGGAGGCGGCGGCGAAGGGGCCCGGGTTTGGCACAGTGGGAGCGCGGCCTTGGGGTCCCACAGAAGGATGAGCCGCTCGCATGATGCTACGCCCGCTTCGGGGGCGCCCGTCTGGCCGCGCGCCGAGTCGTGAGTTGTGCTCGGGACTTTTGTCGCGTGGAACGTTGCTCTTCGAAACGTTCTATGGGCGCGCCCAGGCCGGCAAGTCGCGGATGGAGCGTGAAACGCGATTTCCGGGCTGAGGCTGCCAGACGCAGGGCTCATCGGGATGATTGACGCAATCCTCGTGTCTGCAGCGAGGAGCAGAGCGACGGAAGAAGCGACGCGCCGATCGGGCTTACGAATGGAGAGGGTATTGACAATACGCAGCGCGGCGGCAAGTGTGGAGAAGAGGTCAGCGAACAGGCGTGGAGATCACTCAGGTACCCGCGACCGGCCCGCCCATTGGCGGGCCTCGCTCGCTGCCCTCGACCAAGCAGACGCGCCCAACACGCACGCTCGGAGAAGACCGCAGCCGCAACTGCAATCGCCCGCCGCCCCTCAGCTCGCGGCCAGGCCCCGCCCGCGTACCTGTGAGGTCACAGGCTGTGGCACACGAGCCGGCATTGGCCATTCACAGCTTCTTCTCCCAGGTTGACCTCCACGGCGGCATTAACGGCCAGTACCAGCCCGGCCCGGCTGAACACAAATCACAGCAGCCCACTCGCCATGACACAGTGCCGCGCCCCGCACGCTCTCTGCGTTATGCCCGTTAAAGAGGTTACTGTTAGCAAAACGCTGGCGTCTAGCCTTTCCGAGGGCCGCCGCGATGCGCCGGCTTGTGCACGCGCCGGTGATCGCACACGAGCCAGGGCGACTGCCCGAAGGCCTACCTGGAGACGCGTGCCTGCAAATCCTGCCCGAGACACCCATGGCCGTCACCGCGCCTCGTTCACAGGGAGGATCGCCTGCTGCAGGGGTTGCCGTGCCACTGGGAGCCCGCCTTTCCCTGCTGGCTAGCCCTCCGTCTCCCCCAGAGCTGACGCCTAGCTCCGGCAGTGTCTTTACATGAAAGTAACGTTTCCCGCTTCACTCGTGCGTGCTCTCCTCTGTCTCTTTGTCCAGTGTCGATCTAGCGCCCTACTACTACTCACCAAAAACCCTATCTTCATTGCTGGCCCGAGCCCCTTCCGACCTGCGTCACACGTTTCAAACGCCATTTTGGGACTTCGCGCCCGCCCTCTAAAAAAGTCTATCCGCACGGCCGTCTCATCACCCGCATAAGATAGTATCACATCCGCCCCCCGTCCCGCCCGGAACTCTCTTCACTTCTGCCTCGTGTGCCATATCCGTGTCACAACCCCCAGCAATCCCTCTTTGGGACCTCGCTTGCATTCTCTTATTACTATATCCTCTTGAACTGGATGGTTGTGCCCAAGTGAGAGCGGCAATGGCGAACACATCGTCTCTAACATGTCCACCACCTTTCCTGAACGAGGCAAGATTTGGCAATGGCGGATGTACGCATCTCCCAGAAATCCTGCTCTCATTCCCGTGCTGACCATTTGCAGTTGTCGACGGCCGCTTCTGCGCCGGCATCTCTGACATTGACCCTGACCTCAGGTGCTGCCTGCCATGTCCTGCCACCAACTGGATATACTCAAACAGTAAGCCAGCCAACTCGCATTCTGCTGGCCTCCACTTACATTCCGAGCAGCATTTACTACTTCGTACCGTGTTGCCGAAGGCATAAACCTCATCGGCTTTACAGTATGCCTGTTTTTGATGATCAGCTGGGCCGTGCTACCCCCTAAGGATACGCGGCGGCATTACTTGAGCGTTGGCTTGGTCCTTGGTGCTATGAGTCTCGGGGTAAGAGATATCTTGTACATGCCCTTCAGCTATCAGTCACTGATCAGCCGACAGCTTGGATTCATCATTCCCTTCGGCGCCGAACCTGAGCAGTGTTATGACGAAATCACCCCAAACGACATGTATACAAGTCTGGAGTGCGCTTGGTCTGGCGCTTTCATTATTGCAGGTGGTCTTTCCATTGTCGTCTGGAGTAAGTCCTGTCTGTCCGACCAACCAAGATCGCCCGCGCGCTGACACACTTTCCAGTCTTCATCCGAGCCCTGTCGATGCATCTCCAAATCTGCTGGGACCTCACTCCAGGGCAGAAGTTCTTCTACGGTTCTCAGGCGCTAGGCTGGGGAGTCATTGCTGCTCTGTTCACCACTACCATCACCATAACCGGTGTCTCGTTTCGCTTCGGAGACGCTTGCCACGTCAACTCTCAGCACTCGATGGCAGACTTTTGGGGTCCCTTGCTCGGCATCGCCGGACTGTCGGCCGTCGTTCAACTCGCCACTTTCACCTACTGTATCAACGTCTACCTCAAGAGTCTCTGGAGCGATGACGAGACTCAGACCCAAAGCAGCGCTGGTCTTCCATCCTACACCTCGAGCTTGCGCACTCGCACCAACTCGGCCAAGGCTGTCTATCGAAGGGTCAAAAAGGTGGTATGGCTCCAATGGCGCGGTATCGTCATCGTCGTCTTCATCCTGATCGACGTCATCTTTTTCTCCGTCGTCTTCGTGTACCTCGACACTCAAGAACACGACGCGCTCCATGACCCCAAAAGGGTCCTGCCTTGGGTGCTTTGCCTCATGCATAATCCAAACGAGAAGGAGAAATGCTTCGACGTGGCCCAGGGCATGCTTGTGGACCAAGCTACTGTGACGGCTGTCCTGGTCATGCTCGCGGTAAGTCTTTCGTGGTGGCTGCTTGAGCGCCTGCTAACAGACGACAGCTCGCCGGAGTGCAATGCTTCATTCTTCTGATCCGATGGTCAATGTTCACTGGCTGGAAAACATGGTTCCAGGAGAAGTTTTCTGGCAACCGCGAGTTCGTCTCACTTGATGCGCGCCGCTTCTCGTCGGACGCACGGACGTTTGAGTTGCTCAAGGTTGGCGGCCAGGCTTCTGGCTACGTAAGTACTGTACACTCGCCTGGCGGCGAGACATACGTCAGCACCATGCAAGCCATGAAGTCACCCGAATCAACGGTGACGACGCCATCGGCCGTGTATGGAAGCCCTCTTAGCGGCCAACACACGCCGGACTACTTTGGCAAAGAGGTGCAACGCAACTACCGCAGCCCGTCCCAAAGCTTCTCGACACCTAGGCCCCCAACTGCCAGCGGAACTCGGGTAGACTGGGATCCAACAAGCACGCACGCAAGGGGTGGGCTCGGACTCCACCCTGTCCAGGATGACTCGGATGATGACGACCCGAAGGCGAGGATATGAAGCAACGCCCAAGGATATGAAAAGTTTGTATTCGCATGCTTTGGGGCATACTTTATTAAAGTTTTGAATTGGAGTATTATAGGAGCATCTTCTAGGATGTCCAAAAAGGATTGCATGGTTGGGACTTGACGAAACCGGGAAAAGGGATAAGAAAGAGGGCTATATGCTCCTAACGCATCTCCTTGAACTCATAGCGAGCGGTTTCATCTGGGATGGCGCACTGGCGACTGCCAATGATTGGGTTTCTTTTTGTGCATACTTTTCCTTCATGTTTGGCTCATGATCGTTTTCTATACCCGCTTTTCGCCAGCCTGTTGTCGTTTATCCGTCCTTCTCCTGCCCTCTGCTTTTAGTAGCAGCAGGACATCACCCTTCTTTCAGTTACGGTCAATTCTTGGGGAGGAGTGTATGATAGGGCAGCTGGCCTTCCATTTCCGTACACTCGCTGAACTCAGGTTAGAAGTCCAAGTAACTAGGAGTACGTAGATAATGGGCGAGAAGGAGAGATTTGAAGGATAAGATTTCCAATGACTCAAAATAAACATGTTACGAAGCTTAAAGGCTGCATAGATGAAGACGATTCCCCGGGTCTCAATTACGGCGGGCGGCAGGGTTCGCAACCTAGTCAGTCTTATTATGAGATCCCCAGGCTTTAATTCGAGTCAGTGCCACGACACGATCTTTTCGGCAGGCCGGGAAGGAGCGGGCGTAATCGATCGTTGGTACCCGTCCGGGACGGGAGGGAAAGGATGGTTCCATGCACACCCCACAAAAGTGGAAAGTGCCGAGGTTCCCAGAGGGCAGGTAGGCTTTTAGCTTCGACGCACGACGGCAAACCGGAGATAGTGTTGTTGCGCCATACTGCTTATCTGCACGCATATACAGACGAAGGTTTTCTTTGGCGTGCCGTGTCGACATAGGCGCAGTCAGGCACGTCATGGGCTGTCGACGAATGCCGTTCCGTGTGGGGCGGTACGATTCCAGCAACGGAACGCCGAAGCGGCTTACCGATCGTTGATTTCTAAGGCTTGCTTCCCCCGTTTCTTCTTCGCCTTCTCTATTTGCCTGCGTTGACAATAGCATTCGCTGCTCTTTGTGTCGTCGACCCTTGTCTTTTCGATTTACTGCCGCCGCCTGAGTCATCATCATCATCATCTTCATCATCACTCCCCCCACTGTTGGCCACTCGACCGCAACGTCTCTGTAACTTCCGACGCAACCATGGGCGGCGGACCAGAGCTCAAGAATTTGCACGAAAAAATCCTGGTCGCGCTGCCGGGCGAGGCGCCGACGGCGCTGCTGGAGCGCCTGAAGCACAAGTTCCCAAACGTCGAGGTCGAGTTCGTCCAGATTGGGTATAAGCTCAGCCCGGACGTGCCGAAGGGTATGTTTCTGTCTTCTTTCCCCCCAGCCAATGGCATTCTGTAGTCGCTTTTGGGTGAAATCGGATTAAGGTTGGCCGAGCATGTTCCTTTGGCTTGTGGCACCAACAGTTGGCGCGCCACGCCGCTGAAGATCCGGTTGGCTGCCGGCGAACGAATAAACTTCCATCGATGCTTTCTCTTCTTTTCCACTATTTTCCTTTCGATTTCCCAAGAGCCATACGGAGATATTAGGATTGCGTTTGCATGCGCGCGTGGGCGTGCCTGCAGCTGCTCCTTTTTTTTTTTTTATCATCCTCGCGTGGACTGCTGTACGAGGTTGTACAGATACTGCATGCACGCTGTCGGGTGTGGCTGCAGCGCAAGCATCCCCTGACTGGCGTTATCGTGGGCGTCTGTTGGATCCTCTCTCCTTGCATTCCCGAGATTGTCTTGCCGATTTTCTTTTCCAAACTTCCGATGTGAGCTGACACGCACTCTCTTCCGCAGAGGCTTTCGCAGACAAGACGATCCTGGTCACGTTCAACGGGCTGCCCAAGTCGTTGGAGGATGCACCTAAGCTGAAGTGGCTGCATCTGCTTAGTGCTGGGAGTAACCATATTCAGAAGCATCCCATCTACACCGACTCGGATATCACAATCACCACCAGCAGCGGCATCCATGGGCCCCAGGTAAGTTTCTTTGCTCTTCCTGAGATGGCAATTCTGACGCATAACTACCGTTGCTTAGATTGCCGAGTGGGTCCTGCTGACCACGCTCGTCCGCACCCACTTCTACAACGACCTGCATGACGCGCAGAAAGAGCACAAATGGGCCAAATACTCGTCTTCCCAGACCGTCCACGACCTCGTCGGCCAGCGCCTCGGCGTCCTAGGATACGGCAGCATCGGCAGGCAAGGTAAGCAGTCCTCACAAAAGAAACCTTCCTATCCTCTCTCTCTCTCTCTCTCTCCCTCGCGACTAACATCATCAAAACCCCAGTCGCCCGCGTCGCCCAAGCCATGGGCATGACCGTCCTCGCCTACACGGCGACGCCCAAGGACACGCCCGAGTCGCGGCGCGACCACGGCTTCATCGTGCCCGGCACCGGCGACGCCGACGGCTCCATCCCCGCGGCGTGGTACTCGGGGCTGGACAAGGCGTCGCTGCGCCGCTTCCTCGCCCAGGACATCGACATCCTGCTCGTCTCGGTCCCGCTGACCGACCAGACCCGCGGCTTCCTCAGCACCGAGGAGTTCGACACGCTGGCCGCCGGCAGCAGCAGCAGCAATGGCAGCATTGACGAGGCCAAGCCGTGGCGCGATCCCGCCAAGGGCGGCAAGGGCCCCGTCCTGGTCAACATCTCGCGCGGCCAGATCGTCGATCAGCCGGCCCTGGTGCGCGCGCTGCACGACGGCGTGCTCGGCGGCGCGGCCCTCGACGTGACGGACCCGGAGCCGCTGCCCGCCGACGACCCCTTGTGGAGTGCGCCCAACGTGACCATCACGCCGCACATCAGTGGCAATGGCGCAAGCTACACGGATCGGAGCTTGCAGATCCTGGAAGAGAACTTGGCCCGGAAGGAGCGCGGCGAGAAGTTGCTGAATGTCGTGGATAAGAAGAGAGGTTACTAGATCAGATTGGCCTGGGAGTAAGATGATTGTTCTGTGTAAGTATCTGCTTTGTCAAAGTTGGAGTTCAATGCTGGTCTCTGTGCCGTTCATTCTTTCACCGCACGGAGCACTTTGTTTAGAGGCTTTGGATGTTTATGGTGTTTACGTATCTGAAATTCAATCTTTGATAGAGTACCTTGAACATAGTCGAGTTGCTTTGATGGTAACGAACACGGGCAGGTCGTCATGAGACCCTGGGTAGCATTGAGACGGGATCTGATCAGCTTGTTACCAAATAAGTAGTCAGGCGGCCCACACTCCCGGCGAACCGCCGGTTAAATAGGTGTAACCAAAGATGTTATACCCATGCAGTGTGTATAACCATTGAATGGGTCCGAGATCAACTCGGAAAATATTTGAATTCCGTAATGATACATTTTTCGCCCTCCGTTCTTGTGAAGCTCTTGCGCAGACACGTGAGATGGCCGCGCAAGATGTCTGCCTTTTCGAAAACGCCCGGCGCTCTGCAGGAAGCCATGCCCCGATATGCTAGCGGAACAGACGGCTAACCATGTTACTCGCAATGCTCTTTGCAATCCCACCCGAGTACAGTGCATTTCCAGCAAAGTTGGTGGCCTGGCTGAACTTGTCGCACCGCGAGAAAGCCAGCGTGTTCGTGATGGTGAGAATGAGGGCGATAACTGGCAGCATGTCAGCGGATGTATTCCAAGCCAACAAAACGTGTACTCACCAACCAAAGTCAACCAGATAAATTCGAACTTGATGATGGCAACGATGGCCAGTGCGATCCACAAGGCTGGCTGGACGTACAGACTCAGCCAGAAAAAGCGCTTGTCGGTCGCGCTGATCTGACGAGTCTCGGGGTCAGCGCTCTCAAAGACCCAACGGCCGTCGCCCGTGGTCTCGTCGACCTCGTTCCACCACCGCAGTCCCACCAGTCGGCGCCCGGCAATGTTCTTCAGGTAGTAGAAGTCGGCGGCAAGGAGGATGATGGTGATGATGAAGACAAGGACACTGTGCCGTGGTCGTCAGCGTGATTTCAGGGCGGTCGCTGCGGGTACGGCAGGCGGAGGGAAATCCGGGAGTCACGCGAAATAGGGCTTACAAGTTCTTGGTGAACCACATTCCCAGAATGTAAACGAGTGGGCTTGCTGGAAGGTGTCAGTGAGTGGCAGCCTGCTGGGGGGAAAATGGAGCTCACCAATGCGGAAAGCGAGGAAGGAGAGGAGGGTGATGGGGTGGCTGCTCAGGCGCCAGTTAAGGTCGCCCTGCTGCGGCGGGGGCTGGTTCTCCATGGCTGCGTTGTAGCTATTCAAGACGGTGGTGAGGATAGCGAAGCTACCACCTTGCGCGTTCGCAGGCCGCGTCGGCGTTTCAGAGCTCGGTGCCGCCGACGCCCGCCCGCCGGAGGTGACGTACGCGGGGAAAGCTCCATGCCCGAGGATAGCTTCGCCGCTATTTATTATTTTGCAATTGAGCTGCGTCTTCTTCTCCATCGTAATCGCACAACTCTGCTCGGTTCGAATTCACAATGGCGGCACCCATCATCCGCCGCGCACTCTTATACGGTACATGCATTGCCTCGCAGCAGCCCGGTAGCTCTGACATCTGGCAGTTCCTGGCTCGTCCCAGAAGATGCTCGACAAGTCGCGCGGCATAGCTAGCGTTGACACTGTCGCATACGACCTCGAGGATTCGGTGACGCCCGGCAAGAAAGCAGAGGCACGCGCCAATCTCCGCCAGCTGCTTGACCAGCCCCGTGTGCCTGGCATTCGCGAGCAAGCCGTGCGCATCAACTCTGTCGACAGTGGATATGCTTTGGATGACTTGACCGAAGTGGTACTGACCCTGTTTGATCACTTGTAATCTTTGCCTCAGAGAACATATCGTAACTGTTGCTTTCCCTCTCCTACAGCTCAAGGGTCCCAACCTCGACGCCCTGGTCATTCCCAAAGTCAACTCCGCCTCCGACCTCCACTTCGTCACCGACGTAATCCGACACACGCTCCCACAGCGCCACCCCTCCACTCCTTCTTCCCAAGAGCAACAACAAGAACCACTGCGCCTCATCGCCCTCATCGAATCTGCCAAAGCCCTCATGGACCTCCCCTCCATCTGCCAATCGACGCCCTACCTCTCCGGCCTCATCTTCGCCGCCGAAGACTTCGCCCTCGATCTCTCGCTCACGCGAACACCTTCCCTCCGCGAATTCCTCTACGCCCGCTCCGCCATCGTCACCGCAGCACGTGCTTACAACTTGCCGTCCGCTATCGACCTCGTGTGCACCTCCTTCCGTGGCGACGAAGGACTAAAGGCCCTGCAAGAGGAGTGTGCTGACGGGAAGAAGCTGGGGTTTAACGGGAAGCAGCTGATCCACCCTAGCCAGGTAGACGTCGCGCAGAGAGCTTTTGCGCCAGGCCAGGAAGAGACGGACTGGGCCATGAGAGTGGTGGTGGCCGACGAGAAAGCCGATAGGGCGGGGAGGGGCGCATGGACGCTAGATGGGAAGATGATCGATAAGCCGGTGGTGGGGAAGGCCCGGGCAGTGGTGAAGAAGGCTGAGTTGTGTGGGGTCGATGTCGGGACGTTGAGGGAGAAGTGGAAGGGGCAGGAGCCGGAGTGATCTTGTAACTGTGCTGACCTTCATAGCCACATGCCTGCGTCATTGGCATTTCAAAAAGAGAGGAATTGAATTTTAATTGACTGCCAATATCCGGGCCGAAGGTTCTGACCTTATGGTCGTAAGGTCAAATGTGTATAGTGATCCAACTGTAACTACACTTTTACTGATGGAAGTGATTCCAAGAGACAGTTCTATAAATCCAAAATCCAGTAGTGTACAAGCAGGTAGAGTACAAACGTAACAGATATGAACAGCACTATATGCAGAAGGAGAGTTCCCCCGCACTTACACCCCCACACCTCCCGCCAACCTCACCCCATCCGCCCACGCCACCGCGCCACCGGTGTGACCATCGAACTTCATCCACATGAACGAGTCCCGTTTCGTTTCCCGTACACTTCTTCGCCCTTGGTCCGCCCCAACATCCACCGATGTGTGCTCGCCTCCTTCGAAGAACAACGAGTCCAGTGCCATCAAGCTCCTCGTCCATGTCTCGCGCCTGCTTTTCTTTCGATGTCTGGTTTGGTTGCTGTCAGCGTCCTTGGGCTGGAGGGCGCTGCTTGTGTCGCTGGCACACGTTGTGGCCGGCGTGGAGGGCCCGAAAGACGACGGGCAGGAAGCGGACGAGGATGAAGCGAGGGTGCAGGTGCTCGCTGTCGAAGAAGAGGCAAGAGGCGGCGGACGAGACGAGCGCCACGGCGACGAAGGGGGCGTCAGTGACGAGGGACCCGGGGCGGAAGTGGGCCGGGCGAGTAAACTGGGGTCGGTGACGATGCGGGCTGGTGGGAGGAGTTCGATGGCTTCTTCCTCCTCCTCGTCGTCGGTGGGAAGAAGAGGATCGTAGCCGGAATGGCTTTGACGGTGATGATGATTGTTGCAGGATACGGCTCTGCCTTTGCCCTTGCTGCTGCCACGAGGGAGGACACGCCGTTTGAGTGGCCGTAAGAGAGCGCGGAGATGGTAGAGAGTCGCGTGCCGCATGGTGTGCGTTCTGGGGTGTTCTTTGAAGAGGTGGGAGGACGTTGTATTACTAGGTGGTTGGGAGGGGCTGATAAAGGCGTGAAGCCAACTAAAAGAAGGGATGAAGCGTGGAATGCGTCTTAACGATAACCACTCCACATGCTTCTGGGTCTGGTGAAAAAGAGCGAAGTGTTGGCTGAGGGGATCCAGCCGAAAAGAAGAGATGATCACTCACTCCCTATGTACTGTTGCGCAGTACTCCCTGCAATACTTCGCTTTCCCCTCGGCGTTTCGAATCAATTGGAGATCTAGCATCACGCCTCGGGAAGAAGAAGGTACAGATAGTTGGAAACATCCTAGTGCAACGAAAGGTTGCGTAATTGGTGTAGATGCATCTTTTAGATCTGATCACGCAGACGATAGAGGGAAGGGATTGGCCCAGAGTGCGGATAAGGCGTTCAGGTTATGGTAGTAGGTCGCACGTCTGGCTGCAGAGCTTGCTCAACCTCAGACAGCAGGCCGAAGTCAAACAGGAGGGAGGACAAGAAAAGCAATGGTAGGCACAGGGAGGTAGGTAGAGATCTGCGACCAGGCAGGGAAGATGCTCGGGTGATGCGCGCCGTCTAAAGCAAAAACAAGGTTAAATCGAAGATCTACCACGCATTGGGCCTTGAAGCACTATCGAAAAGCTTTCGCATGGCAAGAAACCGAGGTAACGGTAGAGACGTAAAACATCCGAGTTTTTTTTTTTGACAGACTGATCTGGAGGCGCTTTTTGCCGACCTAGAGCAGACGGGGGCGGGCGTTACCAACACGGTGGCCATAATTAACTCCAGCTGCCTACCAGCCTAGGCATTGCTGTGGCTGGACATACACGATGGTGGTCTAGCCTCGGGAACTTTCATGTCGCAAGTATGAAACGGGAAGGGGAGCGCGGCGTGCGACCTGACCACCGCTCGTACTGGCGCGGGCTGACTTCGGAGAGATGGAGCGAGCCGCACGGTCAGCTGCAGGTGTAGCAGGGCGCACAAGCAGGGAGGGTGCAGATGCGGTGCTGTCAGGGCGATTGAAGACCTGACGCTCCCCGCGGCGCCCGACTCGGACCCGGCGACCCTGAACTGCCGGCGCGCGCTACTCCGAGCGATCCGGCGCCTAGTATGACGTGGAGAGCTCGACCTGGGCGCTGCTTACCAAAGAGCCTAGCCAGCAGCTCCTCCAAGCCTGAAGACGCCCAAGACTCCACCACCCTCCTTCTTGCGCTCCAGGACACCAGCCCTCATCAATGGCCGCATAACCGACCTCTCCGCATCGATCCCACCGCTCGCCACGTCTCCTCCGCGGACGCAGTGGTCTTCGCCTGACTCTCTTCGATATATCTGCTGCCTGCAGCCGTCAGCAGCCCGGCCTGAAACTTCCTCCTTTCCTTCAGCCATGACCAGGACCTCCGCCGACTACGATGCACGAGCGCTGGCGCTCCCCGTCGACCTGCCGCCGGAAGAGCAAAGACGCACCTCGCTCAACACCCAGGCCCAGCCCGCATGGCGTCGCCGTTCCTCGTCGCTGGCATCGAGCGCCGGCCGCAGGCGGAGTGGAGGAACTCTCTGGCGCATGCGGAACAACGCCGCTAAGCTGCAACGCCATGGCCTGAAGCTGTACAAACGCCTAACTCCGCTGCAGCGCGTGCTGCTGGTGCTGGCTGGCCTTATCTCCTTCGTTCTGGGCATTCTCTTCCTGGTCTACAACGAGCACATCTTCAAGTACTGGCTGGCTCCCGTGGCCAAGAAGTGGCGCGACATCCCCGCCGGCTGGCTTATCCTGTGGTCCATGACCTTTGTCGTCAGCTTCCCTCCGCTCATCGGCTACTCGACCTGCGTGACGCTGGCAGGCTTCGTCTACGGCTTTCCTAATGGGTTCGTTGTCCCTTAATTTTTTTTTTCGCGGTAAGAAAATGGAACAAATACTGATCCACCCCTCTCCAGCTGGTTCATCGTCGCCTCGGCCACCGTTATTGGCAGCACTGCCTCCTTCCTGGCCACGCGCATGGTCATGCACCGCTTCGTATCACGCCTCATAGCGAACGACCCGCGCTTTGCCGCCCTCGCGCTAACCCTCAAGCATGACGGCATCAAGCTTCTCATTATGATCCGCCTCTGCCCGCTCCCCTACTCCCTTTCCAACGGCGCCATTGCCACATTCCCCACCGTGCACTGGGCCGCCTTCATGCTCGCAGGCGCCATCGCGTCTCCTAAACTGCTCCTGCACGTCTTCGTCGGCGCCAAGATTGGCGAGTTGGCCGAGAAGGGCGAGCAGATGGACGGCAAGACCAAGGCCATCTCCTACGTTTCCATCATCATCGGCCTCGTCGCCGGCGCCGTCACCGGCTACATCATGTACTCGCAGACGAAGAAGCGCGCCGCCGAGCTCGAGCAGCAGGAGCGCGAGGGCGCCCGTCACCGCACCGCCGACGAGATTGCCCGTGAGTACTCGGATGATCCAGAGGCTGGCCTGGCCGCCGAGGTCCTGCGCGAGGAAGAGGACGACATTAGTCTGCACAACGACGTCGCGGATCTGGGTGGTCATTATAGGGACGAGAGCCCGAGTGGGGAGAGCGAGGAGGAAGGCTATGACGATGATGCGCCGGATGTGGTTTTTGATGTTGGAGATGGAGAGTCGACGGAAGAGGATAGGAAATGAGTGAAAATAAAACACTCAAAGGGTGAACAGGTGATGGTGGAATAGATCTTCCCCTACTCGTCAATGCCTTTTATTTTTCTGTATCTTCTCATTCCTTCATCCACATGGGCGGCGTTTGGAGTAACACAGAGCATTGAAGGGATACGGGGAATCAAGACGACGAGATCCGGGCTCGGGCTCTGTCCATTTCATGGGTGGCTTCTTTTTTGTATGACCGTCTACGACTGGAAGCTTGTTAGATGGAAGGTGTTTGTTGGATAGAGAAAAAAAATCCAAGAAAGATTTTCTTTCTCCGCGTCGAACTTGCTCGCTCCCTTCCCGCCATATCTTACGGGTAAGCAGTTCTCCATGCATGCTTGAAGCAATTCCCTCATCCACGCGCTCTTCGGGGTATCTCAAACTTTAGCTCCCAAAAAGAAAAGAATAATCCAAACACAACGAAGTCCAATTTAAGCCCAATCCTCAAAGCCCTCCCCATCATCCTCTTCGTCCTGCTGCTTGTGACTCTCTCCTTCCACCACCCCAGCCGAAGCACCAGAAGTCGCCATGGCCATGGCCATCCTTACTTGCTCCCTCAACCCTTGCAGCTCCGCCGCCGGACCGCCACCACTGCCGCCTTGCTGTTGCTTGAACACCGCGTGCAGCGCTAGCAGGTCGCGCGCCCGCTGCAGGTCCGGGTCGTCGGAGTCATCGGATGAGTCTTTGGTTTCGTTGGCGTCGCCAGCGGCAGTCTTCGTCTCGTCCGCGGAGGATGTAGTTGGGCCAGTCGTCGTCGTCGTGACGGAGACGAGGGCGAGGGCGGCGGCGGGGTCCTTGTGGTTTTCGCTCTCGTCAGTCGTTTTTTTTTTGGGGGGGTAAAGATTCGTGAGCGTTTTGGAAAAGTCGGAAGGGGACGCTTACGCAGACGCGAAGGGAGGTTAGGTCGGAGAGGACTTCGGCGATTTGCATGGCTCCGTTACTCCGTCTGGCTGGCGCGTTCTCCCTTTTACTACGACGGTCGAGGGCTACGGGGACTGCGCTAAGGGCGAACTTGGGAGTTTGTACTGATGTCTGCGGTGGTCGGCGGTCAGTGGTCGGCGGCCGGCAGTCGGTGATGTTGATGAGGTGTGATGATCGGCAGCGGGGTGCGTGCGGGAGCTCTTTTTTTTATCGCGGAGCTTGTTGCGTCATTGCTACCTTGACTCGCGTGAAATACTCGCAAATTCATAACTACTCCCTTGCATTAAGGAGAGAAGATTCATCTTATAGCCTGTCTGATTATCCGTAAGACTGCGAGGTCGACTGCAAGTCAACCCACCGTTGCGCGGAAGGTATAACCATTCATTCTTAGGTGAGAATAGGCTACCTACGCTATTTGATATAGGTAAAAGGGTAACAAAGACCACTGGACAGAGAAAAGTTGGCTCCTTAATGAGTAGGCACGGCTTAGGGGGCACAAGCCCGTATCTTTCCCCTTCCCTATGCTTTGGCAGGGCGGCCACATGCACAGCTGTGTGTTTGCTAATTGCATTTCATCTGAATTGCTTGCTCGTCCATCCATCCACCCGATGGCTGGCGTGAAGCATGTATACGTGCACCAAAGGTGATTTCTAACAATGCAAAGAAAACTCCGACACCGCCTCTTCCAGCCTCCATTTTCACTCTCATTATCTTCCCATTCAATCACCCAACCCTGTCCCAGTCCGTCCAAACCTGCCGAAACTGCCCACGTCTCTCCTGAAAAACTTGCCAATATTCTTCAAATTCTCGTTCAAATTTGCCACAGCCGGCCCGCCAGCAACCAAGCCCTCACCACCCAAGCCTTGTCCCTGCGCTGCTCCGCCGCCCAATCCCCTCTCCGCCGCCGCCATAGCCGGTATGACGTTGCCCGCTCCCACCGGTCCACTGCCGAACCGATCGACACCGTCTCTGGCTGCGTTCATGATGCCTGACGCAAACGTCGCCGGGTCAACGAGGAAGCGGCTACCCACTCCCTGGCCGCCGCCGCCCAACCCGCCGATGCCAGCGAGTGGTCCCATGCCAACGCCACCCGCTGACGAGCCAGAGGAGCCGATCGAGGGCGTGCCAGAGCCGATAGACAGCGGTGTGAGGAGCGCGCCCTGCAGCGGTAGTTGAGCGTGCGACGGTGACTGCCGGTGGGCATTGAAGAGGTCGACGAGCGCCGCCTGCTCGGATTTGCGGATGCCCTTGAGGTCGAGGATCTTGCGGAAGTTCGTGTCGGAACGGTCGGCTATGTGGATCAGGTAGGCTTGAACGAGGGCTTCCGGGGGGGAGGGCCGGACTTGGAGGGTTTTGAGGAGAGGGTCGAGCTTGGCCATGGATTGGGTCACACGCTTGACGAAGCTAGAAAATGTGTCAATAAATAGATAGCCCACTGAACGAGCGATGTGGTGTTCAAACTTACGCTGCTGGAGGTTGTGCTCCTGGATCCTCGCTGTTAATTATTGAGAGCTCCGTGAAGCCCTTTTTCAACACATAGGAGTCCAGGAGCATTTGTTCGGCACCGACTTCAGAGACCGGCCGGCACTGGAAGATGCTGAGGATGTAGGTATTGACCATTGAATCGACGAGGTTGTCGCAAAAGGCCCGCGCGTACTGCTGCTTATGCAGGTACTTGAGAATTTCGGCCGCCCTCTCTTTGATATGATGGAGTAGCTCCCCCACATAGGTCGACTGATCACCAACGCTCTCTAGCTTGCTCCATGGCGTATTCCGCATTTCCCTCCATCCTTGCTCGCAGTCAACCTCTACTTTGCGGACGAGTGCTCGGACAGATGCGCTTGCGATTCCCATGAAGGCGTCTGCCTGGCTTTGGAGATCGACCTTTTCCTTGTGCTCGTCATCAATCTTACTCTTGATCTTCTGCTCCAGCTGGTCACAAGTCGAGTAACAATAGTCGGCCGTGTTGAGAATTAAAATCATGTCTTCAATCGAAGTCTTCTCAGCAAGAAAGTAGAACAGCACTTGCTGGCCATATGCATCCAGATAACGGGAAAACGTTCTGGATAACTCCAGTAATCTGACGCCTGTGGACAGCTTCGCGCATTGTGCGAGTGCTGTCCGATAGAAATGGAAGAGTTCTGTGGAAGACGGGATGACGGACTGCGGCGAAAACTCGTCATCGGCATTACGCAGGGGCTGCTGCCTGTACCTTGGTATTAGTGTAGCAAGTTGTCTATCCTGAGACTCGACCCAGAGACTCATGTATGGCTCGAATGCTTCGGAGATAGCCTGACGGAAAGATGTCCCGTTGTCTTCTCTTGATATGATGGTATCCATAGACGACCGCGACTCGTTGGAGAAGCGCCGCTCAAGACCATTCTCGAAATCCAGTGTCTCCTGAAGACAAGACAGTAACAGGTCCACGTCCAGAGATTGGCCTTTCTGTCTCATGGTTCGCTGCAGTATTCCCTTGAAATCGTCTCTCGTCCCCTCGCAGAAGGCATTTGCCAGCATTTCATTGACCCTCCAGTGGGGCGGAAAGAGCACGGCGTGCTCGCTGTCGTACGTCTTCAACATGCGGTTGAACCACGAGTATCTCCTCGAGATGTTGTCTAGCGAGCCAGCCTCGTCATTATTGCGGAAGACCTGGCGGTACTCGCGCAGCTGGGTATTGCAGTACCAGTTGACGAGACGTGTGCGGGCGTGTTCGCCGAGGGCATCCATGACCATGCAGCCCTCGGCCAGCATGCCGCGACGCTGCGCAACCTCGCTCTTGGCGAAGGTAACCTCAAAGTCTTCGCATATCTGTTCCAGCAGCTCGCGCTGCAGGTCGGCGACGTTGCGGCTGAGGGTGGCGATCTGGTCGATGGAGCGGTACGACTTGAAGTGGGCGACTAGCTGGATGACAGCCTGCAGCAGCTGGGCGCACTCGCGGTACTGGCGGGTCTTGCTGAGGCCGCGCAGCTGCTCGTAAGCGGTGGTCAGCATCTGCAGGCGCTTGAGCGCCGTCATGGACAGGGTCAGGTTGCGCTTGGTGTTGTCGAGGCGCTTGATGTCGGCCGTCATGTCGGTGATGGCCTGCTCGGTGCGCACGGCGCGGTCGCGCACATCCTCGATGCGCTTGAACAGCTCGTCTAGCTCCTGCTTCGCATTCTGGATGTTGCGCACGCTCTCGGCGTCCGAGAGGCTCTGCTCGCCGACAACCTCGGCGATGTCCTCGTCCAGGTCATATTCGTAGTTGCGTAGAGCCTGTGAGGTGTCGTGGATGGAGGCGAGGGTGCAGGGGTGGGAGAAGATCTGGTTGAGGTGGTCGACGGGATTGTAGTCGGCTGGCAGCTGGATCAGAAGGGCTCAGTTCGCGGAGGACGTGGGGCGGATGGCTACCGGAGTCCAACGACGCTGACGTTGCTGCAGTCGCCGACATGAAGTCAGTCTACGATCGCATTGACCCAACGTAGAAACTCGCGGACCTTGTGGCGATCAGGCGGGGGCTTCTGGGCTCGTGCGACTGGGTTTGCCCTGCGTTGGGGTGCTACCGTGGTTTCTTCGAGGCTGGCGTTGCGGGAGTGCAGTGAATTCCGGGGTTGCTTGGAGCTGGAGCAGGGGACGCGCGCTAGCCACGTCCAAGCTCCCCGATTGCGGCGCCCTTCTCCTTATCACTCACTTTCCCAGTCAAGAATCAGACGTCCATCCAACTCGCTTGTCGGGAGCCTGCCCGAGGACCATTCGTCTATCTACCATACTCTTTACAGATACGCAGCCGTTCCGCATTAGAAAAGCAAAACCAAATCTGGCTCCAAAACCGCCGTTCCCATGCGGGTATTATCCAGAAGTTCAGAAATCCGCTATAAGGCCAGAAATATGCCCCCGAAAGAGATGCGCAGTAATGTTAGCCAAACCCAGCCCCGGTTCTTCGCCCCCAGGAGTATCAGCCTTAGTTGTGCATCCCCACGTACCCATTCCACACCAAACTGCTTTGGTTGTCTTCCTTGTCGCCCGTACCTGTCCAGTAGAACAAGCCCGCCAGGCGACTCTGCTTCACGTACTCGGCCTTCATGCGCACTGTCTGCGCGTTGTCATACGTGACAAACCCACCATCACCGCCCATGCAGAATGCCGAGCCTGTTTGGTCATCGACGTACTCCTTGGCATCGGGGCGCGGCAGGTCTCTATACTCGAACGTGCCCTCCTCGCCCGCATGCCCGTCGTACGAATGGCCCACGCCGCGCGTACCCGTGAAAGAGCGGCCATACGCGGGAACGCCAAGTAGAATCTTGTGCGTCGGGACGCCACGGGAGGCGAGGTAATTGACAGCGCTGTGGCACGAGAGCTGGCAGTGCTGGTTATGCGGTCTGCGCGGAGACCACAGTTGCGCGTGATGCTCTGTGCTGGGCACCCAGGGCCCGGAGAAGTCGTAGGTCATGACGTTGATTAGATCCAGGTAGTACGCCGCCTGCGCCAGGTTGATGTGCTGCAAGCACCACTCTCCGCACCCCACGGCCGAGGTCAGTGTGTACTGTGGCGCCGGGAGGTACGCACGGAGGGTGGCGAGCAGGCGAATGTAGTCGGCGCCTTGTTGGCTGTTGCTCGGATGCTCCCAGTCGACTAAACAGTGAGATCAGACAAGCAGAACAGACGTAATGTTGCACTCAGAATTATATCAAGGCAGGCTTCTGAAGGAGGCGGAACGATGGGAAAGGGAAAGCTCAACTTACTGTCGATGCCGTCAAGACCGTAGTCCATGACCAGCTGTTTTGCAGTCTGGGCAAACCGCTCGCGGGTCTCATCGGTGCTCGCGGCAGCGGGGAAGGGCGCGCTGGCAGCACCGCCGCCGCCAACGGACAGAACAACCCTCAGGACAGTGTACTTTTTCTTGAGCTCGACAAATGAACGCAGGCAGCCCTTGGTGCCATCGACGTCCATTTGATCATCGGCCCACTCGTCGCTCAAAAAAACAGAGCCATCCTCCTTGACGTGAGCAAAGGCATAGAAGGCGTGAGAGATGACGTCGAACTTAAGCGACGACGGCGGGCGGCCCTTGTAGATGTGCCAATTGGGGTAGTAGACGCCATTGAAGAACATGTTGACCGAAGGCGAGTCGAAGAAGGAGCTGGAGAAGTCGTTGAACCTGGTTGCGGACTGGTCGTGGTCAGCCGGCAGGAGGCGGCGGTTAGGCGGCGGCCTGGGGCCGAAGGTCGAGATGCTAAGCATGCTCGATATGGCTTAGTCCGGGCTTGCTCGGCGGAACGGCACGCGTTACGGACGCTTTCACGGCTGGGTCGGCTGTCTGTGCGAACTGAGGGAAGCGGATGAGACGGGACGGCAGCTTTGGGTCCCAAGCTCATCATAAGAGCGCGCCCCTGTGGGGAGCAAAAAGCGCGCGACGGTAACGGAGGCGATCGTCTGTCTAGCACTCTGGCACTCGCGTTAGCTCCGGGTGCCGTGGCGCAGGCCTCGGACTGTATTTTTGGCGGGATTATGCGAGACATCAAGCTAGACCTGGCGCTACTTACGCAACTTGCATTGCCAATCGCAGCTTGTACACAGGCATAAAGCAGGTTTTGCGGGCCCTGGTAGGTGGGTTCGCTCCTTACAACTCCACGGCACGCTTCCGAGCTGGAGCTGAGAACTAGGCAGGCAGGGTCCGGCGCTCCGTCTCCACCTGAACCGGGAGCAGCAGCTATCGTTGGCGATGATATGACCAGTAAGGTTACGACGGCTCCCCGGCTGCTGTCGCCAATGCCTACTGGGGCGCTGGGGCGCACCCACCAGAGCAAGTGTGGTGCTGTGATGGCTTAGGCTGGCACGCACAGGACGGGCCACCGACGAGCCCCGGCCAAGCGGGAGCTCAGCGCAGCGATGACCTGCACACGGCCGGGGAAGCCAGCCCCGATATCACCATGATGCGTTGAGCCAATGGCGCAGCGACAAACGCGCACAGGAGCTAAATCCGGCAGATCTGATTTGAAACTCGGAGATCTACCTGAGTGGAGTATTGCTCCTCAGCGGAACGGAGCTATCTGCCCCCATCCAGCACGTATCGAATGGACTATTTGTGCAATGAGTACTAAGCCGAGATGGCGCGATATGATTTGCCTTTCTAGACGGACCTCGGAACTGTTAGCCGCAATGGCTTGCTCGTAGACCAGTGGCGGCGGCGCTGTTGGAATGCTAGTGAGAACGTTGCGAGTAGTGTCCCTGGCTGATTGGATTGCCATGCGAGGGAGATGCCAGAAGCAGGCGACCGATCTGCGCCGGAACTGCCGCGGGCGCGTCTACATGCAGACCACGAGGACTCAATGGCCGGCCGGCAGAAGGATTCCCGCAGTGCGAACGAAGGAAGAAAGCGCGTCTGACCTCTCCATGGCTTGGGCGCCGTGCTGGTGGCGACACGTGCCGCGCGGGTCCTGTGCGACAGCGCGCGGCCGGCGTTTAGCCTTGCCCTCTTAGCTATCCAGCTCTGCAGATCACCGCCGCACCTCTAAGCAAACAACACACCCTCTCTCCGTCCTTCGAGCACACCGGCCCTTCAGCCCCCGCTGCCACCTCATGGCCGTCGAGCTCCAGCAGCAGCCCGCCGGTGGGCCTCCCACGGCACCCGCCGTCGCCGCCGCCGCCACAACCACCACCTTGCCGCTTGCCCAGCGCATCCTGCAGCCCGACAACCAGCCGCATTTCAACTTCAGCTTCAACGACTTCCTCAAGCGCGAATATCGTTTCGGCCTCGACCCCAGCCGGCCCATCTGCAATGCCTTCAAGCAGGGCCACTGCCCGCTCGGCAACGCCTGTCCAGACAAACACCCTACATCGTCCGCTTTCAACAAGTACGTATTAACATCAGCCTTCGCCACCCACACATACGAAGACTAACTTTCTACCCAAACAACAGCTCCTTCCACGGCAGCCTCGTCTGCAAGCACTGGCTCCGCGGCCTTTGCAAAAAAGGCGAAGCCTGCGAGTTCCTTCACGAATACAACCTGCGACGGATGCCCGAATGCAACCACTACTCCCGACACCTGACCTGCTCCAACGGCGACGACTGCCTCTACCTGCACATCGACCCCGAGTCCAAACGCCCTCCCTGCCCCCACTACGACCGCGGCTTCTGCCCCCTCGGACCCCGCTGCGCTAAGAAGCACGTCCGAAAAGACCGCATCTGCCGTTATTATCTCGCCGGCTTCTGCCCCAACGGCAAGCAGTGCCAGGAAGGCGCCCATCCCCGCTGGCAGGACGACTTGAAGAAGCCCGAAGTGCGTGCCGAGAAGACGCAGGAGGAGCTGGAGCGCGAGAGGGCACAGAGGGAGGAGGAGGCGAGGAGAGAGGAGGAGAGGGAGAGGGAGCGCTTCGAGGAAAGAAATCCAGGCATGGGCGGACCTGGGAAGTTCAGAGGTGGCTGGCAAGGGAGGAAGAAACGGAGCGGGAGGAGAGGCAGGTATTGATGTTGGCATGTTATTGTTTCGCTCGAAGGGAAAAGGATACCCATTACTGTCTGCGTTTATCTGGACGAAGGCATCTGCCAGAGGGGAAAAAGAAGCTATCATTACAACGCCTGAAGTCTTTGGGCGAATGGCGGAGATATTGCATTGAAATTTTGCAGCACGGAGTTTTGGTTTGGGCATTGGAAGTCTATGAAGTTTAGCTGCATCAATCAGCTCAAGCAGAGGAATACATATTAAATTCTCATCTCGACTCTAATCAAGTTCACTATCGACGAAAGCACGTACTCCGCGCAGGAAGGCGAGATTATGAAATGATAGAGATTTCTTTCAAGCAGTAGTCGTTGAGTGCACATGGAGTGAATCACAGCACATAGTTACGTTGCTCTGCAGCAACAGACTGACCAATTCGTCTCCAAGTTTGCTCTCCCACGTTGTTTTCCCACCCTTGTAACGTAAAACCCGCCACCTGACATTCCAGTCCTGCAATGCACCTCGGCCCTCAGATGGAGGAGTCTTCAAACAAAGTTTCATCGTCCAGATTCATAGTCACTCTATAGCGCGTGCACTGAGCTGAGATAGTCTATTTGTATTTGAATTCATGTCTTTCTAAACTGTCACCTAACCCTCGGACCCGTAGGCACGCCGCCAGCACTCGCCTGCTCAGCCTTAATGACCCTAATCTTCGTGCTCTCACCGAGCTTGTCACCAGATCTCTCTTCTTCGCCGTTACTGCTACCCACGCCACTATCGAGGCGCTCTCGCTCCAGACTACGGTCCCACGAACTGGGATCAATGCCGAGGATGCCACCGACATTGCCGCGGTCGCCCGGCACGCTGAACTCACGAAACACGTAACGCCACTCATTGAGAAACCCGCGCACAGCCTTGCCAACCTTGTCTTTGCCGTTCTTGCTGTGGTGACCAGTGCCAGTAATAGCATAGATGGGACGGGTCGAGTTTTGATGTTGCATGAGGATCTTCGAGAGATACTGCACTGACTCTTCCGGATGGAGACCTATTGACCTTTAGTATTTCAATGGCGTAGTAAATAATGAGGACTTGCGTAAGCATTGCTGAACATACCATGCAGGTCGACATAGAGCTCCTTTGCATTAGGGCTATTGTCCTTGTTGCGTTCATTGTAGAGATGCTCGGCTGCCTCGCGATGAGCTTGCCGCATAAGGTTGTTTTCACTCTGGCCTCGAAGGCTGAGGGCCTTGGCCGCGCGGGAGTCGTTGCGGTTCCATGCTTGTGCGGCACTGATCAAATTAGTACAGTCTCACTTGGAACGGCGAAAGGGATCACAAACCTTTGGAGGAACTTGTTGCGCAGGCCACCGTGTTTGAAAGCCTCCTGCCGAGCCTTGAGATATGCCTTGTTTGCAGCATCGCCGGTCTCAAGCCAAGGAATATGCTCAGGCGCAGGGATTGCCTGCGCAGCCGCACTGTTCTCTCTGCTGCCATTGAAGCTTTTTGCAGGTCTAAGGCCTTTGCGCGGCTGAGCTGGGGCAGGAGAAGGCGACATCTTGACAACATCAGCGAGCGTATTCGGGGCGCCACCCTCCTTGTTGCCATGTCCATGGCCACCACGCTTTCCGTGATGCTTCTTTCCACCCTTCGCTGCTGCTGCCGACGCAAGACTAGGGAACGCCTCGGGATCATCGGCTGCAGGAGCAGACGGGGTCGAAGCGCGTGAATGTGAGATCTGGCGGCTGCTCGACGGCCGAGAATGCGTGCGGTGGGAGCTAGGCGTGAACGTTGGGAAAGGGCTCAAGCCAGGAGGAGGGGTGGCAACGCTTCGAACACCGTAGAGTTGTTCAAGAGCAGACTGTTCAGCGTAATGACTTTGCATGGACTGGTGAGATGCCGTCTGCTGAAGAGATGGGAACGCTTCGTAATCCTGGACTTGGAAGTTTGGCTGTGTAGGAGGCGTCGCGCTTCCTTCGAGCATCATCTTGGACATCAGGCTCGTGGGGTCATGTGAGAACAGACAAGTGTCGCCGGCAAGGCAGTTCCCAGCCAGCCAGTACCTGAGCCTTGTTAGCATTACTCCAGAATGCAGTATCAACATTGCACTTACTTGCACACTGTCTTGCTCGGGTCATGGCTAAAGCGGCAATCGGCTCGAGCGCAATGGCCAGTTGTGAGCCAGTACTTGCACAGGACGTTGGTTTTGATCTGACCAGCAGGGGTTGCAGGCCTGAACGAGGGGCTCATGGACTTGCCAACCAGGAATGTCTTTTCCGGTTGGCTGACGGGCGTTGGCTGCTGAAGCGCGGCAGATTGATCCATGAGAGCCTGCACGGTAGCCGTGAAGTCATAGCCATTTTCTTCCAGTGCCTTCTCGATCTCCTCGTTCGAGCGGTTGTCACGTAGGATGGATCGGAGCATATCATAGGGATCCATGTCCATAGTGTAAGGCTGGACCCACTCGGCGGCTGCGCCGTTTAAGGAGCCATCCCCGTGGATTGACGAGGAGACACTGGCAACATCGTCGTTCACCAGCCAATCCACCGTGTCGCTGCCATAGTCGCCGTAGATTTCGGGAGTATGGCTCGGCTCGCTGAACTCGTAGGCATTCAGATTCGGACTGTGCGGGATGTGCGGCGTTGCATAGGCCATGCGCGGCGAGGGGCGCGGTGAGGTGAAGGGCGACGCGGTGGAGGACTTGGCGCGCGAGAAGCCGGGGGGCGCAACACCAAAGCCGGGCGGCGGGGCTATACGCGGCGAGGAGCTAGAAGGCGTGGGAGCTCGTGCGACCTGCCAAGGAGCTGGCGACGACCGGCGGATAATTGTATGGCGGACGGGGGGCGGCGAAGCGGACGAATTGCTGGCGCCGCGGAAGCGCCAGAGTGAGTCCAGCACGGCATCCTCGAGAGCCTTGCCGGTCAACGACGTCTTCTCGCGCACCAGCTCCTCGAGCTTCTCGGTCTTGTCCTCGTCTTCGAGCGAGTCGTCCTGAAGGACGGGCAGGCAGAGGTCGTAGATCTCGTCGGAGACCATGGCGTGGGCGCGCACGAGATGGGGTGCGTTGGGGAAGCGCCGGGATCGCGGAAGCGCGGAGGGGTATGGTCGGGAGTTGGGAGGAGGTGCTTGGGGGTGGAGTGCTGTCAGTCGGCGGCGTAAGCGCAACGGGCCCCGCCGTGAGCTGAGGCGAAGGCGGTCTAGATGAGGGAGCGACTTGGGGCGGAATGCAAAGGATGGTGGCGCCGCAACAGGCCGGAAGTGAATGGAGCGAGGCTCTGGCGCCGTCGGTGAAGTAGTTTGGAAGTTGTACGTAGCAGCCTTGCGGATAAGTGACCTGCTGTCTGGGGAAGTGGAAGGGGGCACGGGCCTGGAAGCTGACTGGCCCGCCGGCCAATGCTGCTCACCGGCGGCGATGAGAAGGAGAAATCAGGCCGAAACCGCTGCCGTCGTACCATTCGTCGCCTGCTTGCTGCCGCCGCGCTGCCTGTTCAGCAGCGTCCGCGGCGTGGCACCGCACCGCCAGCTGAGCTCTCTCGCCGCCAACGGCCAACGGGGCTGGGCTTGTGCGCCCACCCCCGAGGCCCGTGAGTGCAACTCGTCCAGTCGACGACGCGTCCCTTTGCGAGCGCAAACACGACCTGGCTGCCTTCGTACCTGCTGCTGCCTTGGGGTTTCGCACGAGCCTGATCGAATGCTACACAACGATGTCGCTTTAGGGATAACAATGATTGCTGTATCGTTTCACGTCTGGACGCATCCGTTCTGACTCGCGCGCTCAGGCACCGAAATTCTACGCTCTGACGGGACTCTGCGCCGTGATGCTGCAGAGTCAAGGAACCTCTTCGTCGTCACCACCACCAAATCCGAACGTGAATCCACCCTGGTTTTCACTTTCCGCTGCTTCGTCCCCCCTGACTAGCTCCTCCCACTTGCCCCGCCCTCTGGGTTTCCCTTTCTTCTCCAATTCCTTCATGCCCTCCTCCAAGAGTTCCGGATGCGCCTCTCCCAGCCTCTGGACGAACAGCCCATAGGGATCCGTGACCTCGTCCTTGAAACCGCTTGTCTGCTCCGCTTGGTCCCTCAAAAAACCCAAAACGTCGGCCAGCTTGGCTTGCGGGACGAAATTCTGCGTCAACGCAATGCTCTCGTCAAGATTCAAAACCAGGTGGAACCAGCCTGATGGGACATGGAGAATTTCGCCGGCGTAGCAGATTCCTTCTCGGCAGCCGGGAGTTGCGCGAGCGATTTCGTGGAAAGACAAGAGATACTCCGCAATGCTGAGTGGTGCCGTGATCTCGGACGAGTCTTCTGATAGAATGACTCCTGGCGGCGGAGGGAGGTTCGCCGACGATGGGAACATGAGCCAGTACTTAGAACCAGTCAAAACGGCATTCCACGCGCTGTCGCCGGCATCAGTCAGAGCTAGCTTGTGAGTCATAAAGGATTGCTTACCTAGTAGCATTCGGATCCTTATGGAATGTGCTTCCACTTCTTGCCGGACCCATGATCATCCACCGGCAATCCGGACGTTGATCTCCTAGCACTCCGAAGAGATCTTCGCCAAAACACGCCGGAGCCCAGTACGCAGCATCCTCCTTATCCCGGCCAACTGTGATCTTCATCTTCTCCGCGAAGCTACGATCGAAGAGATAGAGCGGACTCTCATCATTACTGTTGTTCATGTAATCAATATAAGACTTAAGCGGCCAGTCGACAGCTTCAGCACGGAACGGGACATCGGCGTAATTCTCAAGAAGGTGCTGCGTCGTCCACTTTTCAAACACGGGCCATTCTTTGACCGGCCCAGTAAGGATGAAGGGTTTACTCGTCCACTTTGTAGAAAACTCGTCATGTGTCAGATCAGTCATGCGTGGGATCGCGTTTTCGGGTGGAATCCTTGTGGTGTATGGCTTGAGCGAAGTGTATGTGCATTGAAACGGTCGGTAAAGGACGTCAGAAAACAAGCCGGAGCAGTCAATGTGAGCTTCATGAGACTCGGGCATAGAGAGGTAAGTAGAGCGCCACGAGCCGCGCCATTGGAAGTCGGTTTTCTTGGATCTACGCGTTGTTTAGCAAAATGCGGCGGTACTGGATGCTGGGCAGGAGAGTTGGTGTTTTGGATAGAGATGGCGCGCTACGAACGAACTCGGTCAACGGGGAAGGCATCAGCTGCGGTAGATACGATGACTCTTGTCTCCTTTTACAATGACTCATCCACTATGACGTGGGACAGATATCTGTTCGCGAGCTGTTGGGATCACCTTTCGTGCGCGTGGTCTAGAGGCGCAAGGTCGCCCAAGAGAATAAAAGAAAGAAAAAGGCCTTTATCCAGTACTCTGAGAAGCCAGAATTGACTAGGATGTGCGTAATGGAAAGAGAAGGGGATATGAAATCTGCATGGTGTGCTGACGGCGTCGTGAAAGGAAGTGCTCAGTGCGCATGAAGGAGTAGGGGCAGTGAAGGAGACGATGCTACGCGAGACTTACTCTGTGAACAAAGCCCTCCACAACTCATCAAATCTTGTGAATGCATACAAGGCCTTACATGTGCCTCCCAGACGAAGCAGGGCGGGCGCATCCAAACATTCAAGAAATTGCGCCAAGAGCTCGTCTGGGAGGATGGAAAAATACCCTGCTTTGGCTTTCAGATTGGCATTTGCTGTCAGAGCATTGCCCGCTGGCTTAATGCCGAGCGGGTGCGGGGGGATGACAGCGGGCTCTTCGTCGCTGCTCGGGTCTAGCGCATCAAGGCGCAGCCTTTTTGCTGGCCTCGCCAATTCAGTGGCGGCAGCTGCATAGCCGTCGACGGGCACGGCGGAGGGCGCCATTGTTCGTCAGGTGAATGGGTTGCGCTGAAAGCGGGCGAAGGATATTTTTTCGGTGTGCAACCACCCCTGGCAAGGCGCAGCGGCAACGACACCGAGAGGGTGGCGAGAGCGCAACGCAGCGGGCGGCAATTTCTGATGACTGGTTCGGGCGCCTTTGCAAAAAGCCTGCAGGCGACTGAGTAAGCTGCTAGGCGTGAACCTTGGGCCTGGCACACGCGCAAACGTTGCCGCATGCCCTCCGCGCTAGCGCCTCGCTAATTGGCTGCCCGCCTCTCTACAAAAACTTTTAACGACTGTCCGCCCGCCCTCCTCCACCGTCCATCAAACACACACATCCAAACACACGAACAACCCCTAGATATCCCTACGACTCTCGCCATCGAGAGTCCGGTATCTAGTTTTCAACGTCACACGAGTTTCGCACGACCGCGGCCCCTTGCGCCCGTCCCTACGCTCGCGTAGCCCCACCAAACGACTTTTCGATCACAGCGCAGCGCCTGTGATCCCCCAACACCGACCGCAAACATGGCTGACAAGGGTCTTGAGGAGGTTCCTGAGGGTATGTCCATCCTGGCGAGCGTCCCACGGGCATGCGCTCGTGGCTGCGCACCACCGCCGCACGTCCGCTTGGTTATGGTTACGCATACTTACGGTCGCCACGTCTGCAGGTCAGATCGAGTCCAACTACGATGAGACCACCGACTCGTTCGATGCGATGAACCTCAAGGCGGAGCTCCTCCGCGGTGTTTACGCGTACGGTTTCGAGCGTCCCTCTGCTATCCAGCAGCGCGCCATCATGCCCGTCATTAAGGGTGAGGTACCCCGCAGCACGACCCTCTAGGGCGCCAGACTGATAAAAACCAGGCCACGACGTGATTGCGCAGGCCCAGTCCGGTACTGGCAAGACCGCCACTTTCTCCATCTCCGTCCTCCAGAAGCTCGATGCCAACATCAAGGAGTGCCAGGCCCTCATCCTCGCCCCCACCCGTGAGCTGGCCCAGCAGATCCAGAAGGTCGTCGTCGCCATCGGCGACTTCATGAACATTGAGTGCCACGCCTGTATCGGCGGTACCAGCGTTCGTGAGGACATGAAGGCTCTCCAGTCCGGCGTCCAGGTCGTCGTCGGTACCCCTGGCCGTGTTCACGACATGATCCAGCGTCGTGTCCTGAAGACCGACGCCATGAAGATGTTTGTCCTCGACGAGGCCGACGAGATGCTTTCCCGCGGTTTCACGGAGCAGATCTACGACATCTTCCAGCTTCTGCCCCAGTCCACCCAGGTCGTCCTTCTCTCCGCTACCATGCCCCAGGATGTCCTTGAGGTTACGACCAAGTTCATGCGCGACCCCGTCCGTATTCTCGTCAAGAAGGCCGAACTCACCCTCGAGGGTATCAAGCAGTTCTACATTGCCGTCGAGAAGGAGGACTGGAAGCTGGACACGCTGTCGGATCTCTACGAGACCGTCACTATTACTCAGGCCGTCATCTTCTGCAACACCCGCAGAAAGGTCGACTGGCTCACCGACAAGCTCACTGCCCGTGACTTCACCGTCTCGGCCATGCACGGCGACATGGACCAGGCGCAGCGTGACGTCATCATGAAGGAGTTCCGCTCTGGTTCTTCCCGTGTCCTGATTGCCACCGACCTTCTGGCCCGTGGTATCGACGTCCAGCAGGTCTCGCTGGTCATCAACTACGACCTGCCCGCCAACCGCGAGAACTACATCCACCGTATCGGCCGTGGTGGTCGTTTCGGTCGTAAGGGTGTTGCCATCAACTTCGTCACCGCCGACGACGTCCGCATGATGCGTGAGATTGAGCAGTTCTACAGCACCCAGATCGAGGAGATGCCCATGAACGTTGCTGGTAAGTTTTCGCCGCTGTATGATCCAAGGCAACCGACGACTGACTCTGCGCTCCAGATCTCATTTAAACGATTTCTTCACGATTGTAGACTACGAACCCTGATGACGACGGTTTTGGTGATTCCCCTTTTTCATTGAGGCACTCGTCAAAGGGCACGGTGGTCTTTTCCTGGAGCGGCTCGGGAGCTGCCCAAAAAAAGCTGAGACCTTGGGGCCGGAAGTCTTTGCATCTCGGCGTTAGTGCTTCGTGTCAAAATGCTTTTCTCAAAACGGTTGCAGTTTAGAAAAGGCGAGTCGTCAGTTGATGAATTTTTCCTACGACCTAGGCTTTCTTTACATCGGCTCTGGCTTTGTATGTAGGGATTGCTTGTGTATGGTCGTCTTGGCGCGTTTGTGGATATCTGTCCACGAATAGACGTGCTTGAGATGACGGTAATGCTCTCCTATTTCCTTAATAGATGGTTCCAATTTCAACCGAGTTGTGTAAGTGAGGTGCACGTCAAGCATGTGACGTCTTGTGCAAATGAAGCGAGCTCTCACCCCATCATACAAGACTTGTCAAAGCAATGTCTTCTTTTCAAGACGTCTGCTTCGTGCATGCTGGTTGGTCGGCGCGCGCGGGGTGTGACTGCCGGAATGGGCAATCTCTGTTGCACCTCCCACTTCTGTTGCCCGACCTCACTTCCTCTCTCCCCACCAATCATCCCCAATCTGCATCTTCACCTGCGCTGCGGCTCGTCGCTCAAAGTCGCACCGTCGAAAATACCAGACTTTCTCCAGGTGATTTCAGCGTCCCATCGCTGCGCCCGGCCTCGTTCCACTTGCTGCGTCTGGCTTTGAGGTTCCGTTACCCACTGGAGTCCCACGGCGCTCACTCGCCGCCATACAGATCAGAATTCCATTCGGCAGCCGTGGCCTGACCCGATCATCACCAAACGGTTTATGTGGGTCGGACTTCCGGTCCTTCGGGGCGCGCGTCGATTGTTAGCTCGCCCTCAGCCACGGTTCCGCCTCGTGCTCAGGCTCCTCGTCCGGCTCGGGCGCCTTTTGTGGGTCTGTTCTAGGCTGCTCCTGACCTTGATCACCTGGCGGATCATCATTACCATCACACAGCTTCTCCTGGTTGTCCAGTGGATCATTATCCAGGTCCAGATCGGTTGGGTTTGCTTGAAGATTCTGAAGTGTCAATTCTTCATCCGTCGCGCTCAGTGGAAGCTCCAAAGAGCGCACAAGAAGGAGGCAGAAGCCCGTGAGAGGGCTATGCATGGGAATAGAGCTCTTGGTGAGGGACGCACTTTGGCTCCAAGTTGTGAATCGCGACGACACAGTGTGGATTCTCCGGCTGCTCTCCGCTGAACTTGGCACGTAGCTTCGTACCAACCATTCACTTCTGCCGCAACTGCCACAGTATCTTGGCCCGCTGAACCAATATGGCGTCTGCCTCCGACGAGGGGAAAATTCTCCTGTATTATCAACAGACCAAAAGAGAGCACCAGTACCTCAAGAAAAAGACAGAGCAATTCACCGAGTCCTTGAGAAAAGTCGAAGCCATGTACGAAGCTACGCAAGATCACGAGCTACGAATGAACGACATGGACACGAAGTTCACCGCGCTTGCTAAAGATGATGAAACTTTGAAAGAATCCTTTAGGAAGATGAGTTCAGATAACCATGCACGATTTGATAGGACCTCTCTGGAATTGCAGGGCCTTTGGCGCAAAGTCTTACGCCTTGAAGCCTTGGAGAAAGAACATGGGACTCGCGTCCATAATAATGGCACTATACTCCGTGACATTCAGCACAAGCTTGCACAACTCGATAAGGCCGTGGACGACTTGTCCAAATCAAAGAGCAAGATAACCAAACGTCCTGATCATCCGGAGATAAGTCGTTTGGCGAAGGAACTTGAGTCTCTGCACGGGTTGGTGAACGACCAGAACGAAAGTCTACAAACGCTCATGAAGGACATTGACGAAGCAAGACAAGTAGTTCAACAAGCAGGCAAGGGAGTCTCACGAGCAACAGCAAAATTAGAACTGCCTGATACACGGCCAAGACCAGAGCCGGAGAGCACTGTTCAGCCGCAGACGCCCACACCTACTGCGCCGAGAAAACCAGTCGGAAGATCGTGAGTTCCGGTTCGAGATGCGCAATGTTCTAAGCGGCTAACGAGAATCGCTAAATTAGCCAACAAGTACATAGTTCAAGGTTATCGAAGAGACACACTATCATCTCGCCGAGGCGGGCGAAAAGGCAATCGCAACGATACACAACGTCAGGGCCAGCGCAGACTCCATCTCGTACATTGAACAAAGTTGCCAAGGGCCTTTCAAGTTCGACTGCACAGCCGTCAAGCTATGCGAATAGCCCGGTCTCCAAGAGATATCAAGTGCCATCAGAGCGATCATTCTTCGATGCCGCTACTCGAAAATTGGAACGACTCACTGCAAAGAAAAGTGCACAAGCGCCTTCTCAATCTCAGATGGACGCAATTTTGAGCGGTGACGGAAATGCAGCACCAATGCATCCATCCAGCCAGAGGTCACTGATGCTTCACATGAACCAGTCGTACCCGCACATTCCAGGGCTTTCACGATTGTCCGAGTCCAATGACGTGATGGGCTTCAGACCGGACACAGATCAGCGCGGAAGATCGACCCTCACTAGTCAGAAGCAAGATCGGGGATACCACAATGGCCCTGTAGAGAATGCAGCACAACAAGAGCAGGGACATCGCAAGCCACCTATTCTGGTGCCTCAACCACCCAAGAGGAAGAAGCGCGAGCTGCCACCTATGAAGCCCTTGCCACCTTATGAAAATTGAACAAGTTCGGGTTTAACATGATCAAGGAAGTATATTTCATTTCTGTGGCGTTTTGGGGTTATGTCTCCTTGAACTCATAGAGACCTTCGCGATCCTTTACATCTACCTCCAAGCGCGCCAGCTCCTTGTCGCCATACTTGAGAGCGGCCTTCATGATGTCACCGGTAGTGACTGGGCCTACGCCCTTGGGGGTGCCGGTAAGGACGATGTCGCCCTTCTCGAGTTTCATGACTTTGCTAATATCAGATAAGATGCGGGGGATCCTGAACAGCATCAAATCGGTGTTGTCTGACTGCTTCACCTGGTCGTTGACAGTGAGGCTCAGGTGTGCTTTGTGCGGATCTGGAATGGCGGACTTGGGGACGGGGCCGGCGAGGGGGAGAAAAGAGTCGAAGCCCTTTGCTATGGACCACGGGAGACCCTTCTTCTTTGCTTCGTCTTGCACGTTACGAGCGGTCATGTCGATGGCGAGGAGATAGGCTAAAAGCATGGTTAGCAATCGACATTGTAGCGGGTTGAAAAGCATGCACACCTTCAATCGAGTCCAAAGCGCCCTTTTCGTCGTCCGGGTGCAGGTCCCGCAGCGTTTTGCCCATGACCAAGCCAAGTTCGACCTCGTAGTGCATGGAGACGCCGCGCGGCCGCAGGAGAGGGCCTTCGCCGGGGAGAAGGATAGACGAGGGGGGCTTCAGGAAGAAGAAGGGCTGCTTGGGCCGCTGGTTGTTGAGCTCCTTGATATGGTCGCTAACGTGTGTTGGTCAACTGTTTCGTCTGAAAAGGCTAGGAGGGGCGCACGCATAGTTGCGGCCGATGCACATGACCTGTTAGTAGTCGCCGAGGTGTTAGCAGAGGGTCCAATTGCTTGGAAAGGGCTCAATGGCTGCGCCCGCGCGGACGGCGAGGTCGTGGGGTGGGGGAGCTCGGCGCGACGCGACGCGCCGCGCGCGTTGCTGCCGGATGACATACCTTGCGGCAGTTGTTTCTAATAGCGTTGAGGGTGGCCATGGCTGAAAGGCTCTAAGAATGTCTTCTCCGCTCTTAGGAGGAGGAATTGGGAAGGGGGGGAGGAGAGATGTTGCGGTTCGGAGGTGCACCGTTCGTTCGGCGTATCGCCGACGTTCCCCGCGAACGGAGATTCGGTTGATGGTGACGCGGACCGGTGCCCAGCAGGGTGCACGGGCCTGGGGAGGACGGGAGAGGAAGGGAAAGTTCTTGTATTGCAAGACGTCGTAAATACAATATTGCGTGGTTTAAAAAGGCTGGTCAATTCACCAAATAGCCACCGGGATGCTTCCCGATTCTACGGGTCGGCATCCGATCGTCAGGAGTGCACGGGCCTGTGGGATGGTTTATTTAGTTGCATGTGGGCGCTGCAGTCGCACCTAGCATAGATTTGTTTTCCGGTGTAATTGAGACCTGTGAACTGCAAAAGACAACGCTGCTAACTTCGATTGATGACGTCATCCGTATAGCTACAGTCTTCTATTCGGAACCCTTGTCATAGACATTCTGCTGGAGGAAGGTGCTGTGTCACAGTAAGAATGGGAAATGCCGGGGCGGAGAAGTCGACACGTCCATTCCGACGTAAATATCCCATACATCTATAAATAACACATTCAGGTAGGGCGTTCAGCCTCAGCTACACCCCAACCCCCACGGAGCCTGTTGTGACATTTCACATACTTCTTGGCTAGGGCACGGTAGACTACTGGCTGGATGAAGAGTTGAATCTGTACAACCCCTGCTGCTTTTAGTGAGGCCTCCCAATATTTGGGGGCAATGCTCGCATCTGTACGGCAGTGCTCGACGCATGTTCGGGCTTGCATGGACAGCAGCACGATTTATGCAGTGCATTCATGCAACTACCGCCTTGAAGAAGTCTGCTTTATGTTAATGGGAACCCGTGGTTAGCTTGATAGTAGTTTTCTTAGCGGTTGGTTGCAAGGCTTTCGATTGACACAAGGTCTAAATCAAGATGAATTCCTACTAGTCTTGTTGGAAGACTATCTTTCTAAACAGAAGCTATATACTGTACCTTGTTCTAGGGTTCTCAGATTAAGATACTAATACATAAAACACTTCGAAAAAAGAAAGTCGAGCTTCATATATAGCATTATTATGATTAAAAGGGATTCAAGGCCGAACTGGTCCGATACCACATAACTTAAGATGGGATGAGCTCTGTTTTTTAAGGTCTGCCGCTATATGTCTTGTTCTAATCAAGATGAATGTACAGACTATTAACAATGTCTATAATAAATGAGCCTGATCATAAACAGACAGTTTATTTCTGAAATAGCTGTTACTGTTACATAAGCTCGTCCACGATGCTTTCAGCGCCAGAATATATATATAGCTTTCCCGCCCCTCGGCTCCCCTCCTCCTAGAACTCCCCAACTTTACTTCCTTTTCTGAGGAGACCAAAGTTGTATCCCCCTGTTTTCCGCCCTCTTTTTCTGTCTGACACGACTACGGTATGGCCGAAGCTGTTGGTTTCATCGCAAGCGTGGCCACGCTCGTCGAGGTTGCTCTCAAGCTCGAAAGACTGATAAGCAGGCTACATGATGCACCGGATGAGCTTCTTGCTCTTTCCAACGAGATTGCTGATCTGCGATTCCTCTTTGCCGACACCGAAAAAGTGATTCGTGGCAGTCCGGATTCCGAGCCCAGATTCTCAAAAACCCTCGACGATGCTGCCTGCCGGATCAAAGACGTTGATTCATTTCTTCAAACCGTTGATACTGTAGCTGTCAAGGTTGTGGATCGAATGACTTGGTTCCGCTACAAACCCAAAGTTTGCCGCTTACAGTCTGCGCTCCGGGAATCAAGACTTCATTTGGCAGCTCTTCTCGGCCTCGAAACATTGTCAGTGAACTTTCTTATTCCCAAACATACCTGGCACCCGTCCTCATCCCTCGTTGCTACAGATCGACCATCCGAAGAGTTGAAAATCTGGTACAAGCTGTGCAGGTCACTCTATCTACATCGGCGTACACGGCTGAGAGCACACATGATGCGACCGTCAAAAGGACGAGTGTTTTGTGGCCCAGTGGCGGACAAGCTCAACGCTCAGCATCCGATCCATCGACTCCAGCTTCTCATAGCACTGTGACTTTGAAACACCATTTTGGCCTGCAGCGGAGAGCTTGCTGCAGATGCAAGTGTCACAGAAAGCCACAGAACCTCTCGCTCAATAACCGGTTCCTCGGGTCTCTCTTTGTGGGGTATAGTAATATTCCTTTCTCATCTGGGGGCTGTTCTGGAGGGCTCTGTCCGGAAACATGCAAGAACCGGTCAACTGAAATCTCAGTGACCTACTATTTCCCCTCTTCGGTGATGGGGAAAGCCTTAAAGGTTGCATTCGCTTCATCTTCGTTCTCGGGTCCATCGTTCTCTTTGACTCTTTGGAACATCAGAGCAAGTGGATCACCTTGGTTCAGGCATGCCCAAGACGGAAACATCGATGGGCTTAAAGTACTCTTGGAATCAGGATCCGCTCGGCTTACAGACGTGGATGAGGACGGTCAATCAGCGTTAAATGTAAGAGTCACTGAGACTGCTGTGTTGGAACGCATTTGATTGGCCTTGCACTCCAGCCTCAAAAATCCCCCATTCCTCCAATGACAGTTAGCCAATGTAAGTGCAATGCATAGTTGGCGTTCGACAACGATCACACTCATGTTTGCGAATGGCTCCTGCAGACCGGTGCAGATTCCTCTCATGTGGACAACTACGGCTGGTGGGTGAGAAGTTAAACATTGGATGATAGCCTATACTGATGGAAGTAGGTCGCTCTCTGGATACGTGCGTATGGAGTACATCTTGTTCCGACTGCGCAATTTGCCCCATACACCTGTTCAGAAGTATTTCCTTTCCAACGCTGCCTCTTTGGACGAAGAATGGTACCTTCTTGAAACCCATAGGGCAGTCCTCAAGATGACTTCAAAGCCCTTATCGGACGCCGTACTGGAGCCACATTCAGATATCGATGCGACAGATGCGTACGGAAGAACTGCTGTGTGGTGAGCAGCATTCCTCGACGATACTGAATCTGTCAAGACTCTTCTCGAGCACGGGGCGGATCCCAACATCAAGGACGACGTCTTGGGAATGAATGTGTTCCATTGTGCAGCCGTGACAGGCCAATCGTTCCATACCTGGGAAGCACTGCTCAAGTACGGCGCAGACGTAACCGCCGTGAGCAGACGCCACCAGACCATCCTCCACTTGATCATGTATCGCCTGGGTAGGAGCTTCGTTTGGGGGAATGGATGCCATCATGAGCTCCTACGGTTTATGGAGCACTGTCTGGATCTGGGTCATCCATTGGACTTGCAGGACTGGCTTGGCGACACCATCTTGTCTAAGGCAGTCCAGAACAGCAGCCACCATGTTGTTGCATTTTTGCTTGACCGTGGCGTCGACTATACAATCAGCGACAACTGTGGCAATGGCTTGCTACATTCAGCCGCTTCCAAGGCGGATGCGACGACTATGAATGTGCTGGCGGCGCACGGGCTTTCAAGGATCGACATCTCTCTCAAAAATCGTTGTGGGCAGACAGCCCTTGATCTTTTTAGATCATGCAAAGGGGGAAGGACGCCCGAAGAGATCAAAGCGTTCTACTACATGTGGAATGAAGTATCTTCTAAGGCAAGGCTCCCGGATCTCGGTGAGTCCGTGCCTGGCATTGCTGTTATGCCGGATGGCGAGGAAGAATCAGCTACGGCTGAGCAGCAGGAGGATCGGCAAGTCGAGGATGCAATTGAACTGGACAGTGAGGCCGATGATTAAGGTACAATCGAATTGAACAGCGAGGGCGAGGACGAAGGTGGAGGCTTGTTCATAAATGCTCTGTATGGTAAAATGCCATCGTCTAGTGTTCATTCGAGGCGATAGCTATCCGGCGGACTCCTAGAGAGTGATGTTGAGCATGTAACGACCATTCCACAAATATCTCAGGCCGGTTTGCACTTCGCAAATCATTGTGTTGGGGGAAATCTCCTGGAACTTGGTTCCGCAGAGGGCTCTTTTGATTTACATGGTGCGTTGATCGTTCATTCAATCTCGTTAAAGCCAGCGATACCAGTACAGCCGGCGGTCAGAATTCCTGTACAGGAAAAAAGATGGACTCTTAAATCTACAAGAACTTGCTGGCAAGACCCATCAGGCCGCTGGGCTTGCTTCCACCGGAGCTGCTGTTGTCGGACTTCAGATACATCTTCAGGGCCATCTGAGCGGCCTGCTGGACGGCACCTTGCTTGCTGGCGCTCGAGTCCTAGGTATTTCGTCAGCAACCACAATTGAAGTATTGTCGTGGGCTCGCTCACGGTCTTGCCCTGAGCGCTCTGCTCATCAAACAGCTTGCTCGCCTGGGCCATGGCCAGGCCGAGGAACTGGCTCTTGCTGCTCTTGCCCTCGCCCGAGCTACTGTTGAACATCTTGAGCGCCTGCATGGCTGCGGCGGCGCCAAGGTTGCTCTCGGTGGCCTGATGGCTGCTGTCGCTGCCGCCACCGCCGTAAAACTTCCTGTGCTGGTTGACGGCATCGTCCTCGTCCAAATCCTCGTCCTTCAGACTCTGCTTCTTGCCCGACAGCAGGCCGAGAGCAGTGCTGAACAGCGAGCTGTCGCCGCTGCCCTCGGAGTGCGAGGCCGCATGCCTCTCGGCCTCCCGGTAGTCCTCGTCGTCCGAGTCGTCGTAGCGGCGGCCGCTGTAGTAATCATCGCGGGCACCGCCGCGGCTGCCGTGTTCCTCGTGGTAGGACATTGTGGTCTATCGGTGATGGTTTTGGTTAGCTATGTGTTGAGTTATAGGGGTCGCTGCGGGGTAGCTCCGCGGCCGGCTGCTGAGAAAGTTTCGAGAAGAGGGGCACTCACCGAGCGATCAGAGGTGGAGATGGCGAAGAGTTGGTGGAGCAAAAGTAGGCTTGGGGGGTTCAATGGATGGGGAGTGAGAGGGAAAGGTGTTTGAATCTCTCGCTCGGAGGATGATGTGTTCCGTTGTTACGGGCTGCCTGATCGACAGCTTGGGTAGGTAGCGGGGCTACGGCGTGAATGACGCAGGCGCTCGTGGCTCGTGCCAAGTCCGGCGCGTCACCTGCGACTGAGCGCCGCGCCCTCCACGCGCCGCGCACGGGAGCCTGTTTATGCATAATACCCTCACGATGTGGTCTGATGGTGAAACGCTTTTGGACGCAGCTTGTATTTCGGGGAGCCATGCTCGCTGCTCCATCCAATTAGGTTGTGTCTCTGCTGCTCCTCTGCCGACAAGGCATACATTCCCTGATGCTTCCCCAGCCGTCCCTCCGCCTAGAGCCAATCGTGCAATGATCGTCACGGCTATGGTGCCGGGCTGCAGGGCTGAGTAGGGAGGGTCCGGTGCCGGGCCCCGACCAGAGCAAGAATAATGGTCCTATCCTAAGGTGGCGCGTTACATCTCTCCGCATTGCGCAATCACTACGTCCTGCGTCGGCTTCTCCCGCTGCGTGCGCGTGTTCTCAATCTTTTTGGCCACGTCCATGCCCTCGACCACCTGCCCAAAGACGACGTGCTTGTTGTTCAAGAACGGCGTGGGCACCGTGGTGATGAAGAACTGGCAGCCGTTGGTATCGGGCCCAGAGTTCTGCATGCGCCATGTCAGTTCCGTGACCTGCAGGTGATGCAATCCTGCCTTACCGCCATGCTCAGCAGGCCTTCGCGATCATGCTTCAGCGAGAAATTCTCGTCGGCAAACGCACGGGTGCCGTAGATGCACGTCGATCCAGTGCCGTCACCGTTGAGGAAATCACCGCCCTGGATCATGAATTCCTTGATCTGCACGGCTGCCGTCAGCAAAACAGGAAACCGTACGCGCTCGTGCAAGGCTGCTCACCACGCGGTGGAACTTGCAGCCCTTGTAGCCCTGGGGGCGACCATGCTGGTTCTTGGTCTCGCCAGTGCAGAACTGGCGGAAGTTCTCAGCAGTGCGCGGGACTACATCTTTGAATAGCTCCATCTTAATGCGGCCGAGGGGCTCGCCTGTGCCGCGTCTGTATCAGCATGGCTGGGCGGTGCCGAAGCAAGGGATCTGGGGGCGGAGCAAGGCGCAAAGACAACGATGAGACATTGGTGTTGAAGAAATGAATTAACGGCGAGGCAGAAAGCTTACCTCCGAGCGTGATGTCGAAGAACACGACGGGGTTGTCGGGATGCCGTTTCTGCACGGGACTGGCCATGTTGGTAGTGGTGGTGGCTGTGTAGTGTGGGATCGCGCGAAAAGCGGAAGGTCTGCAACGGGACGCTGGGACCAAAAACGCACGCCGATTGATTCTAGCTGATATGCGAGCTTCGGTGCTTCGGTGTATTCTTTTCGGCGGCACCTGCGCTGGGGATGCGCATCAAGAAGGCCCGGGCGCAGCCCCCATCCGCCCGCATCATTGTCAGTGTCGCAAGTTGACGGCACACGCGAGCGAGCGGGCTGCCTGACGGGCGGTTTCACCAGCCGCTTACTCTGCGGGTGCCCGCGCGCCGCCCCCCAGAGAAGACGCAACAGGTGTAATTTTCACACGACCGCCCGCCCGCTGATCTTCGCCGCTCGCAGCACGCCCACCGGCTCCATCGCCGCAGCCCTTGTAGCCCCAAGGCCCAGCAGCCGCGCCGGCGAACGCCTCCGCTTTCCAACTACTTGACTACGCCGGCCCCCGCTCACGCTTTCTCTCTTCCTCCTCTCACCCACGGCGCGCATGCCGATCACCCTGCCGCGAAACGCCCTCCACTGCGTCCGGCCTCGGCCTGGCTATTTTTTTCAGTCGCATTCCCGCGTCGCCACTGTCGCTGTCGCTTATCGCTCTCGCCAGCCTGCGCCCGCGAACAGCAATCAAAGCCGTCACCACCCGTGCTAGGCCTCTCGGATCCTGCCACTCCGCGCCACTGCCTGCTGTCTGGCCTCTCGGTCGCCCAGTCCCCGCTTAACGTACTGGGGCCTTGATCCGATCGCCAACCGGTGATCTGCGCCGTACCACGACATTGTGACCGGCATCGTCCCTATTGTCAGCGCAAGGACCGACTCCTACCAACCCCTCGTTCGCACGCCTTACTATATGGTCGCGCGAGACCTAGCCACTCCCCTATAGGGCCTTCTTGTCGCTACTTGACGGCGCTTGCCCTATGTGTCGCGACCGTCGGCCACGATGAGTTCTCAGTCGACATCGTCCAGCGCCCCGGCCACCACCACCACCGCGAGCAACAATGGAAACAATGGCAACAGCGGAGGTGGCGGTCCAACCAACTCGCCCCTCCTCTTCTTTGTCGCCCTGGGCTTTGGTGTCGTGTTTACGAATCTCTGGTGAGCCACCAGCGCGGCCCGACGTCGGCCTTCTGGTAGGAGGTGAGGCTGATGCATTCATCATAGGATCATTGTTGGCGTGAAGTACTGCTTCCGCTACAACCAGCGGAGTCGACTCGCCCGACAGGCTGGCGGCGATGCCGAGATTGATCTCGCTGCCATGCAGCAGCCGCCGCGTCGTCGCAGGAGAGAAAAGAAATTGATGACGATGGACGAGGTCAATGAGCGCTTCCCTTTGATGAAGTACAAGATGTGGCGCGCTTCTCGCGAGCGCGAAGGCCTGTCCACCGCCGGAGGGATATCCGCGGCACCCAGCCGCCCTGCGAGCGTTAAGAATGCAGAGGGCGCTGTTGCTGCTGCTGGTGATAGCCGTGCTTCTGAAGACCTGGAGAAAAGAATTTCCCAGCCACCGGCCGATCAACCAACGCCGTCTTCCGCCGATGGGCCCGCTAAAGCTAACGAACAGCAACCGGAAACCAATCAGCTGACTTCTGCCGAGAAGAACCTGGAGCTGGAGAAATGCAAAACTGTCGCGAGTACCGTGGAAGAACCCAACAAAGGCCAGGAATCTGTTCACGACGACGACGACGATGAGGACGACGACCCTATAAGGACCGCTACACCCCCGGAGCTTCTGCAGAGTCCTGGCGATACTTGCGCAATTTGCCTTGAAGAGCTCGAAGACGACGACGATGTGCGCGGTTTGAAATGCGGCCATGCATTCCACGCCGGATGTCTTGACCCGTGGTTGACGAGTCGTCGCGCATGCTGCCCGCTGTGCAAGGCTGATTACTACGTCCCCAAGCCTAAGCCTGAGGGCGAACAAAATCCGGATTCCTCTGGTCGGCGGAGTCAAGGTCTCCGGATGCCTCAGGCCCCTCAGTCGGTGTGGATTGGGACTCGGTCTGCGTTGCCTGGTCGCGGCGGTCGCACTATGGTCTTTGCTCGTTCCAACGAAGACGAGTCTCGTCGAAGTCGTCGGGCTCGTGAGGCAAACGCTCATCAATCACAGGAACGACGTCAGCAGCAGAATCAACAGCAATCAACAGAGGGCGGCACTGGAATTGGCGCGAGGATAAGGAATCTTCGCCCGACGATGCCGACAATCAGCAACCCGTTCGCTCGCCGCCAGCAGAATGCCGGCAATGATGGGAACTCCACCGGACCGTCACCGAGCCAGCTGGAAGCTGGTACGAGATGATGTAACTGGCCACACTTTGTGCATATACGCGGTCCATTGCAAAAGTTCCGGGCATCTTGCAGCTCAGCTGGTCCTCTATGGCATTATGCGTGTCAATGTCTTGCTTCAAGAGCGCTTGACGTCGCATTCCTCCGGATTACTACTTCACGATATTCACGGCTCATCCTTTCTCTCTGTACTACTCACGAGCTGTTTTGAGGGCTTATCAGTCCCCACCCCGTTAGCGCGCTCTCCTCCGATTTTCGGCACAGCAGGCCCACAACGGTTGCATTTAGTTATGGTGTGGTTTGCTTTTCTTTTTTTCTACGGACTATCTGCACTTGCATGGCCGGATTCTCTCTTTAGTCATTGGCGAAGGTTATGGCTTTTATGGGTTCAGTTTTCATCTTCTTTCGAGCGGGGTTCACGTTCTTCGCAACTAGATACCCACTTCAGCACACTCACCCCTCTGCAGCCCTGGCGAAGTGCAGGCAAACGGTAAATTGCCGTAGCGAGCACCAAATCTGCTCACAGAAAATGAATTGAGGCAAGATTGCGCGTTGTGCAATCAACAGCCAAGGCTTTTTTTCAGTGCTGCGCAGGATTGAGGGTGCGAAGTATCGGAGAGCATAAGGCGGTGATGGGACGGGAGGTACGGAGTGCTGGGTTCAACATGAGGAAAAACGGTACCAGGGTTCGGGGCCAGCGTGGCAGCGTGGCAGCGAGTGGGTTAGGACTTTTGCTTTTGGGGGTTTTTCATTACGCTTCATGTACATTATAGATCGACGCGGAAAAGGGAGTAATGGGCTTGTCAATGCTGTGCCAAGTAACTCTTTTGTATTTCTCGGCGACTGCATTGGGAGGATCGTCAGGGGCGACGCGTAACAAACTTGACTCGTATCTGCGTTCGGAAAACGGTTGGTGGTGTTGAGGCGCAATTACAAGTCCCGAACGGGACTAGCGGGGATCGTCACAGCTTCTCCACGGCCCGGCTTTTTGGCCGCCGTGACCTGACGTCTTCGGTGCGCGCGCGCGACGTGCACGAGCTGCGAAAGCGAGCACACCACCGAAACGTTCTTCCACCGCACGAAGCAAAGCGCGAACCTCACGCGCTACCCAATCGGCCACCGCCCACCATGCAGGCTCGCACGGCTTCCTGGGTCTGCAATTCCTGCCGCCAAACCTCCAGACTCTCGCTCCGCCTCGCCCGCAGACGAACGTATGCGACGGTAGGGACCAAGCCAGAGGTATACGATGTTGTATGTGTAGGTGGAGGTCCAGCAGGCCTGAGCCTGCTCAACGCACTGCGTAGGACTTCAATGCTATCCGCGGCTTCTGCAATTGGGCACTCTAATCGCTGATGCTGTTTGCGCAGGTTCGTCGCCGGTCACGTCAGGTCTGAAGATCGCATTGATAGAGGGGTTGGATCTCGAGAAAGGAAAGCTGAGGGATGCTTCGCCGACGCATTTTGCCAACCGCTGCAGTTCGTTGACGCCGGCGTCGGTGCAGAATTTGATAGGTATGCTACTGCGGGAGGTGTAGAGGTCTACACCATTGGCTCATACCACGTGCAGAAATGGGAGCATGGCCCCACATTGATCAATCCCGCGTCCAGCCATACCAGGAAATGCAAGTATGGGATGGAGTCAGCGATGCACGCATCTCGTTCGACTGGGCGGAAGTTAGTCGCCAGCCTGACCAGCCCACGACCATTGCCTACATGATCGAAAACGCCAACCTCACAACCGGTCTACTCAAGCGTCTAACAGAGCTAGGCGGCGTCACTACCTTTTCACCAACGCGTGTTGAATCCATTCAATTGGGCACGGACTCTCCTGACGGCCTGGACATGAGCTCCTGGCCCGTCGTGACCCTCAGCGACGGCCGCACCCTCGCAGCCCGCCTCCTTGTTGGCGCCGATGGTGCCAACAGCCCCGTTCGCGCATTCGCCGGCATCCAAAGCCGTGGCTGGGACTACGGACGCCACGGCGTAGTTGCAACATTGACCCTGGAGGGTCCGGGTTGGGGTGGTCTGGAGCACAAAATCGCATACCAGCGCTTCCTCCCGACCGGCCCTATCGCTATGCTCCCTCTGCCCGGCAACATGGCCTCGCTTGTCTGGTCCACCGTTCCCGAGCGCGCCGCGCTCCTACGCTCTCTCTCTCCTACTGACTTCACCGCTATGGTCAATGCGGCCTTCCGCTTGGCGCCCGCCGACCTCGACTACCTGCACGCCATTCCTGCCAGCCAAGCCGACGAGGTGGCTTGGCGCCTACCACATGCTACCCACAACAGCAGCAGTGGTCCCACTGCGCTTCCGATGACAGTGACGGCAGTGCAGGACAAGAGCGTCGCTGGCTTTCCGCTCAAGCTGCGCCATGCCGACACGTACATCGGCGAGCGCGTCGCCCTCGTTGGCGATGCCGCGCACACCATCCATCCGCTCGCAGGACAGGGCCTCAATCAGGGCCAGGGTGATGCTGCCAGCCTGGCCCGTGCCGTTGCTCAAGCCGCACAGGCGGGCATGGACATTGGTACCCAGCTCGCCCTCGAGCCGTACGTCGCAGAGCGCTACCAGGCCAATAATGCGCTCCTGGGCGTTTGCGATAAGCTACATAAGCTGTATAGCGTCGGCACAGGCCCGGTTGTGGGGTTGAGGAGTCTGGGCCTTAGGGCAGTGGATAAATTGGGGCCTATTAAGGGGCTGTTTATGAGGGCTGCGGCAGGAAATGGAAAAGTGGTGTCTTAAGAAGCTACCTGGTCAAAGTCCAAGAGACTAAAGTCAGGGGTAGATACGATGTCTGTGTCGTATGTACTCGTGTATCAATAGATGTTTTATGTGAACTGGACGATAGATTTAGCGTTTGTTAGTGATGAAAGCCTACATATGGTTAGCCTATGAGCGGGCCGTAGAAACGTGCTGTCACTCTGGTCTTGACGTGAGGCAGTTCCAACACTTCGTATCGCTATGCATGCTAATAAAACATTTTCCAAACAGCTAGCAGTTTTGTCTATTGCGGACTTGATATTCTTCTCTTCTTAGACATGTAAGTGCTTTTTCTGCCTGCCTCGTCTTTGTGATCTACTATATTTTGCCCCCATCCATGTTTTCACTTCTTCATTCGTAAACCCGTCACACTAGTTTTCCTATCCCCTTGCCATATTCCAGCAAATACGCCCGTATCTTTTACGCCTTGCTCGATGCTTGACTTTGGGTTGTCCCCTGACATATAAAGCCTGAAGCCACGACTGCCTTGTACAACGCTCATTGGTGTTGCTTGACAAACACAAAATCCCTCGTTCACCCTCTAGTGAACGCTGGCCGCACCCACCTTCTCCGCGATATCATTTGCAGCGTTGAAGTCATCCACTCTCTTCTTAACCTCCGCGACCATGTTACTCTTCTCGATGAGCACGCCGTCCTTCTCGGGGTGGCCTTCCGGCAAGCCCATTTGCTTGATCTTGACCTTGCCGTCCTTGAGTTCATCCTCGCCAAGGATGATGGCGAAGGGCACGCCGCCGGTTTCAGCCTGCTTGAACTGCTGGGGCAGCTTGGGCTTAACCTTCCAGCTGAATTCGGCCTTGATACCAGCCTCCCACAGAGTGCGGGCGACCTCCATGCGTTCAGGCAGCAGGCCGGTGAAGCCCTTGCCGCCGAAGGCCATGACGAAGACATCGATCTCGTTGAGGCGCACCGCAGCAGCCGTCTTCTCCGCCTCCATGCGCGCCTTCGTGATGCTGAAGATGCGCTCGACACCAAAGGAGATACCGACACAAGGGATTTGGCTCTTGCCACTGAACATGCCCACCAGCTCGTCGTAGCGGCCGCCCGCGGCGACGGAACCGACGCCGACGGACGGGTCGTCAGACCGATCATCGTCGGCACCAGCCTTCTTCTTCTTGCTCGACTTTTGTGCGCTCTGCGCCGCCGGGGCTGCGTCGGGCGCTGAGGCGGGCGCGGAGCCCTCGGTGATGACTTCGTAGATGACGCCGGTGTAGTAGTCGAGGCCGCGGGCCAGCGACATGTCGAAGGAGATTTTGTCCATGACGTTGAAGATGTTGAGGTAGTTAAAGAGGAGTGCCATGTCTTCCAGGCCTTTCTTGGCCGACTCGTTAGCCGTGAGCGTCTCGTTGGCCTGCAGCTTTGCCAGCAAATCCTCGCCACCCTTCAGGTTCACGAATTCGCCAATCTTGTCCGCGACGGCAGGGTCGAGACCCTTGTCCTCGGTCATTTCCCTACGCACTTCGGTCCAGGGTTGCTAATTCGGTACGCGTTAGAATGTTTTGGAAGCGCTTCCACTCAGTTCTGACCTACCTTGTCCAGCTTGTCGACGGCACTCGAGATTGTACGAATCTTGTCGGTGGGGACACCGCAGACGGCGAAGATGCCATCGAGGATCTTGCGGTGGTTGATCTTAATGGTGTAGCGGCCGTTCCAGCCCAGAGCGTCGAAAATCTCGGTGGTGATGCGCAGGATTTCGGCGTCGGGGAGCATGGGGTCGTAGGTGCCGGCGATGTCGAAATCGCACTGGTAGAATTCACGCATGCGGCCCTTGGTCATGGCGGGCTGGTCGCGGCGGTAGACCTTGGCGATGTGGTAGCGCTTGATGCTCTGCACGCTCGAGTTCATGGCCAGCCAGCGGGCGAAGGGGACGGTCAGATCGTAGCGCAGGGAGCACAGCTCGCCGCCCTGGTCGGCCAGGTCGTAGATGAGCTTGCTGTCCTCGCCATACTTGCCGGCCAGAATCTCCTTCAGCTCGAAGACGGGCGTGTCAATGGTGACGGCGCCGTGGCGCTTGAAGACGTCGGTGATGGTGCCGAAGATCTTGTCGCGGATGACCATGTCCTTGCCCTCCCAGTCCTTGGTGCCCTTGGGGACCTTCAGCTGGAAGCCGCCGCCCTTCTTCTCTTCCTTGTCTTTGGCCATGGTGTCGTCGCGGCGCGGGGTGCAGGAAAAGTGGCGGGGAAAAGTGGTGCGCAGCAGGAGCGGGCGGACGGTGGTGCGTTTGGGGCGGAGTGACGGCGCAGAGGTCGCGAGGAGGCGGCAGAATCTAGACATGCACGGGCGGAGGGGCAGGGTTGGGTTCAGAGGCGGGGAATTTTTGACTCACTATCAAAAAGGCATGACGGCACTGCCGACCTCTCTCTTGGCGCCTGCACGGGCCCTGGCGGTAGAGGCGCACGCGTCCAAGCTCCAGGCTCACCACCACCGCTACAAACAACCGCCAGTTCTTCCCTCGGTCCATGTGGTTCGGCCATCATGGCCCCGCAGGCTGCCATCCACGCCGCTGACATCGCCGATGCCGCCCGCAGGAGCTTGCTGCTGCTGCTTGAAGGCGTAAGTAAGACTCCCTAACGCGCGCATCTCGGCAGCGCACGTGCTGATAGTGCTTGTTGTGACAGATTCGCGGCAAAAAGAACCTCGTCTTCGAGAAGGCCTTGTCCGGTCCGCTCAATTTACTTCTTAAGTTCTCAACTCTGCAGGAGTACGGCGTGGACAAGCCTTTCTTCCTAGAGAACGGCAACGTCGACTCTTCCCAGCGCAATGTTGTCTTCATCGCCCGAGGGGATAAGGCCAAGACCGCTCTCGCCATAGCTGGTACGTGTGTGTGGATCTGCGAGCAGTAAGAATGCTTCTCCGTTATTTTACGTTTCTTTTTTTCCTTGGGAACAAAAGAGGTTATGACGAGGGACTCTACCCGTCATAATCAGTCGTTTCCCTAAATTGACAATGCACATTACTTCCGTGCCTTCAGGCCGGGGACCAATTCGCCAGGCAGACACGTGTGCATGTCTGCCTGGTCAGTCGCTTCCCAAGAGCAGTGCCGCACCACAATCATATCCACACGCTCTCTCGTCTAGTGCTTTCACGAGCAGATGGTACGATTCTGATGCTAACATATCCGTCATAGAACAAATCAAGAAGCTCCGACATAATGACATGGTAGAGCATGAGTTTTCCGTGTTCTGGGTGCCCCGGAGGACTCTTGTATCCGACCAGATTCTGGAGGAAGCGGGTGTACTGGGCGAGGTCAGCGTGGCAGAATGGCCGCTGAACTTTGTGCCTTTGTCCGATGACCTGCTTTCTTTGGAGCTGGAAGATTCGATAACAGACCTTTACGTGGTAAGCATGCACGTCGCACTTCTCCGAGGTCTTGTCTGACAGTGCAGCACAGCGCAAGGATCCCACGCCCACATTTCTGGCAGCAAGAGCCCTCATGCAATTGCAACAGCAGCATGGTCTCTTCCCACGTATAGTGGGCAAGGGTGATAACGCTCGCCGCTTGGCCGACTTGCTCATCCGTATGCGCACCGAAGTCGTGGCTGGCTCGGGCTCAACAACAGACTCACCGTTAGGATTGACACCTAGTAATGTTCTGGACAGCTTGATCATCATTGATCGAGAAGTCGACTTTCCTACGGCCCTCCTGACTCAACTGACCTATGAGGGTCTCCTGGATGAAGAGTTCCACATCCAATCCAATCAGATTGAGGTTGACTCATCCGTCGTTGGAACTGCAGGCGCAGGCACGTCGCAAGGCGGAGCCTCGTCTTCCGCTGCTCCCTTGAGGCGCAAGATTGCGCTTGAACCCTCAGATACCCTGTACGGCACTCTCCGAGATAGTAATTTCGCGACCGTTGGTCCGCTGCTCAACAAGGTAGCGCGGCGCCTTCAGTCATCATACGAGAACCGCAACATCCAGCAGAAGTCGACTGCTGAGCTCCGAGACTTTGTCCAAAAGCTTCCCGGCTTCCAGCAAGAACAAGCCTCTCTCAAACTTCATACCAATCTCGCCGAAGAGATCATCAAGCACACTCGCTCAGACATCTTCTCGCGCATACTCGAAGTTCAGCAGAATTTGGCAGCCGGCGCAGACCCTAGCAGTCAACACGATAACATCGAAGAGCTGATTGCCCGCGGAGTGAAGATCGAAACCATCCTACGCCTGCTCTGCCTCGAGAGCTCCCTGCACGGCGGCATCAGACCGCGCGATCTTGAGAATTTCAAGCGCGCCGTCCTTCATGGCTACGGTCACCAACACCTCCTGACGCTCACCTCTTTGGAGAAAGCAGGCCTGCTCGTGCCCCGCAGCGGCGGTCTCGGCGTTGGCGCGAACTTGGGCGGTGTCGGCGGCGTTGCTGCTAGGGCGAATGCAGTGACGAACTACAACTCGGTGCGGCGGTCGCTGTCGCTGATCGTCGACGAGGTCAACGAGTCCGAACCGGACGACGTCGCCTATGTCTTCTCCGGCTACGCGCCGTTGTCGGTGCGACTCGTGCAGTGCGTGCTGCAGAAAGACTACATCAATGCTCTGGCCTCGGCTCGCCCCGCGGCTGCTGGCGCCAACGCAGCGCAGGCAGCTAACCAGCAGCAACAGCATCTATCAGGCGCCCTCGCCAATGCCCAGGGCTGGCGCCCCTTTGAAGACACGCTCCGGTACATCCGTGGCGCCACTGTCGACGAGGTGCAGGCTGGCGAGGAGAAGGCTGTCAGAGCGAGGCAGCTGCTCAATGGAAGTGGCGGCAATGCCGGCGAGGGCAAGACGGTCGTGGTTTTCTTCTTGGGCGGCGTGACGAGGGCGGAGGCTTCGGCTCTACGGTTCGTGGCCAAGTGCTTAGCTGAGGAGGGAAGAGGTAGAAGGCTGGTTGTGGCTACGACGAGCGTCATCACCGGCGATAAGGTTGTCGGCAGCGCAGTGGAGAAGGGCTCGTTGGGTGGACCTGCTTGACAAAGGTAGTGGCGGTGACAAGTTTTGCTTGAAGAGTGGGTATGTGAAAATAAGAATGATCCTTACAATGCTTTCACGGTGTTCGTATATTGCTGGACGCCGCGATTCGTTCTCTATGGCCTACGAAGGGCCCTCTCGCTTTTCCTGGGTGATGAGCTAAAGCAAAGATCCTGAGATCGATGTGGGTTTCCAAATGGCGTCAAAAGAGTGAAGCAAACAAACATCCATTCCGCACGTAGACTTCGATTAGGGTGGGCGCAGTAATTGTTCGCGGTGCCCACAAATTTGACCCCCATTTCGAGAATTTGACTCCCCCAAATCCAGATTTTGACTCCCCCTCAGAAACCCACTTATCTATCTTGTCGCCACTATACAATCACTACCAACGAGATCACCATTAACGAAATTACTAACCGGTAACGTTTTTACCACCGTCACCGCCACTACCACCACTACCACTACCACTACTACTACTAACGTATTTATCACCACAAACGTATTCATCATCACTACCATTACCACCCGCGCTATAACTATCTACGCTATTACTACCTACGCGATTACTACTTGCGTAATAACTATCCGCGATAAGCGTAATTACTACTGGTAGAGTAAGCTTATAGCAGCGCGAAAATGCTGTTTACAAGTAGAGGGGAGTCAAATTCTGGAAATGGGGGAGTCAAATTTGTAGCGGCCTTATTCGCTCACCGTAAGACCTGCAAGATGTGCTTTCTAACTAATAGCCCTTGTGGTATATGGAGGAGCACATAATTCTCTACCAACGTCCATAAATGCCGCCCAATGCTTATAGCAGCACATTCACACTTATCGCAGAAACCACAACCAGGCCAGCAAGGACTCTATTATGAAGTAATGAAAGTATACTGTCTTTCATCAACCCATCCTTCTTCCATTTAATCAACTCTTCAATGCTCTCTTCACTTCACCCCCTTGAGCACGTGCTGATACATCGTACCCAGTCACACCCAGCGCAGACCAAGTGCTCAATAAACAATAAACATAAAGCTACACAGCACAACTCATAGCGCTGCTGTGTTGAACGTAGGCGCTTCATTCCACTTCACCACTACATGGTGAAGGGGGTTGGGTCCTCCGCCACTGAAGGCATCATGCTGTGGGTGGAAGCGAGTGACGAAATGAAGCAATGCTTGATGCATATCAAACATTTAATCAAAGATAATTCAAATAGGTGATGTGTAGCTGGTAGGGCCGTTTCCGCCGTCTCTTCGTCAATTAAAATGGCTCTATCCAAATCTTTTAATGTTTTAACTCCAAGAAGGTAAGTATCGTTGGTCTATTGAGGTAGTAAGACAAGTGGGTCGTGGGTAAATTGTCAAGAAGCTCGGGCCGGTGGTTGAGTAAAGGATGCACGAACGATCGTCTCCCGCCGAAACCAGGAGTCGGAAGCATGCGCAGAAACGGCTCGTTGTTTGTACAGTTGCGCATACTTGGACGAGTTTGCAATCTTAATCGCTCTTCCTCCCAGCGCCACCATTGGCCATCGAGCGGGTGACACGCCTGTCTGGTTCCGCAGTGGTGGGGGCAATCTTGCTGCCGACATTCTCCTTTTTGGAGGGAATAGTCAGGCAGTTGATACCGAGGAAGTTGCAAATGCTGGACACGACCAGGACGGCCCAGTTGGTATAGACTATGGCGGCAAAGACGAAGTAGCTTCTCAGATACCAGAGCTCTACTTGCGCAGTGACAGGCGCCCATGCCAAGCCCAAGCGCGGGAGATTGACGAGGATAGCACCGCCAATGAGCGGAACGAGCATGACGGTCCAGTACGGGAAAGGCTGGCGGGTAAGATGCGCAAGAATGATTTTCGTCGTCATGCGGCCGAAGACAAGACTCATGGTCAGGCACCATAAGACAAGATGGCCGCCCGTCTTGTTCCTGTCATCCCAGTCTTCCAAGATGCTCGAGTATGGGCTTCCCAGCCATGCGCAAGTCGCGACAGTGAAAACAATCATAGGCGTCCACTCCTGGAAGACGGGAAGAACCGGCTTTCCCTCAGCACGGCGTGCGCGGGCAACGTTGACGACACAGGCAGGCAAATGCGCGATGAAGAAAGAGCCCAGGAGGATGGGAACCCAGAAATCACGGAATGTCGTCATCGGGGAAATGTACCCTTCCAGCGAGGGAAAATGGCGGATCAGCGAAGTGGACCAAATCTCAGGTCCATAATGCGCAGACATGATCATCATGGAACAGGCAATGATAAGACCCTCTGGAAACTGGTCAGCTCTGAGCCAATTAGGCGCAAAAGCCTCAGAAGCGCTTACCCGTCGGGCCATTGAAATAGCCAAGGTACAAAGTATGAGTATGGTATGTTTCCCACGTCGAGAAGAACATGGGAAGACAGGGGATCAGGGCAGTGAAAGCGCCGGTTTTCGTGGCTCCGTAGCCCATCGCTGCGGTCTCGAGCAGGCTGCCAAGGGTGCAATTGAGAGAATCGATGCCATGGCTGCGATGGAGGGTTAGAAAGACGACGCATCGTGGTTCGAGTGAGGACATACTCAAACAATTCCCCCAGTCCGCTTGAAGTTCCCGTGCGGCGAGCCTGCTTGCCGTCCACGTTGTCCATGGTGGAGTACCTGGAGAAACATGTGAGAAAGTGGGTCTTGCCAAGCGCACGAGCATCTCTTACATCCAAAGGCCAAAGGCAAAGCTGTAGTATATCCACGTAGGCGCCTGTGCAGGCATCAGCATGTTGGAGTGATTGCGCTCGGGTCCAAGGGGCTATACCGGTCCGACAAGATCAGGGACGAAAAGCTCGAGCAGCGCTACATTGCCGAGAATGAAGAAGAAACCCAGCAGGGTGACCATGTTCGGGGCCAGCCATAGCGGCAGGAGCTCGACGAAGGCATTCCACTGTACCACGGCTGTGTCAACATGGGCAGGCGGGGCGGGCGGCGCATGAGAGGCCTACGTAATGTTTGAGGATGTAGCGCGAGACGAAGCTCTTGTCGACGCTCTGGTACTTGTAGGTCTTCAGGTGGGCCAGAGCCTCCTCAGACACGCATTCGTGAGCGGCGGTGTCTGCTCACAGGCGCAGCTTGTCAGCGGTTGGCATGCAACGGAGCGCGGAATGGAACGGTACATCGGCTCTGGATCTGGTCGTGGATCTGGGACTCGAGGTCGCCGGACTTACTCTTCCCCATGCTTGCAGGTTGGTCTCGGGTGCACGGGCTCAGGGAAGGCAAAGAGAAAAAGAAGAGAAGGTTCGGAAGGCGTGGGAAGTCGCGACGCCATGCACCCTACGCGGATCGGAGTGTTGCGCGGACTGTTGGTCAGGGCGGAAGCTCGGGGGTCGGAAATTCGCCAGCCGCCGCATGTGCTTTGGAGGAGCGAGGATCAGGGTGCCGAGCACCGCCCAGCACGCAGGGGTCTGCGCCAGCGACGCCCGCGGCCGCTCATGACGTGCCGCACGCCGCGAGTCTGGGGAAGATGCTCGACTTGCGCGCCCTAGAGTCGTTGTGTCGCCTTGGGGGGTAAATACAGGCACTGCTATCGCCCGCCGCCGCCCTCCCTGTCCGCGATCCCCGATAAGCCTGCCTGCCCGCCTGACTCGCGCGCCCCACGCAGCCAGCAATTTTTGTGCAAACCGTCTGGCACCACAACCGGCCGACCTGCTGCCACACAATTAGGGCCGCTCACCGCCGGCTGAGTCGGCACCGCTCCTGTGGCGCAAACATGTGGGCTGTGCGGCGGTGCTGCCTGCGCCTCTACTCAGCTCCCTCTCCCTTGCAGGTTTTAGAGATTTATGCTTTCGATTGCCTGCACAATGATACATTCTGCCGTCTCGTGTCTCTCATGACTTCATGTTCTCGTGAACCACCCTGCGACAATATCCCAAATAGGAAATCCCATTATACACCACTCCAACACCCACTCCATAGCGCCACATCTAACTTGCAAGAGCCCAGGCCGGACCGTTGTGCGTGCTCCTCAGCGACCTGTAAAAGGGCGGGTCGCATCGTCTGCGGCGTCGCCAGCGAACTTGCCAAGCGGGTTATTGACAGTGCCGCCCGCCAGGTTTGCGACGCCCTTCCTGGCCTCCTTGATTTCTTTCTGGTCCGAAGCAGGCACCTTGTTGATTTGGTCTGCAGCACGTACGTCAGCGTCTATATTGCATGCTGCAGCGGGCGGCATACCCTTGACGAGGTAGGACGCCTTGTTCTCGCCCATCGTCTTCAAGGCCCTTTCCTCGAGCTCGCGTTTGAGCGCCGGTGGGATGCCGAAGAAGTAGACGTAGACGGATAGGACGGCGAGAATGCCGGCAAAGACGGAGAAGACTGTGGTTGCGGTGGGCATCTTGGCTGGATTTGGCTGTACTAGTGGCCCAGGAGCGCGATTTGCTGGTAGATCGTCTGCGGCTAACAATAAAAACACAGCTGACAGGAGAGCGCGTCGAATTCTGGAGACGAGGTTTATGTTGGTGGATGGTGTTTATAAGACTGTTGTGCACCTATGACGTCTGTCGCCGAGCAAGCTGGTTTTGGCCGCCGATGCCTTGTTGCCGCATTGCACGACAGCATCGGCCGCCTGAGAAGCTGCCAGGGACTCGCAGAGCAGCTGAAAGATAGCAAGCGCAGCGCGGGGCGAGACCGCGGGTGGGATGCGCCTCCAGCGCCAAAGCTGCGATCGCGACGCTCGCCTGGCCGCCAATCAAGGCGGGGCAGCCCAGGTCTGCCCCGGCCGCCCAGCTCAGGGTCCGTTGATAGCGGGCACGAAACGAAACGGCGCGACGACCTGGTGTTCGCACTTTCCATCACTCGCGTTTCGCGCGTCCTGAGACACTAGCATAGCGTTTACGAACTCGCCGAGCTAAGCCACCTCCATTATCAGCCGCACGGTGTCAGCCTCGCGCAGAGCGGAAGCCGTGCCCCGCCTACCAGCACAATTATCAGCTCCAGCCGCTCACACCCAAGCAGGCGCCGTCGTGAGACCTGTACTTTCTTTCGTCACAACCTCTTTTTCCGTCCTTGCCCTCGGGTACTATACCTGGCGCTCAGCCTGACCTTCGGGCCGTTGCTTCCACGCTCCCCTCCTGCGCCTCCGCTCTCTGCTGCACCTCTCCTCCGCACGCCCTCAGCTTGACCGAAAACCTCCTCCCTATCCCTACCCGAGTACAATCGCGAAAATACAGGAGCCACAGCCGTCAAAATGAGTCGTAGGTCGCCCCCAGACGCCATTGCCACATGCAGTACTGACCGCGCCCCGCGTTGTTCAGTTTCAGGCATGCTTAACAAGCTGCACGGCCAGCCTGACAGCTACGACAAAAAGTGCGTGTTGCCGCCCCCACCGCCGCCTGCTCACTACTGAACGATTCCGCTCCAGATCCAAGTACCGTTTCGGCAAGACGCTCGGCGCTGGCACATACGGAATTGTGCGCGAGGCGGACTGCCCTGAGGGCAAGGTTGCGGTGAAGATCATCCTCAAGAAGAATGTCAAGGGCAATGAGCAAATGGTCTACGATGAGCTGGAGATGCTCCAGCGCCTGCGGCACCCGCACATCGTTCGCTTCCACGACTGGTTTGAGTCCAGGGTATGTAGGCGATGCGCCGACAAAAGCAATTGGTGCTGATTCTTGTTAGGACAAATACTACATCGTCACCCAGCTTGCCACTGGAGGTGAGCTGTTCGACCGCATTTGTGAGAAGGGCAGGTTTACGGAGAAGGATGCTGCCGAAACGATTCGCCAGGTCCTCGATGCCGTCAACTACCTTCACCAGAACAACGTCGTTCACAGGGGTAAGTAGGCTTGATACCCGCTTGGTTATGCGGTGGCTAATACTTTTGTAGATCTTAAGCCTGAGAACCTTCTTTACGTGAGCCGCGACGAAAGCTCGCCCCTTGTGCTCGCCGATTTTGGCATCGCAAAGATGCTCGACTCGCCGGACGAGCAGCTCACCACCATGGCCGGCTCCTTTGGATATGCTGCCCCGGAGGTCATGCTGAAGCGCGGACACGGCAAGCCTGTGGACATGTGGTCCATGGGCGTCATCACCTACACCCTGCTCTGCGGTTACTCTCCCTTCCGGAGTGAGAGCTTGGCGGACTTGATCGAAGAATGCAAGAACGGCCGTGTAGTGTTCCATGAGCGGTATTGGAAGGAGGTCAGCAAGGACGCGAAGGACTTTATCAACACCCTTCTGCAGCCTGAGCCTGCTGATCGCGCGACGAGTGCGGTAAGGGAATAGACCATCACTTTCGCAAGGCGCTTTGCTAATTGTTCATACAGGAAGCTCTCGCGCACCCCTGGCTTAAGGGCGAGACTGCGTCGGACCACAACTTGCTGCCCGAGATCCGCGCTTACGTCGCCAAGGCCCGTCTTCGCCGCGGTATCGAGCTGGTCAAGCTCGCCAACCGTATCGAGGCGCTCAAGATGCAGGAGGACGAGGAGGAGGACGTGCCGGGCGAGGCGGACGTGCCGGCGAACGCGAAGGAGGCAGCTGGCGAGGCGCTTGGAGGCAGCGCAAGCCCAACGGGCTCGACGCACAAGAGAAGCCTCAGCAAGATTGCCAAGGGCGCCATTTTCCGGGAGGTTGTGCTGGCGAAGGTGCGCGAGATCAAGGCGGAGGAAGACAGGAAGAAATTCGAGGAGGAAGCGTCTGCGAAGCACTGAGAAGTCTACTGTTAAATACATTCTTGAAGCGGGACATTAGAGAGCAGAAAGGCAGGCATGTATGCTGCCAAGGGTTTCATTGCACGGGCTCCATGATATTCTTGTTGATTAGCGATACCCTCTAGGAAAACAAAATCGACACATGCGGTATCCGTGGTCGCAAACAGCACATCCGTAGTTGACTGAGGGCCCCGTGGAGATTGTTGCCGGTCACGTGCGATTTCTTAGCTGGAGTTTGGACCAACACCTTGCTTGGCACCGCGATCGAGACGCGATTGAGCTGCTGTTGGCAACACGCTGCTGCGCACCACCGCGACCACCCCGAAGCGCATTCACGCCCGCCGAGCCCCAAGGCCTGCTGCGCACGCCGCAAGCACCCGCACGCACGATGGAGCGCGAATCGAAGCGCAAAGCCGCAACGGCCGCGACGCCCGAAACCGAGGGTCGCGCATCCAAAAGACAGAAGCTGCCGGTAAGTGTGCGCTCCGGGCATGCGAGGCGACATTGCGAGGTGGCGCTGGGTGTCGCAGTCAGGGCTGTGGATGCGTCGCGGTTGAGCTGCCTGGTCCAACGCGCGACGCTTAACGGGCTTCGGCCTTGACCAGCACCAGGCTGTCCACCCTACCCGCTCGCTCCCCTCTTCAAACCACCGCAGCCGCCGCGAGCTCGCCCGCCAGGCCTCAGGCCCGCTGCAACCACCGTCGCAAAGCCGCCTTTCCGCCTGCAACGCTAACACAATGCGCCGAGCTCCAGGACGACGACAATGGCGACAAGGAGACGCCAGAGACGACTTTCGTCAAGGGAATGAAGTTCCTCGAGACCATGAAGGCGGCGAAGGATAAGACGTAAGTGCTCCGCCCTGCGCGCATGCAGCCCGTCGCTGATCTGCTTTCCCGAATCGCAGCGGCCGCCCCATTGCGACCAGCTTTCTCGATCTTCCCGACAAGGTACCTATCTACCGCCAGCGCCTCCGCCTGCCGTCTAACCTGCCTGCAGGATACCATTCCCGAGTACTACCAAGAGATCAAGCTACCCATCGCTTTCAGCACCATTGAGGTATGCCGTTCCGCCGCCCTTTCACGATACTTCCGCATGTTTCCTAGTCGGTGCTCAAGGACTCTGCGTGCATGGACGATGGGTTCTCGTTGCGCAGCTTTGCAATAACGACTAATCCTGCATTAGGCCAAGCTGCAAGCTAGAGAATACTCGACTCTTGCCGCTGTCGAGAGCGATGTTAAGCGCATGGTCAACAATGCGAAGCAGTTCAACGACAAGAACTCCGCCATATACGCCGACGCCGAACGCGTGCGCAAGACAGCCTCCAATTTCATGACCAAGAACAACCCGGCCTATAGGACTCCAGGATACTCGGCGGTTGCTACGCCCATCCCAGGCGAAGAGGCAAATGGCGTCCCTAGCAGCGTCACTCGCCAACTCAGTGAGCGCCCGAAACGCAACGCCGCCGTTGCTCAGATTGCAACCCAGAGCGTCCAGGCCACGCCGTCAAGAACGCGCAAGTCGGAGAGGCACCCGACGCCACGGCAAGAACAGACTCCGGGCCAGGAAACAGACTTTCGAGGCAAAACCTTCCAGGAGGCTCAGGAGGCGCTTATCCAAGAATTCATTCACTACGCTGACCCTGAGGAGTAAGTCTCGACGCTGCTCGTACCTCTTGAAGACTCAATGCTCACGACCAAGCAGGGGCCTTCAAATATATCAACCCTTTGTCAACCTTCCGAATCGCAGTTTGAAGGAATATTACGCTACGATCAACACGCCCATGTCCCTCAACCAAGTCTTGAAAAGGATCCGGGGCTGGATCAATCGCGAACATGGCTTCAGCGGAACGAGTGATTTCAAAAACTGGCAGCAACTTGAGGAATGCGCCCGCCTCATTTGGGAGAACGCCCGGGAGTTCAACGAGGACGGTAGTGACATGTATAACTTGGCCGGCGAATTCGAGGTACTTGCCATCACCTCAGATCTGCCTAGGTAGCTAACACGCCTTAGGAACACTTCAAGCGCCGGCTAGCGGACGCGATGGAGAAGGTGCCGGCGCCGAAACAGACGATCAAGCTTACCATGGGCTCGCAACAACAGCAATCTCAGCAACAGAAGCCGTCCGGTATCAAGCTGCGTCTAGGCGGAAACAAGAACAGCCCTGCGCCAAACGCCTCGACACCCGGAACTCCGGGTGCACGTAGTTCAAGCACACCAGGCGTCATTGTTGACAATGATGCGCTAGAACGACAGCAAAAGCATGTCCAAGCCGGGATGAATGGGCAGAGGCCACCATCGTCAGGAGGACCTGTATGCAAGCCCCGTCAATATACACATCTCATTGGCACAGCTACTAACAACAGCCTTGCAGGGAGTTAGCACCACGCGCAGCGGATCAGCCGCATCACCTGCACCTAACGGGGTGAAAAGTGAGAATCAAGCAGGCCAGTCGCCCGCCCTCGACAGCATACGCCCTTCCAGTGCGGTGCCCGACTCACGGCCGGGAGCTTCTTCGCAGCCTCCAGGTAACTCAGCGGCTCCGCCTGGTGCTTCTCGTCCGGCGAGTGGAAGCCCATACACCAACGGGCACGTAGCCATGGCTCATCCATCGGCTCACTCGCTGAACGGGTTCGACAACAAGCACCGCCAGCCTGGATCCAGTATGTTCTTAGTCACTTCCGACCATCCTTTCTTCGATACTGACTGTGAGGCAGATATGGCCGACGCCCTCCTCCCCAATGTCGCTATTCACAGCCATCCAGCTCTGAAGCTCAGTCGACCATTCAAGTTCAACATTCCGGCGTCGCAAACACTGTCACAACAATCCATCACGATTTCTCTTCCAGGGTCGCATTCGTCGATCCAGATCAAGCCGTTTGTTCCGGTGGCTCAAACGCAACGGCCTTGGCGGCTTTTTGTCACTGTCAACAACACGCGCATCTCGGAAGTGTACCAGCCGCCGACGCAGCAGCAGGCCAATTCAAGTGGTTCGCCGGAGAAGCCGCAGCAGCAGGCACGCGAGAAGGGGCACCCGCTCTTTGAAGCCAGGCTGCAGCCTGGTGTCAACCGGATTGACATAGAAGTGGTTGCGGGAACGGCACCGATGCAGGTTCGTGGACAGCCGCCGCCGAAAGAGCGGGATGCGGTCGAAATGGAGAAGTGCACGGTCTTTGTGAACCTGATGAGGGCATAATGATATAACACGCATTTAGAATAGCCTATCATCGCAGAGTATCGACGATGGGTGTCTTTTCTATCCCCAAGGGAACAAGATTTGCATATCGGCATGGCATCGTGAACTCGGGAAGGGCTGCTGTTTTTGTGTTTTCTCATGTTCAGATTCTTCCAGGTGCATTTGCAAGCGGGTGGTGCTGGCGAGCAGGCCGGTCGGTTTTTTGGGTTATTAAGAGAATCGATCAGGGAAACACGGGGCCCGTGGAGTGGTGTACTACTGGGCGGGTTTGAGTCGTCATTGCAAATCAATTTGTATTCCTTTGGCACGCACCACTGATCAGTGTAATTGGATGGGATGATTTAGGAAAACCGGGGGCCTACAGCAGAGGGTGTGGAGTGTTGCGCCCATGCTCCGATATCGTAGGTTCTCCAGGCTCCGGACTACCCTTCCTGATGGAGATAAATGGCCCAATCGGAACATAACGCAGTCTCGCCTTTCCCCAGTTTCTTGCTGTACCCCTCCCAACCCCCCGACCGCCTGGAGTATAGGTGATTTACAGAGAGCCGACGTCGGACTGACGTAATCCAGAGCGAGCTGTGCATCTGCACTCACACGAAACATATATCTATGTACGTCTATGGGACAAGTCTAAGAGCATTGCTCTTCACTCGACCCTGTCTGCACGCTGTGTAGCTTCGATCTTGCACAAAGCCTGCAATATGTCCTTCCTGCGTACGATTTCCCGTCCTGCCAGGACAGCAGCACCCAAGCCTTTCTCTCGTCCATTCTCATGCCTTACACCTCGCCTGTCCCCTTCCTCCACTGACACGACCTCTCCCAAAATCCTTCTCGAAGACAAAGCCAACGGCTTCGGCCACATCCGCCACAACCCCGTTCCGCCCAAGCCGCGCAGCAAGGGGGTGACGGAGATTCGGGGGCCCTACTACAGCGTCATGGGGCCGCGGTACCTGTCGGACGTACTGGAGACCATGGGCCACCACGTCGACGGCCTCAAGTTCGCGGGCGGCTCGTTCTCGCTGTTCCCAGAGCCGCAGCTGCGCGAGCTGGTCGACATTGCGCACCGGCACGGCGTGTACATCTCGACCGGCGGCTGGATCGAGCACGTCCTGGCCGGGACGGGCGGAGACGTGGGGAAGGGCGTGGAGAGGTACCTGGAGAAGTGCAAGGACCTGGGGCTCGACGTCGTCGAAGTGAGCACCGGCTTCTTGAGCCTGCCGCCTGACGACTGGCTGAGGGTCGTGGACCTGGTCCATCAGAAGGGGCTCAAGGCGAAGCCGGAGCTCGGCATCCAGTTTGGCGCAGGCGGCGACACCGAGGCCGGCGAGTTGGAGGCCATGGGAACAAGTGACCCGAGCAGGGTGACGAACATGGCGAAGAAGTTCGTGCAGGCGGGCGTGGAGAGGTGTATGATTGAGAGCGAGGGCATTACCGAGAATGTGAATAAGCGGCGGACCGATGTCATTCAGCAGATTTTGAGAGAGGTGCCCATGGAGAATGTCATGTTTGAAGCAGCCGATCCGAAGGTGTTCAACTGGTGAGTGGTTCCTCTTGGCCGCCCTCTTGGAACTGATGGCTGACGTTTACGCAGGTACATTCGCGAGTTCGGCGTCGATGTCAACCTCTTCGTCGATCACTCTCAGATTGTGCAGCTCTCCTGTCTCCGTCATGGCATCTGGGGCATGGCCGACACGTTTGGAAAGATCACGACTTTCCGGCCTTAGGTCCTTGCATGTAATTGAGCTTCATAAATAAGGAAACGACACACATGTCAAAACAGTCTATCGTTTCATTTCCCAGACCGAAATTGATCATTACTCCGCCTTCACATGACTGTTAAACCCTTTCCTAAGAGCGAAATGGGTGGTGAAAGGGTTTAAAATGCTGACCCAGAGAAGTGCTAGTACGCTTATTTATATATCCCACTTAGCCAAAATTGTAACAAATTACTTCAATTAGCTGAGACCCCTATCGGATATGCCATTTTGGTACTAAGCATATTCTCCCTTGTTGAGGGGTATGATCGTGGCATGTTCACTTCAGTCCTTCATGCCAGCCGCTCTACCCTCGTTCATGCCACGTCGGTCAGTATTTCACATATCTTAAACGAAACAGACTTTTGACCTGTCCTTATAATACGGCAAGTTAATAAACAATCTGGCCTTCAAAAAGCGTGTTCCATCCGTACTGTCATACTAACTTGCAGTAGAAGTAACATTGCGGCCCATGTGTCCTCAAAGACGTTGTCTATGAGCCATGTATCTACTGCAGGCCTCAGAAGAAGAGTATTCTTCGCGACACTCTATGGCATCGCTTGCTAACAAAAATTGAACATATTACGCTGTATCGCAAGCGCGAAGCGACCGAGTTCCATCCAGATTCTGCAAATTAGATGTGCCCATAGACAGGTTACCATACGTGCTTGCCACTTGAGAGCTAACAATAACCGTAGGACATGAAAATTCGGAGAAAATTATCAAGTAATACCAGACCAGCAGACCAATCAAGATACGTACCATCTCTTTGTAATTCATCCAATTCTTCCTGGTGACTCAATCTGGTGTATGCAGGCATTTTTCGACGTCAACCAAGGATACTGATTGGGATGCCTGTGGGTTACTTGTCATGTCTTATTACAGAACTCTCAACAATCAGATCCAGCTCAGAACAGGTTGCACGGAAACTCTGGCAAAAACTTCAGAAAAATGATGGAGCGATGGTACTCTTCTAAGAAAAGGTTCCACGGCTGAGATGATACGCCAACGGCTCGCCCGTGGTCTTAACCAGGGTCTCAACATAAAAGGCGAACATCTTTCCACTGTGGACGAAATGGACAAAAAGTACTTCCAAACATATTGATCCAGCTATGGCAAGAAACTCTGAGGTCGCTGCTGCTTAAATTCATCATGGTGGTGAGTGCTACACCGAACAAATATGCCGGGGAGCCATGAAAATGCTCTGATCACTGACCCATGGAAATAAGCAGGGACAGGGTAGCATCAGAAACCACCTCCCGACTCATGTTATTCCGGGAGATCCTGGAGCACCTCCAGAAAATGCCTTGCGACCGGCATCCGCATCCCTGGGTGCCGTACGACGAGTTTCACATTTGCGAGTGTGAGACCATCTGCAGCCTCTGCTCGTTGGACATCCAGCAGCCAGAGGCGCTGGTGAAGCATGTATACTCTGCACATTTGTCCAGATCGGTCAAAAACTACAAACTTTTTCAGTCACTATTCCAAGTATATCTGAAGCGACCTGATGCCGTTAGAGAACAGTAGTAAGCCTATATGCACACATAGCGTATTTCACTCACAGCATTCAGAAGATTTGCAGTATCACATCTCCATGCGTCTGTGTGGATTACTTCGACCTTCTCCCGAAAACCGACACCCTACACGAGAGCTCCGTCTCCCAGCGACAAGCGGACCCCAGAAAACACACACTTCCTCAATGCGACGCAGCTTCAGATCACAAGGTAGAGTTTCAAGGAGATGATACTCGTCATAACAAGTCAGCCCTTCCAACAAGACAAGTCTTCCTAGACAACTCAAACCCCCTTGCATACACATCCTCTCCAAGGCCAAGGTCTCAGAATGAGGCAGAAACAGGGGGAAGGAGAAATAACTATGGCTCGAGCACTTCTTATGGAATAGCTCTCACAGGAACCGCAGGCACTACTGAGGAAACTTGGACTTCATGGCCTGACCATCCCAACCCACTTCTATCATCTATCGTCCCCGAAGCTCAGAAGGTCAACACCACCACCACCACCACAACAACAACAACAACAACAACAGCAGCACCTCCATATGTAGACGGTGTTCAACGTATGTTCGATGCAGACCAAAACGAACAGTTCGCAATGAACGATTTCCACTCGACACTGCCTCTCGGTGCCTTCGTTGGCCCGTCAAACTCGACCAGTTACTCGCCATTTCCCCAGCAAGGCCAGTTGAACGACCCATGCACAGGGCCTGAATCTTACTACTACCAACCTCTCCTGGACCCACTCACTATGCCGACCATGACCGAATACGCTTACGATTATCCGCATGCCCCTCAGCAAGAAGCCCATCCGTCCTCTTACACCAACAACATCTCCTTTGGTCTCGCCGACCACATCCCACCCGCTGGGTACTCAAACACCCCATTCACCGGCCTTCCAATGGATTTTCAGTGGCCAGAGCCCTCTGGGCCATCTCTACCAGTTTCTGGCCAAATGCAGCCGAGCCAAGACGCTCTCGACTTTTTCCCCCTTGGGACACCAGATACTGCTCTTCGACAACAGCAACAGCAACATCGACAGCAGCAGCAGCAGCAGCAGCAGCAGCAACAGACAACTTGGTTTCCTTCCCACGCAAAGACGTAAATACCAAAAAAAAAAGTTGGCATTCATTTATTTGGCCTGGGCAGTTTTTCCCCCTGATTTTTTTAAGACTGTGTGCTAATCTGTTTACAAGACGATCTTACCGTTCTCTTCAGTAACATGTTTTCCTGTTTGTAAAAAAATTGTTGTTTTAGATGGAAAGAAAGAAAGAAAGAAAGAAAGAAAGAAAGAAAGAAAGAAAGAAAGAAAGAAAGA